CTTCCTATCCGCTTCCGTCGCCGATCCGTTGACTACCACGTGCCACTGCTGATATCAGCAAAGCCCCGGCGGCCGGTCCAAATAGGGCAACAAGTCCATCTTCATGACGTCGATCTGCCATCATATACTATCAAAACATCGGTCGCTCGTCTTGCCTGGTTGGAGCGTGGGTGGGTAGTTTTTGAGCTGGAGAAGGTTCATCCCCTTGCGTTGCCCATGTTCATTGCTGTCCCATTCACTTGGGTACACTTATCATTTGTCCATCGTCTTCGCTACAGCTACACCTACCACACGCTGCCTGGGACTCACTTGTTCCAAATTGGAACTACTCCTCTCCCTCCCTCGTTTGATCAGGTGGTCCAACACAACCAGTCCATTGGTAAGGCCATGGAACTGTCAGATTTGGACTAGGTGGTGGACCGGTGGCTCCAGTTTCTTTTTTTCAGCAGAACATTCATTTACAGTGCGATTATTTTTGATTTTTGAATCATTTTTATGGACACATATTTTTTTAGAATGCCTGACTGACAATAAAGGAACTGTGTTGATACTGATAGTGTTTTGCCTTGCTCTTTTTTTACTGCATCTTCCCATGACATCATGATTTTCCTGCTCTCTTTTTGCTATTGGACTTTACTTTATGGCTGTACAAACCTGTGATATTACTCACAGCATTTATTGTTCTATCCCTTTCTTTTCTTTTTTTGACAATCTTATCCTGTACTACCTACGCAGGATTCGTCAGCGTACATTCCTTCCTTCATATTCTTTCTCATTCTTTTTGCACAGCTATACTGTGCATAGCCTACTTCTCTTTTACTATATAAACCCCTGTATTTTACCTTGTAAAAAAAAAAGAACAAAGAACTCGATTCCAGACTTCTTCTCTAATCTTAAGTCCACTTCTTACTGCTACTTGTGATCCAGTGTGGTCACAACACTTCCCACTTCTACCACTGTTAACTGCTGTCATCGTCACTCGTCACTTTTGAAAGTGATTGTCATCCCCTTCGATTAGAGTCCTTCTGAGCACTACAGTTTGTGCATCAGGAGCCTGCTATCACTGGGAACCTCGTCACCTCGTCATCCTCGTTGTTCTCAAACCTACCTTGTGCTACGATTAGCAAGGTAGTGCTCGTCTATACTCGCCACAAACCCCCTATCTTTCTATAAATTCAACTATCCCTCCTCCTCAAAACCCACACTCATACACCACTGGGTTTTACTTTGAAGGATCTTTATACGTACCACCCCACGAACAACCAGACCACTCCACTGTTCTAGGAGGCAAAGCCCATAAACAAGTTCCGTGGAATCTGGGAGGATTGTGTGTTAGTTTGTTTTGTGTGTGGTTTTCTAACAACAGTTCTCATCATCGACACCGGCCTGGTCAGAGGAAAGAGAAAGTGAAGTTTTGTATGTAAATTCTAATCAGCAGTGATTCCACACCGACTGCTGAGCTAAGTACTCCCTTTAACGCTGGGGGCTGCGTATCAAAGGTTTTGGTTCTTCTCCCAAAGCACTACAAGGCCGTCGCAAAGAGCGCACCTATCTGCTATGTGGGATATTCCCAACCAATAACCAAATCTCCTTCACCCTGGAGTCCGGGTGCCCAGTGGGACTTTTTGCACAACGTGCGAGAGAGTAGAGGAGCGAGTCCTAATGTAACAACCAAGAGTTAGTTACTCTGGCGCACACAAGAACACACTATAAAGAAGATGTTGAGGGAGTGGTTACCCCTTAAGCTGCAAAGAGTTTGTTGGTATACAACAGGCGGACTCGCTAAGGAGTCTCCTGGATTTATTGGGGTATATATACTAATACAGAGTGTTTGTACTTATGTACTATACAGTTGATAAAGTCAGTGGCTGATGATGTCATGGGGCCTAGCCCGCATGACCAGCTCCACTGTGTGAGAGAGTTGTATCTAAAATAAGAAGAAGGCAATGCGGCGCGAGAAAGAGGAGTTTGAACAAAAGGGGAAGTGCCACGTGGCACCATGTGTGAAAGCTAAAGTGTACAAGGTTAAAGCGGAGAATGAAAAAGAAGGAAAGGTCCGAAAATTGTTTTATCGTAACAAAATTTATTCCAAAGCAAGGGAATAATTGGGGGGTGGAGGTAAATGCATGTAACAAACAAGGACAAACCATCCATGGGCTTGATGGAAAGCCTATAAAGACAAAGATTTGGATGGCTGATAGAAAACTTAACAACAATACACCTCAGTCGTTCTATTTTCCTCAATGGCATCCCCGTTGTCGAAGATGAGAACTGCTGTTAGAAAACCACACACAAAAACAAACTAACACACAATCCTCCCAGATTCCATGGAACTTGTTTATGGGCTTTGCCTCCTAGAACAGTGGAGTGGTCTGGTTGTTTGTGGGGTGGTACGTATAAAGATCCTTCAAAGTAAAAACCCAGTGGTGTATGAGTGTGGGTTTTGAGGAGGAGGGATAGTTGAATTTATAGAAGATAGGGGCTTAGTGACGAGTATAGATGAGCACTACGTTGCTAATGGTAGCACAAGGTAGGTTTGAGAACGACAAGGATGACGAGGTGACAAGGTTCCCAGTGATAGCAGGCTCCTGACGCACAAACTGTAGTGCTCAGAAGGACTCTAATCGAAGGGGATGGCAATCACTTTCAAAAAGTAACAAGTGACGATGACAGCAATTAACAGTGGTAGCAGTGGGAAGTGTAGTGACCACACTGGATCACAAGTAGCAGAGAGTAGTGAACTTGAGATTAGAGAAGAAGTCTGGATTGGAGTTTTTGTTTTTTTACAAGGTAAAATACAGGGGTTTATATAGTGAAAGAAAAGTAGGCTATGCACAGTATAGCTGTGCAAAAAGAATGAGAAAGAACATGAAGGAAGGAATGTACGCTGACAAATCCTGCGTAGGTAGTACAGGATAAGATTGTCAAAAAAAGGAAAAGAAAGGGATAGAACAATGAATGCTGTGAGTAATGTCACAGGTTTGTACAGCCATAAAGTAAAGTCCAATAGCAAAAAGAGAGCAGGAAAATCATGATGTCATGGGAAGATGCAGTAAAAAAAAGGCAAGGCAAAACACTATCAGTATCAACACAGTTCCTTTATTGTCAGTCAGGCATTCTAAAAAATATGTGTCCATAAAAATGATTCAAAAAATCAAAAATAATCACACTGTAAATGAATGTTCTGCTGAAAAAAAGAAACTGGAGCCACCAGTCCACCACCTAGTCCAAATCTGACAGTTCCATGGCCTTACCAATGGACTGGTTGTGTTGGACCACCTGATCAAACGAGGGAGGGAGAGGAGTAGTTCCAATTTGGAACAAGTGAGTCCCAGGCAGCGTGTGATAGGTGTAGCTGTAGCGAAGACGATGGACAAATGATAAGTGTACCCAAGTGAATGGGACAGCAATGAACATGGGCAACGCAAGGGGATGAACCTTCTCCAGCTCAAAAACTACCCACCCACCCTCCAACCAGGCAAGACGAGCAACCGATGTTTTGATAGTATATGATGGTAGATCAACGTCATAAAGATGGACCTGTTGCCCTATTTGAACTGGCCGCCAGGGGCTTTGCTGATATCAGCAGTGGCACGTGGTAGTCAACGGATTGGCAACAGAAGCGGATAGGAAGTGGTGATATCAGAAATGGTGGGGGTGCAAATAAGATGAGGAGGAGGAGGGTGGAGGTGACGGAAAAGTGGATTAGAATGGGGATCCAGAAACAACCGTCAGGTGAGAATAAAAAGGAGAGGAAGGGGCCCATGGTGGGGCTAGGCAAAGGAAGGGGAGTAAGGGAAACGACAAAAGCAAGGGCGCAATGCAATGTGTAGCCAGTGGCGACGCAAAAATTTGCCGAAATGCGGAAATGCGGAAAGTACCGAATGGAAAAGCAAAGGTGAGCGTGACTGGATTGCTATTCCATGTGGCACTGTGCCTGTGTGGTGCAAAGGCGAGTCTTTTTGAATATTCGCTTCGTTATTGACACCTGTCCATGCTACCAATCAACTTTGGTGCATGACACCGTGCAGACATCTTCAAAGGCATGGCAGAAATCCTCAGTGAGCGTGTTTATGGGGACTTCTCACATGTACGTGCAAAGTGTCCTCCAAATATTACGTGCTGCTGTTGTTGCAGGACACTCTACAACAAGCCTGATTTTGTAAATGTCAAGTCATTGCTCGAGCTTGCTTGAGAAGTACAAGGATTCCAAGTTCTTTTTCTCCCTAAACTTCATTGTGAGCTAAACTTTATAGAGCAGTGTTGGTGTCATGCAAAGTGTGTGTACTGGCTCAATCCTTCATCCTCAAAGGAAGAAGACCTCAAGAAAAATATCCTTGCTGCATTGGGCTCCGTCACTGTGCAGCAGATGAAAAAGTGTTTTGCTTTGCACAATTGTAGTGCATTTAATGATTTTTACATACCCATTAGATATGCTTGCCGTGCTTGTCGCTTTATGGATGCTTATCACAAAGGGTTGACAGGGCAACAGGCTGCTTGAGCAGCAAAGAAGTATTGTGGGCATCGGATCCTACCAAATGCACTTCTCAATGAGCTTGGGAAAGCAGGAATATGATAATTTATCAGCAGCTTGAGGTCATATTATCTTATTTATTATTTCATGTATTCCTATGCTCTGTATGTACCTCTTATAGTCTTATTTCTGACAGGATTGCTCCACTATTTTCACTTTATTTCTACCTTACACTGTGTTTATATCTCCAGTGATTGAGCAATGTTTTTGGCTGGGTCATGTTTGGTCTCATTCCATCACAACCAGTCACAGATCACCTGACGTTAGTGGTATGTGCATGAGCCCTACCTTACAAGGTTTTTCTGACATTATTCTGGTATTATTCAGAATTTTCACGTTATAATACCTCAGTTTTTTTAGGGCTCAATGTGCAGTGGATTTCTCAGCCAAAATAAACAAGACCTTTTATGGTAATTATGCTATCAGTCGGAGGGGTAAAGTCGGTGAAGACCAAAGAGGAACAAGTCAGGCCAACATACATGTATCGGCTCATCAAAGCCATTGAAATCGGTCCTTATCAGTTTTGAGTCTTCTGACCGTCCCAAGTGGAAATATGTTTCGAACAGACGCGGATGCAATCAATAACACATCGATATGTAGCTGCGACTCCTGGTCACATAAAGTACACTACACAGAGGCCAGGAATCCAGTTCCTTGGATAGATCCGTAAGTAAATGTAGCAGGTATAATGGTAAAGAACGTAAGGGTTTCAAGGCGTTGGTATCGCCGACACTCTCCTAACTATATAGTTGATGCGACGGGTCCAATGAGTGACATCACGATAAAGGCCTGTGAAATTGCCATCCTCCTTGTCAATGACGCGTGACCGTAGTTTCCAGCTACTGATATTCTGAAGAATATGGTCGAAGCGCCCAACGACTTCATCCATGGTAGGCCGCTTTGCTGGGTCATCTTGTACCATGTCTTTCACCAGCGGTTCCATGAATTCAAACCCATTTTTTGTCTTGGTATATACAAGCATATGCAATTAACCTCTTTCAGCATAAGGGTACCACTCACCAGCAAGAATTCATTCCTTATCATGTTTCCTAGATAATATACGTCTGTTTGGAAGGGATCGCGAGGCTCATGCGAATTTTGAAATTCAGGTACAGTCTTATCGCCTCCCCATATGGGTTCTTCCAGAGGGGCAACATTGTCCGCTTCATAACGTCGAGATATTCCAAAGTCGATGAAAAAGTATCTTGGAGGACGCTGAGTGCGAGTCACGTATCTTGCCCGGCCTTTAAAATCACGTCTCATATCACGCTTTTGAGGATGAAAAGGATCGATGAATTGTGTGGCATCCATCATGATATTGAGATCCATACAGTCACTATTAGTCTCTCAGAGAACATCCAATGACAAGAACCCGACAAAAACACACCGATGAGCGACATGTTGCTGATGAATAAATCGTAAACCCTGCGAAGCGAGATAGTCAGTGGCCCATTTGAAAAACTTGGAGAGTTCTCACCACAAACAGTTGGCGAAAAAAATCCAGTACTTCACCGCAAGTGTCAAACCGGGGATCGTTAAATGGTCGCAACAGCGGCATGACCAGAATAGCCTGATCATCGTTATCTGGTACATCGAGCACGTCATGGATCGAGACGCAATGATTAGCAGGATCAGAGGCCAATGGTTCTGTCGAAAATAGCCGGCCAATTTCAATCTCATAAGGATGTCGTGACTTCCTCATCAACTTCAATGTCACAGCAAGTCCATCGACCATGCGAGTTGCATCCATCACATGCTTTAACTACGAGATGGTTATTGAAAAACGCAGTGAGTAAAGTAAATAACACATTGTACCGGAGGAACTTGGCTATCTTCGCATTCTTCCCAATCCTTGTTGTTACCTTGCCATGAAGGGACCCACCCAGGCGCGTATCGGGGGCGTAGTAAGTAGCCAATATCCGTTAGCCACTGATAGTGTTGGCACCACCATAGTTCAGTTTTAACAACAGTCTCGAGCGTGGTCCGTAAAGGATAGCCAAACACTTGAAGTGCACGTTTCTCGATGATAGCCTGTGTCTGTGCTAAGCTTGCTTCCCGTTCAGCTTGACGCTTGCGTCGACGAGACAGCATTGGTGAATATTACGACCAGTGGTCACAGTGTCGGTTACACTGGCACTCTTTTGCCTGTTAGTCCCGCTTGGTCGGACTCTGCAAATAAATCCCCGACGTACATCCCGCGGCAGTGACGCTAGCGCTTGCAATGTTGGTCAATTCACGGAAAACATATACCTCTGCCTTAATGCATGCACACTGCGATCTGTTGGTTACGCATGCAATTTCTATATTACGTCGTACTTATCTGGGAGTGAGCTTGGATTAAAACTTATGTTTTCATGTGCCCATCAGCATTCAATATTCAAGGCGTGATGTCACGTTACTCTAACAGGCTCTTAGCCAACCAAATGAATCTCAGAGGCCAAGTGGAACTTCAAGGGAACGAGTTGCACTCGTCGCAGTGGTATAAGTAGGCATATATTTGCTTATGTACCGTGTGACGCTAGTACCGTTTTATCTCATCATTCCAGGAGCCAACTAGTCACAACTTAAAAAGAGGACAATCATGATGACGATTTGATCACTAGCACATCGGATTTCCCCCTCTATACCCTGACGGTCTTATCACATACTTCCATTTGGTCTTAGAAACCCCCGCAAAACATGGAAGGGCTTGATGATGCCAGCGGCTCTTCCAACTTTGACCTTCTAGCATCCTTCAGCTCGCTATCCAAAGACACTGAGAAGTGTTCATATCTTGAGAAGGGTCAACGGTACCGAAAGATCTCCCTAGAACTACTCTATCAATGTCAGAGATATTCCAACCAGTCTCAACTGGATGTTGGAGAGGACATCGACAGAATGGAGAACCTTATTTTAAGGTAAATATGGATTCAAATATTTCCCCCTACTGGTACTCTGATTTATTCTTCTCGTTTTTACTCAGACTAAACGCCATGGCTCTCCGACTTGAACAACAAAGAAAGACGTTCGTGTGGAACCCGAGGAGGTTAATAAAAATGTATCGCACACGTCGTGAATTTGCCGCACAAAGCCTTGAGGTGCTGAAATTGACGAAAGTAAGTGATTGAAGTCAGTAAGGACTTATCACTTATAATCGCATAGAGTACTTCAGATGATATTCTGAGGAGGAGAATATACAGCGCAGAAAGTGAGTTCGATGTCCCCTGCTACATCCATCTCCGAGATCGTTCACATTGGCCAGTCTGGCTGATTTCAAACCTTCATTTCGTTAGATCGTGAGGCAATTATCAATTATACAGCAAGCTACTTCACGGCTGTAGACAGTATTATTCAAGGCGGTGCGTCTTCAGCTTGCCTTGAGTCTCACTACGAAGGACAAATTTATTATCTCTATTTTATTTTGCAGACGTAACGAGTGAAGATGAGGCTAACGACGACGGACCAGATGCGAAATTTGATCAAAACGATCAGCAGGTCCTAACACAAGTGCAAGGTTTCCATGAGGCTCTTCAGTCGATACCCGTCAATCAGCTTAAAGCATCGACCGTAATTATAAATCAAGATGTTTTCATCCAAAGTGTTGTAAATCAAGGGTCCAGTACAAATTCCTCAGTTATTGTGGGTGGGTCATACAACAGGGGTGGAGGTTTGTTATTTTGTAAAATATTCGATGACAAGATGATAAGCAGGACCTCATCGCAGGCAATCAACATAATAATACATCCTCTTCTCAACCATTTACGGTGGATCGTTAGTTACAGCTCGACTTTTTGATGAAGCCGCAGCTCGGCAGAATATTATTTGACTCCCGCTTGATTGTTTGTAAGAGCAAACACTGTGCATAGCATGAAACACTAATATACAAATATTTAATATTTTGTGACACGTGAAGCAGAGATCTGTCTCTTGAGCAATGAGGCCCAAGCCAAAAAATATACAAAAAATATCAAAAAAAAATAAAGGACAGTGTTAGCTACAGTAACAACGAGGTCTAGCCCGCGGCTCTGCCACTGGTGCAATGTTTTTGCTATATGATAAATAATAATAATAATACTGTCTGATCAAAATGTTAAGTCAGTGAACATATGCTGTCTGTAATGTATGTTAAGTCTTTGAATCCTATGATGCATGTTTGACTTGCTGTTTTGTCGTTAAATGTCCTTATAAGCCTGCCCTAGACTTGTGCACAGTATACTGAATTCAAGCAGATGATTCATTGAACCTTTACAAACATCAACATATATTGTAACGTAAAAAGTCTGTGGTATTACATTGATAAATTGTTGAGAAATAATAAAAAAAGATTCCAGAAATGGTAAAGGATGATAAAATGATCTGATATCAAAACACTAGTAAAAAGGGTGAGAATTGCGGAAAAATCTACTTGCCAGTCACGGATAAAGCCAGTCAGAATTTTGGGATATGCCACATTGATGGTACATCTGTCATTTGAGCCCTGTGGAAATAGCACTTTTATTCTCTCTCCTGAAGTGCAGCAAGACAATGCAACATAAAGTTGCCCATGTGAAAATACTGGAACACATATATCCAGCCCAACCTGTGTCACTGATTGACCTTGAGACTTGTTGATGGTCATGGCAAAGGCAACACAGACAGGGAATTGACAATGTGATAGCTTGATGGGCAATTCTTCTGATGAAGGTTCCAATGTGAGGCATGGAATAAAAGCTATCTTTCATGCATGTTTTCCTCCCAAGACACGGCACTTCAATACCCTTCTCTTTATCTATATCAAATTCATGCGTGTTCTATTACAGAGTCCATTTAGGGGATCAATATTGCGGAGGAGCATAAGTGGACATCCAGCTTTAAGTTTAAGGTGCATTTCAAGAAGGCCAGATACTTGCAAGGAGTTCAAGATTCCACAGGATAATGTTCATGCCCCTCTCCAACCATTTTTTCAATTGATAGAGCTACTAACTCTTTTCCAGGGAATTTTGTGAGGATTGCTGAATTAAGGTCGCTAACGGCATCATATTTTGCAGAGAGGATGGTGCGGCGGAGGAAATAATGGTCATCTTTGTCTCCATTTGCAATTCCAGGATAGGTAGTGTTGACTAATAAGTCTATGGTGTTTTCTGGCATAAGCATGTTGGTGAGGAGCTCAATAGTTCCATCTCTTGCAATTCCATGACCATGACCAACATCCAGGAGCTAGCTGACAAAGGCTTCACTTTCTGGAGTATGGTCCAGGCATATGTTCTGTGTGAGATAGCAGACATGGATATTTGTCCACAGTTGTGACCTTCTAAGAGAGGCAGAAATAATATGTTGCCTTGACCCTCTTGGAACAACAGGTGTTGTCTGGCGGAAGTCCCCCCCAAAGACCATTGTAATACTTCCAAATGGAAGCTGATTATCCAAAATGTCCCACAATGTACGGTCCAATGCTTCACTTCCATGACGGTGTTGCATTGGTGCTTCATCCCAGACAATAACTCTGGTATGTCTCAATACCTCATGGAGGTCAGAGTTTTTTGGAATCCATGTGGATGCTTCGTTCACAGGAATAGGGATTCCACGGCACAAATGAGCTGTGTGGTCACCCTCCAAGAGCAGGGATGCAATCCCAGAGGATGTTACACATAGAGCAACATTATAATTATCCCTTGCTCAAACAACAGCAGTAGTTGTATTACAGAGATATGTTTTTCCCCTACTGGTACCTCCAGCACTGTGAATAAAGCAAGTTGTTCCCCAATTATGATGAATTGACTGCATGATGGTATCAAAAGCATTCTGCTGCTCTTGACTGAGCTGCTCTACATTATCTTTTAAGTAATAATAATACAGTTAAGTGATCAAACTTTATCAAGCCAAAAGTCAGTGAACTTGTGCTGTCTGTTCTTATAAGCGTGAGAATTCTTTAGTGTGGCTACAATTTTCACTGCGTTGTCATGCACCAAAGTTGATTGGTAGCATGGACAAGTGTCAATAACAAAGTAAATATTCAAAAAGACTCTCCTTTGCGCCACACAGGCACAGTGCCACGTGGAACAGTAATTAATATTGCCTTTTTCGGACTTGTGGCTGATCAGCACCACCTCTATTAGGCAATCCAGTCGCGCTCACCTTTGCTTTCCATTCGGTACTTTCCGTGTTTCGGCATTTTGGCAAATTTTTGTGTTGCCACTGGCTATATATTGCATTGCGCCCTCGCCTTCATCGTTTCCCTTACTCCCCTTCCTTTGCCTAGTCCCACCATGGGCCCCTTCCTCTCCTTTTTATTCTCACCTGACGGTTGTTTCTGGATCCCCATTCTAATCCACCTCTTTGTCACCTCCACCCTCCTCCTCCTCATCTTTTTTGCACCCCCACCATTTCTGATGTCACCACTTCCTATCTGCTTCTGTCGCCGATCCATCAACTACCACGTGCCACTGCTGATATCAGCAAAGCCCCGGCGGCCGGTCCAAATAGAGCAACAGGTCCATCTTCATGACATTGATCTGCCATCATATACTATCAAAACATCGGTTGCTCGTCTTGCCTGGTTGGAGGGTGGGTGGGTAGTTTTTGAGCTGGAGAAGGTTCATCCCCTTGCATCGCCCATGTTCATTGCTGTCTCATTCACTTGGGTACACTTATCTTTTGTCCATCGTCTTCGCTACAGCTACACCTATCACACGCTGCCTGGGACTCACTTGTTCCAAATTGGAACTACTCCTCTCCCTCCCTCGTTTGATCAGGTGGTTCAACACAACCAGTCCATTGGTAAGGCCATGGAACTGTTGGATTTGGACTAGGTGGTGGACTGGTGGCTCCAGTTTCTTTTTTTCAGCAGAACATTCATTTACAGTGTGATTATTTTTGATTTTTGAATCATTTTTATGGACACATATTTTTTAGAATGCCTGACTGACAATAAAGGAACTGTGTTGATACTGATAGTGTTTTGCCTTGCCCTTTTTTTTTACTGCATCTTCCCATGACATCATGATTTTCCTGCTCTCTTTTTGCTATTGGACTTTACTTTATGGCTGTACAAACCTGTGACATTACTCACAGCATTCATTGTTCTATCCCTTTCTTTTCCTTTTTTTGACAATCTTATCCTGTACTACCTACGCAGGATTTGTCAGCGTACATTCCTTCCTTCATGTTCTTTCTCATGCTTTTTGCACAGCTATACTGTGCATAGCCTACTTTTCTTTCACTATATAAACCCCTGTATTTTACCTTGTAAAAAAAACAAGAACTCCAATCCAGACTTCTTCTCTAATCTCAAGTTCACTACTCACTACTACTTGTGATCCAGTGTGGTCACAACACCTCCCACTGCTACCACTGTTAACTGCTGTCATTGTCACTTGTTACTTTTTGAAAGTGATTGCCATCCCTTTCGATTAGAGTCCTTCTGAGCACTACAGTCTGTGCGTCAGGAGCCTGCTATCACTGGGAACTTTGTCACCTCGTCACATTGTCATTCTCAAACCTACCTTGTGCTACAATTAGCAAGGTAGTGCTCGTCTATACTCGCCACAAAGCCCCTATCTTTCTATATTCCAACTATCCCTCCTCCTCCAAACCCACACCCATACATCTCTGGGTTTTACTTTGAAGGATCATTATATGTACCACCCCACAAACAAACAGACCACTCCACTGTTCTAGGAGGCAAAGCCCATAAACAAGTTCTGTGGAATCTGGGAGGATTGTGTGTTAGTTTGTTTTTGTGTGTGGTTTTTTACCTGCAGTTATTATCATTGACAGCGTTCACTACTACTGTACTGCTGCTCCTGTGTTGCCACAAAAACCACACAAGCAAACTAAGCAAAATAACCAATGTAGCTTGCACATGGCATTTGGGACCACCGCCCCCTTTGTTATAGATGTCCTTTTTATCTACAAGTGCTCACAATGCCATCGGCATCAGCCTGCCCCTGAGGAGACATATAATTTCTAGCTAGAAGACTGAAACTTGGAGGGATTGGAGCGGCATTGCATGTTGATAGTGAGGACAGGATTGAGAGCAAAGTAGGTACAGTACATGTTGCAGTGGTGAAGTTAAGGAAAGTTGTATAATATGCCAGTCCAATTACCCTCCTCAAAACAAGCAGCATATTTTCTATGATGAGTGATCAGCTGCTAAGTGAAACAACAGCAAAAAAAAGACCCACTCTGTTGTGATGGCCTGACAATCAGTCAACAGAAAGCCAGCACCTATAGATTGGTTAGTCAGAAAGTGTAAAGCAGGGCTACAAAATGATACCTTGAAAATCTGATAAGAAAATGAGGCCATGAGATAGGTTGTACTGTACATATTGAGCAAAACATAGAAACTTGGCAATTAAGAGCTTGTCATTGTTCAGCCAGGCCCAGGGAGCTGCACTATTATTATTAATGTACTTGACAAATTTTCCTCCAATTTTTTTTTCAAGGAGGTATACTGCACTTTTGAGACTTGGCTTGATAGGGACCACAATGGCAAACTGAACCATGCATAGGCAAGGGATTTCCGGAGGAGGCAGTTCAGATGGATCTTTATTGCACACAGGACAGCTGGCAATAAACTGGTAAACTATACTCATGAGACTGGTACCCCAGTACATGCAATTAGCCTCAACAAGCATCTTGGCTAGCTCATCTTTAAAGGCGAGCAGCTTCCTGCCAGAACTCATAGAGTTGGTTATTGCACAAAAGCCTAGAGTACTATTGTTTCGCCACAATGTTGCCACCCTGCAGGAAGATAATGTTTTTGATGGGGATGGAAAATGGGATGGCATGTCTTGAAGCTTCCAGGGGGACCTAGCATGAATTTACTACTGTAGTTGATGGTGAGAGTAGCTTGTGGTTGGCTAGCACTGCTTTGGAGATTGAATGGTGAAGGGCGCTTGAGGAGCTGATTAAAAGTTCCTGTAGGTATGGGGAATAATTTGTAGGTCCCAAAATTGATATTTGCTGAGGGAAATTATGAGAGAAACATGGAGCTAAATAGATGCAGAACTCACAGAATGGTTTTGCCTGATAACAAACTTTTGACTGCACACCCATGACTCACTTGAGTTCCTCCTTGTCAGGTGCCAGGAATTTTTTCTTGCCTCCCTTGTCTTTGTCCAACTCGTCCTCATCCAACTCATCTTCCTCCAATTTATCATCTTCAAAGCCAACATCATTAACTTCAGGCTGTGCTACACCCTCAAGTACTTTTCCGGGCAGGTCAGACAACTGGTGATGAGAAGATGATGTAGTAATTGTCCAGCACTACAAGAACATGAACACAACAGAAACACGTGAGAGGTTATATAATCTTTGTATATTTCAAAGATGACAAGCTACTGACAATTGGCTGTTCTGGTGTACACAATTTCCAAATTTGCTTCTTGGGTTAAGTTGTGGCACAAAAGACCTGTAAGCTGTAAGTTAATGTGATTCTAGCTGTGAATAACTATGAAATGGCCTTCTCTGTGACACTTATGTCTGACTCATCCCCATCTAACACTATCACAGCATTATCACCTGTACTCTTCAAAGTCTCCTTCCAGATCAAGATGTTTGTGTACTGGGAGTAAGTAATAACAAGCAAGATCGTAACTTTGCAGTTTGAAGCAAATTTGGGAATTGGGTCCTTGTCACCGGCTCAATAGAATACTTCATGCAATATAAGACGGCCCAAATTCAGCTAAGGTTGGCAAGGATTATAGAGTAAAAACTTGGGCAACCTATACATCTCCAGCGACTCTAAGCCAAGGTTTTAATTACTGGTCCAGTCAATCCACTCCATCCGTAGGCTTTCAATGGCTGTGCATTGAACTTCTGAGCATGTCAATGCCACTGGGAGCATGAGATCTTGTTCAAGGTTCTAAAATATAAACCAAGTGAGTATTAAGGACATAGTGATAAAGTGTGCTTACCCCAACTACAACTGTGCCAGAGTTCCCCTTGTCAGGTAACAAATACAAAGCTATATAACAACGAGGAATGTCTGGCCAAGTCCTTGCAGAAGGCGGTGGATCAGAGTATCAATGTTGAAGAGTATCAGTATAAGCACGAATCCAAACTAATATTGAACCAAGGAATAATACATCAAGTATCTACTCCTTATATAGTGGATAATGAGGGTCAGACTGAAAAGAGAAAGAATAAGAAAATGGTCTGAACAAACAGCTAGCCAATAAGAAGAAAAGTGGTGTGATCCATCATAATTACTAATAGTGTGGGAAGGGTCTTTAGTAAGGGATATACAATTGGCTGGATTAGCAACCCCATGGGAAGGCCCAGAGTCACAGTCTGTATTGCTGATTAATCTCTCACCAAAGTATACCTGCACACAGCTCTTGATCAGAGTGATGTCATTGGGATATCTTCTCAGGAATGGGAGAGGAGTCTCCTAAGTTGTAAGCATGATAGAATGCGAGTGTGAAAGGAAAAGAGAAAAAAAAATAAAAGTAAAAGAGTACTGGCTGTGACTTCTAACCCAATGGCAAGAGGAGTGGCAGAGAATGGGTTAGATAACCATGACATGACAGGAATGCAATAGAAAAATTGATTCCTTACACCCCTCCTCTTTCAACTGATGGATAGCAATGTGCAGAGTAACATGGCATTGAGGTACAATGGTTGCTGTGGTGATGTGCATGATGGGCATGGTTAGCAGTATAACCAATTGAGCTGGTGTTGTTGATAGCAGGTGGTACATGCAAGAACTGCCGGAACATAAGACCTTGAGGCCTTGGAGCAAGGTGTTATGATACACAATTTTTTGGACTTCTAACTTTCTTTCTCCGCTTTAAACTTTTTTTCTCAGATTTCACACACTTATGTCATATGGCACTTTCCTTTTGTTTAAACTCCACTTTCACTTTCTCCCATGCTGCGCTGCTTCCCTTTATTGTTAGCTACAACTCTCTCATGCAGTGGAGCTAGTCACATGGGCTGCACCCTATGACATCATCAGCCACTGCTTTATCAACTATATAGTACAACATGTACAGAATAACCTGTAGTAGTATAAATACCTCAATAGATCCAGGAGACTCCTCAGCGAGTCCTCCTGTTGAATACCATCAACTAACTCGGTCCTAAACCCAAGGGAGTTTATCTACTCTCTCACTTACCCCTCTTTACTTGTTCCTCACTGTGCGCCAGAGTATAAAAACTTTGGTTGTAACAACAAGTAAGTGAATGCAGAACAATATCCATACTAGGGACTGTTTGTCTGTTTCCAGTTGTTCTTAGGTATGCTTTGCTGGCAACTTGGACCACATCTTTTTTGTGCGCAAGAACGAACCAGTCAGAATCAACCGTGTTAATGAGAAAGAAGTTGCCAAAAACTTTGTAGTCTGGGGCTATAGCTGCACCACAAACTATTGAGAAAAGAGGGACAAACTCAGTATCTGAGCATGACTTTGCCCAAATTTGCCAGAGCCCAAGGTCCTTGTCTTTGTGTCATGGCTGACCTACTGGAGCATTATATGGTTGAACCAGCGCAAATAGATAATCAACCTGATCAATGGTACAAACAAATAGTATGATGAGGCAAGCAAAGATCCTTGAGTCCGCTGTTTGCAGTAGAACACAATCTTATTATGGATGATTGTAAAACCGAGGGTTACATTGAAAGTAATTAGTATATTGTCACCAATTGACTACATATCTATAGTCAACTTTCATGAAATAATATACTGTAATCTTGTCTTCAGTCCCCAATTTCATGCATTTCCCACCAGGAAATGATATATTATTTATGCTGAAAAATATGTTGAGGTGATTGGAGAGCTTTATACAAAAACTCATGAATGCTGCATCATCCTTGCGTGATTCTTCCAGGCCTTGAAATGATGTTGCAGGACACTTTGAGCCTAGTGACACATGACTCATTCCAGTAATCTTTGAGTCAACTTCATCCCCTTTGAGATCACCCATTAACTCACTATCAAAAGCTGCTATGTCCTGGAGGATAAAGCATGACACCAGACACTAATAGTCAGCCTGAAGAATCCAAATGATGATATCAGATATAGCTTGTCCTTATAAATGAGACAGACCAACCTGTTCAGCAACATGTTTGAAGTTTGTTCGGAATTGATAAGAATCCTTGAGCAGGCCATGCAACTGCTCATTTGGTTTTGTATTGTAGTTCTGGGTTATGCCTTTTGCTTTGATGTCTTCAAATGCATGTTTATTCATGTGCATCTTCAGAAAGTTCCAACTTTTGTCCCTAAGTCCATCTGCTGCCTTTAAATATTCCTGCGCAAGTCTAATAAATAAAACATAATGATGGTAATCTACATCCATAGCTTGTGAAAATAGCTTCAAAGCTTGTCTACCAGCTGCAATAGTCTTTGTCATGTGAACTGTTAGTCCTGTATACATATCAACATCAAGGAAGAGGTGAATGCTCTTCAAAAGAAGATGTGCTGGCTTGTGTAATCAGATATTGAATGTATTGTGCAACACAAAGATAACCATCTAAAATAAATATCTAAAAGAATTATTACAACAAAGGACAAACCATACTGATTATACTTTAGATATATCTTCATGCTTTGTTGCATCCAAAAATTCTATGCTAGCCACTCTGTCAAAACGGTTCAAATTTTGCCAACAAGGCATACTATTGAACCTAGTGTGATTTAGTAATATGTTACAAGTGTCAATAAGATTAGAGTGCATACTGATCATCAAGCTGATGGGATACTTCTCGGCCCTCTGCTTCTATCCAAAATAGGAACTCCTTCCAGGGATAATAGCTCTATAGGCCACTACTATGTGCATGTAGTTGGTCCCAAGATGATTTTTGATGAACATCAGATGTTACAATACACAATTTTTGGACCTTTAACTTTTATTCTCCACTTCAACCTTCTTTTAGACTCTTGTGCCATTCAGCACCTTTCTTTTGTTTCAAACTCCGCTTGTATCTTTTCTTTCTTGCACTGTGCAGCTTTCTTTTATTTTTAGATACAACTCTCTTACGTGGTGGAGCTGGTCACAAGGGCTGCACCCTATGACATTATCAGCCACCACTTTTATTGACTGTATAGTATACATGTACAAATAGTCTGTAACTGTATATAAACCCCAACAGATCAAGGAGACTCCTCAGTGAGTCCTCCTATTGTTTACTCACAACTAACTCAGTCTTATTCTAAGGGGTTCACCCACTCCTATTCCCTCACTCTTGCTTGTCTGAGTTGTGCACCAAAGTATACAAACTTTGGTTGTTACACTGGGGGGCTCTCTGACTGTGCTGCTGTTGTTGCATCAAAAACAAAGTGCTCTGAGAGTTCCCTAATAAGTTCAATGCCCAATCCCACAGCAAACGGAACAAAGGAATTGTGACAACACCGACAAGACACAGTCTTTGTTACAATTGACATACCAGCACCTACTTACACTTCACTTTTGTACTTTACTTTTCATTTTCCAAGTCACATGACCAGTCATGTGACTTATGAAAAGTCCAAAAATGTAAAGTAAAGTAAATAGAGTCACATAATCAGTCATGTGACTTGGAAAATAAAAAGTAAAAGTACAAAAAGTGAAGCATAAGTAGGTGCTGGTATGTCAATTGTAACAGGAATGGTCTTTGCCTTAATAGCGTACATTGATTACAGCATTTTCAAACTGGACTTATTTGGTGTCAGTTTTCAGATGCAATGAATGTATATGATATCACAAATCAAAGTTAGAGCATGAGAAGCAATCTTTCATGTCTTGTAAAAGTGTTATATCCATGCCACAGGCCATGGTTTCCAGAATTCTGAAAAGTCAGAGATCCTCAAGTCCAAACTCCCAAATCTTTGGTACTCTCATAATTACACTCCTCATGCTCTGCTGCTCGGTATAGCCCTGTACCCCACCCCCACATAGTACTCCAGATATCCGCTCTGATACTCCTGCACTGGACTTTTAGTCCGCCATACATTTCCTCCACACGTTCTCACATTCCTCATAGACTTTGTAGTTTAGACCTTATAATACACTCCCCTCATATATGATTTCCCCTTACTAGATAATTGTCTGCATGGAACTCCATACCTTCATTATAAGTTACTCCTTACAAACTCCCATCCCTCCGATAGTATATAACTTGTAGCTCCTGTACTCCATTCCTGCAGTTTAAATATCAACTAGCTCCTACCACCTTTATTCAAGTCTCCTTCTAAGTTTTCTGGTCCTTCTCCAAAGGACCTTTACTGCACTCCACCTTTCATCCTCTACTCTCACCCGTTCACTCCATTGAGTTAGGGACCAAGGTCCACAGAAGGGCCTAGCACACAAGCTAAGTCAATTCCCAACCTCATACTCCATTCCGCTCCCCATCTCATCTCTGCACTCTGAACTCAAATTACTCTGAAGGTCACAGTTCTGACAAAAGGTCAGATTGATCTTTCAGAGTGAATGAGCCAGGGTCTTGTATACTCTGCCGAATGACATTGACTAATCTATTTATCCGGTCTTTATTTAATGCTGCCTCAAGAGCAACCTCCGCAAATTCAAGGTCAACCTGGGATTTGAATGGCTGCCATGGACATGAGCTTTTGATGCGTGCTTTGCCAGAAAATCCATGTTTGAAATCAGAAAAATGGTCCAATTTTGCAGTGTGGCCACTTGTAGAGTGGTACTCAGTTTTGATATCATCTATTCAAAGACTTTCCCCCATGAGGTTCAGCCTAACAGGGGGTGCGCCAGGAAAATGAGATGATCCTGTAAAGATAAAATAGTAACAAACAACAAATACCAGACTGATATATACCTACCATATTCATCTTTTACATCAAAGTTGGTTTCATTGTTTTCCTATATGTGTTTTGATGAAGATCCCACTGCAAATTGCTTCTTTAGTTTTTTCGCTAAACAGAAACATCAATGAGTGCTCAGTTTCCATGTCTAACTGATTCACCTACCTTCTTTTTTTTCTTTCCGAAGCTGCTTGTTTAATTGAAGGTCTTGCACCAAATCTGCCATTTCCTCTATACATGATTCCCCGTGTCTTGGGAGGCCCATAGGCTTGAAATGTCCCCCACAGGAAGGGCAAGCTTTGAGGCCATCATTGTGATTGTCAAGAGCAGTAAATTCTGTGTGACCTTTTGCTTGTCCTTCAGCATGTTTATCAAGGAGACAAAAGACAGATTAAAGAATGTTGTTGTTGGTGAGAACAAATTGATGTGGTTTCTATCTGGTTGCAATTGAATCGGCCAACTGTTAGTAAGCCGCACTGCTTGCATGCTGCTTATCACACCAACCCAATCACGTGTCCTTCTAACCAGTATAGGAAATCTCCAACATGGGTCTTACCAAACCTTACATCTGTTTGCCACAACAATGAGGAGTAGTTTCCCATACAAGTATGTAGCAGAAAGCAGATAAATGGTGCTACATAGGTTTCTTAATAGTGTGCTTGTTGCACATGTAAACGTAACCTGCTTAGCAATACATTCAACCAGTCAGATCCAACAGAAACTTGGGGTCCAGGTCTACACCAGAGGGCAATATTATTCCTGGTACTGTAGGTTACCAGGTCTCAGAACCAGCTATTGACACTACTTTTGGCCCCAATGATTCATACCGACCATCCACACTTGGCACATGAGCGCTGTCGATAATGAGAACTGCTGTTAGAAAACCACACACAAAAACAAACTAACACACAATCCTCCCAGATTTCTCAGAACTTGTTTATGGGCTTTGCCTCCTAGAACAGTGGAGTGGTCTGGCTGTTTGTGGGGTGGTACGTACAAAGATCCTTCAAAGTAAAACCCAGAGATGTATGAGTGTGGGTTTTGAGGAGGAGGGATAGTTGAATTTATAGTAGATAGGGGCTTAGTGATGAGTATAGATGAGCACTACCTTGCTAATCGTAGCACAAGGTAGGTTTGAGAATAACGAGATAACGAGGTTCCCAGTGATAGCAGGCTCCTGACGCACAAGCTGTAGTGCTCAGAAGGACTCTAATCGAAGGGGATGGCAATCACTTTCAAAAAGTAACAAGTGACAATGACAGCAGTTAACAGTGGTAGAAGTGGGAAGTGTTGTGACCACACTGGATCACAAGTAGCAGTAAGAAGTGGACTTAAGTTTAGAGAAGAAGTCTGGATTGGAGTTTTTGTTTTTTTACAAGGTAAAATACAGGGGTTTATATAGTGAAAGAAAAGTAGGCTATGCACAGTATAGCTGTGCAAAAAGAATGAGAAAGAATATGAAGGAAGGAATGTACGCTGACAAATCCTGCGTAGGTAGTACAGGATAAGATTGTCAAAAAAAGGAAAAGAAAGGGATAGAACAATGAATGCTGTGAGTAATGTCACAGGTTTGTACAGCCATAAAGTAAAGTCCAATAGCAAAAAGAGAGCAGGAAAATCATGATGTCATGGGAAGATGCAGTAAAAAAAAAGGGCAAGGCAAAACACTATCAGTATCAACACAGTTCCTTTATTGTCAGTCAGGCATTCTAAAAAATATGTGTCCATAAAAATGATTCAAAAATCAAAAATAATCACACTGTAAATGAATGTTCTGCTGAAAAAAAGAAACTGGAGCCACCGGTCCACCACCTAGTCCAAATCCGACAGTTCCATGGCCTTACCAATGGACTGGTTGTGTTGAACCACCTGATCAAACGAGGGAGGGAGAGGAGTAGTTCCAATTTGGAACAAGTGAGTCCCAGGCAGCGTGTGATAGGTGTAGCTGTAGCGAAGACGATGGACAAAAGATAAGTGTACCCAAGTGAATGGGACAGCAATGAACATGGGCGATGCAAGGGGATGAACCTTCTCCAGCTCAAAAACTACCCACCCACCCTCCAACCAGGCAAGACGAGCAACCGATGTTTTGATAGTATATGATGGCAGATCAATGTCATAAAGATGGACCTGTTGCTCTATTTGAACCGGCCGCCGGGGCTTTGCTGATATCAGCAGTGGCACGTGGTAGTCAACGGATCAGCAACAGAAGTGGATAGGAAGTGGTGACATCAGAAATGGTGGGGGTGCAAAGAAGATGAGGAGGAGGAGGGTGGAGGTGACGAGGAGGTGAACTAAAATGGGGATCCAGAAACGACTGTCGGGTGAGAATAAAAATGAGAGTAAGGGACCCATGGTGGGGCTAGGCAAAGGAAGGGAAGTGAAGGAAACAACAAAAACGAGGGCGCAATGCAATGTGTAGCCAGTGGCAACGCAAAATTTTGCCGAAATGCCGAAATGCCGAAAGTACCGAATGGAAAGCAAAGGTGAGTGTGACTGGATTGCCTAATAGAGGTGGTGCTGATCAGCCACAAGTTTGAAAAAGGCAATATTAATTACTATTCCACGTGGCACTGTGCCTGTGTGGTGCAAAGGCGAGTCTTTTTGAATATTCGCTTCGTTATTGACACCTGTCCATGCTACCAATCAACTTTGGTGCATGACAGCGCCATCTCTTTTCATCAAACAGCCACAGACATAGTACCACAGACACAAATATTTTTGTGCAGGAACAGTATGCGCCTCTCAACACCCCATACTTTCCTTGCTTCCAATTAACACCAATGAACTTGTATAAAAATGAGTTGTCTCAAGAACACATAACCAATGCAATCAAACCATTTGTCTTGCAGTGCCCCTTTGACGATCTGAGTGTCATGTTGCATTTTGAAGAAGAGTGTTGGCAAGGTCCTGTAGAGATCCTTGGTTGGTTTTTTGATTGAACCAATGACAATAACCATGCCTACTTTGAGTTGTATGGTGTGCATTACTTCAAAACTTGTAATTTAAAAATCATCATTATTCCAAATGTCTCGCACCTCAAACCTTTGTACCACATTCTTACCACATGATATATACAAATGATGGTATAACTTTCGCCACGGGACCAGGAGTGCCCGGAGGGAGCGTGAGAAAAGAATGTGAATAGACTTATTATGTCAGCAACCACAGCGGCTGTACGCATTTTTCTGTCATGTGTCTGTTATCTGCTCGGATTTTCCCTGGTCCTTTGCACACCTCTTAACCATGGACTATGGCAAACCTCCTCCGCTCCGCAAAATCTGGCAACGACTGGACTATAAATGAGCTGGCGAGCATATAACATCTCTATTACGCTGCAGGACATCCCAACTTTCTTCGAACTAGCGTCCCTTCCTGAGCCCCATGTACCTGCAGACATGCTGCAAAAGCTTGAAGCCGACGATGCAAATGACTTTGGTGCCTGTCGCACCATCGCAGCAATGGACCTTGTGATGAATCCTGTTCCTGCAGAACAATGTGCTGTAAGCGATTTCACCGTCCGTCTTTTTGACATGGTTGGTTACACAATGCGCGACATCTCCCTGCGCACCAGGAAAGACATCCCACCTGCGTGAAATATCCAGATAGGCAAAGACGGACGTATGCTTGTTGATGAATGGATCGGAGATCATTCTTCTAGTCCATGAAGATAAAAGGATCATGGAGAAGGCTGGAGACCCTGAGGCACAGCTCATTGCTGGGGCGATAGCCACTTTCCAGAGCAACAATAGGAAGCGTGCCCTCGCCGGTGTTCCGGTTCACGATGCCTGCCTCATTCCTGGGATTGTCATGATTGGCACCGCTCCTACCTTTTACAAAATACTCGTTACAAATGGGCTTGCAGATGCAATTGCATTCGGCATCTTTCCTCCTGACTCTACTGTGGTTCATCGCTGCGTTCCTTCCGTCCCTCGCCCTATGCGTTGTCTTAGCGAAAAAATGAAACCATTGGACAATCGTGCCATAGCCCCTTGATGATTTGAGGGATTCGAGAAGTTTATCGGAGCAGAAGGTAGTGTAGTACTGATGCCATCACAAGACGAGAACAACCTGTGCCATTGTATAACTGACCACAGCAAATATACAATGACTTCACCTTGACATGCACAAATGAAAGTGGCGTCTTTGGACAGAAACTTGGTTTGTCTTATCTACTCAACACGTGCCACGCAGTTTTCATAACAGAACTCATAGCTCATACTTACGGCGTCCGCTTTCTAGAATAAACATGTCTTTGCAAAGTAGCTCCACCTTTACGAGAAGACATGTTTTTAGATACGACTGATATGAAGGTAGTGATACCGAGTAACGCTTGTTCAATCAACCCGTTAGTATCTGACGAACTCATCCTGGTTAGTGTGCCATAAGCTCCCCTATCCCTCTCACTAAAAAAGCCCCCCGTAAAGCAATGGATAGTCCTCAAGCTTGAACGTTTCACACCCTCGTGTCTCTCCACCCACCTCCTCTAATGCCAAAACCTGCCTCCTTCCGTAGATTAATCGCCCTCGCCGCCTGCATTGTTGTCATATCCGTTGTCGTCAGGTATCCCCAGACCATCTTCGCTTCCAACAGATCAAAATCCGCGCAAGACTCTTTTCATCTGTGCGTATCTGGCGACCAGCTTGATTTGGCATCTTTGCCGCCGCCGCCGCCGTTGGATTCGCCTGAGTTGGAGGATGAGAACGAGGAGGAGGATGCACAACGGCTGCAGCCACATCATTATGACCCTAATGGCTTGCTCGTCGTCAACCCCAACGGCCCTCATCCTATCTACGAGCTCATCAAACGCGCAGAAGCATCTTGGAACTCCAAGCTCGATCGTGCCAGCAAGACCCTTGAACAAGCCGTTGCTGAGTACAAAAAGCGCTACCACAGGCCTCCCCCCAAGGGCTTTGATATATGGTGCGTCCCCATCTCTCCCGTCTCGCTATCACCGATCAGTACTTGATTGATCAGTTGTCGAGCCGTTGATCTCTCATATTTGAATTTCTGAGTTTCTGATATGTAAAAAATTGAACTGTTCGTAGGTGGGACTACATTGTGAAACACAAGGTCCAACTACCCGACGAGTACAACCAGATTTACAAAGACCTCGAACCCTACTGGGGCATAGACCCACACGACCTCGCCTCCATCCTCTCCCACCTCGAGGAAGACGAGGGCGTGATCGTGGTCGGCAAACGCCCTAACAACGACTACATCACCGTCTTCAACTCAACTCTCCCGCCAGATGACCAGGGCTTGCTCGTGGTGATGATGAAGGATCTGTTAGATGTCATACAGGGAGTTCAGCAACGTCTACCTTCTTTCCGCGCTGTCCTCTCCCCACATGACAATCCTAACATGCTCTCAGACTATACGGTCAAGTCTATGGCTCTCAAGGCGGCCGCAGCGCGAACGTGTGAGTGTTACGCATCTCCCCGTCCTTTCAAAACAGCCTTAACGATTGCTCTCATCAGTCATTAACATTAGCAATCTACCACACACAGAAACCGAAGGATGGATCCATGCCTGCTCGCCCTCCTCTCCTGCACACCACACCCCCCTCTCTCTCACCTCTCCCCCTCCTCCCTCTCCCATAAAATGCTTCATCCACAACCATCTCCTCAGTATGGACCCCTGCCTCCACCTTTACCACCTCACCTCCCACAGTCAATTCCTCTCACACGATGCCGGTCCCTTTCCCCAAAATCTGCCCATCCCGCGCTTCTCGCGCTGCTCTACGCTGCTGCACCATGATATACACCCTGCGCTGGCTGATAACTGGATGGATGATATTTTGCCGAGGAGCAACAATCCGGAGTGGGAGGATAAGGTGGATAAGAGGCTGCTGTGGAGGGGGAGTAATACAGGGATATTCCATGGACCTGAGACGCATTGGTGGCATGCGCATCGCGCGAGGCTTGTTCGCTGGGCCCACGATCTTGCAGGCTTCACGTCCCTCCTGCCCTCGCCCGCGTCGCCGACGGAGAGGGTGGGAGAGCCTGTGGAGAGAAGAAAGGCCTATTTGAATCCCGCGCTTTTGGACATCGAGTTTGCTGGAGAGCCGATTGGGTGTGACCCCGAGGTGTGTCCTGTTTTGGATGAGGAGTTTGATTGGAGGAGGAGGCAGAATATGAAGGAGTCGGGGAGGTATAGATATGTTTTGGATGTGCGTGCGGCGTCTCTGTTATGTTCTACTCTGCAGAGAATGTAAGATCCAATCCCTTTTGCCGAATTAACGGAGGGATAAGTTCTCAATCAACAAGTAGCGTTCAAGTAAAGTATATAGAAGTAATCAACAACTGAAGAAAAGTATGTACATGAGTGTTCAGTATATATATGTTTCTAAAGGTCAGCCATGAGGCGCTGACTGATGTTCTACGTCATGGTCTGGATTCTGTCACGTGATTGTCACGTGACTGGATATAACTAGGTACTTGTGTTATCCGCGCTAATAGCAGCAGCTTAACAACTTATGTCTGTCATGTGATCAGATATCAAAGAAAATGAAAAAGAAATTAGCGCTCTAACTAGCGCTCTGGCTCAAGTCGTGACAGAGAATGTCAGTTTGGTTGACGATGGTGTGTGAGTTTAGGTCGATGGCAATGGCTGGTCGAGCCGTTTCAAGCGCCTCATCACCTCCAACTCTCTCATCTTCAAATCGACGGTATACCCCGAATGGTGAGTGCTCAATTCGCCTTCGTTCATGCCACTGCATTCAAGCGGGCTCACTTACAAATGTTCTGCTGACAACTTCATTGATTCGTGGGACAGGTTCACAGAGCGCATCGAACCCTGGGTGCACTACATCCCCATCCAACTTGACCTCTCCGACCTCTACGACGCCCTCGTCTTCTTCCGCGGGGACCCCACAGGCGCCGGCGCGCATGAAGACCTGGCATGAAGAATCGCAGACAAGGGGAGGACGTGGAGTAGGACGTTTTGGAGGAAGGAGGATTTGACGGCTTACATGTTCCGGTGAGGATTTTTCCTTTGGGGGGATGGGATTTGAGGGCTGACATTTTTTTGACTGACTGACTGGCTGGCTGGCTGGTTGGTGTTTAGATTGCTCTTGAAGTATGCGAGAGTGATGAGTGTGGATCGGGATGCAATGAGTTTTGACGAGGAGAGTTAAGAGTGGATGGGTTTGAGTAAAATGATGTCACGGGGCTCGTGGGGCCCCATGGGTTTGTGAGGATTTTGAGGGGGAAAGGGAAAGAGATGTAGAGAGAGAGGGGGGGGGGAGAGGAATGAAATAGCTCTGTGGTTGCTTCGCTTTGTAGTGTTTCTCGCTTTTGTATTATGGTGCTGGCAACCCGCTCATAATCTACCAGTGTGGATCTGTGACTCTACTTGCACGACGGTCATCTTGTACGACTGCAATTTCGTCAGTTGTATATGTACAGACTCAGAGATGCTTATGACTTGTGTCTTGTGAGAAATACAGAAAAAAGGGAGAAAGAGGCAACAACTGAAGCATGTTGTTTATCATCATCCTCGGTCCTTGGTCCTTTTTTTACCTGGTTCCAAAGCCTTTTTTCACATCTCGATAACTTGGGCTACTCGGCGTATCAGCCTCTACTCAGTTTTGAGTAAGCATGCCCATGCCCCACCCCTTCCCACCCTCTACCACCCCACTCCACCACCCTGCGCTGCGTCCACTGACCACCAACAAACCGCCATCGCCATCTTGACGAGCCACGAGTCGCCGCTGGTGCCAAGTCCAAAGTGCAAAGTGTTTGCCAAACACCATCATGATGATCGCGTTTTTTGACACACGTTTTGAAAGCCTCCAGGGGGGCTCTCTCCAGCGCTGAACGTCGAACACTGAGGACCCGCTGGAGTTTGAGCCACGTACGCACTCGAGCGCTCATAATCACTAGCAGTTTCGCCGGCCAAATCAAAAGCGCCCACATCATGACGATCCCCAAACCCCCAAAAAAAAAAAAAAAAAGACCAAAATCCACCCCCAAGTCTCAAGTTTCAAACTGAGGCCACTCGGGACACAGTTGCAGCGGCCTGAAACTTGAAAGCTGGGGGCAAGGTCCGAGGTTCAAGTTCTACGACATCAGGCAAAGTAGGGAAAGAGCCTCGGTGAGATGACAACAAGAGGAAGCTTGAAGAAACGGAGTCGACAAACAAAAGGGTACCGCCCCATCAACCCACATGTGTGACGATGCCCCGACACGAGTCGAGCATTAATAATTGACTGGAAACAACGCCATGAAAAATGATGGTGAGATGATAAGTATGAGCATTATATGACCTCGGCGCAACCCACCTAGACCCCCCCTTGCGTCCTTCTGAACAATCTTGTCGCTATAAACAATGTTCGTCTGTTCAAGAGTTCTTCAGAAGCTCCTTCAGGATGATCAACTATCGCAATCGTTATCGCAATCGTAGTCTCCTTCACCAAAACAAAAAAAAGGACACTGGCAGGCATGGGCCATATCCAAAATCCAAAATCCCCAACTTTCAAGTTTGAAACCAATATACTCCGCGGCAGATTACAGGGGCCTCAAACTCGAAAGTGGGGGCAAGGTCAAGGTTCGGGCCTAACGCCATCGGTAAACGGTGTACTCGTGTGTAGAACCACATGCGTGACAATATTCCGACATGAGTCAAGTATTAATAATTTACTGGAAATAACGCCATGAAAAATCAAGTTTCAAGTTTCAAGTTTCAGACCAATATAGTCGGTGTGGACTACAGAGGGCTGAAACTTGAAAGTTGGAGCAAGGTGGAGGTTGGGAAACCATGATATGACGAAGGCACAGGGGACGAGGCGGAGGAGGAAAAGGGCCTCGGTGAGATGGAGATAGCACGAGAAGTTGAGAGAGTCAGTCGACGTGCCTAATTGAGCACTGAGTGGATCTAGGTGATGTGAGTACAGTATCCGATGGAGCCAGGATGAGAGATTTTTCACAAGGATGAGATGGGCATACATGTTCGTGGTGTGTAGTGAGTGAGTGAATAAGGAAGGAAGGAAGGAAGGACTGTGCCCACTTATAGCGCAGATCGTGAGCGACACCCGATGACAGCATGAAACCCGGTTTTAAAGGTTGACATCATGCCCGCTTTCGTTTCCCAGTACTGAGTGTGCGGCGGGGATCAGGAGGGGGTTTATGATGACATCGCTCGCCTGGGTATTAAAGAGAAGTAGAGCAACCCTGAGCCCAGTGTAGATCGTTATCTATTTATTGATGATCTTCGGAGGTAGTGCATAATGAATGTCATCCACGAGGATCATGACAGAACTCAGAACTCTTCCATGTCCAAGACACTGCTGTCACTCCACGGATGGACGTGTTTCAGGCCCAGCCGGGCCCCTTGTGCCTCATCGTCCTTGTTGGAGTAGAGTAGAACGAGTCTGAGCATTGCAAGGTCAGGTTTCATCGCACATATCCAGGGGAAAGAGATACTTTAGGACGTTGGTATTAAAACTTGAAACCCGGGGATGTTGATATCGGCGGTGACGGTGGCATTTTCACAGTGTGCTAGTAGTATACTGGTGGTTGTTGTCCTTGGTTGGGTGGCAGAGGTAGGACGACACAAACAGGGTGTAGCGGTGCGTGGCTAGTGCGAGGACCCGGATGGATGAGATGGAAATGATGAGTGCTGTATGGGAGAGGTGCCCATTCTATTGATAGGCCAAGTGCCTCGTACTAGTTGCACCAGTCCTAGTCCATCAGCCAGGTATGTACGCCCAAATAGTGCACCCGTCCTTTCCCGAGCACGCACTCTGCGGATATGCCGCACGTGTTGCCGCCGCGGCAGAGGGCTAAGCGGGTCTTGGACCGTCGTCGGTGGCCGCCCCTCCATCTGACACCCAAATCCCGTGTCACCGGAATAACTGCCCCTCCATCGCCGGTCACAAAAAAGAACTGTGACAGGTCCAGGACGTTAACAATAGCAACTCGCCTTCCGTCACCGGTGTTAAATTTAGCTACCGCGATGGTCCAACTTCCAGGTACACAGGAACTATGGGAAACACCAGGCACTCTCTCTCCTTCCACATGGCAAATACGACCATCAATAAAAAGGCCCACTATCCCCTTCCCTTTTTTCCCTCTAGACAACACCCCCATCACTACTCATGCACTTCCACCACCTCGTCCTCGTCCTCGCTACCCTCGTCTCCCTCGCTTGCGCCCTCCCTGCTGTCAGTACCCCACTCTCCTTGCCTCATCACTTTAACTGATCCACCTCTGATTATAGGGCCAAGTCGATGATCTAGCGGCTAGAGCAAGCTACCAGAACTCACCGGGGTGGAAGCGAGCGAGCTACCAAGACTCCCCGGAGTGGAAACGCGCCAGTGCCCAACACTCACCAGAATGGAAGCGAGCAAGCTATCAGGACTCGCCGGAGTGGAAACGCGCCAGTGCCCAACACTCGCCAGAGTGGTGGCGAGATGGCGCATGAAAGGGCGTCTCTCCTCCCTTCCTCTTCCTCTTCTCGGCTCCTTCCTTCTTGCCTGGTACGGGGTCTCGTGTGTGGGTTGTGTGATGTAGTGCGTTCCCTCCCTCCTTCCTCCTCGTCTGCGCCTCATTCTCATCGTCTGCCGCTCCCTCTAGTTGTCCTATTGCATCGCAGCGATAGCAGTTTCCTCGTCGTCTGCCATTCTTTTTATTCCATCCTGGCTCCCATGCAAACTTGCAGAGTTCCTTACATTAGATGGTGTCGTTAGTCCTAGTCCTACTCCCCGTCCTTAGTCGTCCCGCGCCCCAGCCCAGCTCAGGCCTCAGCGGACGTGTGCCCCAGCAGCACTTGTCACACTTGTCATCTCTTCACCTCTTTCTTACCTCCTTGCCACCACTCATCATCTCCTTCTCGCGGAATTGGGTCCCTTTTCTTACTTTTTACTTTTACTTTACTTTGGGAGAGGTTCATGGACATTGGGGAGGGAAGGGGGGCTGTAGGATTATGTCCAGGGTGTTGTTGTACCATTAAAAAAATTCAAATTAAAAGGAGATGTGAGATGAGAAACTTGTCAATAAAATCCACACTGACTTTCTTACTGTCCCGTTGCGGTTGTGGTCGTGGTTCTTTACATTCGAGTGATGATGGAGGGTAACGTTTTTAGTGACGGCGACATCGATCGAGAACGTTCTACGACCGGCGACCCTTCCAGTTCTTCCTCAGAGGCGCGACGACACTCCACCAACCCGAATATCACCATCGTCGCTCCCCACCTCTCAATCGACACGCCATCGATCAGCTCGACGTTTTTCTGTTCTTTTCCTAGTCCATGGAATCACACCGTACCATATCAGGCAACTCTCGTTTGACAGACAGACTTCAAGCATCGGGGCTCAAGATAGATAGATTCAGATAGACAGGTCGACCCCTGCCTTCCCTTCCCTTCCCTTCCCTGCCTCTCCTCACTTCTATTCCCCACTGGGCCATAGCAATGCATCATGCCATCACCCATCACGGGGTCCCGCATCACGCAGCGCCCAACGCAAAACACAGTATTACTCTATCCACCCCCAGTCCCATCGTCACGCCAACTGCGATGATCAGTCTTCTCAGCTCAGAATAGGCGGTAGAGGGAGAGCGCGCCGCACGCCCGGTTGGGTGGTCGATGCCTGATGATGGTGATGATCGACAAAGACAAAGACAAAGACAAAGACAAAGACAAAGACAAAGACGCCGGCGATGACGATCAAAGCGAAGCTCTGGAAGCTTGGGATCAAAGCGCCGAGCAGAAGTGAGCGCCAGCAAGCAGTCAACGAACGCCGATCGGCTCAACCGACATTTCGGCGTTCATGCATTCATAATCCCATCGCCAGACGCGTCCTCATGCTCCACACCCAATCCCATCCCGTCTCGCCCGATCCCTGATTCTGAAAGCATTTGTCAGACACGTCGACCGTCAACATCGTTCAGGATATCTGTCATGCCATCATCACTATCGCACCTCTGAGTCTCTGAGTGTGTGAGTGTGAGAGCAGTCGACGTCACGGGCGCGATGGGTTGGGATCGTTACCCAAAATCGAAATCGAAAGTGAAAATGTATCCGTTGAAAGGTTGAACCACGACTACGGCCACGATAATGGCCCAAGACTCAAGAGCAAGACCCAGGCGCAATACCAAGACCCAAGACCACCCAAGAGCAAATACCAAGACCCGAGACCCAAGACCACAACACCACCGAACCCCATCAAGGCACACGCGCCAAACGAACCAATACTGACCCGCTCATCCTGAAGTTATAAAAGAGGGAAGGAGTGGATTGGGTGAGCGGTAGCACTCGACGCACGACGATGCCCACCTCCTTGGGCCTTGGGAGCTGTGATAATAATAATAATAATAAATAAAAAAGTAGAAAGCGCTTGAAGCTTGAAAGCTCGAGAGTCGAAAGGCGAGTTCCGTTCCGAGAGGCGCCATCAGCAATGGCAAGATGAAGGCGCCATTATCGTATTATCGTGCCATGGGTGTGTGTGTGACGCAAAACACAGTATGCATCACGAGGGACAAAACGATACGAAACGGGTACAAGGAAAGAAGGCTCACAGCGAAAACCAAGAAATCAAACCCACCCTGTGACACAAAAAACCTCTCCCAATTGCCGCGATGCTGAGTACTTCCCTACGTATACATATCGACAGAATACCTACGACGGCTGGTATGGTGCTAAGACGACGATGAATGAATGAAAGCTTGGAAGCTCGGAAGGCTGAACCGTGAGCGGATCAGTGATGAATGACTAGTTCAGTCGATGTTCGTGAACGCATGAATGTTGATAGAACCGCTAGGCGCGTCTTTAGGCGTCATGTGGGACATCCCATCTTGTAAACACTGTCAAGTTTAAACCGAGTTTACATTGCCGAGCACGACCAACAACCCAACGCCGAGATCCAGTGGTTTGCTAATTCGCTTCGAGAGATTGAATCCGGTTAGGACTGGTTTCTTGTTCCTTGTTCCTCATTTCGCATGACTCATTGCGAGGTTGGGCAATGGGCGAGTGGGCACTAGACGCATGATGCGTGTCATGATGCCCACTAGAAGCTTATAGCTTGTATCTTGGAAGTTGATGCTTGATAGTTTGACAGCTTGGAAGCTTGGAAGATGAGATACGAGGAAGCGCGGAATTGCTAACTTGAACGGGAAGCCACCGTCGTCCATGATGCTGATGTTCTGATTATAAGTAATAACGAGACGGAGGAGGCCATTCGTGTCCTGCTTTTAGTTATGCATGTAAGCAGGAAGATCTCAGCAATGTAGCAACTCGGGCGAAACGAAAGGGAGGACAAAAGAACTAAAAGGGAAAAAGAAGGAGGAAGGAAAGAAAGGGAGAAGGGGAGAAGAAACTCACAAAGATACAATAAATACAACATGCCCTTCATCGCACCCTTTCCTTCAACGCTCTAATCTCGGCATCCCCTTTGTGTTTTTCCCCCAGCCCCCAAACCTGCCTCGTGTATCGCGTGCGAGGGGCGTGTTTTTCGTTCAACATGGTGTTCGTTCGTTTCTTTATTCCCCATACATCCCCCTCGTACTTTCCTAGTCGGACTCTCACCGTCACAAGTGGGCCCTTTCTTTGTTTCGGGGACAGAAAACGACAACGCAGACGGTACACGGGCCTTTTTCGAGCTTTCGCTCGTTCTAGCGTTCTAACGTGCCATAACACTCTCACCCGGCCAACCACCACCACCACCAGGGAGAAAGACCACCCCCAAAAATGCAAACACCCATGAACCAAAAGCAACCTTTGACCATGTCCAGACCCGTCTTCTCATCCGCCCACACCGCGCGTGTCGAAGAGTTTACATCGGCGCAGCAGATCGAGAGACGACCTAAGCGGAGGAGAACGCAGTCTCAGTCTGCAGAGGAGGGTTTAGATTTGGATGGATATGAATATGGATATGGCGGCGGGGTGGACGAGGGGATGATAGATGGGGATGATGATGGTACGGGAGGTCTCCCGTCGGACGGTGCAAGCGCTAGTGCTACTGCTACCCTCGGTCCTACTTCCCCTTCCCACGACCTCCAAAGACGAAAACGAATCGCACGACCGTCCTCGAAACCGAACACCGAGTTTGCACACCTCCCATCCCATCCCAACTCTACCACCACACCTATCACCACCACTGCTAAGATGGCCGTCAGAACGCATATCTGGGTCACGCTATGGTTCGTGCTCACCGCACCTGTTATTTTCTGGGACGTCGGGTACTGTCTCATGAGGTCAGTTCCCCTGTATTCACTTCGTTTGCGAGCGTGTCTCATAGTAGGGTCTTGACGGGAAATTTCCATTTATTGAATCACAACCATTCATTATCACGACGTTCATGTTTCGAACCCTCGCTCTATAACACATAACATACAAAACCGTAACGCGATGCGAACTGAATTGACAGACCACGCTCGATGGTGGGTGGGGACCTCCATTGGATATGGGAGCCGTATGGGATTTACCAGAATATCGACTTTGTACGTTCAACCCTCTCTTCTCACACCCCGGCGCGCCATCAGGGGCTTCGGGCTTCTGGGCATAACCCTAACAGACTCATTAACACCCAATTCTTTTATTTAGGTGTATGGATTAAAAGCCCTCGAAAGTGGTGACGGGTTCACCAACGCGCAATGTAAGTTCCACATCCATTCATACTCCTTTCCTCCCAACGCCAACTTCAACTTCATCAACGCCTTACTCACCCTCTTCCCCCCCAGCCTTCCTCAACATCATAGAAACCCTCATGAACCTCGCCTACGTCTACCTCGCCCACGTCTCCCACTGGGAACCCGCCCCTCTCCTCGGCTTCGCAGCCGCCACCATGACGCTCTCCAAAACGGTGCTCTACTGGGCGCAGGAGTATTACTGCGGGTACTGTGCTGTGGGACATAACTCCTTTGAGGATTTGCTTGTGTATTGGATTATACCTAATGGGTGAGTGTCTTTTCTTTCTTCATTCCTTCCGTTCGTTCGTTCGTTCTTTCCCTACATCTTCCTTCCGTTCCTTCCCCTTCTTATCGCCTTTCCATTCGTTTCACCAACCATAACACTAACCCAACCGAAATTACCCTAACCAGCCTCTGGCTCATCGTCCCAACCCTCATCATCATACGTCTCGGCAAGGACATATCAGCCTCCTTACGCGTCGCCTCTCGCGCCTCCACCAAAGCTGCTTCCGGAAAGCAACAATGATACCACGTCGACATCATTGAAACGTTGCCATTACATCGTTTTATTTTGGATCACAAAACTAACAACTGGAAAGACTGGGGGTATTGGAGCCTATCTTTGGAGACTCTTGCTGGAATTCAAAATATGTAAAAAAATATGAAGTGAATGAGGAGAAGAGGAATCTGTTTATGGTGATGGGCATGTACTATATCTAACGATCTATTTGCTTCCTTGTTATCTCATTGTATTTATCTGCTCGTCAGTGCTCAGCGTTCAGTACTCACCTTCAGATTTTTATTTTATTTTTGGAAACGCTCATGTGGGCCTGCTTGATTAAAATAAATATTCCTCATGCCTCCGCTTCCGTTTATTCGACATACTTCTAACCTACTTACAAGAATAAGTATACATACATTGGGCAAAATAAAAGAGGAAAAAGGTGTATCACTGCGCAAGAGCATCACCATAAGTTAGGTATCGTGCTAGCGCTCCATGACAGACAACGAAGGAAAGAACACAAGATGAAGGACGAGCGAAGGAAAAAAGAGAACTGAAAGAACTGAGTGAAAGGAAAGGGAAAGCAGCGTTAAGCCGTTGCAGATGAATGAGCGCTTAATTTAAGGACAGACCTAGATGGTACAGGGTTGAATACATTTACAACAAAGACAACATCAAAAAACAGAGTGAAAAAGAAGGGGAAAAGGAAAGTGAAACAAGAAAGACTGCTACTGTTGCTGTTCAGACAGTATTGAGTGGTTTACCGCGCGTGCTGTCAGCCTTATCTGCCGACCCAATCGATCGCGGGATATCAAATCCAAATAGACAAGAAAAAAGAATGGAAAAGGAGAAAGAAAAAAGCGAAAGAAAAAAGTGAAAGAAAGAAGAAAAAAATGACTCAGTCCATTTCCATGTCCATTTCCATCCCATCCCACCCCTGCTCCTTCTCGCTCTTCACCTCCTCCTCTTCCTCTTCCCGAACACTAAACCCAACTGTTGCCTCCTCTTCCTCCATCTTCCACCCCTGCCTCGCAGAGCTCACCCGCCCCCTCGAGCTAAACCCAAACGCCTCCGCATCGCGCACCACCACATCCACATCCTCAAACCCAACACCATCTACCTCCCCTTCATCGTCCTCGCTCTTGCTCTCTGACGCAGAACGTGAACGCGACGATGCGGATATGGATACAGAGCGGAGGGACGAGCGGGGGAGGGACCATCCTGCGTCGGATGGGGTATAGGATGGTGGATTCGAGGGTATGGACGATTGATATGAGGATATGCCGAAGTGAGATGACGATGTAGGAGAACCCCACGACTCGGGGCCCAGACCAGAGGAGCGGAAGGCACCTGAACCATACACACTCGGATGGTGGCTGGCATTAGGCACGGGGACTGCGACGGGAAGGGAACCCCGAACAGCTGGAGATCCTGATCCAACCGCCACGATAGTGGCAGCAGTATTGGTAGCAGAAGGACCGGTGGGGACACCAAGTAAGCCTGGCCTTAGTTGGGTGATGGCGCCAGAACCGGTAGATGGTGGGATGGCATAATCGTGAAGACGGGGACCTGAAGAACCCGCACGACCAGAGGTGACGGGGACAGAACTCGACACTGGGTATGCAATATTAACGCTCGAGGACGAGGCTTGGTCTGTGGAAAGGGCATCATTTCCGACGGTCGGTTGAGGTAAGAGTCCCCCAGAAAGAAATGCAGGCCAGAGTGATCGGTCTTCTGGTAACGATGTCCCAGTACCCGACGACGGGGACAAATGAGATAAGATAGCAGCCGCCTAACACAGAGTCATCTTTCGTGAGTCATTTAGAATAACACGAAGCGAAGACGGTTACCTCCAATAACTGAACCTGTTGATGTTTGCTCAACACAAACTTGGAGGCTTCCCGCCATTGGGGAGTATGTTCCCATCGATGCTTAATAAGGCAGGATGGATGGCGATAAACCTATAATAGGATAAACATGTTAACTTTTTCAAATTTCCTGTAGGCGCTGAAACGTTCAAGTGAGCCGAACCTTTGAGCAGCTCTCACAAGTAAAGATCGTCCCCCGTTTCTTTCCGTTCTTTGTCACGCTATGAATGGCAGTGCCGTTTCCTTGTACAGCACCGGCGCTGACGCTGAGACCATTTGTCATGGATGTAGAGGGCGAATGTTCTGTATCGTCAAGGCTTCCCACATTGTCAGTGGTCGAGCGACTAGCTGGGATAGGAATGGGTGTCTGTGTGGTCAGTGATTGAGAGGCTGCTCTGAAAGAGGCGGGAGTTGGAGTAATGGCTGGTGGAGGTGGGGAGGACGAGAGAGAAAGCGTCGACAATGCCGACAAGGCGGCGGCGGCGGTTTGCACGGATGCCGGTCTACGACGAAGAGTAGATCAGCAAGCTAGCAATACGGTAGAGGACGCCTCTGATGCATCAACTTTCTCTCTCCTGAACATTCGTTCCTCTCCCCATAATCTATACACGGGGAAGGTGGAAGAGTAGTGATAGTACTTACGAAGGTCGGGTGGCCGCATCCCGTGCATCGCTCAACCTTCTCCTCGTCTTGCCGGTAGACGACAGACGGCGGTGCTTTGGTCCTATGCTGTTGCCTGTGTGTGGTCGAGATGGATTGTGAGCACTCAGAGACGGCCAGTGAGTCTACCGGTCGTCTTACCTTGCGCAGATCGGGCAGGGGAGTCCACCGACGATGTAACTGGTATTGGAGACGCACTGGCTGCAGCAATTGAGAGAGAAAGCAAGCTCAGACCGGCACCCTCATTCATATTCTGCAGATAAGGCGAATTTCTCAGTTAGATCGGCCAGGCAAGCGAACACGGTATGGAACTGACTGGAGAGAGCGAAACCGGCTGAGAGACTTGGACTTGGGCCATGCTGGAAAATGAGCGAGAAAAGAAAAGAGACAAGTACAGAATAACAACAGAATACTATGAAACTACAGCGACGTTGAATACAGGTTCATGGCAGAAAGGAAGAGACGAAGTTGTTCCAGACAATCCACGACCGGGTTGGCGACTCGCTCCATATTTTCAACGTCCGCCCAAATTTTGTCCCATATATGACCGCGTCTCTCATCTGTGTCTCACCACAGTGAGCACACTGTAATCTTTTTTTTTAATATTTTATACCACACCAAATGTTATGCTGGTTACTTTTCATGCTATATTTTGTTTTAATTTCTGTCAGTGACTTTTTGCATGGAGAGAAACGCTTTTAGGCTCATTCGAGGTGATTGGTCATCACAAACGTGTCACACGAAGATTATATCCCAGATAATGTGATGACCGCGCTGCATGAAATACACGCCCTCAGTCCGAATTCTTTTCAAGATATACCTTGAGAAATACAAAGTAGAACGTGTATTGAGCAGGCCAAACTTTGCGCACGTTTGTGTGCAGTTTCACTGCAACTTCTGTAAAGACTTTCGCCACCATTTGACTCGCTGCGGAACGGATTTAGATACGTCTTTATATTTCCTTTTTCGTCGTTGTGGCTTGGTCCTCTCGTCAGCACAGGCCGTCTGAGGGCGGGGTAAGCACGGCACAGCGCTTGCTATACGCCAAATTCCGTTTCTCTAAGGAGGTATGGCGTCAAGGGCCATCGTAAAGGCAGAGGACCAGTATCGTTCCAGAAATGTCTTCCCATCATCATATAATCAGCTCATGGGGAATGAAATCAGAGGGGAGCATGTCTCCCAGTATATTCGTTTTTTGATACTCATCACAGGTCATTGATAACATTGGCTAGGCATGCGCAATAGAGCTCTCGGCGATGGCCAGGCCAACCTCGCACTCTCCTTCCACGATCAACCCAGTGACAGGGCCGCCTGCATCTGAGGGAGGCCTCGTTGCAGCCACTCTACAGGCGACACTTTCTGTTCCTCGTTCCTCGAAGCGAACAGCAGGTCATTCTCCGGGGAGAAAGCCCACACCGCGGGATCTGGCGCCGGCAGTGCAGTGATCGCCCGGAGTTCATTACCTATATCACAAGTCAGATCATATGCATCGCGAAATTCGTCAGTTAGCTGATAGACTTGTAAAGCATGGCCAAGAAGATCCTTACGTATGATGTTGTGCACGAAGTGGTCCATGTTCTAGAAAAAATTTGAACAGCATGTTAGTTAGCTAAAGTCGGAGCGTATGCCGAAGGAAGTCGTGGGTTATTACCAAGTCATTCTTGTCGTAACCTGCCATCGTGCCTCTGTCAGTATATGATCTTCTACCGGATCTAGAGTCGCCAGAAACTCACCAAAAGGATCTATAGAAGTGTGCAAATGAAGCATCGGTTCCGATAATCAGTATCGCATACAGAAATGACGAGACGTCACTCACTTTCGATCTCTTCTCCGGCAACGAGGAAACCAAAAAATATGAAACTCTGGTCAACGTTATCGGTTTATCAATCAGCGGACGGCGACGTTGATTATCTGCATGGGTTTACATACTGCGATTACAGTGGCGGGAATGGTCAGCCATTTCAAAGCTAACCAGATTTGAAATGGCTACATCGATAAGATGTGTCAAAAATTTTGTCAAGGTGATAACAACACTTTCTTACCAATGCCACACAATAGATACTGGTTACGAGCCAAAGATGTATGGAATATCTAAGCAGATGCGCTAATTTCAGCTGTGAGAATCCGACAGAAAGACAAGTTACAGACGAAAAAGGTATCGGAGTCGTGAGGATCCTCTCCAATCCTGTCAATGCATCTACCAGTTGACCAAGAGTGGCAAGCAGTAAGCCTGGAGGAAAGCCTTAGATTTTCACAGGTATACTGGTTGGCGCTACTCACTGATAGTGGGTGCCTCGGCGCCCTTACGGAACTGTAATGCAGATATATACGAACTCTGTCATGCGACTTTGGTCAACTTACAAGAGGAACAGAATTACAGAAAAGCACCGACAAGATAAAATGAGATTTCCAGTGGAATATTATGCGATACGCTATGGTGCCGCAACGTTGCCCTCATTCGTGCTGCTTTCTTTCCTTTCACCTCCAGGCCGCTTTTGGTTAGTTGGCGCACGAGAAGTGAGAAAGGGAAGAGATCGAAGAGCGAATATCTTGGTGGCATGCGAGCTGGGAACAGAGACGCATCGTCGCCAGGTCCCGTGGACATTTTCTCGCCTCCTCTAGGTAAGCCTTCGCTATGTCCATTGATTCGGATAGAGGGTTGCGCGAAAGACGTCGTCCTTGTGCGTGTCGTCGACGGGAGGGGCAGATGGGACTTTGATGCAGACGGCCTATTAGAGAGCACAGAAGGCGCAAAATGTGCCGAGAGAGGGGACCCAGGGGCGTTCCCTAATTGATCAGAATTCGTGCACGGTGCGTCCGCACTCTCTGAGAGATCTAAAGCTGAAGGTATACCCGGGGGAAGTGCATAGGACGGTAGGAACTTTACAAGATGGTATAGATCAGCATAGTAAATCCCGTCCTCCCCGCGGAGGTAGTGTTTAATTGCCACGGCATATGCCTCTAGAAGATTGACAACCGTCTTTTTCTCGATCAGAATGCGTGACTTTTGCTCGTCGTCTGATATGCCCTTATCGGTAGGGGGAGATGGCATGGTATCTGCAATGGAGATGGAAGATGCGAGGGTCGGAAACTATGTCATTCCAGGTCAGGGGAACGTAACTTACCTGGGACATGAAACCACACCGTACGGGCGAATGTACGACTGCCGAGGACTATCTGGGACCATAGTCTCCTTCCTTCATTATACCGTTCAAAACTAGATGTTGTCCTATAAGAGATGACGAATCCGAGAACAGTTCCAAACCTAAACGCGGATGAAGTTTCTGTCAGTCCTTGGTCGCCGGAGGTGCAATATTAGACATACACCGTGATAAGGGTGGGCTGTATCGCAAGACTGTAGACATTATTGCTAATAACACACACAGCGGTCGACCAAGCACCGAAAAATATGAGGATATGCCAACACCTAAAGAGGGCTGTTGCCAGGATAGCATTTGAAAATGAAACCCACAAACTACGTCGTGGCGCGAATGGATCCGTCACATCCAAACCATACAATGAGAAGTTCTCGCCCTGGTTAAAAAGGGACATGGTAATAAGAACGTGCCCTCCAGTGGTGTAGCTCAAGAGAATTTTGGATCGTGGGGGTTAGTATTTTTGGAGGCGGGCTTACTGTAGGCCGTGAGTTCGCCAGGCTAGGTCTCATCTCTACCGTCGCTATCGAAGCGTCACTTTAATTATCTCCGTACGTATAGGTTGGTGGAGATGTCGCGTTGTCTCGAAACCCTCCTCACGTCGCGCTCTGAGCTGGGGGGAAAGACAGACAAAGATGGAGGCGTACGCGTACTTCCATGTCAGTCGCCTGGTTTTAGTAAGATTTCTTATCCCATGTATTGGACAGTTGTTGCCATGTTGGAAAGGTTGCTGCTGCCAGATGCAGGTGTAATGCCAAGTGAACGCTGAGCGGCTGCAGTCAGACTGACAGTGATGAGTCCATGACAAGCGCAACCTGATATTGATCGTTTTTTCCACCATCTGATAGCGCTAGTTTCAACAATACATTCTTTTCCAAAACTACCACTCGAAGGGAAACTCGTCTTACACGATAGTATGACTTGAGAGTATGAAACATACGGTGACCTGGTAAACTCGTTTACTCGAAATTACATACAGCACCATTTGCCGAGCGTCCCAAACATTTTATTGGAAACTAACATTTATCACAACCGTCATCATCTCTTTGACTGTTAATCTGAACAGTTGTCCTAGCCCTTTCCTTGAATCCTTGGTATAGAGGCTGAGGTGAACTGAGAAATTGTTGACTGGGTACAGCTGTGGCGGGCTGAATCAAAAAAGTAAATAATGTGATGCGGTTATTGAACTGCAATCTGACTCAAATTCGTGGCTAGTACTGCATGGGAGTCACATTTGGATTTCTTCATAGATCTTGTACATATCTTCGACCGCGATCTTTCACCAGACTCTATCAGATACGATCCACCCATTCCAGCATGTCTTCGGTCAACAAAACTGTTCATCCGTTCGATAAAGCGCGTTTGGACGTCCTTCTCAATCGTAGATTTTTCTATGCACCTGCTTTCGAAATATATGGCGGTAAGCACTCGCACTTTCTCGATTCTTTGATGCTCAAGAGTGATATATATATATTCCTTTTTATTCTACAGGTGTCGCCGGTCTCTACGATTATGGTCCACCTGGCTCTTCTCTCCAAGCTAACATCATCGCCGAATGGCGCAAACACTTCATCGTCGAGGAGCACATGTTAGAGCTCGACACCACCATCATGACACCTGCCCCAGTCTTCGAGACATCCGGTCATGTAGCTCGATTTGCCGACTGGATGGTGAAAGATACCAAAACCGGTGACGTTCTTCGTGCAGACCATCTAGTTGGGGGTGTTCTGGAGGCTCGTCTCGCCGGTGACAAAGAAGCCCGTGGCTTGGCTGCTCAGCCACCAAAAGAGGACGAAAAGAAGAAAAAGAAGAAAGTGAAGAGTGTAGTAGTGCAGTTGCCTGATGAGAAAGTGAAAGAATACGAAGTCATCTTGGCTCAGGTGAGTTTCCGATCTATGTCACTGTCGAAGTTACATGTCGTACTAAGTCTGCAAGTAGCTCGACAATTACTCTGGCCCAGAGCTCGGCGAACTCTGCCGAGAACACGATATCCGGAACCCTGATACAGATAACGACGTCAGTGAGCCTCAGCAGTTCAATCTGATGTTCGCTAGTAGCATCGGTCCCACCGGACAACATCCTGGGTGGGTCAAGTCGCTTTCGAGTAATCGAACATATTCACACTTCTTCTAGTTTCCTTCGTCCCGAAACTGCCCAAGGTCACTTCCTCAACTTCTCTCGTCTCCTCGAATTCAACAACGGTCGCGTCCCATTCGCCTCCGCTCAGATTGGCCGATCTTTCCGTAACGAGATCTCTCCACGTGCAGGTCTCCTACGCGTGCGTGAGTTCACCATGGCCGAAATCGAACACTTTGTCGATCCCGCAGATAAACGGCACGAGCGTTTCCACGAAGTCCGTGACGTCGTTCTCAGCCTGCTCGATCGTCACGTACAAACCGGTGGAAGCACGAAAGTGACAGCCATGACCATAGGTGATGCAGTAGACAAAGGCATAGTGGCGAACGAGACACTTGGATACTTCATCGCGCGGATATATCAGTTCCTCACCAAGATCGGGATAAATCCAGCTCGTCTGCGGTTCCGCCAGCATATGGCGAATGAGATGGCACATTATGCAACAGACTGTTGGGATGCAGAAATTGAGAATTCAACAGGTTGGACTGAATGTGTTGGATGTGCGGATCGTGCGGCATATGATTTGTCGGTACACTCGGCAAAGACTGGACACCCCCTTGTTGTAAGGCAAGCTTTGAAGGAACCAATCGTTACCGAAAAAGAAGTGGCAGAACTCAACAAGAAACTTGTCGGCAAGACATTTGGACGTGACTCGGCACTTCTCCAGAAGATCGTGGCTGAAATGGACGAGGCACAACTGCTGAAACTGAAGGGAGAAGTCGCACAAGGGTAATTATGATTAAGTTGTTCCTGATCCTGAGCTTATCAGCGACTTGACAGTTCTGCAATTGTATCTGCAGAAGGCAAGGAATTCAAATTGACGCCAGAGCTCATAACGATAGAACGCAAGACTTTGAAACAATCTAGTATGAATCATCTGTTTTGCAGTAACATAGTTACTCACTATTCATCGCAGTCCGTGAATTCACACCGAATGTCATTGAGCCATCATTTGGCTTGGGGCGAATCCTATATACCCTTCTAGAGCACAGCTTCTGGAGCAGGGAACAGGATGTAGAACGCGGGGTGAGTTCGCACGAGTGTGAAGTATGTGGGGTTGACGACGAGCTTTTCACAGGTCCTTTCCCTCCCTCCTGTCGTAGCCCCGACAAAAGTCCTAATCGTGCCTCTAAGTGCGAGAGAGGAGTTTGATCCACTTGTCAAAGAAGTTTGTGCGTCGATATTTCACCCCAAAAGATATGCTGTAGTTGCTAACAGTCCACTCCGCCTCCCATCCCCATGCTATCTGATAGCCTCCAAATTGCGCAGAGCAGGCATCTTCTCACGAGTAGACGATTCCAACACTTCTATCGGCAAGCGCTACGCCCGCAATGATGAGCTGGGCACGCCATTCGGTGTTACGCTTGACTTCGCCTGTAAGTAATTTCGTACTGAGTCTCATTTGGGGACCAACTGACACCATTGCCTTCGAACGACTAAACGTCAGCTGTCCAAAATCGCACTATGACACTCCGGTGAGTTTTTGTTTATCCATACGATCGCACGATTGCGGGCCGTTTTGAAGAGATTTCGAGTTCTGACCGGTACTTGTATCACAGCGAACGGGATACCACAGGTCAGCTTATCGGGTCCATTGACGAAGTGATCGCGGTCGTCACGGAGCTTGTCCAGGGAGGTCTTGATTGGGCAGAAGCATGTCGACGACTTCCTGCATATGACGGTATACAAGCCGTGGATTAGTAATCTGTCAACTCTAAAATGTTGCGTGGTGGACGGAAAGGTACTTCTCCGAGGTAACTGATCATGATAGATGGTATCGAGCAGAAATAAGCTGATATATATTAGAGCGTTTGCATGTTATGATAGTTGGCGTGTTAGTTGAATTCAAGAAGCAATAGTACACGTTGTAAGGCGTATATACGAGTCCACAGCTGTGTATATACACGGTGCATCGATCATATGACTGTATGTGAACGTTACGGTGGGAAGACCAACAAAAAAAGCTGAGCACTTACCGGGTGTCGTGTGTGTAATCGCAACTCGCCGGACAGCGGGGAACTACACAAATGGATTGATGCAGTTTAAGTTAGCAAACAGTCGTTCCATCCTAGGCAATGCGGAATAGTCTATGTTCCTTTACACTTCCGCTTGCCGTAAAGCTAAACGAGGTTGACATGCTCAAGATATGGATTTGAATCAAATGCAGAGCCTCTGACCAAAATTAAGTAACTTAAGATGGTAACGGATCAGCCCATTAAATGCAGTATGCACCCACGTTCGGAGCCGCCCACCACTCGAAATGAGTTTGAACACTTGGGAAACAATCAAAAAACGTGTCTTCGACTATCCGTGAATGTAGCCTGTAAGTAAGACGAGTACGTACTCGGTTATTGCCGTAGACAAGCTTTCCAGAATGATGCCCACGCACTACGATCGCAATCTGGTATACATAGTTCGGAAAAAGGAGGAAAGCTCGACTTCTGTTGGAGTCAAAGGGGGTGAAGCGTGCATATCTATACAAGCAGACCAGCGATTGTACGGCTCAGATAGAAGTCAGCAGAGTCCCGCGGGGATTTAATGCAGCGCTTGATATAACCGAACTTGCATCATATCAAGAGAGGCCAGGCACTTGTGGGGTTTACTTGTTCCAGGTTGCTCTTCGCGTTGGTCGTCATCTGCCTTGAAGGTCAGATGATGATGTTAAAGACTATATAATAAGCCTTCAAGTCGGGCCGCCGGCTGGGAGGGGAAGAAGACATGAAGTTAGGCTGTGCATGACATTGACATTGACAAGGCTCCACAAAAACATATCAAGTCGAAATAATGCGACAGGTCGACGTGTACTCGAAAAACCGACACCCAAGTATCGCATGGTGTCCCTTGGAATATAGACCATTGGGTGGGGTCAATAACCAATGTCCCAATGCAGTAGAGCCAGTGCAGCCTCGAGTTCAAGGGCGGCCCCAATATCGAAGCAACCATAGTGGGAGGACAGATATTAAGTGTAAATATCCTCCGAAAAGGAAACCGCTGAAACGCCATTGAGGGCGGCGAGCTCCCAGAGACGTGAGTATTGGTCGAAGAAGCAAGGAAGATTATGAGAGAATAACATTGCAAGTCTTTTACACGGCCACCAGAAGAGTCTGTAAAGAAGATGCAGGCGATGATGGAGCTTTGCGTTTGGTATTTCCTAGGAGACCGCGCTCGGGAAGATGGCCGCTAGAAACCAGAAGAGGGATAGCTTAAAATCCTGAAGATTGCGATTCAGCGAACATGATGGCACGAATGGTGAGAGTAATACCGCAGGATCGTTTAGATAACCAGGCCGAAGTGCCCCAGAATATGCGAAGCATGTCGACTATGCGTTGTCTCATGACCAGGATTGGCCATTGAACCGCCTGGAGGCTAAAGAAGACGGCCCAAAAAGTAGCTAGGCTCGTGGTGTGTCCTTATCATTCATAACCAGATATGTCGACGCCTGCCAGGAACTTCCGGATTTCGATTCAAGCATTACGACCGAGAATAAGGGCCATACACGCACCATCGTAGATCCGCTTGCATATCGTTATGAGAACAATTTTGTGAGAAATATCCATTGGAATGACCCTTGGAATAACCTCGCGTTTGCCAAATAAAATATACGAGGACGATAGAGGATGAAAACGTGACGCGACGGCATCGCGCGGGAACTAGAACAGCCAGCCGTATAAGTACGAATCTATACAACGCCACAATTTTCTTTCTTCACTCAGTGCCCTGTGCACTTGCAACCTATCGCCTGGTCTTTCTTATCTCTTTAATACTTCATTCACCATTCAACGCACCTGTTATTTCCTGCGACACATCTTCTAGGACTGCACATCATGACCACCCACTCGAATCCCTCCAACAAAGGCGTACCGGCAGACAAGCTAGTTGCTCTTCCTAGTCTCTCTTGCTCACTCTCCTCGCTTCCTCAAGCACGGAGTCTCGACAGTGTCTCACTACATCCAAGCATGTACGCGCAGCGGGCAGCTGAAAGCGAAGCTAAGGTATACACTTAGCTCATGTCCGCTGGATGTCTCCGGTGTCCAACCTTTGTTCTCTTTCATAGCTAAAAAAGGTCTTGTCAAAAACTGCTGCATCGTTTCCTCAGAACCCGCCACCTGTACCCGCTTACATGAACCCAGTATGTACCCGTCTTAACGTGATACCGAGTCGTCGCTAATCAATAACCGTCTCAGCCCCGCCATGACCCAAATTCACCCAGTTCATCGCCACCTCTGATGATGCGCAAATCAGTGAGTCCTGGTTGTCATGTTCTTTGTTTCCTTTCTCATAGCCTTTTAGCAAAGACCAAAATATTAGGCCAAGGAGGCTTTCCTAGATTTATTTCGTTTCGCCTGGGACTCGGTAGACATGGCACGGCCGACTCGACGCGGCATTCACAAAAACACTTGTCACGACAATTCGCTTTCTCTTTGCCTCATCATCATATCGCATCTATAGACACACTGCATACCTCTAGTACCGTTGACCATCAGACTATGACACTATTCCTTTTATTTCGCGTTGGGTTTTACTTGCTCTCTTGTCTCTTTCTTCTTTTGATTTCTTTCGTTTTCGTTTTGTCATCTTTGCAGAGCCTAGTGCTCTTCAGCCTCGGAATATATACCGGTAACAAGTAATCTGTAGCACAGGATAGTATTTCTTGGCTGCACGTCGTACTGTTATAATCTCATGGGTTCGTGATAGTAAAATGAGCTGTGACTGATATCATATGGACGCCTTCCGGAAGCATTGAGCACTGACACGCTCTGGCCTTTGTCCATCAATCCGCAGCCAAAGCTATTCATGGATCTCGGCTATCATTCTGTTAGACGCACTGTATGTTATGTTTTCCCAGATCGCACCGCGCCAGTCGTCCCCGGGCCAAAGTGAGGGAACTAAGAACCTTATCTGCACTGGACTCTCGAAAACTCTCTCATGCCTCGAAAACATTGACAGGTACGTCCTCATTTACATATTGTGATCCTGATACTTGCTTAGGTCTTTATTTATCAATACGATTACCTTCATACCTTTTCTTTACATGAGGGTTGGTCGTCACGGGCCCTTGCCAAAGTTGAGTGCACATGCTTGTCTACATCATGTTTCAAATATTCGATATGTGATTTCGATAGACTTATGTGGGACATCGAAGGTACAAGCGTCAAATGTCAGGCTCAATCATTTCCCAATAACTAACCCTACCACCGCAAGCCAAGCTATGAGCCCTGGACTTGGTCGTGGCATGGGTGACCGGTCTCTATGCAACTGTTTTACTTCCCATACACGTGAATACACCTGTACATCCCTGCACATCTCGTCGCTATCTATGATGAGGTCAGCTACTGGAAATCGCGAAATTCTGGGTTCTTTCGCCATGATATGACATCTTGTGGTAACACTGAGCCCGGATAATAAGTTACTCAGTTATTCCTGCAACTCTGGTGTCTGCAACAGGAACAGGTCTGTTCTCATACATGTCTTACATTGGATACCACGATAATGAGGCCCTAGCGCTCGATTGGCGGGTCCAACAGAACTCCAACGGAAGGGTACTTCTAATCATGCATGCTTTCACTCGCTATCTGTCGGTTTTTTGTATCATCATCCGAACTCATCGCAGCTTAGGGCTATGGAAGCATCACTCTCGGGAACTAGCATAGCTATACGCCATGGCCAATCGCCTTGCCATAGGGGTCCCAATGCACTGACACCCCTTTCGTGCATTCTAATCCGCAATGATGCCGACAAAGGCTATCTGGAACATGTATCGTGTCGTCCACGTTGCATTACAAAAAAGTAGTTCACCTGTCACTCAAGAACGTCCCTGTTCATCGGTGAGATTGCCCATGCTTCCCCCAGTAAGAGTTTGGCAACTTGCAATTCATTGAAAAATCGGTTCTTTCTCGGCCTTTATAATTGATCCTCGCGGTCAGTTCATTTTCGCGCTCAATAGTCTTCCCATTATTGACTATATTTTCTTATCTTCTTTTTCAAATTCAATAACCTACACGTAAATTCAGCACCATTTCGTGGAGTAGAAAGCCTTCCTTCGGCCAATCAACAGTCATGTTCGTCTTTTATCTTTAGGAAAAACACGCAACGCGAGTACTTCACAGGTACGCGCTACATCCTCCGATGAACGTTGATCATAGCCTACCTCCCGCACCATCGTACATTTTTGCCTCCTGGCAAACTATAATTTTCCTCCACGCCTTCTTGGTCTGATACCCCTCTCTGGAGTCTAATAATATTGCCCCGGGAATTTCTGCTCCGCGGATATGTGTGCTGTGGCCAACATTTTCTCGTGCAAACTTTCAAACTCTCTTCTCTTCTCCTCGACGTAGGTTTCGGCGTCCGTCTTATCAGTAATATACGTCAGTGCATGCTTATTACTGCTCTGATCATCACACCAGATCTCGCAGAGACGAATCTGAGTCACTTTAGCGAGTGAACTCAAAGCGTCCAGCCATGGTACCACCGCCGGTCGCGAGATAAGGGCAACAGCCCATCAGCGCTCAGCTCGTGCGTCGTCAACAGATTCATAGATGGCGTGCATTAGAGTTTCCGAATAAACAACGCTAGCACAACATCCGAGTCATACAACGTCCCAGGGCTCACCGGCTTATCGTTTTTGCATTTCATCTTACTGTTGATAACCCGACGACCATGCCGCTGTAGCACCCACTATCGGTTATTTCAACCACGGTTTCTTAACAGAACATCATTTGACATGCATCTCGAAGGATTGATAAGGATGAGAGAGTTTATTGACCGCTATCCGAGAGAAGAATTGCATCAGAAACCAGATTTAGCTACAGAGATAGTAAAAGGAATTGTGATAGTGTGTACAAGAAGTAAGACAAAGATGAAAGGCACTCCTAAACTCGTGAGTATGCTTCCAACCACCCATCCACCCACCGGAAAAGCCATGCGCTGACGACAATCACAAGCATTCCAAGCCGCAAACCGTGCGTTTATATCTCGGCAACGAGTTTCAAAGCTTGTTCGGACCTGGGACGTATATCACATTGGAATACATTTGGCGTCCTGCATAACATTATGACAGTCAACTCAGCGCAAACCTCCAACGATGGTTGTACGCACCGGAAAACAGAGTTATCAAACACAACCTCCGGCTCAACAACGTTCCCGCGGTCATCTACAGCCTTCCCAAATTTGAGTGTCGACAACATCGATACCATGAGCAACCACGCCGAGGATTCTACCAAATTGGCACCTGGACAGCGTCTGCGCCCGAAACCGAAGACATATGTTCGAGGATCCCGTCTTCGCTCCGTTGCATCGTCGACTGCAGGTTCCATATAGCGTTCAGGTTTGAACGCGTGCGCATCAGGGAATAACTTCTCATCGCGGGTTATAGCCCTGAGCCACATGACTTGAGTGCGTGATAGTTAATCACAGCCAAAGTAGAACATACCAGATATTTCCGAAGACCTAGATAAGTAAAATTTAAACCAGTACTCAAACACGAAGATAATAGAGGCGTACCAGGGAACCCTTTGGTATGAACATCCCTTCGTATATATCGTCTTCTGTTAGTCTATGTGGAAGGTCTTCCATATACTATCGGCTTCTATTATCTCGGGTCAAAAATAGTGTACTCACTCAGTGGTACTGGTGCACCCCACCTAAGGCACTCAGTAAAAATGGCGTCACAGTAGGGCAGCTCTGGACGGTCTGCAAAAGTTGGAAGTCGTGTTGTCCCAACGACAGAATCCAGTTCTGCCTGTGCCCGTTCAAGGACAGATGGATGCTGAATCATAGCAAGAATGAAATGCGAAAGCGCGGTGATTGTCTACAGTCAATCAAAAGGCTCAGTTTTCCGAAGTACATTCTTTCACTTTCAAATGCTTACCGTGTCGATGCTAGCTGTTTACCCAGATCCATATATCAACAAGCAAGTAAACAAATTGGACTGATGTACGGACCAGAGTACATCGAATTGGCAGTCCAACGAATGTCGAAATCAGCTAATGAGTTCACTGGCGCAGCTTTTTCTTTTTGGTGATCAGCCTCGAGCAAGGTGGAAACGAAAGACGGAAGGGCAGTTCCTTTTCTCTGAGAGGAACATCAATATAAATAAGGGCAGCGAGCACAATACACAAACCAGTTCATCCTTGACAAATTCATACGGACGATGGACAAATTCTTCCATCTTCGCTTTCCATATAATGGCATTTCGCTTGAAACCTGCACCTGGCATCCATGTTGGAAGGTACTTGACTATGGTGTCGGCAGGATGCGAGATTAGTATTGATATCTGGCCATTTTGCAGCTGTGCACAACATACGTGATGGAAAGATGTCCACAGGCCAGATACCGCCTCCTGAAGCGATGCGGTTCGAAAGAAGGTTCACACATTCTTCAGCAAGTCGCAAAAATTGGTCTTCGTTCGTTTTCACCTGATGTCCGTAAACGACCAACAGTGTGAGGCCCCCAGCGTATCTGCGAATGTGGTCGGTGTATTTCTCTGGTTCTGCGAGAAGACGACGAAGGAAGGGACGCGTTTCGAGCTCAAGTTGGGGGTGATAGGTCTTGATACTCGAAGGACCTAATGCACTTTGCATCAATTTCCGCTGACGGCGGGATGTCTCGCCGTAGGGTGTGAATGCGACCTGATGAGTGGCCGGTCAGTTTTCAAATTCAAAAATTTACCACGATAGATACCATATTTTCACATCCACATCTGCCATGAGCAACGGACGTTCAGAGATGATCAGGGCAAAGCAAAAAGGGATCCTTACAACTCGCCAGCCATAACGAGACGTGGCTTATCCGAATAAATCGCGCCCCGCTTATCCAGAAGTTCAAAGGCGGCTTCCGGAGTATTAAGGAAGACGAGGCCTTGTCCGAAGACATGTAGATATGTGATTTTCCCTGGTATAACGCGTCATTCATGGATTCTATGCATCCAGGAATGTCCAGACCACTCACCATACTGCTTCGCCCAACGAGCTGCCACGAGCCAGAGTTCTTTCGCAGTGAGATCGCGGATGTTGCCCAGAACCGGAAGTGGTGATGGCCCTGGAGGATAAGGCGCTGACTGGTGCTTCCGTTTCGCGAACGAACGGAGAAGGACGAAAGCGAGAAGAGCGGTGAAAGTGACTGCGATTGTTGAAGACATGGTACCAGCAGTACCAAGGGAAAAGGCGAGAAAAAGCAGGGATGAAAAGAGAGACGGTGGTTGGGTTTATAAATTGCTAGAACCAGAGCAAAATCAAGAAGCAGAGTGCACGAGAAGAAAACAGTTTAAGGCATAGCTGCAAACTAAAAAAGCCTTTAAAAAGATATGTGGATTAGCTAATCAATATGAGTGTCGGCCTGAAGCATATTCGCGGACTTTCAAACAGATCAGGTTCCGGTTCGTACGGCCCACTCATCTTGATGATCAAATGTACAATTGGCGCCGATCCCAGTAAAGCATAGGTTACACTGCTACCATCACAAACACTCGACAGCACGGTCTCGTGGACGCTCATCCCATGCCCAGCAAGTGGATCCGTGCTCTACAGTATCTATCGATGGAAATCTGACAACTATCCTGGTAGCCTTTTCCAATTTCTCCCAGTCGTATTCAGGGTCAACGGCAATTATATTACAATGTTTCAAGCATAGCAATCCAGATACCACGAAAACTGCGCGCTTTATACAATGTGCCGAACGTAAACTACAAAGATGACACTTGAAATTTTGAAATGTAGCAAGAGCACCACTCCGAAATCAGTCGGAACGACTCGCCGTTGCATGCCAGGACCAATATTGTGTGTGTAAGCCCTTCAAACGTGAAACGCAACGTTGCGATAGCTGATTTGGCAGTGGCGCACGCAGCGCAGAGGGCACTGTGTCCTGTCTGGCTCAGTATATCCCGCTTTACTCACAGTGCGAGCCCCAAAACCGAGATATGGAGCCACGGACCAATAATGTCAATATGGCGATATGTATAGACCTTACAGCTGTGTCATCCTCCTCAGCGGATAGCTTGCATATAAAATTCAGTCTTATGACACTATTCTACAGTACAAATACAATCACCACGGGATAGTTGCGTGCGACAATATGGGTACATATAGTACCACGATGACATGGCACCGGCGTCAGTCAGAGATGGTGCGCCCATTTCATATCAATTCTTTCTACTGACACTATTCCACGCCGTAGATCTATCGCATCGTGCCACAATATCATAGCGCAAGCGTCAGAGATGATGCATATATTTCATATTCCTTTTACTGACAGTATTCCACGCCATATCAGGGATCTATCGTATCGTACCAAAAATTACCATAGCGCCAGCGTCAGAGATGGCGCATTTATTTCATATTCCTTTTACTGACACCATTCCACGCCGTATTTAAGGCATCCATCGTATGGTACCTGATGATGATATGAAAGTGTATGGGCCGGACAGACCAGAGCAATGTATGTATAGTATAGTTCACTTAAATTCTGTCAACGCAATCTCACGTATCAACATGGTGGGCTTTCAGATGGTCGGTATTACAGTATGATACGGCCAAATGAAAATGGTATGTTGGCTCCGTCCTACGTCGCTGGTAGTAGTGACCCCACAATGGCTTTCGAAGACTGTCTGCGTATGCAAGGGTCAATTTATATTTTGTATGGACGTGCTACCTATCTAATAATGTTGTTCCATAGGAGTCTCTTCTCCTTCCCTATCAGCATCAGCATAAGTACACATCAAACCTCAATATTTTTCATCTTGCGGATCCTCAGCCGATTCCAAACAGCCAGAAAACTCTCATATACAACATAGCGCGATCTTGTGACATATAGTCAGTGGATTTGCGAATCTGCTTTAGCGTGTTATCGCCGGCGCTGGTGTTGATTTGCGCGAGTCGAGCGTCCATGGTTAGTGAGAAAAGCAGCTGGTGGCGAATATTTGGTATGCCCTTTTTAACATGAAATCCGTCCACCACGAACAAAGCGAGACATCTGCCAAAAAATGCAACTCTCTAATTAAACAATCAGTTCGTGACGTGGGACTTACTAGTAAGTTCAGCCAAAATGTCATGATGGAAGGGAGATTCGAACTCCCGCCTCAATGAGACCAGATAGAACAAGTTCCTGATTCTGGCGCCTTAGACCGCTCGGCCATTCCACCATTAACCTCGGGCCTCGACAACAGCGACCATTTCCAGCCATAGCTCTGGTCAACCAAGTTTTCGCCGGTTCTCACTATGACGCGCTTCTGTCCTTGAAAGCCTGAACGTTTGAACGTCCGCAACCTTTTTCAATACCACTACGATCGTTCCTTGAAGTAAACGCCTTTGCAGTATCGAGTAACGATATCTGCGCCCTGAGATCAGCGCATCAACATGTTCTGCCCATCGAACCTGATGCACACTACAATAGCTGCACACTACGTCCGCGGACTCGCAACGAGAAGTATACAGGCACATATACCGAGCTGATCGCATTAGCAACCTAGTGACATCGCTATTCAAACACGCTCCCCCAGTGGGTAACTTCGATAAATAGTGATATTGCAAGGTATGTCACCATCAAGTACTAATACGAACTCTTTGTCGCGCTAAAGTTAGTGAAACAGTTATTTACTGGGGCGAGTAGCCCTCGATCGAGACCAATGGAGCTCAAAGGGCTTAGCGCTCAAAAGTCATAGATATAAGCCAAGCACATTGTGTCGTATGAATTATTTTAGTTGTTTTCTAGGTGGACCTTCTATGACCTCAAGTTTTTTTCATGCCAGCCGTACAGGTTTGTAAAATTTTTCACCATCATCGCCGCCTCCGCTGACTTCGTAACCTTGTATTATAGGATATTGCTACTTATGGGCCTTTCTTCCTAGAGTGTCATTATTGCGATCTAAATTCAGTCGGTGGATTTTCTGGCACTTGATCACGGCGTTCGGGAATCTACTTGATACAATCGATCCTGCAATATCGTATCGTTAAAAGGATAAAGCTGGACATTCAATCATGAGTTTATTCTGGTAATCGTTGACAGTGGTCACAGAAATGAGGTCAACTGAACTTCATCTTACACTCCAGAACTGTTCCCAGGCAGTCAGCAAGTTGCCGAGGACGTATTCATTAAGTTCTTCGGACCCCTTCTTTGGTTTACAAGCAATAATCGAACTTGCTTGATATCTCCCTTGAAAGGCTCATCTTCGCAAACATGGTAGCTGACTGTCGGCGGTGCTTACTGACACTCAACCTAGCAGCTTTTCTCGCTAAAGATCCGGGCCCCTTCGTCTACGATGCTCTCACCTGGTGGCCATTTTCTTAATACCGGAACCTTCCCTTTTCGTAAGCGGAACAGTGGCCATAAAATCACGTGCGGAAGCTCACTACACGTGTGGCTTCCAATCGCTGTCAACTTGAATCCCAGAATGAAACAATCTGTCTAGCCAAGTTTATCGTCGTCGACTCAGCTTTATACTCATGATCAGCGCCCGATACCGCGTTTTGACTATGATACTACGTGTAAAACTCGAATGTGTAGTTATCCAGGGCGCGATAATTATCCTGGACATCTTAATTCCGTCATATTCACGGTGTCTCCCATGGTTCTCCAGTTGCCGTAACGGTCCGTTACGATAGAACAGGTACTCCACGCGGAAGGTTTTTAATTTTCCTTTCCTGAGGTTCCTCTAAAAGCCTAGAAGTTTAGACAAAAAGGCTTGAAATGGAAGTGGTTCACTGTACTACATATAGCCCATGCAACCTGTCTATCCTTGGACGCGGACTGTACCTCAAAACACTTTTTTTTAGTGGCGTCCTTGTTCAACAGTGCCCCTCATAGCACCCAATGTCGCTTCCTCCACAGGCTGCGCTCCCGTTCAACACTGACAGTACACTAGGTGCACTACTCGTCGGTGGTCTTGTCGCTGCAGCGTACGTGTTTTCTAGTTAGACGCTCTGACTACGTGCACTGATCCGTGTTCAATGATAGATTTTGGGGAGTGACCTGTGCTCAAACACTCATTTATTTTCAGCACAGTTCGAGTGACCGTCTCTCACTCAAATTATTTGTAGGCAGATCTCGCCCTCTGATATTCGCTTCGTGACTGTATTGACGCTGACTCTCAGGTATCATTCCTTTGGTGAGGGATTCTCTCACTTTACGACGGGTGCGCTTGATATATCGTTTGCGATTAGGGTTTTGGATACCTTTGACTCTTGTCTTACGAGTCATATTCTGTATTGGTATTTCGTGAAAAATTATTTCAATCCTTCAGCTATTGCTTCTCCTGTCTGGTCAGTCTCTGTTTTCCTCTTCGCTTGCGGTCATATTCACTGATTGACGTATAGGAGTGTCTTGGTAAGTGATGGCAGCTCTCTGCAGTATGTCTCGAGCTCAAGCGGTAGTATCTAGATACATGTCGCAATAACTGTGAGTTTACCCGCCATGTTATTCGCCGCTTTAGTGTTTAATTCATCTCTACAGTCACTCACAGACGTGCTTATCAGGGCGTAAGATAATTGTATTTCTTCAGATTACCACTCACTAACGTCCTGCAGTATGTATGCCCGTCGGGTGTATCAATGTATGTCCGTGCCAAATTTAGGTATCAAGGTCTGACTTTCCATTTTTAGTGAGCGGCCACAGCATACTATTAACGGCAGTAGTGGTACGAAAAATCGATCTTCAAGAGGTATCTAGTTGCTGATATTATTACAGGTCGCCATATCGCTTCTCGACTTGAGTCAGAATTACTTTTTTCTTGGCTTACACGTTCATCCTAACCCCTTGTTTTTCGTGACTTAGTTTGTGGCTTCAGTGAGTATCGCAACTATGGATAAACATTTCATGGTCTGACTCTCTCACAGTGATCACAGTGAAAGCGTTGGTAATGTTTCATGCGGGTATTGTCCCTTTACTGAGTCTCGTTTGTCCAGGTTCAAACTAGGCTCCTTCGCAGAGCTGAACACGATCTCTGTGAGCCGCAATGGGTAAATAGTTTGTATCGGTCTTCTGACTTCTCGTGTCAGGGTCTCATGTACACAAATTTCGCTGCGGGATTCTCCGGTGACCTGTTTGTCGCTGTCGTCTTGTGTTATTATCTTTGGAGGTCCAGGACCGGATTTCGAGGGTCAGTGGGTCGCCAGGCATGACCGTATACCGATTAACGCCGTGTTAAAACTTCTAGAACGGACACACTTGTCAAGTCTCTCGTCTCATATATCATCACTACAGGTAAGTCAGACGCAGAGTCCCACAGTACGCTGTTACTGAATCTTCTTCTCGTTAAGGTTTACTCACGGCGTATGTCTTGCTTTCGATATGCTGATCCTTTTCCACCGCTGATCGGTAATTGCTGTGTATCAGCGTGGATGCGAGCTTAGGCATGATATTCGTGAGTTTTCCCCGTTTATAATTACCCTTGACGCCGAACTCAAGTTATTCATGGGCTACAGTACATTGTTATGCCCAATAACTTTGTCTTCATTGCATTCTACTTCAACCTGGCTAAAAGTACGTGTTCTTCACTCCAACCCCGCATACTGCCCGCAAATAAGGCTATTTACTTATACGGACCGTTCATTATAGTGTACATCAATTCGTACCTGGCACTGTACGTCGTTTTCCACGGTTTCGTCATCTCACGAGTTTAAGGGCTCCTGTTTCTCAGGCTCAACGCTCGCGAAGGTCTCCGAGAGAATTCCGAGGGTGGTGTTTCTGTCCACCTCTCAGATCTTTCCCATCTCCCGTTCAGCGTCAGTAACGAACAGAGCTCACCAACACTGTCGGCTCCCATGGATAAGGCAAGTCCCGTGTTCCCCGAGTCAAGTTGATCGCTTTTAATAAGCCTTGAAATAGGGCTTTGGGCTATCGAATGACCGCCTTACGTTTGCTACTGACAGTGCTAATCGGAAGAGCGACGATGAATACGAACACTTTACAGTGTTGTAAAAGTATAAAAGTTGTTTCCGAGTAGAACTCGAAGACAGGGACTTCAGATCATCCTAGCATGCATGGGAAGTACAAAAACAACGATAACGAGATGAGGGTCAGCCTTAGCGCCTGGAAACACTGCCTCTTGTTATCATTGTATGATAGAGAGATACTGGTACATTGCATAGAGCTGAAGGGAGTATGCGGTAGTTCTGCTAGAGAGTCCCAAGTGAGACAAACCCTTTAACAAAGTGTGGAGCCAAAGAACCTCTGCTCCCACCTAAAGTAGGCTATGTCACTGCGTCACTGAAGTCACCTGGAGAATGTGGTGCGGAGCCAATGCCTTAATAGTTCAGTGTGGAAAGGATAAAATGTAGCGCCTTGTCCTCGTTTCAATTTTGTGCTTCCCTACCAGTGACCTCTTGAGCGTATACCCATGGATCTCCGAAAGCTGTCATGGTTAACAATCTGTTTGCCATGGCTAGTGACGGCAACAGGGCTTCCTCGTAGCGCCTCAACAGAGTCTCTTGTTGCGGAGTGCAACTTCGTGCTAGGCGGCCTTTATTTCGACCTGTGCCCTATTATCAGAGCGCCTACCAGAACCCTTCATTCGAGCAACAGGCAGTATGAGTTCGACTTGGGAGAACGAATCAGGGAAATTTCCAATGACAAGGTGAGTAACGAATGATTGTGGGACTCAAATACGACCTTTATCTTAACTATACATTTCTGTGCGGTCTCTTAGAGACATGACTGCCCCGATGGCACCTGGATTTGCATGACCGGTAACGACCAGATAACTTTCATCTCACGTATCACCACTAAAACACGTATTTGCCCTGATCCATTGTTTAGAGAACGAGGATCCCTTACATGCCGTCCCCATAGCAAGGAGAGACGATACCCACGGCGCAGTCGCTTCGGGATCTGAGACTAAACCTGTCATAGTCAGGTTTCATGAAATGGAGAGCTCACATTCGTTAGACGACCACACTGATGGTGAGTGATGCTTCATTACGATTACAGAAGTGGCAGAGATAACGGCGATGTCGGATGTCATACAGCCTCTGTCAGTATTCACATGAGTGGGGGTTCCCATGCAGGCCAGCCGCAGGAGGCGTATATCGGGTTGATATGTGAGCCAGATGGAGTTGAGGTAAATCTTCCGCCGATATCACTCGTACTTGCTCCACCAAGTAATATCTTCCCTACAGTCGTCCGGTCCTGAGTTTCTTCGCGAGTACAACGGAATACATATGTTCAGATGGTCAACGAGACATGGTTGCGGTCGACCCATAGACGACCCTGCCGAGCTGGTACATACCTTGGCAAATCCATCCAAGAAACCCAAACACGATAAGGAACCCGAAAACGAGGATAAGGATGACGAAGAGAAAGATTCCAATGGGAACAATATCCATGATACCTCACCTGTCTCAGATCGTCACAAACATTCAATGATCTCCATCCTAATTTTGATCGGGTAAATCGCATCTGCCATTTCTAAACAAACATCTCATGACCTCTTTTGTTGACAGATCCGTCGCAAGTATTTTCTGGATTGTTTTCAGTTCAATGCCACCACCATTTCATAGGTACATCCAAAGTTGTATCAGACCAGGCGGTTATCGTGTGGGGGAGATCAGGCTGTTGCAGTGGGCTCGAGAAGATATGCCCACTCTCGATGAGGAAGAGGGTACGATGGTTAATTCAGAGGAGGTCTTTGTTATAGAGAACGAGATGATTCCGCTCAAGCCCAGTCCTAGAAGACACTTTGAGGCTCAGTATGGGAGTGCACCCTCTACAGCGAAATCAGAGGACTTGCGAATGTAGATGTAACCATATATGTAAATCTGTAAAATTTTACTGTTTAGCTGTTCATATGTAGCCTTTATTTTATGCACGGGGACCATTTTACTTTCGTTGGCGAGCTTACAACCTTTGGATGGAACGGTATGCTCGTGAGATGTAGATCAGGCACGAATACTGTGACGCATTCTGTCGTGTTGTGATATCATTGTGACTTGCGCAAGGTTGATGCATGGTGCGATGTCGACTAAATGATTTCGATATTATATGTACCGTAATACGTTCTTCGAACGAGTACAAATCGCCGTTCAGTGGCGAGGATTGAGCTAGGATGAGACTCTATGTAAGCCGAACAAAAAGGCATCCATTCCAGTTAAGAATTACTCAAGCAATATAGTTGTGAAATGAATCTGTGCTGCGATCAACAGTCTGCCTGAACATTGATGTCTAGTACCGGATTAACCCCATGCCGCTGTCGTACTGTGGAATCCAAATCAGTCGCGAAACAATAGCGATTCACACAAGTCGGGACATTACCTATAATTCACTATCAGATGTCCCTCGGTAGCAAAAGACTGGTTAGAATGAACGTCAGGCTACGTTCATTTTCCAAGCAACCACGGCGTACTTTGTAAAGATTGGAGACAGTATCATCGGGAGCAGGCGAAAATGCTAGATTGATGTACGTGAACTGTCCCATCCCATGGTCAGCATCCGCACCGCACCGCGAGCCATACAATTTAAACAAACGGGCCATTAACATACCAACGGATCACCCGCCCTCCACCCCAACTCCTTCCTCAGAAACTGTATAACAGCCTGAAATCGATTGGCAGCCGTGATCTTGTAAAAGTTCTGCTTCATGATGGGAGCATTCCCCACTGCTTTGAACCGTACGACCACTTTGGGGAGTGCATACGAGGTTTTTTGCGCGCGTTGAGTGTTTTTGGTAAGCAGAATACAGAGAGGGAAGGATGATGGCGTTCTGACCTTTCGATGGATCTTTCTTCTTGTAAGTGTCTAGTGCCTGTATGGCTTCGAGAAGGTTCTCTCCTCCGTCGCCAGACCAGGGTAGGGTGGTATTGCGACTTGGCTCTTCTGGACTTCCTGGGACTTGAGCCATCGTGTATTATACAAAGGACTGGCAAGAAGAAGATGGACCTGGCTCTGGAAGTGCTCTAGCCAGGGGGGAGCAGCTGCAGAATATGCCAGTGGATTGTGGCGGCCAACTCGGAAGTACACTTGCAACTATGCAGTAAGTTCACAAGTTAAATGTCACGTGATTTGGAGGCCAAAAGTCAACAGCGCAGAAAAAATAGAATACAAAATATTATTCACGACGGTGAGTGATAGATATCATTACAGTGTTTAGAGGCTACAGGTGATTTCCAATACAAAACCTATACTATGAGCATCAACACCGACACCAACCTACTGTACGCTGACACGAAAAAACTGTCGAACCCAAATGTCGACAACACCACGAACCGAGTTACATACCCAAACCGAGTCTCGCAAATAAAATACAGCACCCACTTCACATTAATCCTTTTACTCCAATTCCACTAGGTCTTCTCCAAAATCCTCCATCTTGATAATCCTAAAACGATCCTTAAATGGGCCATCCGCAAATTCTCTCTTCCACGCCCTGCTCAGCCCCTCCTCCCATGCGTATAATTCAACCTTCCATCCCTTCTTCAGTGCAGTCCGCACGGGACCCAAAAAACCATCATCATTAAACTGGCCAACATTCCCGTCCCCCGTGGCTAAAACAATGGTCGCGTTCGGTGGGGGGACATCCACATCGGCAATAGCCTGGTGTAACTTGAGTTGGAGTAACTCGTCTACCCCTTGTTCTCTATACCGAATACGATGACTGCCCGTCGGATTTGCACCATTGTTACTTCCCGACGGCTGTTGACTATCAGGCTGACGAGACGACGACGAGGCTATATTTCGCATAAAAGACGGCAAGAAGCTCCCCACGCTGGCTCCACTGCGCTCAGATTCAGTAGATATATTTCCCGATCCTTTGTGTGGAGTATGTGGTTTGGAAGGCGTCGAATCTGTCTTTCGCCAGTTGTTTTTGCCAGCTCCCAGTTCTGAATTGCTATGGCGGCGATCTTGTCCGTCACCGCTATCGGGAACTCGAGCGTATATGCGCACGTCGTAGCCCAGTTGTTCCGCGGTATCCACTGGCTGATACAGGGGTGATGAAGTTACCAAACATCGTCTAGTGATCGGACGGCCTCTTTCTAATAGTAATGCAAGGGCCGCATGAGACATACGCCTGGACTTTCGAGGCGAGTGGCGGAGGTGTCTCTTAAGGTAGGTCAAAAGACCAATAAGAATATTAGAACTGCAAGAGTCAATCGACATGTCAGATATACGCAAACCGAGGTAATCGTGACAGGTCTTGCACGCACTGATCGATGAAAACATGAATCAAAGTATCTCTGGCAAGTGGAGCAGGTCCTCGGGGATCCGAAAAGTCGGAACCACCCCGAAAGTCGTTCGTTAAGAGTGCTGTGATACAATCGTAGTCCTCGGGGAACTTCAAGCGCAGTTTATGTGCGAGACACCGCAATCGGAGGATGTGAGGATCAGGCGGTATGGTTGATGATAAATGCAAAGTGGGGGTAGACTTGCTATGCTTAAGGCGTAGATTACTGTCAAGGGCAGATGCCCGCTCCTTCTCCCTGGCCTCTTTACTCTGGGGAGGCGTCGAGGGCGTAGATTTATTATGAGGAAACGAACCAGGACCGTCAACCGAAGACGAGGACTCCTCCGCATCTAATTCTGCAGGCCCCTCAACCTCAATGGGAACCGCGCCACCATCTTCCTTGCGAAGAATCTGGATAACCTTGACTTTCTTCCTCCGCCGTTTCCGGCGCGGCTCTACAACGTGTCGCCAAGCACTGTCCGAGGTGGAGCTGTGGTTATCCCTGATATCCGACTCCCTCTGCGCGACGAGTCTCGCGCGTTCGGTGGCGAGGAAGGAGAGGGCCTGTTCAAAGTCGCCGAGGGTGGGCTGGTCGCTCCAGTCGATGTCTGAGAGGGCATCTGCGGGGACGACGACGCGGAAGTGGGGCTCGCCTTCGGTGTCGGAGCCAGATCCGTAGTCGTCATCGACCGAACTGGACGACTGGGATTCTTGCGTAGAGGGGTCTTCAGTGGTAGCGTGGGAAGCGGAGGAGAGGTAGGACGCCATGAGGCCCTGGTTCCATACGGTCGAGCCCTCTGGAGCATCTGATTCGCCTTCAATGGTCGAGGAAGGGAGTGACGAGGCGATTTCACCGTCGAGGGGTGGGAGAGGGAGTGTCCTTAGTGGTTGTAGGTGATTGAGAGCACGGAATACAGTGGTAAAGGCACCCAAGTCTGGTGATTCTGCAAAACCAACAAACAAAAAAGATAAGGAAGGTATCAGCGGTTACGGGTTGGGTTTTGGGCCGACATTAAAGCAACGCACCATCAGAAGTGGCTTCGCTGGCTACAGAATAGGTTGAGAAAGGACTGATTGGAGTTGGCGAGTTGGCTGTGGTATCCGAGCTGGATTGGAGCATTATACAAGATCTGAAGTATTCAAGAAACAGAAATACAATGAGAAACAGGACTGAACGGAATGTTTTTCAAGGGAACGTGGTGTAGGCGTGCATATGTACCAAATGGCGGATGGCGAGTCAATTCGTCCTCAAGGTGGCAATCTCAATCTGGTCTTGATTTTCGGCACGTGAGTCACGTCGCGTCCATATTGCAGTTGTACAAATCCAAGAAACAAATGAAGACTAAACTAATAAATGAACAGAGAAAATGCTAATGTCGTGAAATATCTAGCAATTGTACAGATCCAAGAAATAAATGAAGTCCAAGCTAATAAATAAACAAATAAAATGCTAATGCTGTGGAAATCTACAGATCATTCTCGAAGCACCTCGAAGCTATGCGAAACACCCGCTAAGGAAGGAATCTATCGTAAACTGGTCCATCGATCCACCCAAATTGAAATCAGAGATAGACTGAGGACTCGATGACATAGGACTGGGCGTCTCCGTAGGCGATCCGCATGAACTAGCGATGCCCATCATATCCTCCCAGTTGAGAGGAAGGGAAGACTGGGTAGAAGAGTTGGGGGCAAAGGACGCATCCAGGTTCGATAGAGACCATGTGGTAGGCCACTGACCATCAGAAGACAATGGAGGAAGCGTGGCGAACACGTTGGACGATGAACCGAAGTTGGCGTCTACAGAGTAGCTATTCGAGACTGGAAAGCCGGAGCACCATAACTGGTCCGACTCGTCCATGGCACCTGCTCCGACGGCAGGCAAGACTTGCTTCGGGGGAGAGCAAGGAAAAAGCTCTTGAGGCTGCTCGAACAACTGGGAGAAGTCACCAGTAGATTGGGAGGGAAAAGACAACAATTCTTTTTCCCATGCAAATGCATCCAACTGGGAAGTACTCGCACTAGAGCTGCTCGGCCAGGAGTCCAAGCTCGATGGCGACGACGAGGGGAACATGTAATTGGTGAAGTCGCAGTCTGTGAGGTCGATAACTTCAGAGGAAGGAGTCATCGACGAGGTTGGGGTCATCGAGTACAGGTCATCGGTGGGTAATGCAGCGATAGTAGGGTGTGGGGTGTTGGGAAGGAACTGATTGACCTCGTTTCTCGGGGGGATGCTGTATGGCTTGGGCTTGTAGCCATGAGCTCTCTTCCTGTGCCGAGTCAATGAGCCCGGGTCAGTTGTAGCAAAGGTGCAGTCCTCCGTAGGACACTTCTGCGACTTGTCGCCAGTGCTATTAGACAAGGTAGATTAGCAACCCGTATGCTAAAAAGTACAACTCAAATACTTACTGTGTACGAAGATGCGTCTTGACGTTTGATTTCTGGAGAGTCCTATAATCACAGCCTTGGAAGGGGCAACTGTGCATACTGTATATGAAAAGTCTATTAAGCAGGGTCCAGCACGAGAGTGATCGAGAAACTTACAGCTCATCCTTGTTTACCATATGCGTCCGCATATGGCGAGGCATATCAGCCTTGCGACTGATAGGCCTGTAGCAAATGGAGCAAACTGCTGACTATTATGGAATGGTCAGCTTTGGGCCAGGTACTATGGCAGAGGGGGAGCTTACCTTGGAAGCGGTCATGATTGGATCAAGTTATTGATTGGAGGATTGGATGTGAGAATTGGATGTGAGGACTGAATTGGTCTCGTAAGGCTGAAAGCGCTTTCTGTTGGTGGGGACATGGCATGGTGGGCGCGCTGCATTTAAGCAATCTGACGGTGCTTGGGGCATCGGTGTACTGTCGATGCTGATTGCTTTTGCTAAGCGGTTTATTACTATAAAAGACGAAAACCGACGGTGGCAGTGGCGCGATTGCTCTGGGTGGTCTGAGCAAAGGTCCAAGCACCGTAGGTGAGCCACCCGCCAAACATAAAAGGAAGAAAAGACATGAACGTCGTGATTGTCTCCCAACACTTTTCCTGTAAAGGCAATTCTTGTATTCAGAAATACTAACTATGGTACCCGGGTGGCACTCACCAAAGGCCATAGCACCGGCAGCAGTGCAGACGGCAGCGTTGGGTGTATGTAGAGCTCGCTGTTGAGGACGGTGTCCAGACAGAGCAATACGTGGGAATAGCAAGTCTCGAATGTCGTTATTGAAAAATTACATACGGGTTACCGAATAAGGGCTCGCCCGATAAATTGTATTCAGCTCAGTAACTCTGTACCAAAATGCTGTCTTTCACCCGTGCAGTACGACCTCTCGCCTTTCGCGCACGTCGTTTCGTTCACAGTCCCTCCTTTTCCCATCTCAACGCCGTCACAGAAGAAGATGTCGCCCATTTCTCAACCATCCTCGCACCCACCTCCGTCTTCTCCACCATCGGTCCAAATGCCGTGTCTTCAAACGATATAGCGACTTACAACGAGGATTGGATGGGAAAATACCACGGAAAAGCTACCACCGTTCTTCGCCCTCGCACCACGAAGGAGGTCAGTGATATCGTCAAGTGGTGCGCGAAGCGGAGGATAGGCATCGTTCCTCAGGGAGGCAATACCGGTTTGGTGGGAGGGAGCGTCTCGCTCGACAAGGAGGTCGTACTTAACTTGGGCGCCATGTCCAATGTACGCTCGTTTGACCCAGTATCAGGTAGACAGTCCCACTCCTCTTCCATACCTTTTTCTCCGAATAAGAAATTATTAACACGAACTTGTTACAGGAATCCTCGTGGCAGATGCCGGATGCATTCTCGAGTCCTTGGGCGACTACATTGCCCCTCACAACTACATAATGCCTCTCGATCTTGGCGCGAAAGGGAGGTGTGTATCTGAATTACCCCAGTAAACACTAACTCAACTACTGCTGCACACACATAGCTGTCAGATCGGTGGAAACATCGCCACAAACGCTGGTGGCCTTCGTCTCCTACGATACGGTTCATTGCATGGCAGCGTCCTCGGACTCGAAGTCGTTTTACCCGACGGAACCATCCTCGATCAACTCTCCACACTACGGAAAGACAACACCGGTGCGTCTTTCTTCTCTCCCAACAACCTCCAGCTTCCATTCTCTGACAACACACTTACCAAGGGTACGACATGAAGCAGCTCTTCATCGGCGCAGAAGGCACCCTCGGCATCGTCACAGGCGTCTCCATCATGACACCCCCCGCTCCCCAAGCCACTCACAACGTCATGCTCGCCCTCCCCCGCTTCGACAACATCCTCCCTCTCTTCCAAGCCGTCAAGCGCGACCTCGGAGAAATACTGTCCGCGTTTGAATATATCGACCGCACGGCGTACGATACCGCCGTCGCTCACGGACATGCGCGCGTGTTCACAGACGAGGAGATGCAGGGCGCGCAGTGTTTTGTGTTGATTGAGACTAGTGGTGGGAATAACGATCATGACGAACAGGTGAGTGGGCGGGGGGTTGCCCCCCTTTCCCTTCCTTCCTTCCTTTTCCTTCTTTCGCGATGAGCCTAATGCTATGGACGCCTCCAGAAAATAACAGAGCTGCTCGAATCCCTATTGACCGCCGACAAACCCCTCGTCCTCACAGGCGTCCTGTCCCAATCACCCGCGCAGTTCGCCTCGCTATGGGCTCTCCGCGAAGGCCTCCCGGAGGCCCTCCAAAAAGAGGGAAAACCCTACAAATACGACATCTCCATCCCCATAGCTGATTTCGAGCGCGTGGTCGACAGCTGTCGCGATCAGCTCAAGTCTAGGGGTTTGTATGGCGATCACGCGGTGTCGAAGGTCGTCGGGTGGGGTCATATCGGGGACGGTGAGCCGCGACTAGCGTTGTGACTGGCAATGATGACTCAACCCTGATATGTTTTTGGATTTTATACAGGTAATCTGCACATTAACGTTATCGCCAAACAGGGCTACACCCCTGAAATCGAGCAGGCCTTAGAGCCATTTATATATGAAGTTGTCTGTGCGTATCCTGCCTTCCTCCGTTTTCGTGTCTTGCCTTTCTTTTATTTTCTTCTCCAACCTCGGCTGCTACTAACATTCTTTTTTGCGTTGTAGCCTCTCTCAAAGGTTCGATATCAGCAGAGCACGGGATAGGCTCCATGAAGCCCCACGCACTCCACTACTCGAAGAGCAGCGCCAGCATAGAGTGGATGAAAAAGCTCAAAGAGACTTTCGATCCTCTCAACATCATGAACCCTGGCAAAGTCCTGCCATGAGAGCTTATCTCAGTCAGTCGGCGCTACCGTTTCTGCAACGTAAAAAGTAGGGAATCTATATTTTTGGCTTATTGTTTATGCGCACAGGCTGGGGACACTGCTTACTGTACACGGCACCGTCTATATATCACCCGCTGAGAGAAGCTTTAGTGCTAGGTAGTGATGTTGTAACATCTGTCCTGTCATTTACTGGACAAAATTGATTGCGCTCAAGGAGTATGATTTTCATAAATTGCTGCTGCATTGATCAAATTAACAAGATCCAACAATGAATTCCACCGTACTACAAGACTACACCACATGGAATGAACCTTCTCACATCTAACAACCCTCTCAATCACACTCCGCATCAGAAAAAAAAACGAATCAAAAGAGGCCAGCTAAATCCGCAAACGGATCCTTCCCTTGCGCAGCGTTTCCCGTCGACGCACTTGCACCCGCCTGTAGCGGCTGTCCCTGCTGTCTACGATCCAAAATTGAGCCCATGCTCGCACTGACGCCCGCCCCACCCGCTGGACCTCTCCCAGCGGGTGCACCGCCGTTGTTGTTGAAGTAATTTGGCGAGACCATCCTCGCAGGGGCCTGTGCCTGCCCTGCCGGCTGTGGCGTCCCAGGCAGCATGATAGACCCAAAATGCTGCTGGGGCGACGCCTGGCCAGAACTGCGCGAGTAGGACGGTGGGGCGGACGTAGGAGCGGGGCGGGAGTTGTTGTTGACGGGTGGAGCCATCCCAGCGACGGGGGAGGGGGAGTACATTTTAGTGCTGGGGGGTATATACTGCGCCTGCGATATCGACGACGATGCCGGAGTGGCGAAGAGGTCTGCCAATTCGTCGACGGGGTGGCTGGAAGCGCCGGATGAGGAAGTGTGTGATGGCGCGGAGTCGTCAAAGTCGATGAGCGAGAGCTCGTTCCTTGTGGATGTCCCTGCGAGTTCGGCGGGGATGGGGTTGGAGGAGGTGACGTAGTCGCCTTTCTTGAATGCCTCGAATCGGTCGAGGACGATGTTGATCTGATCGTTCATCTGGAGGAATATATCTAGGTAGTTGTTAGCGCTGAAGTTAATTCGTAGATAGATACTGAACCGCAGACTCACCTAGGGATTCAGGGTCATCCGTTTCTGCGTCAGAGATCCATTTTTGTAGTTTAGGACGGGCGCTTTCTAATATGTTAGCGACTTGCTAAAAAATCAACGAACAGCGTCAATACACATCCCTTTATTTCTCCGCGCTCATACGATACACGCACATCATACACATCCCCAGAAGCAAACTTCTCTCTTCTCGACGTATCGACATTGTCTAGCATTTCGTTTAGCAAGACTACTTTTGCTTCGAGCTTGCTGAGCTCTGTGAGAGCTTGGGAGCGATAGTCTGGTTTGGCATCTGGGTTGGCTCCGGCGAGGGCTTTCATGAGTTCTTGCGCGGCTGCTAGATCTCGGGGCGTTCCACGTCGGATGAGTTCTTGAAGCTTAGCGGACTGAGCTTCTCGATCCTCCATTTCAAGTTCATCAGCCGATTTGATGTTCTGCACAAAAAATAGCACATTTAAAAAAAAAACAAGAACGAATGGGCAGAGGTAGAAGGAAGGAGTATACCATAGAATCAGACAAGTCAGGCTGCCTTGGCAAATCACGGAAACGATATCCCTTGAAAGTCAAAAGCCGATGCATATCTCTAATATTCCCCAGATCATCGCGCCACCTCGATTCAGCACAGATGCCCTCCTTCCACCCGTGGATTAAATCTAAAATACGTGACATGACAGGACCCGGAAAAGGTGGGGGGCGCTCGGGAAATCGCCGCACAAGCTCGTTCAGAAATTCTTTGGTGGATATTTGAAGATGGAATGGGTAACCGCATGTCTGAACGAGGGTGTCAATGAGTGAAAGAGCTAATACCGAGATGTGTGGGTTTCGATGATTGGCAAAACGGGCGATGAGCATGCTGGCTTCGCGAGGGCTGCAAATTCTGAAATCAGCGAATGGGGACTGCGTGATTGTATAGATAACACGCACGTATTTGCTTTCTTGGTGTTTATGTAGTCAGCTACCTCGAGATGAAGGGCATAATTTGGTTCTAGGAGTGAGGGGTCGCATGCTCGGGTGACAAGAACTTCGAGCTGCGAGACTTTGAACCAGGGCGTCGTCGGCGTGCTCAGCATCGTGCTTGCTGCAGCAATTTGAGAAACGTTCTGAACGTTGAGGACGATGTCGACGTGGATGGATGCTATTGTACAATCAAGAAAGCTTCCCTTTCGTCTGCGGATGTTCCATTAACACAGCTGCATGCATCGTGGGAACTTTGCGCAGGTGCTCTTTCCCCCAGTCACTACCTGTAAAAAACCTTGCATACCACCAAAAGCCTACCGCTACGTGCAATCTTCTGCACGACGTCTCGCACAATGGGAATATTTCAGCTTTGTGTGCGAAATTTGCTTTACACTCAACAATGCGACGTGTAACTCAAGCTGGTCCAATGAACTCGAAGCGCCGATGGTCCGTCGTTTATCCTGAGGACACCAACAAGACTATGTTAAAGCCAAAATGGCCGCATCCAAAGTCTCAGAAAAGACCAACGGATCGCTCGCTTTAGATGGTCCACCATTCGTTCGCACAAGCTCAGGAAAGCTGGTGGCGGGTCTCAGTCAACTTTGGCGTGCAGAATATTCTTCATGGATTCAAGTCCCCTTTGTTCAAGGTGGCAAAAGCAATGTGGAACGTAGCCAGTCAGACTACGTTCTGTGGCGAGATATTGATTATGGACCAAAGTGGCCGTCTTCACAATGATCAGCTGCACAAGCTCTGGGGACACCAAGGCCTCATCGTCAAAGCGCAAGGCTCGCTTCAGGGGTCAGACAATAGCCTTGAACCCCACCGCTTCTACAATGGCAAGCTCGTTGGTCGCCACAAAATCAAAGCGGGGGCCACCGTGATTCTACTACTTATAAAGAGGCGTTCAAAGAGGGCTTTCACATACCAAAATCGCAATAACTTCACCCCTTAGATCAACGATCATAAAGGTAAGGATAGGACCCTTATCATCGTTTGTACTTCGCTTCTAATCGCGCCTCCTACTTCTGTAGATGTACTCATGCATGCAAGGTTGTGGCCAAAGCTTTGAGAGCCCCGCCAAATTGAAGAAACACCAGGCGATGCATGGTCGAGCCCGAGCTCCCGAGTAAGTGGTTTCCTTTTGGCAACCAGGTTCAGGTCTCTTATTGACTTCCAAATAGAAAACCCTGCCCTTTTGCAAAGGACGGTTGTACCTTCACAGCGGCCAACATGCTGAAGATGGAGGCCCACGTCTCCAAGCAGTGAGTCTGTTCATTGCCATTCCTCGTCACCATAACTCTAATATCTCGTCCCTTTCCATAAGTACTGGTGAGAAACGTCACACCTGCCCTGAAAGGGGATGTGATTTCAAGACCACTAATGCCGGTGCTTTGGCCCGCCACCGCATGGCTCAGCACGGTTACGTCTCAAGGAGCGGAAGGAGTAAGCATACATTTGCATATCCTCAACTCCAGCGCCCTGATATTTTTTTTCAAGCTTCTGCCAACTATCAAGCGAGGAACGAGAGTCAAGCTTCATCCAGCTCTCAAGCGAGGACCGTGGACCCGCACTATCCTCACTATCCTCCCGTGCCAGCCAAGCACCAGGTCCCTGATGCTCACAATTTCTATGGGGTTTCTGGCCCCCACAACGAACCGTACGAATTTCCTCGTCCCTATCCGGCTGAAAATGAATACATCGAGCTTGTGGAAGATTCCGAGACGTTTGACGAAAGGGACATTTTCTATCGCCCATGCGAGACTGGAGGATTTTACCCCGAGGCTATGGAGAGAACCACTGCGGGCGCTATCACCCCCGGATTTTTGTTTAACAAGAAGTAATTTGCAGATAGAAGAGATGCGAGAGGAAAGTCTACCTCCGCTAGTTTGGTGTTGAGAAACTTGTATAGTCGAGCAACCCATCTTGTATTATTTCAGAGCTGGCCTTGTTTGTATTCATATTCTATTGCACACTTTTATTGACTTGAATGCCACTCCTTTGGTTATTACTTTCGTCCAAGGCTCAGTCAACATTTGCTCTTTTTTCATAAGGCAAGCATGCAATTTGGGTATAACGTTACCTATGCTCGACTTGTCGCGATAACATAAAACATAGGAACAAAAGATAAAGCTACATGCTTCCTTGATAAATAGCTCCGCACGCCGGCTGCTTCCAAAGTCGGCCAGAAAGACGTCCTAAACTACGACACCAACATTATATGATGCTCACAAGACACGTTTAGGCTCGGCATACAACGTTTCGGGATCATCAGCTTCAAAACACAACTCGCTACCGACGTCAATCAATCTAGTAAGCCCGACGCCTGAGAGAAGCAAGAAGAGCACACCAGGTACATACGACAAGTCTGGGAGGAGCGGACGTTCCTCTGCTTCCACGCCTTCATGCGCATACCCTTCAAGCAGGCCTAGCGCGCTATCAGATGGGTCGTAGCTGGGAAACCAAAAAGTCAGTGCGCGCCACCACGAAACGATGCGATTGGCAAGGCTTACCGTTTTGCGCGTGTGTGGGCGGGCGGCTGAGATGAGGAGGAGGGGGGCGTGCGTGTTCGTTTGTTTCCGAGCGAGCTTCCGCTTTGATGGTTGGGATGAGGGGGTATGGCGCTGGGCCAGCCTGCAGCTACTTTGGTTGTGTGGTCTGGGTCAGGGCTTGCTCCTGAACGTGATGAACACGTATCCCCCTGTGGTGGGCTCATGCTTTGCTGTGAGGGCGATGTAGTCCTCTCGCTATGTATTATTTGAGATGAGTTATACTCATAAACTCATATACACTTACGTCTGATCCAAGCTAGTTGGATAATGTTGGTGCTGATCATCCGACATGAAAAGACTGCTTTGCCAGGGAGGTAATCGATAATCCACCTCTTATTTTATCTGAGAACGTTGTGTCGAATGAGTGAGGAATGCTCTAAGAGATATAGAAGAATGTACACACCGGTTGTGATAGGATTATTTTACAGACGGTCCTCGTCGAGTGGCAGAGGCGATAAAGAATTAAAAAGGGAGTAAACCTATGTTTGATACAACTGCTTTAATCACCATGATGCTATGGCTGTGATAAACCGAAAGGTTAGGACAAAGGAAGCCTCATTCAAAGGCAAAAGCGCCACCGTGCAAAGAATCATCCATGCTGAATCAGAGAGGCTTCGTATACGCATGACCACTGTTGCATCTGTTCAGTGATATTCAGTTTATAATGGCGATTGGTACGCATGCGAGACTCGCAGTTGTGGTGAAATACGAAAATTTTAATAACAACTTTGAACTCGGATTGGGACGTTGAAATGATTCCAAACTTCTTTCTTTTTTGTCCTGACCTTTACACCACGGGCATGAAAGGGTTCCAGCCAAGCCGGGAGAGGTATGATTCGTACACAAACAGCATAATTTCAGCCACTGACATGTTGCTGGTTCTTTATAAACTAGGTTTGTATTGGCTGAGCTGCTGACTTTTCAAAGAACTAGCAATGTGTCAGGCACGAACCATCCCAGCTATTTCTCAAAAGATTGGTAAAATTTTAGTTTATAAAGAACCAGCAACATGTCAGCCTCAAACTGGGCACGAACCATCACAGCTATTTCTCAAAACATTGGTAAAATTTTAGTTAATCTATCACAAAGTATATATTTATAATATTTGAAGTATCCCAGCCAGGTGGCTGAAATTATGCTGTTTGTGTTCGAATCATACCTCTCCTGGCTTGGCTGGAACCCTTTCATGCCCGTGGTGTTTATCATCACGAGAACATATTTTAGTGTCAGGAGGATGTTCTTTTTTGGAGATATCACACGACAAAGTTTAGTGTTGTACATCATGCATTAGAACAGGACTCACCAGACAGATTGGATCCACCAAGAATGTTGAGAGGGAAGCACCAGGCAAATCATGGGAGATAAAGAGGGCAACGGCATGCAATGAGGTGAATAGATGCAAGTGGGAATACACTCATTGACAAGTGAATGGGCCCTCTTACCCTTAGACACTCAGAGTCTTCAAATAATTGGATATGTGCGAGCATATTTCATGTCAAACTGGCTGTGTACTGGCAGATATGTTCAATTCAGATTACTTGAAGACTTGTTTCTAGGAATCATAATATTCCAGAGTGTAGTGCATAAAGAGAAGCATATATATCATGAATCTACCAGAAGCAGCATGTCAGTTCCTCTCCTTTACCTATCTCTCACAGGTGTCATCTGGAATAAGTTTTTGACTGTGTACTCATTTAAGTAACAATAGTCCATAATCATCCGCTTCTTTCCATCCTTTTTAGGGATGAAGAACACCGGTGTCATGCACCAAAGTTAATTGGTAGCATGGACAGGTGTCAATAACGAAGCGAATATTCAAAAAGACTCGCCTTTGCGCCACACAGGCACAGTGCCACGTGGAATAGTAATTAATATTGCCCTTTTCGAACTTGTGGCTGATCAGCACCACCTCTATTAGGCAATCCAGTCACGCTCACCTTTGCTTTTCCATCCGGTACTTTCCATGTTTCGGCATTTCGGCAAATTTTTGCGTCGCCACTGGCTACACATTGCATTGCGCCCTCGCTTTTGTCGTTTCCCTTACTCCCCTTCCTTTGCCTAGCCCCACCATGGGCCCCTTCCTCTCCTTTTTATTCTCACCTGACGGTCGTTTCTGGATCCCCATTCTAATCCACTTTTTCGTCACCTCCACCCTCCTCCTCCTCATCTTATTTGCACCCCCACCATTTCTGATGTCACCACTTCCTATCCGCTTCCGTCGCTGATCCATTGACTACCACGTGCCACTGCTGATATCAGCAAAGCCCCGGCGGCCGGTTCAAATAGGGCAACAGGTCCATCTTTATGACGTCGATCTACCATCATATACTATCAAAACATCGGTCGCTCGTCTTGCCTGGTTGGAGCGTGGGTGGGTAATTTTTGAGCTGGAGAAGGTTCATCCCCTTGCGTTGCCCATGTTCATCGCTGTCCCATTCACTTGGGTACACTTATCTTTTGTCCATCGTCTTCGCTACAGCTACACCTATCACACGCTGCCTGGGACTCACTTGTTCCAAATTGGAACTACTCCTCTCCCTCCCTTGTTTGATCAGGTGGTCCAACACAACCAGTCCATTGGTAAGGCCATGGAACTGTCGGATTTGGACTAGGTGGTGGACCGGTGGCTCCAGTTTCTTTTTCTTCAGCAGAACATTCATTTACAGTGCGATTATTTTTGATTTTTGAATCATTTTTATGGACACATATTTTTTTAGAATGCCTGACTGACAATAAAGGAACTGTGTTGATACTGATAGTGTTTTGCCTTGCCCTTTTTTTACTGCATCTTCCCATGACATCATGATTTTCCTGCTCTCTTTTTGCTATTGGACTTTACTTTATGGCTGTACAAACCTGTGACATTACTCACAGCATTTATTGTTCTATCCCTTTCTTTTCCTTTTTTTGACAATCTTATCCTGTACTACCTACGCAGGATTCGTCAGCGTACATTCCTTCCTTCATATTCTTTCTCATTCTTTTTGCACAGCTATACTGTGCATAGCCTACTTTTCTTTTACTATATAAACCCCTGTATTTTACCTTGTAAAAAAAAAGAACAAGAACTCCAATCCAGACTTCTTCTCTAATCTCAAGTTCACTACTCTCTGCTACTTGTGATCCAGTGTGGTCACAACACTTCCCACTGCTACCACTGTTAATTGCTGTCATCGTCACTTCCCACTTTTGAAGTCATTGTTATCCCTTTCGATTAGAGTCCTTCTGAGCACTACAGTTTGTGCGTTAGGAGCCTGCTATCACTGGGAACCTCGTCATATTGTCGTTCTCAAACCTACCTTGTGCTACGATTAGCAAGGTAGTGCTCGTCTATACTCGTCACAAAGCCCCTATCCTTCTATAAATTCAACTATCCCTCCTCCTCAAAACCCACACTCATACACCTCTGGGTTTTACTTTGAAGGATCTTTATACATACCACCCCACAAACAACCAGACCACTCCACTGTTCTAGGAGGCAAAGCCCATAAACAAGTTCCGTGGAATCTGGAAGGATTGTGTGTTAGTTTGTTTTGTGTGTGGTTTTCTAACTACAGTTCTCATCATCAACACCGGGTTTGCACGTTGTGCAAGAGAGTAGTAAGAGCAAGTCCTAATGTAACAACCAAAGTTTGTATACTTTGGCACACAATAAGACAAGCAGAAAGGGGTGAGTGGAGGAGAGGATAGTCTCTCTTATAGTAGGACCAAGTTTGTTATGGGTAAATAACAGGACAACTCGCTGAGGAGTCTCCTTGATCTATTGGGGTATATATACTACTACAGACTATTTGTACATGTGTACTATACAGTTGATGAAGGCAGTGGCTGATGATATCATAGGGCACAGCCCGTGTGGCCAGCTCCACTGCGTAAGAGACTTGTATATAAAATAAAGGAAAGCAGCACAGCATGAGAAAGTGGAGTTTAAACAGAGGGAAAGTGCCGCATGGCACAGTGTGTGAAAATAAAGAAAGAAAGTTAAAGCGGAGAGTGAAAATCAAAGGTCTGACAATTGTGTACTGTAACAGTACACACCACCCACTTTAGGTATGCGTCCTGTTATTTTTCCTCTCGGGTCATAAATGACACATTCACCTTTCTCAAGGACAGCTTTGTAGCCTGCTTGTTCATACAGCCAATCAAAATCAGGGTGTAGGCCATATTTAGTGCGTATAATACATGTTTCAGGTGCACTTGCGTGTCTTTATGGGTGCTGTTGGGGGCACTAATTATCATATCCCCTGTTCCCACAGCGGAGAAGGAGTCCTGGTTCACCACGCTTATAGGGTAAGGTGTGATTGTGCAGTAATTGAGTAGGAGGTGTCAATAAGGGGTGAAGTGACTCCTAGCACCAGAGTCATAGATTTTGATGGAACTCTTGGGTCTCATGTTCATAGTGAGCTGGTGAGTGAGGGCACTCCATGCGCCTTCTTCTTCAATATCTGATAGGCTCACGCTGTGACATTCAGCATGAACAGCAAGGTTTGCTTTTTCAGGTTTCTTTCCTTTTGCATTGCCTGCCTGCCCCTCTTCCTTTATATCTCCTGGTGAGTCACCCTTTGACTCATTATTTGCAGAGCGCTCACACTTCTCGCTGGGGCACTGGTGTGATCTGTGTCCCTTTCCACCGCAGTTCCGGGATTCAAGCTCACTGGCATCTTTGTCGTCTTTGCCACCAGACAACTTTCCCTTTCTGTAACAACCTCTTCCGCCTCAATTTCCACGTTTGGATAATCCCTGTCCTCTGGTGGCTGACATTGCAACACCTTCAGATTTTGCTGTTGGGCATTTTCTGAATATAATCTGGCGGTCATATTCTTGGAGAAGGTACAAGATCAGTGTCTCTGGGTCCAAAGTCTGCTTTGACATACAGGCAGATGCTGACAGGTGCAATACATAGGTGGCGTATGAGTGCAGCAGAGACATGATGGTGCTGGAGGTGAGTTCTTTGTCTGCTAGTTGGACTCCTGCTGTGCTGAGCTGTTCCCATAGCGTGCAAATCTTGTCCAAATGTGTGCACAAGTCTCCTTTCTTGGTGCAGTGTAGGTTCAACAACCTTTCTTAGCTCAGACTGAACTAACTCTGTTTTGTTCTCATTTTCTTGGCAGATCATGGCCCACATGTTGGTGATGGTGGGTTTGTTTAGGATCCTTTGCAGTGTTGAATCAGGTATGGTGTGATCTAATATGTCTCTCATGCGGTGCTCCTTTTTCAACCAGGCATCAAGTGCTTCTTGATCGACCTTGCTGACTGCTGCAGGAGGAGATGTTATCACTGTGGCCTGGCCAGCAGTCTGGCTAGTGGTCTGGGATACTGGTACCGGCCTTTTTGCTGTGCCATGGATGTGCTCGACGCAGTTTTGGTCAGCAAGGGCCCATTCAAGGCAGGTTTTGTACATCAACCAGTTTGAGCTATCCAGCTCAAGCTTTGGCACCCCAAGGGTGTCTTTTTCTGGGTACATTGTCTCACTTGCAGGGCTCATAACCTCAAAGAGATCTAATATAAACCAAATACTCAGACTTTGTGGGCAAAGCTCTGAGAATATATTTGCATACCTAATATAAACCAAATACTAGGTATAGAGTAAGCATATAACCAAAACTAAGATAGTATAACATCCTCACCTCAGACTTCATGGGCAAAGCTCTGAGGTGGGCAACTGTTGCTATGAAGGTTTAAAAAGGGTAAACGGAAGTATAACTAAGGAGAAAATTTGCCCATCAAAACGCACGGGCCATCTAACTACTACACTTTCCTAGTATAATGCCCTGCACCATATTTTCCCTTCATACAACACTTGTCTTTGTCAACTCGCATTTTCTAACAAGTAATGCCTCTGCTATATAGTACTATTAGAGCTATAATAGCATATATAGTATTGATTCTGCTATATAGCTGAAGTGTTTTTCCTGATGAACATACCTCAGCGGGAACAGAATTGTACAAGTACGGTCTGTATATATATGTTTATGTAGAATACCACACAAACAAAGAGGGTTGGGACAAAATGCATGTCCAGAATGCCATAAGTTGTGTTCTCTTTGTGAGTATCTGTCAGAACCGTGGCCTCTTCAGAGTAGCAGAGTACGGAGGACGGGATGGGGAATTGGCTTAGCTCGTGTGCTAGATCCTTCCATGGACCTTGGTCCCTAACTCGTTGGAAATAGACGGAGGAGAAGTAGAGGATGAAAAGGAGCAGAGTAAAGATCCTTCAGAGAAGGATTGGAAAGGTTGTTAGAAAAGGATTGGTAAAAAAGCAAGGGAATCTAGTTGATATTTGAACTGCAGGAATGGAGTACAGGAGTTACAGCTTATATACTGTTGGGGGAGCAAGAGTTTGTAAGGAGTCACTCGTAATGTAGGTACTGAGTTCCATGCGGACAATTATCATGTGCAAGGAGAAATATATGGCGGACTAGAAGTCCGGTGCAGGAGTATCAGAGTGGACAACCGGAGTACCATATGGGAATGGAGCGTAGAGTTATGCCAACCGGCAGACCACGAGGAATGTAATCCTGAACATACCAATGGTTCAGGGGTTTTGGGTCCAGAGCATAACTCCTTTGAAACTGCCGGAGTTCTGTCTTCCGGTACAGATATGACCGTGCCCAAAATGATGAGCAGCTCAATGGCAGTGATGAATCTGACAGCCAAGAATCATTTGGGGATCCTAATGATGACATATTTTGCGATGACATATAGAAAGGAAGCACAGCATAACAATTCTCATCATGTAATCAATTTTTGCCCCAGGGTGCAAGGATTCACAGGCTCAAGTGAGCAGTAGAACAACGGTTTGTTTTCAACTTTCTCTTGTTGTGCTATATGATTAAATCTCGTTATGATTCTGGCGAGGAGAAATGGCGCCATGTGAGCTGAGATAATGGTAATTGGTTTTGTCCAGAAGATGCAGATGGTCGCACACATGCTGGCAAGAAATTCAATGCCACAGTTATCCTGCCACAGTGAAAAAAACTCAGGATTCTCAATGAAGATCGGTCACATGTATCACACAACACTTTTGGCCATGTTGTATTTCCATAAGATTGTGGTTCAACTGCATGATGGTGGGCTGGCAAAAGCAAATTGAGAGTAGGGATATTTACTGTACTAAAAACTTGTATCAAATCGCTGTGCAGAGACGACATATGGCAAGGAAAAATGGCCGATGTTATTGGACTATTTGATAGACGGCATCGTTTCAACGGCATGGGGAAGATACCAGGCTTGGTATAGCAAGAAGAAATGGTCTACAGCCCCTGAGGAGGAGAGAAGATCTAAGAGGAACAAAAAGAGAGGTCCTGGGCAGCCAAAGAAACAGAAGGGTAAAGAAGGGAGGGGAGGTAACACCGGATCTTCTTCTCTAATCGTTACATGATGACATACTACAGAACTCAAATGCATACATACAATGTAAGGTAGAAATGGAACACAACAAATACCGCGTTCAATAAATGGTGTTAGACTACGTCAAATATGATATAACTCACAGGCAAATGTATAGGTCCAATACTCATACTAGGAACAGACAGTCTGTCACACGCTAGAATGAGAGCAGATAGCAAGTGCCACATCAATCGCGGGCAAACTCATAGTTTCGCCATGATTGGAGCTCCCTTCGGTGGTGATCCCGCCATTTTGCTATGCACACCAGATACTACCAAACGATGTCGAGTATCGTTCCATATCTGTTCAATTGCTTAGCGTTTGACAACACACATAGGACGTGTAACATTAGCCCACCTCACAGCGAGACGACATGGCTCGGGCACCCATTGTCAGGGTAGTACTAACGATACGCAACTTATCACCCCTGGAAATGAAAGTATGAATGTTTCAAAGACAACGAAAGAGATACCATCAAGACGGGGCTTAGCGACGCACAATGCAGCTGGAGAATGATACATGATATTGATAGACAGTGAAACTCCGAGCTTGGCCTCTTCACCCATCGCTTGCCCCAAAACAACGTTAGCCATCGTGGAACAGCTGTCACGGTGCGGAGGATGTCATGATAAATTATGATGGAGGGTCGGTGGAACAACATACTTGTCTACGAGGAGTCCAGAACAACCTCCGTGTAGATTATCAGCAGCATTGAGCATGTCTGAAGAATGACAAATTTCGTTCAAAGTTGATGCAGACTCGGAGGCAAGTTGGCCATACCTTCTTCAACGATGATCTCCATAACTACCCTTCCCTCCAACTTTTCTGGTTCTTCAGCCTTTCTAACGAGGGATACCTCTTTCCAAGTTAGCCTCGATGTTATCTCCCGCTCAAAGCCTTTTGGTGAAATTGCTTTATTTCTCCTCTCGTCCAGTGATCTGAATAAGACTTGTTTGAAATCTAAGGAGGTATTTCCTTCGATGAGGGAAAGGTCGTTCGGGGGGAGCATGATGCGCGAAGTCCTCCAGGAAGAAACGTATGTTATGATGGGCTCTTCAGTACGTTGTGGGATGGAATATCAGCCTGAAACAAGACCATGCAAGTAATCAAGCAGTATCCAAGCTGTTATATATAATGTTCAAGTTGTATGGTAGTCACCGGTGTTGTTTCGGGCCTTGGTGGGTGCAATTTCAGCGTGATATCATGATCACGTGCGTGAACTGTCAATGTGACCCATTGTGACAAGCGTGAATCCAGCGTCACACACGCGACAGCGCCCATCCCGGTCAAGGTCAGTACTAATTTCTGAGTATTTCTTGTGAGTCGCTGCAAACACCTTCTCAGCCTTTCTTTCACCGTACTAACGTTGGATGTAAATAGGACTGGCGTGGATTGGCTTATCGTATTGTGGACCATCTTGCTAACGGTAAAACCACATCCACACGAGACAAAGAGCTCGCTTTGACCACAAAAATAGTACTCGCCGACATTTATAAGGCCACCTGTACACTTTCCTTGGATGAGCCATAGCCAATGGACCTTGACTACAGCATGGACGATGGAACGACGTTGCCTCTCACTGGTTCGCAGTGGGTTGCTCGTGCGTCTGCCAGCACCGTGTCCATAGATGCAGATATCGTCAGATGGCAAAGCTCAGAGCCACAAAACCCTGCTCTTCAAGCTCTCATGAAGGCTGCAGAGACCTCCGTGTATCTACGTGGGTACTATCAACTTGTCATTGCCTTCTGGGATGCTGAATAGCATCTTCTCGTTTTCGTTAGCACCCCGAAGCAGCACATCATCTTCGCTGCGCATCGAATCTGAAGTTTCAGAACTTGGGAAATACGATGCCACGTCAGACCTTCGTTCTAGCACATCGGGGTCTTCCTCTTCACGACCGCGTTCTAGCATGGCTCGCAGACGCCCTTCCAATTCTTCGCGGCTATCTTCACCTGCCACTCCGCTCTCCCCTTCCATTCAGGGACACACAGCTCACTTTCTGGACCTCATCAAGACCGTATCCGGCCGTATTGATGAAAACGAGCGTCTGAAAAGACAGCGTTCTGCTCGACAACAACAACCGTTGCAGAAGCCAGGGTTGACAGACATAACTTCTAGACGTAACGTCAGGAGCAATCATTCAATGAGTTGCGTGCAGACTGCTCCAGAGAACAAGGGCAAAATACCAGCTACTGGTCGTTGGAGTTTGCCAAATCTGGACACACCGACATGCGAGATGCGGAATAAGAATGAATTGGCCATGGACGTTGATGCTCCAGTTGCAATCGATATACATGTAGATTCAGAGCAGATACCAAAGGATTCAGAGCCCTCATCCTTAGCAGCACCTGTGCACTCGAAGGCAGCCAAAGATCACTCAAGCTCCTCCGCCTCAGAGAATCGTGATGCACTTCGTCCCGAAACGCGCTCTCGTCTTTCGTCTCCTGCTTCGGGTGGCAGAGGTCAAACCGTAGCTCCCTCTCTTCCTCCTCAAAAGCGCCAAGCGCCTTCACAGCCATACCCTTCACAGCGTTCCCCTCCGGCTTCCCCTCGGCTTCATCCAACGCTGTCTCAAGAAGCTCCACGAAATACCCAAATGCCGTCCTCTCAAATGAGCCAACGTTCTTTCCGTCCACCTGTCCTCGGCATGCGCAGGGCTGTCAACAGTACCCCCGTCTCTGCATTTAGCGCCTCTCAAAATATACCCTACAGACAGAAGGGCTTCAAACCACCACTGGCGAAGAAACCTTCTGTTGCTAACATCACTCATAATACCGTTACAACTTCATCATCTTCAACTCCAGAAAATACGAGAACTCACAAAAGAAAGACATGTGAATTTGACGATAGTCTAGCGTCACTGCCTACTCCCGATCTAACTCCAGTTCAGCGATCAGCGACCGTCACGACACAGTCAGACTCTGTTGCCGAACCACACGACCGTTCTCCCTCGCCTTTCACAGAAGCCGATTCTAGTTTTGGAGATATATCTTTTGACATGGATGCTCTGGAGGAAACTATGCAGAAATATGATTGAGATAAGATTGTAGGGTGTTACACGGACAAACCTTATTGTCATGCTTACCACCGGCACCGTCTACTTATGCGTCAACACTCACTTATTGTAACAAATATCATCAATATATAATATAGTAACTTCAACTGTAGTACGTGAGGTGCGCAAAAACTAAATGTCAAGACACTTATATTGATACAAGCCAACAAATCATTCTCAAAGTCAAAAGTAAATCATCTTACACATAGTACAACTGATCACGGCCACTTTTGTTCACCACATTCTCCACGGGGGAGGGCCAGGGGGATATGTTCCCAACGTCCCAAAGACACTTGGGCCCCTGTTGGGCCCGCGATCTTCTGAATCATCGCTATCTCTTCGACGATTTCTACTTGGTCCACCTGGGCTACCATCACATTGGCCGCGACGGGATGGTTTGACCTTTTTACGACAGACAGGACAGGTATTCGCGTTATGAAGCCAAGTCTAGATAGATGGAATTGAGCTATTGTTTATGAGCGCTAGCCAACAGCGATTTACCTCCAGACAACCTTTGTGAAGCCAGTGAGAACATTCCAAGAGCTTGAGGACAGGGTCTGATGGCAGATACTGAATTGCAAGATCAGATATAAAACGTACGAGAATCATGTGTGGTTAGAACATACATCGTCAAGACAGATTGGACACCGCTGATCACTTTCCTCAGTTGCCCATTCCTTGTATGGAGCAGTGGGTAGAGATGCAATCACGTCATCTGGTGTAGCCTTAGACTTGACTTCGCCCAACGTCGCAGCAAGAGAAAGCAGACTCTCGTAGGAGGAGTCGAAATCCTCGTCCGGCTAACGAACACGACATCATCAGTACCTACTCACATGAAAGCAAACAGAAATGCCAAACCATATAATCCCCCAAAGGACGGCCAAACCTCGAACCCCACGGAGGAGTCTCCGTGCTCCTCTGCAACTGCATTCCCCGCCGCATAGCTCTAATTCTAGCATGCCTTTCCTCCATCGATGATCGATCCCTTTCATGCCGATGAGGCGGCGGACTGCGCGAAGACGCGCGAGCCAAGCGGTTTGTAAAACTAGTCCCTCCAGGCTGAGGCCGGTTTGCACCCGAAGCTGGCGCTCTCGATGCAGGAGGTAGACTCAACCGAGCTCTTAAACTGTGCATAGCCGCCCGATGTCTTTGTTGCGGAGAGAACCCAGGACCACTGCTCTCGTTAGCCGTCTCAGCCCAGCTCAACGTCGGAATTTCTGGTAGGTCCCAGTCCATGTCAAAACGGTCAGGAGGTGGGCGCGGCCGCGATCTGGAAAAACCGTCTTCACGAAACATCTCTAGAGCAAACCGGAGTCCTTGGATGGGACTACGTGAATGACGATCTCCTTGTTCAGCCCTTGGTCCTTCACGAGAGACATCCTCGTTGGGAATGAAAGTATTGCTTGTCCTAGCATGTGGAGGATCGACAGGAGCTCCTGTGCTTGGACGAGGATTAGAGGCAGTATCAAAATGCATTCGGTTGGGGCCGCCGAAAAGTCGTCCATATTCATTTCGAGACCCGAAAGAGTCCATCCTTTGCGTCTCACTCGCAACATTCCTGCGAGACCTGTCGCGATCAAGATGTTGCGTGAAAGATGACATTGCCCGTAGATCAAACTCTTCCATTTGCGGTATGACGGGACCTTGACTACGAAAGGGTGATGAAGGGCGACTTTGTCCATTGCCACTCGAGTTGTGAGAATGGGTTGGATGATGATGATGTACTGTAGGCGCTTCTTCTCTGGCATTAGGTATGCTACCCCATGAAGGTCGCGAAGCAAATGTGAATGGCGCAGGCGAATTATTCGCAGTCTCAGAAGATGGGTTTCTCCTATACAATAGGTTAGACTACTATCACGTAATTGGTTCGCAATGAGAAGGAAAGAAAAGATTCTTTGACTTGCCTGATTCCTCGTCTACGCTCGCTATTCAAGGGAACGCTCAAGGGAACGATGGGCTATCAAAGATACAAGGCAAATTGGTTATTGAAAACCTTAAGAAAGAATTGCAAGCACTCACAGACGGGGTCGGTCTACGACGATACTCTGCATGTGCCGGGCGGGGATCAGTGAATGGTGAAAGCTCAGGAGTCGTTTCTGAAGAAAGTTCTTCATCAAGCGTTAATGGGCGCCGTCTCATCTGCTCGAGCTGGACCATCCTCTGTATTGAATCCCTGAAAGGCCCTTCTTCATAAGCCTCCAGGTCAATATTGCCATATGGGAACGAATATCCATCACTAGGTACCGTACGACCTGGCACTACTGGCAAGGCCAACGAAGCGTGCATTCGCGTCTCACGAGAGCTAGAAGGTGGTGGTGTATAACGATACAAAGGATTTCTACTACGAACTTCAGATTGAAGAGATGTGTCTGGGGAAAATTGGTCTCCATGCAGCATATCGACATCGCCTGCCACGTTCGAGCTATTCTGAGTGCTGGTCGGTGAAGAGGCGTCCATGAGATCATCCGAGAAGATCGGGTGACGTGGGTAACGAATGCTCAAGGGGCCAGAAGGAGATGCTGAGGGATGCTGATTGGACGCCAGGCCACCAAAATCCCTCTCCCTCCGAGGTCTTCTCCAATCAGTGCTATCTGGGATGACAGGCATATGCCCTCGTTCACTCGTTCTATTGGAATATGAGCGCTCGTGTCCAAGCAAAGAGAACATGAGACCATTATCATGCTCATTGTCGTTCCTGGCATTCGATCCAGAGGTACGACGATATGGACTGGTCTCAGGCATGCCTGTCGGCTCCTCAGGTTGAGCAAAAAATGCTGTATTCCTTGCCATGTGAGATAACAGGTTGGACTCATCTCGGGTTGTGTTCCCGCGTGGACTTCGGCTTCGATACGAAGGTAGCTCTACTTCACGAGGCTCAGAAGACGATGTAAACGTTGACCTCGAGGGGCGAGATCCCAGTTCTTCATCATGCTCCAAGCTCGAAAGAGCCCCAGCCAGACCAGACAGACGTGACAGCAACTGTTCACGCGCGCTAGTCCGCCTTCTCTCGGCCGCAGACTCTGACATCAAAGTATTCGAAGGTGGTGTGGAGCTCGTATACAACCGAGAGCGGAAGGAGCCTCGTGGAGCGTGCTGGGGCATTTCAGTGGACGTCGTCGATGGTAGTTCTGGTCTAGAAGAAAGACCGGCGCCAAATATGCTTCGTGCCTCGCTCGGATCGGCTACATAATATTTAGTTACTTCCTTCAGGCTGTCAAAGATGTTCACTGACAATCGAAAACAGGACTTTGATGACTGGCTTGGCTGGGTACATGTGTTGAACCTAGAAATCGATAACCGAGTGAGCATATATCCGGATGTTGACATGTAAACGAATAAATATAACCTGTTCTTTGCTGCTCATAAGAGTGCCTCTCAAACTGTGCTTGACGACGGGCCAGTGCATCGTGGTAAGATGATGGATGATTGGTCCGAGGGACGCGATCGGTGAAAGACCGCCGAGGAGCTTCATCAGAATCAGAGCTATCAGGGGCCCCTGGCCCCCGACGGAGCAGCTCTTGAAGCACGGCAGCAGGGTTGTGAGATCGCCTCTGCGAGGAGCGGCTCAACCTAAACCTGTCCATAATCTCTCTCGCACTGTCTCTTAAACTATGTTCGTCGGTAGCGTCCCCACGAATCTCAGACGTGCTGGTAGCCTGCCGAGAAGTGGCGGAAGGCGCGCTTGTGTAACGGCCGACGAGTCTGTCGACGACAGGACTAGAGGGAAGCACGTGGCTGTCTGGTTCGTCAGTGTATGTGTCGATTGGTGAAAGTGCCCTAGAAGGAGGGTGGTAGGTTGGATAAGGTAGATAGGTGGGAAGATGGAAGTATAAGGCTTCAATGGAAGAGTTGGGATTCGAATCGGAAGAAGAAGAGTCTGTACGAGATGAAGGGCCTACAGAAAGATATATTTGATCGCTCTCGAAAAGTATGGCATACATTCAATCGTTACTCACCTTCAGGTTCAAACACAGTAGATAGATGTGGCGGTTCATAGAAATCGATAGGTGGAGAAACATGGTCGAATGACTCTCTAGTCTGTGTGGAAGAATGAGTCGAGTCTCTTGCATCAGAACGAAGTGAATGAGATGAAGGTATTGTAGAAGAAGAAAACCAAGAATGAGATGATGCTTCTGTGATGGCGTCTTCATCAGGCAGAGAAAAGGTCATGGGGGGCAGTGTAGGAGGTGGTGTAGGAGCTGTGGAGGGTGTACGAGAATGGGAACGCCTGAGAGCAGAGATATGACTATCGAATTCATTGTATCGCTCCATACTTCGCCTGTAACCTTCTTCAGTGGAAGGCAATGAATGTGTGACGGGTGACAGTGAGCGCTGGGCCTCTAGAGACAAAGGGGGCACAACGTCCATGACAACCTCTCGCCGGGGTTCTAGGACCATGTGGTTGGTCTGGTGGGAGTGTGATGGGGCCGCAGGAGAAGGACGAGCGAGCGTTACTGAGCGGCTACGGGGCAAGGCTGATGGAATGTCGTGATCACCGCCAGAGAAGCTCGTAGAACTACTGGACTCGGCGGTCTCGTACTCAGAGGACCCAAAGCTGGTAGAGCTATTGCTGCTCGTCGAGCTACTCGTGCTCCTCGCCCTTTTGTTTCTCTCGCCACCATCGGTGCTAGAACCAGGCTGTACGCTACGACCGCCGCCGCTGCCACTGACGTTACCTGCAGGGTCACCATTCGCTGGAGGGCTATCTAGGTCGAACCCATATTGCTCAAAGGTGCGCTTGAAGGACGTGCCATTTGAAGAGACGGAGAGATGGAGCTGAGGGGGGCCATTGGAGGCCATCTGAGGGTCTAAAGGACGTGAAAGAAAGAATACTGGCGAGACCTGTTACTCGTGTAAAGAATGGCCAGTCACGCCAGTGGCCACTCCGGCTGCCCTCTCAGCCACAGATACCCCACATGATCTTACGTAACTTCCAAATATGTCTCCTTCTGTACCCGATCCCCGAACGCCGGTCCGTCCACTGTCCTCACTGCAGTAAAACACCAGACTTGACTGGGCTAGGCATTCATAGATCAACTACAACAAGGTGAATACAGTGTGGGTACAGTGCGAGTACAATTTACAGTAATGAGAGGCAAAAAAGGCGACCGAACAGACTTGTAGGCGTGTGTAGTACAGCTGTCTGTCACAATACTCCACCCGAGGATCATGCATACCACTAGGTGTAGTGTGCCCGTGTGTCTAGACAGCAGCCGCCATATAAAACGAAAGAAAAATAGACTCGATCTCCTATCTCTGCACCGTTAGAAGGACAAAGCGTTCAGGGGACTTGGCTCCCATGCATCAGGAAAAGGATACCACGTAGGTGCCAGCTGGAACAACTTTTCTGTTCCATCTCGATCGTTCCGCACGATATCGTACTCAAGCCACGCATCCTGGTACCGGTGAGTACCGGCACGTTTCCTGTACTCGAACCCCACCCTCTTCAACGACTTCAGCTCCTTTGCAAAAAACGTCGCACATTCCTCCCTGACCATATGCCAAGGCTCAAAGTCATCCATTTCGTCATATTCCGGGAATTGCATACAAATCCGCAGACTCCGCAGCCGAGATAGTCGGGACAGGCTTTCAGCGAACTCTTGCTATGGCAGAGGCACCAAACACCATATCAGTAGAATATACTACTGAGACGAGGTTTGCAAATAAACACCCACCCATGTAGAAATTGATTTCCCATCGTGATATCCACATCGCTCTATCTCCAAGGTTTCAAGATGAGGGCATTGGGTGGATATCATGTAACAAAGCGCAGGCGTAAGCTTGTCCTCTACAATGAGCCGGAGCTGTGTGAGACGGCTACCACTTCCGGCCAAGTCTCCCAACAATCCTTCTACCTCCGCCTGAGTGGGAGCGATAGGCCAACGAGGAAGGTCGACTATGGCCAATATTGCAAGTCTTGACAAAGAGGACATATGGCTTAGGATACCATCGAGTTTACATGCATTGGACGCAGCGAAGCTGTGTAGAGTCGCCAACTTTGATAAAGCAGCCTCGTTTGGGGTAGCCTCATCTGTCAACAAGTCGAATTTCTCAGATTTCATCTGAGCGAATAACAGGCGTAGATCTTGCAATTTATTCATCCGATCCAGAACGCTCAACAGACCAGGAGTGACCTTTCTACATTCAGCATGGAAAAACGTCTGAGACTTGGGCGGATGGCCGGTAAGGATAAACGTTCGCAGGTTCGGCCAATCATTCGCTGCCAATGTCGCAAAAGAACATAGGTCTCCTGATAGCTCCAACTGCGTGAGATTAGATGAGTGGTGCCTGAGAAATCCAGCACAAGCAAAAACCTCCTTGCTCCTTCTGTCAGTCAGTTGCGTACGGTACTTTCTTCTCCAGTCGCGCATGTAGTATATGACTTCCGTGAAAGCCGGGTTGATTGGGCCATCGCCTATCCGCAGGGCTTGATCTACGGGGCTCAACGTTACTCTTTGGACTGAACCAGGTTGCAGGAGTATCATCCCTATATCTAGCGGAGTCTCCCAGACCCTAAAAGTGGTAAGAGTTGGACACCGTCCGAGAGCACCGAATATCGAGGGTGGAGGTGTGAAAGGGCAGCTCATGGAAAATTGTTGCAATCTGGACATATGTGGGATGGCAGAAATTAGCTTCTCCAGGTGGTAAGGTGTATAGTTGCCCTCTTTATCGTATGCACCCCATCGCAAACGGATTGGCTCAGACCACTCGTCTGGCCAATCCAAATGCACGATCCTGGTGAAGAAGAAAACGTTGAGCAAAGCGCATCCTCGAATCGAGCTATGTCATGGGAGACTCTACCTAAAGTACGACCAGAGAGTCTCTGGGAAAAAGTGAAGTCCTGATATATCGTCGTACATTTCCTGGTGAGGCCATTTGACCTCTGCGAAGAGGTAAGGCAGACAGGAATCCCGAATAACGCGAGAGGTCCTGGACAAAGTCGACAGCGAAGAACGCACTTCGGTATCGTCGTTGGACAGCAACTCGGCGATAAGGACGTGGAGAATATCAGCGTTTAGTACCAGCATGCTTGGGGACAGCTCAGACGACGTTCGATGGTCTTTTGCGGTGTACAAAATTGGTGACGCGGTGTGTAGAGTGGCTGATCGGCGTGAAATATGCCGTATTGGCTAAGGGAGCCCTTTGAATAAAAGCCAGGGCAGTAACCTATGAAAGAGAAAAGGGTATTGCGTGGTGCAGGGAAGAGAAGACCTGAAATGAAAAGATAAGTTTGTGCAGAGGGGGGCGAGGGAAATGAAACCCTCAAACCTGGGAAAGGTCGGGGGTGTCAGAATTAGAGAGCTACTGGAGAGGGTCAAGCAAGGACATAAGTACCACAAGGCAGACTGGCCATCATGTATTCTGAGAACGCAGATTCAAAATCAGGTTCTAGGCGGTGCTTTACGTAACTGATGCCCTGGTCTGGTCTGGGTCGTCCGATCTCGTTCTCCAGCTTTCGGTTGCGTGTATAATACTAGAATAAACGCCGGTATCATTCTTGGTAACACTCTGGCCTCCCCACCGAGCCCATCTACCTGCCAATCCTGCGCTTGCATTATACAATTTACAAATACGCTTGCCCCATAGTGCACATTGACGGCATTTGGCACCTGAGCCGTGTCTACGTCTCAGCAATGTGAAATCGCAGAATAGTACTTCCAAGACAATGATAAGAAAACAAAATGGTTAGAGTCACATGTTGTGCAGTACAATACCCGTGATGCGCCTCGTCGCCTCCAGCGCTCAGCTTACAACACCGTTACCCTTCTTAATAATGCCTCCATACAGACACGACCCGTCGCTTCATTGAGACGCGTATTTCTCCGTCCACTCTCGGCTCACTCTTTGCGCATCTTTTTCGTCTTCTTTATAATGCTTTGCAACATCCGTAGCAAGAGGATCGTCTGGGTTCGGAGCACTCAGTAGTGCCTGTACGGAGAGCAAGACCGTCCGGATCTGCAACGCAGGCGACCATTTGTCTAAAGAACCAGACTCGTCAAGGAACATGTTGCCTGAAGACTGGCTCCCAAGGCTCACCTTTCAGGATGTCCAGACAAATTCGACCAAGCTTATCTATTTCACATAAAAAGACTGATTCGTGATATCCACCGCCACTTATAGCTAATGCTTTTCTTACCGATGTTTGGGTGGTATATCTTTGTTAGAAACCTCACTTTCGGGGGACTCATTGGGTATTCCTCCGGCAAAAAAAGTTCAAGCTTAAAGACGCCCTCTGGATGATCCAATAAGCCATTCCGTGAATCAACTAGGAACCTGGTAGAATAACTCACGCTGGAACGGACTCCCGTCAGGACCTTGGATGGTCACATCAAAGTATCGCAGATTGTCATCATGCGGCGCTGCCGTGATGCCAGGGGCAGGATCTGCTACGAGTCTCTCGGTTTCCTGGATGAATTGAACGATATCAAGAGTGAAAGAAGTCGCAAACTTAGATCCTTTCAAAGTAATCTCAGTGCAGGCGCACCTTGATGATTCGCTAGATAAGAACCAACTCAGTTCGCTGCTACTTTTCCTGATAGCTACATAGTACGCACTCACCTTGGGTAAAGACATGCGGTAACTCTATGAGAATCGAGAGGTGTGATATCACAAGCAGAAAGATGAAAGGATCGTTGGCTGGTTACACTCAGGTTGGCAGTCACCGTCACACTGTCAGCACCGTCTCACTTCGACGGAGGCGCCGGCCCACATTCCCAGCTCATATCGCTATTCGGCTATTAAGTTTCCACGCCACCATGTACCGATGCTCACTTGTTACGATAATATTTTTTGTGACTGACTTTTCAAGGGTTTCAATCTTATCCTGTTATATTATTTCATTAGCTCATTTAACGAGGGAGACAGAAAAAAGACAAGACTTGTTGTTACAATCCAAGCATCAAGAAGCTCTAGAAGCCCAAAATGACCGGCGACGTTGAAATGCGTGTACGGCAAACATTCGAACTTGCACCAAAACTTCATCCTAACCCGACGAGGTGATAACAGGACTCTGGCGACCGAGGCGACGATTGGGTACGAATCACAAGCACGGATGGGTTCTCATTCTTGGTGAAGCGGAAGGTAGCCTGGACCAGTGGGACATTGAAGAACATGCTTAGTGTCGACAGTGAGTTTGTCAATTGCGTTTCATATCCGCAGAGGGGAAAACAACATCTCCACAGGTAGCTTCAGAGAAGCCTTGGCTAATACTTGCCCAATCAACGAACGGTAAGCTTCTCTTTACTTATGTTTTCCACGCAGCTGTTTAGAGGTTTGTCTGTTTGAACGATGCAGTGGCGTGATTATCGAGAAAGTTTGTGAGTACATGGCTTTCAAAGCATACCATGAAGGTATGGGACCCAAGGAAGAAGTTTCGGTGAATGAATTCACGGAGCGAGTTCCACCTGAGGTGGCATTAGAATTGTAGGTTTCGTTAGTCATACAGCATGTCAACGCGTCTTATGTCGGCTCCCTTCCCCAGACTTCTCGCTGCTGACTACCTTGAAGGTACTGTCCCTGATGACTTCTAAGATCCACTCTACTAACGTCGTGCTGTTAGTGTGATCTAAAGTACTTATGGACATAATATCGCCACGTTTATCACTCGCACTCGGGCTTGGCCGCCATCGCTCTCCTTTTGTCCCGACAGTGTACTATAAAGCGTGTTTGACGTACGATCCTATACTATTGCAGTATGAAATGTGGTGTTGGCATGTTATCGGTAATATCAAAGCCTGTATCCCATTCCCGATGTTCATTAGCGTGTCGTTATCAAATCCATTCTATCAACGTCATATCTCCTCCATTCCTCTCGCCCTTCCATTCACTAAAACCACAAATGCTGACATCGCAGCCAATGAATCATTGAACTTGGAGCCCCAAGTTCTGGTCAGACGGGTATACAGACAACATTTCATGATTAGTCCATTTTTGTTTCACAGCTCCTGATAGGACATGTAGGCAGTACAATATAAGATGTATACATGGTGGAAGAGTATCTGGTATCAAAAACAAAAAAAATTGTGGCTCCATCCTTTTCCTTACACCTACATCCCACTATCAAGCAGTCTCGAACCGCTTCAGCGTAGAAGGCCTGCCTGCAACCTTCCGTCCCCGCGCAATTCGTTCCGCCAGCCGTTCCACCACGGTAGCTTTTCCATCTTCCTCATTAAGCGCCTTGCGAATCAACTCCTCCATGGTCATCCCGTCTATATCCCCGCTCCCACGTCTCCGCATACTCGGCGCTGGAATAACGGGGAAATTCTGCATGCCTTCAGGCTGGAACGTAGGCAGGCGTTCGTTGAGAAGATCCGATCGACGACTGCGTATGAACATGAACGCCGTGTTATTGTTAGAGGTGTGGCAAGCATATGACACGAAAAAAAAAATAACGAACGCGTCATCAAAGTTCCGGATGTAGTTTGTTCCTTGCACAGAAAGTCTCTCCGGGCCCAATCGTGCGCCAAGGTCTCCTTCTTCGGCAGCCAAAGCGCTCAGCTCAGAAGAGTTCTCAGCTTCCTCTCTGTTATAGTATGAGAATGGGTGGGCGGTGATAGAAAGGATGACACGTACCGCAGCACCTGGAATACCCTCTGCATCCTCCCAACAGCGAGAATCTTGTTCTTGATCTCCTGCCTCCTCTGGGCAATTTCTCCCGGCGTCAACGCGAGATCTGCAAGCGTTCGGGTATCATCTTCATCTTCATCTACCTGTGACTCTTCTAATTCCTCGGGACTGCAGGTGCTGAGGATCGCAAGAAGCATCTCCGTAACTAGAAGCCCAAGATTCAGCTGTAGGGTGTGGTACACCGATGAAGAGGAAAGTTCACTCACTCTTGGCACCAACAAAGGGTAAACTCCATGTGAACGCATCCATGAAATTGGGTAGCCAATATGGGTGCGAACTCGAATTATATTGCCGAATGGTGATATTTTTGTTGGCGTACTTGATAATGGCCCCTCGATTATGATAGGCATCTAGATAATTGGGTGCAGAAAATACAGTAATAACCGATGGAAATTTTTTGGTGGGCGTCTCGCGGTACATGGTATATCTAATAAAGACCAATCAGGTTTTTTTGTGAACACGAGAGGACCATAAAGCTCATCGCAATGCCATACCCAGCATCTTTGGCTTCATGACCTCGGATAATACCGAGTAAACCGTTACGCTCCAGAAACTTACAGGCAGCTTCGTAACTGTATTAGATTTATCAGTCTTATGAACTAGGGATTAGATGGTCTACTGACGTGTAATTATAGGAGCATCCACGAGTCGCATTATGTTCAAACATCGTACCAGGGGGTATCGGAGGGCCATAAGACGAAGGTTTTTGTTCGTGCCCAAAATTTGCGACAGGATCAGACCAGAGCAAGTCGCATAACAATCCACTTGAACCCGGCTCTTGGAAGCGATCAATCTGTGAATCACGCTGAGCATCAGAACTAGCGTGAACACTAAAAACGACAACAAACGTTACGTAGATCTTGCAGAGTCATCAGCTCTGGGGAGATTCCACCATGTACGCAGAAGAAACGGTTATCTACCAGAGCAGCGACTGGCAAGGCACAGAAAGACTGGATACAAGCATCGTATACAGCTGGAGAATATTTATGTAGACCTATCCATGATATTAGTTGCGTGAATGGTTGACACTTGGAAGCAGGTGGAAAAGACTTACATTCACGCTTAAAAGTAAAATATTCCGTGAGATGGCGACATTCGTGGTTTCCCCTTAACAGAGTTATTCTAGTGGGGAATTGGAGCTTGAGAGCGTATAGATACAGCAGACACTATCAATAATGATGAGAGTCGAAAACAATTAGCATTAGCGCGTTCACTCACTTCAATTCCGAAGGAGCCACGGTCGACGTAGTCTCCCAGAAACAGATAAGAGTTTTCGTACAGGTTTCCACCAATCTCAAATAATTTCATAAGGTCATACTGGTTTCCAAAGCAGCACAGATATCAGTTTTCTTTTTCCAACTGGCTGTTTCTGATTTACTCACGTACTGGCCATGGATATCACCACATACTATGAACACCTAGTTTATCCGACGTTGACAACACACAGGGCGAAAGCACATACTGACAACAGGGCTTTCTACTGCCACTAGGTTCGCCTCAGAAGAAAGAAGGGCGGTTGCTTGTACCAGGATGAACAAAGCTTGGGCCTCTGTCAGTCGACCTTCCCGCAAGAAATGCTGTTTCAAAAACTCTGCATTGGGCTTCCGTTCTCCGTATTTATCAATGACAAAAAGCTCTTCCTCCCTTGGTTTTAATGCAGCGGGGGGTGGGACCTGTATAATACGCAAGATATCAAACGATGCAGCCCATTTATTTGAATGCAACAGCTGCAGACTGCAGACCACTCACGCTCGGTACCGGACGCTCTCTGTACATGGTATCCGCATCGGGCCGCACTATGGGGGCTGGAACAGAGTCACCATCATGAATCTGGTAGAGTGCGGATTGGTAGTATTCTCGATTACTGTTCGACATCGCCGCCGGGTCTGGGAGGGTATGGCTGGAAATCCCAGGTCTTCAACAAGACCGGATATACAACATATCCATTTTTGGTGGCAAAAAGTCGTGCCCTGGGCGCTTACTGTCGTCAACATGGCGCTCTTTGTTCAGCGCTGATGGCGGCAGCAACGTTAACACTGACAACCGCGAGGCTGTCAATCAATGTGACCCCTTCAGCGCTAACTCAGCACTGAGGCTCTTGTACAGAAGTGCACGGATCAAGGATCAAGCAAGAATTGAAACCACTCCTCATTACGGCTAGAGATGTCTTCAATTTCGCTTCTCCCCATATACTCCTAAGATGTAATCATGATACAAGATACAGATCTATCAGTCTGAAATCGGAATAACAGCTTCCAGTTTAATCAGTGGGAATTCCTGCGTATTCGTCGTACCCAAGCGCAAGGTTTAAGTTCTGCGGTAAGACAGTCAGTTGATAGCTTATCCTGAGAAAAAGTCTCATACGCACTTGGAGACATTGAGTGGCAGCACCCTTGAGAAGGTTGTCAAGACCACCCTACATGCCACGCGTCAGTAAACTCTCTTTGTAAATTGAATATACAACTTACTACAACTACAGCCCGGTCGCCCTCGCTGTGGACCTGGAACCCACCAACCGTCCACCCATGCTTGTTCTCGATGTCCTGCAACCCAGGTACCTCCTGCTTCACTTGAATCAGTTTTTCACCAGTATACTTCTCCTCATACAACTGCTTGATATCACGCGCGGCCACCTTTTCACTCAGTGGCATCGAAAGAGTGGATATAATGCCGCTAAACCATGGAGAGACGACGGGAATAAAGGCCAGCTTCATCGGATTTGAAGGGTCGCTCAACAGGTTCGATAAATGTCTACCAGCTTCGCGCTCGTGGATATGATCTGTGAGTGCGTACGGTCGGATCCCACCACCGAGGCTCTCGGAAGTTACTTTAGGGACAGTAGTAGGTCTACCATCCGGATCATTGATCCCAGGAATGGTCCCCGCGCCACTATATCCAGATGCGCCAAAGACGGTAGGCCAAGCGTCACGCTTGAGGTACTTTAGGAGAGGTGCAATCAACAGCTGGGAGGAAGTGGAATAGCACCCAGGATTCGATATCCTTTTCGAAGTGCGAACGACATCACGACCATAGAGCTCTGAAAATCAAGCAGGAACGGGTACAAAAACATTTATTTCAATTACGAAGCCTTTTATGATACAGCTTGGAAAGACCCCTCACCAGGCAACCCGTACGTCCAATCGTTCTCGAAACGGTAGTCTGCACCTAGATCTACGATTACACTGGTAGCACCAGACTTGCGCTCCTTCGCACCACGGTCAATAGCATCTACAAATGGCTTGCAGACACCATTTGGGAGTGCCATAACCCACGCATCAACCTCGCCATCTTTCTCCATTCGCTCGACATCTTCAGGAGATAGATTCGAGTAAGTTATAGGCTCTTTAGAGTAGCCTTGCAGAGAGTAGCCAGCAAGTTGCCTGGATGAAACGTGGGTGATATCAAGGTAAGGGTGGTTGGAAACGAGGCTTGTCAGGGCCTGTCCCGTAAACCCACGAGCACCGATCAATGCCAACCTCTTTCGTTCAGTGGAGGCTGGCGGTGGCGTGGCAGCTGTAGCATAACCACGGGTCGCAGAAGTGGCATAACCGCGAGTTCCAGAAGGCACAGTCCTTCGCGCAAGTGTGGAGTAAGACCTTGCGCCACTGGCACCTCCAGCACGAGCAGCTGCGGGTCCAACAGGGAGGTAGGACCGCTCAATCCTGCCCTTCTCCTCAAAGCTTTTCACAATCCTCTCAACCTCTGAGACATCGTTTACGCCATACCAGAACAAGCTCTTGCCAGCACGAGTGAAGCTGCCTTCCGCGCGCTCGAAGTGCCACGAACGGTTCTCGTCATCCACCTGTGCAGTCCAGAACAGACGGCGGTGATCCTTCTTGATGGCACTGAAGACGTTATCGACGACGCTGTTGAGTATGCCACTGCGTGAGGGAAGAAGTTTGGTCATGATAGGCACTTCACCCTCTGGGCGTGAAACAATGGCTACTGCGTCCAAAGGCTCATCACCGTAGATTGTATAAGGAGTCTTTTTAAGATCATTAAGAATACCAGCAATACTCTGTCCGGCTGCTACATCGGGGTCGCGGTCATGGATGACTTGTCGCAGACGATCAGCACCGAGGCTATCGATACTTTCATGCTTGAATAACTTGTATCCTCGCCTGATAAGGGTACCAGCACCACTGTCGGTGAAGAGTTCCCGTTGAAGACTGGAGGCGGAGATCACGGCGACAGAAGAAGACCGGGGTAGGTGATCGAGGAGCTCTTTGAATTCGCGCAACTTGAGTTTGGTGCCGTACTTGACCCAAGGTTCTTTCATAAGTTGATCATATTCCTAAAACATCAAGGATTAGCACGTTCCTCGACCCGGAGAAAAGGCTATATAGGAAAAGACATGCCTCATCCAAGTTAATAACATCCAACTTTTGGCCAGTGACACCATGGTACATGCCACCCTTGTCGTTGAGGAACACGATCTTCATAGGCTCGAGCTCCTTTGCTAGCTCTCCAGCGGCTATGTCAGCGTTGACATTCAGAATCTGACCTTCCGCCGACTCGGCAAGACTGGTGAGAATGGGAAGAGCGCCAGCTCGGATGGAAGCCTCCAAGGGCCTCTTATCTACGCGCGTGATCTTGCCCACAAGTCCATACTTGTCCTTGTCCAGATAGTCTGCAGTAAAGACTCCAGAGGTAATGGGACGAGCACGAGTGCCAAGTTTTTCTAGGGCTCCTACGAGTTTTAGGTTTTGCTCCAGGAAAACACGACGGGCGATTTGAAGAGTTTTCGAATCTTTTATATGGTTGAAAAGGGGATATAAAATCAACAAGCGAGAGGCTAGAACATACCGGTAACCCTGATTCCGTCAACATAGTCAGGGACGACACCTTCGTTCTCGATGATATCGTTCATCTGTGGTCCAGCTCCATGGAGCACAACTGGATACAAGCCAACTCGGTAAAGAAAGCTCAAACTAAGAGCCAACTCATCCAATTCATCGAAGACGGCACCACCGACTTTGATAACTGCGAATTTGGCGGGTTGCGAAGGGTGTGATGAAGAAGAGAAGATACGTAGGTGACGCTCCACTTCTCTTTTAGAACCAAGGGAGTAGAGGAGTCGAGTTATTATGTCCTAGATGTAATAGACAACATATATAGGCTTCCAACGAAAAAAAAATACAGGAATAAAATGATACTTACTCTGTCAGTTTGTGCAACAGTTTGAATTGACCTCACAGAAACATTTTCTCTCCTTCTGATGGCTGATATGGCAGCCTGACGCTGACCTGCAACGACAACAGCCCGACTGGCGACTCGAAGAGACGAGGTAGAGGCACGAGTCGCTGCCAGCATGGTGATTTGTGGATATGCAAGAATATGAAAGAAATATGAAAGGAGCAGTCAAAATACGAACAGCTGAAAGTATATAACAACTGCAAAGGGGAGCCTCTTTATTTGCGATTCTGGGCTTTACAGGATTCGGCTAGACGCTTACTGCAGTTGTGGCACCTTTACAGCACCCGTTCAGTACCCATTCCTGTATGTTTACTTGTGGACTTTCTAGGCCACTCGTTTATTGCTGTTGGACAACCTGTTCACATATTGCTATACTTCAGCATATTTCCGTCCAACTCTCAACCACCCGCAAATCTCTCTCACAAACGTGCACCGCACTCGGCCGCACAATCAAACGGCACTTTCCTATGAATCCATAAAAACCGGGGCCCATTGACATGCACAGTGATCATGATGTCGAGGGGTATCTACCATTCGAGAGAGTCTTAGACTTCCGTGCAGAAGATCATGTCCTTGGGTGTCTTAGTAAGGTGTCGATGTCGATCATTTGCGTGTAAAAGTTCATGGTGCGTTCGAGAGCCTGGCCAAGTTGGGCGGTATATTGCTGCAACGAATTCACCCACCTTCCAATCGCATTCTCATGATCATATGACAAATCGATGATATGTCCATCTTTCTTTGAAACCATGGACTACTGCCAATGCAAGATCACGATACTAGGCTTCAGTGGAAATTGCGATGGCCATATCAACGAAACTGGCTATCATGGGATTACACCTGCGTACCCCAGAAAATAATACACATTCGTTGATATCGTCTGGAGTATCACCCATAAGGAAGAAGTGCGCAGAGTGGATAGAGAAACGCAAGCTCACACGGCGGCGCCGAGCACAGGCCTTCCTGATGCGATGGCCAAGGATGTTTGGCTCAAACTATCCTCCTCATCCTCGCAATACCACACATTCGCAAGCTGGCATATCGCATACAATAGCAATGCGAGTAATGGGCATTTAACCGAGCTACTTATCAATGCTTTTACCACAACTAATGTGGAATCTGCGTCACAAGCAACCTATCAAGTGGTGCTCCCTGTGTTCTATGAAGAAAAACTCGTCGCGAAATCCAAGAGATGTCTGAAGACGAGCACCATCAACACACCTTGGGGAGAGCCAGGTTCCCCTGGAAGTCAAGTGGAGATCGTGTTCTTTCCACAGAGGTTGAATAAGTTATACGAAGACATTTAGTTCTGTGGACGAGGAAATGGAACGGGCAAAATGTATAACTCTCAAATCGGTGAGTACTACGTGAAACAAATATCCATAATACTGAAACGTACATGGATCAGATATGGTTTCGGGGATGGGGTCACTTTCCCGAGTTCGCGGGGAATAACACGGACGGAAACAGCATCATAGTCGCCGATACCACCAAAGTCAATTACGATGCATAAATGCCTTGACCTCGGCGTATCGATGGTAATCAGCGCTCAGCGTTCGCACCTTCGCAATGATGGGAACAAGATAGTCGACGGTGGTATTTTGTGCGGGGAATAACCTGTTGCAATCATAACAAATAACGTTGTATCGTGAGTGCGATATTGGCATATTTCCGTGCTTCGCTCATTCACCCACTTAAGTCTTGATGACTAGGATGCTTCCTGTCTTTCCAATTGATCTGAGAAGACAGATATGCTCTCAACGCCGCAACGAAACCCGTTTCCGCATCGAACAGTCATCCTATGCGTCCTTAACGGTAATACAACTAACCATAGCTTGTGTTTCATGTCCGAGTCTGATTGGATCTTTTGAGTCATGATGGCATGTATACTGACAATCTTCTTAGATTCCTTGGCTTCCCCGACAAACCGGATTATACAATATCCGCAAGGCAAGGATTAAACTTTAAAAACTGTTCAGTTCAATACACAAAAAAGGGTGAATTGAGTCACGAATTGAGGCTACGGTGTGCGAACGGCGCACCGTATCGCGAAATGGTTTTAGAAATCTGTAGAAACATTCTACGTAAATAATTAATTGAAAATCGGTACGATAGCCCAAAGCAAATATCTGTATATGCTGTGCAGATGCTCAGACGGACAATCGTATACTGGCGAGCACGATATACGCACTTGTGACGGGCCAATCTTTGTCAATGCCGCCGCACAAAACGCAAGGAACCATATGCATTCTAATCAACTTTGCGTCACATAACACAAGCCTGCATAACTATTGCAACTGATTGAATTTCCATTACATGTCGCTTTCAGATACATCAAGGGATATTCCTCCTAATTCGTAGAGCTCAAGAGAAACACACATGACATGATACACAATTGGATGTTCAGAAAGGTGGTGTTAATAGAATGCTATGGTATGTCAACATCCATGATACTCTAGTACAGACATGACACAGTCATCCGCAGGGTATAGCAAACAGGGATCTATCGCAAAACGACTAGTAAATAACAAAGACAACAAACAATGAAAATGGAGACACACAATGCTTAAGTACATAAATTAAGCGGTGATGCCAAGAACGGCAACAAGAACGCTGACACCAAGGTCCTTGATGACGGTCTGGACCGAGGTGGTAAGAAGAGGCAAAACAGCTGCAGCGAGGCCGGTGACGACAGCACAGACAGCTTGCAAGAGAGTGCCGATGACGGTGCTACACACGAAAACACATCAGCTGAGATAAAACAATCTGAATTATGAATGTACTCACGCAACCTCAACTAGGAGGGAAGCAACGGCAGCATGGGCATCAGTAGAAACAACCTTCAAAACAGCGCCGACGGCCGTGAAGAGAATCTATTTACCCAGTCAACATTCATGTTCGTTAGACTTGAAAGAACAAGAAACATACGCAGAGGTCAGCAGCAAGGATCTTAGCAAGGTCAGCGACAGAAATAGAGGTAGCGCCGTTGACGCCAGCCAGAATAACGGAAGCAGGTTGACCCTTGAGTTGCTGAATTTGAGTAACAGCACCAGTGAGAGTAGTCTTGATTTGAGCAACGACAGGGGTGATGTCAGCGACGGTGGCGTTTTGAGCGTTGATGAATTCTGAGAATCGTCAGCTCGTCTCGAAAGCGTCAGACTAGGAACAAACTTACGAAGTTTCTCAACGTAAGGGGTCAAAGTGGTGAAAACTTGAGTGAAGACGACAGCGACAGATGCAGGGGTGCTACGGACACCGAGGTCAGAAACGAGACCAGTGACTTCGGTGATGATTGCCTCGGGGTCAGCGATGTTAGGGAGCTGACGGACACCGAGATCAGAAACGAGACCAGTGACCTCGCTGATGATTGCCTCGGGGTCAGCGATGTTAGGGAGCTGACGGACACCGAGATCAGAAACGAGACCAGTGACCTCGCTGATGATTGCCTCGGGGTCAGCGATGTTAGGGAGCTGACGGACACCGAGATCAGAAACGAGACCAGTGACCTCGCTGATGATTGCCTCAGGGTCAGCGATGTTAGGGAGCTGACGGACACCGAGACCAGAAGCAACACCGGTGACATCCTTGAAAATGTCCTCAGGGTTAGTGAGGCCACCGAGGTTGGGGAGGTTGGGAGGCTGGCGAACACCAAGGCCAGATGCTAGGCCAGTTACTTCGGTGATGATCGCCTCAGGGTCAGCGATATTAGGGAGCTGACGGACACCGAGATCAGAAACGAGACCAGTGACCTCGCTGATGATTGCCTCGGGGTCAGCGATGTTAGGGAGCTGACGGAGGCCAAAATCTCCGAGAAGTTTTTCAACGGCGCTGGTACCTGGGACTTCGCCCAGAAGTCCGTTAACTTCGTTAACTACACCGGACACGGCAGAAGACTGACGGCTGCTGAGTGGTGCAGCAGAGGTAAAAGAGAAAGCAATGGTGCAGAGGACGGTGAGGGAGTTGAAAGAACGCATTATGAAAAGATCGTGGGGTGTCTGGTAAGACGGAACGTTTGTTCGTTGTGGGTTGGATGAAAGATGACAAGAAGTCGATGGGTCGTGTTTTTCAAAATGACCGGGTTTTATAGTAGTGATGGGCTAGCAACCTGTTGGAAGCTTCGGAACTTGTTGCCAGTTTCCAAACAAGATTTCTGAAATGTCACAGCAACATATTTACGCATGTTTCCAAAAATGTATCGATTGCGCACATCAAAATTTGGCGCGCACAATTTTCTGTTCGAAATCACCACGATGTGGAGCGTCATTATATTCCGAGATTTGATCGACGTAAGGATCCAAATCCACTCACCATAGCTACGTGTATGCAACACTGGCACCGCATCCCAAATCAGTTCCATCCACATTGGATGGCCAACAGACGCATGAAAATAGCAATGGGCGTTACCTGTGGGTACAACTTTGAAGGGCGAAACGGCATATCTCAAGGGATCAAGCCATAATCAAGATGTCAGATTCCTCCCATTAGAAGTCTCTTCGCGTGACGCTAGAGTAATGCGTTGCCGCGCGGTGACATCTCGGCAATCGCTTTATATAGAAAAAAAGTCCACCATCAGCCAATCATGGGCATGGAAATGAAACTACCAACTCCGGAAACATTTGGCTGAGTTGCAAAAGTATTTGCAGACGTCAGCTTCGTCTCCCCGTCATGATGGCATGAAGCACGATGTATGCAGTCTGATAGGAGAAACATATGATGCTCAATAACAGCGATCACGCACCCGCTAACTTGCCGGACCCGACACAAGTATTCGTGGACATTCGTTGACCGCGACGGCGTACTATCCCAAGGTGCGAAAGAAGGACTTGTCAACTAGAAATAGCCATCATATCATGCCGTATTGAACCTACCTTGTGAAGATGGGCGTTGTGTTCAAACCCCATTCGAGGCAGTCTTCCGACAGTACAATAAATTCTTCTGAGATGACTTTGTGACAATCCCAACGACGCAAAGAGCGCACCTAGCATCGCAAGCTCATGCTTGTCTGAGTCTCAAGTCGAAGCCAGGTGAGTGCAAGCACGATGAAGTATTCTTTAAGCAGTTTTCTACGTAGTAGACTTGATTTTCGAGTATCGACAAAAGTGAGACGTAGCACCCACAAAATGTATAGGTAGAACCGATATATAACCAGAATTTTGTCAGGATGGTAGGGCCCAACGGCAAGTTAACCATGATTCGCTGCAGGGATGAATGTTAGAGCACGAAGAACAAGTCCAGAAGCGCCCACATGCTTTTAGAGCCCTTAAGGGACAACAAAGATAAATAGCCTATGTAATCAGCGCGCCACAAGACCTTGTGCACCTCAGACTGAACTGAGACTTGCCAGTGGACTTGTAGTCACCACGGTCCGCCAGAATGTCAAAATTCATTCCATCTCTGGAGACCTTTGCAAAGGTAGTTTGCGTGTCATGAAAACCTACTATCCCGAACTAATCAATACTCAAATATACTCAGGGGACCTTTGCCACTGCGGCCGGCGTTACGACGTTAGGTATAATGCTGAACACCGTGTTCTACACTTCTATTCGCGCATTAATGAATTTCCTAGGATTTGGGCTGCTTTACTATGGGCAGAACTACCTAATATATCCCTCCGCGTTTCCACCTGGATCTCGTACTGGTATGCACTGTGCTTACATTCAACCTCAAGGCTTATGTTTTGTACCTAGAGGTGGCCATACCAACCGACTTTGGTGTCGACTACCAGGACTTACAGCTGCACACTTCGGATGGCGTGACTTTGCGATCCTATCTACTCGTTCAACGCAAGGAGTTATCTACTAACCATGCTACGCCTGTGGAGCACACCGAGGAACAGACCAATGAAGAGGTAAGTCATTATCAACCTCCCTCAAGCTGGCCATCTTAACTTGGCATCGTCTAAACGGCGTGAGTAGTTTGCCTCCACTAGACCTACGGTCATCATGTTCCACGGAAATGGTGGGAACCACGGTCACCGCATACCGCTAGCCAAAGTCTTTTATGTGAAGATGCGGTGCAACGTCCTTATGCTGTCATACAGAGGGTAAGTCTTTTTGGTTTGTTCATAGCCTCTGTGAGACTCAACGAACCGTATTGTATTGCATCAAGGTACGGACATTCTGAAGGATCCCCATCAGAAACCGGTGAATGAGATACCGTTTTATTTTTTTCTTCTAGTACGCTAACCGTTTGACATCCTATAACCAATGTAGGTTTATGTATAGACGCACAGACTGCGCTTGACTATCTCACTTCACACCCTCATCTGTCAAAGACCTCAATCGTATTATTTTTGATCTCACTCTCAGGTTCCTATTTTTAACGTTCATTTCAGGTACTATACGGACAGTCTATCGGTGGTGCCGTGGCCATCCATCTTGCTAGCCGAAATCCTGCAAAGGTAAATTACTACATCAATACCCATCTAACATTCTTTCATATCAATATAACGACTTATATCAGATCACTGCTCTAATACTCGAAAATACGTTCACGACTCTCCCCCGACTTGTGCCTAAGGCGCTACCTCTTCTTGGGCCATTTGCATTTTTATGCCACCAGAAATGGGATTCAGCCTCTAAAATACCTTTAATTCCGCGGAGCACACCCATATTGATGCTGAGTGGTGTCAGAGACGAGGTGGTTCCTCGTGAGCATATGCAGGAATTGTGGGAAATTGTTTCCAGGCGTCAGGGTGCCACTTCAAAACAAAACAAGTCTATTCCGCTGTCAGAAGTTGGCGATGGTAAATCGAAGTTCATCGAATTCGAAAGAGGCACTCATAGTACGTTGTTTCCCTTGCTGCGATGAAACCTACATAACGTCCTTTCCGTTTCGTAGATGATACATGCGTCCAGCATGGCTATTGGACAGCTGTGACCGATTTCGTCGCTAGTCTTGGGTGAATGTGGTGTAATATGCGAATTCATGGATGTCTTTGGTTAATGGACTTCTGCTATTTCATCACGCCCATAGGTGTGCCCACAGTAACGACCTCACCAATTTTTATGGTTGCAAATATGTAATTCTATCAACTTGTGCTCTGCAGCAATATCATGTCCATCGGAGCTGTCATGCATGGAATCAAATGAAATATCTGTCTGTACAAGAGATGCCAACAATCGGTTGATAACGACTTGCATATAAAGAATCAAACCAGGAGTTACCAGCCATAGTTTAACAGGAATTGATATATATATCACTGCTCTTTCAACCATCATACCTATAAGCTACCATCGCCTCTATACGATGCACATCTGTGCTGAAGCTCCTCAACTTTACCTGTTGACTTTTACTAGCCTCGATAGCGAGAGGGTCGGTGTCTACCCACTCGTCCGCGGGTATATCGACAGACTCATGTGTGTATGCAAGGATGTTGAAAACGGTGGGTTCGTCAATGATCGGAAGGAAGGTGACAGTAGAGACGATTTGCTTAAGGATGTAGCGGATCTCTGCTTGAATCTCCGCCTCAGGTTTGGGTGGTGCACTAGGACGTCAAAGGCAACGTAAAAAGAATGGTCGAGCTCTTCTGTGATGAGAAATAACGCACGGCTCAGTGGAAGTAGAATCAGAAGGCTGTTCAACTAAGTTGATATCAAACACCCATCGTTCAAGTGGCGTGCGCGTGTCCTTTGATATAATTGCTAGAACGAGTTGCGTGACTGATCCTGTAAGCAACCATTCTGTAAAAGGCCATGAGCGAAGAGCACCCATCAGTCATGTAAAGACCTCACTGTTTACTTGCTTCAGGATTCTACGCGTGTTGGTTAGCCGATGTTGATAATCGATTGATAAAGTGCTTACCGGTCCAAGTAGTTCTCCAGAGCGAGGTCCTGGGTCACCAAAACAGTCTGACCATACTTCTTCACCATGTGGAAGTCATCTGAAGGGTATACTCCACGCTGGAAAAGAATCCTTGAGAAAACTCATGTAAGCGGGCATATAGAGGACATGATAAGTAGTAGTGGCTCGGAACGAACGTGTTGGCAGCATATTTGAAGAATTCTGTTACTAGATTTGTAGATCCTTTCAAGGTGATAGCTTGGCGCGTAGGTGCTTGTTTTGTAGCCATGTCCGTTGTGGTATTCGTGATCTGGAAAGGGACTACCTGGATAGGTCCTAGTATTAAATAGCTACACGCTATAAAGGGGAAAAGCTTGCTGCAGAAGCGTGTTCTAAGATGCGACCAGGTCACATGTTGTGCGACGGATCGGGATGTTTGTTTATTTCAGAGGCTGATGCCAAACAAACACTTACAGCATCCTTCGATTCATCGGCAATGTCACGTTACGGTGCACCTCATTATCATAATCCGAGCAAAGAGACACATTCTCTGTTGTAAGCTACGCTCTATTTACAGGTGGCTCAAATAATCTCTAACAGGTTTTATTACAGTTGACCTTTTTGCAGTCACCAGGAGGAGTACCAGGGCTGACGTGAAGATGCCGAGATGCTACCGTAATGACATTGTAAGAGAAGTCTTCTTTACTACCAGCTCTAGCGCCGATTGGCGTTCGCAATCGGGTTTATGCGTAAAGGAACTATTAGCTTTGCCGAGGGCATTTGCGCAAACATGCAAAGAAAACACGATGCACGAACCCTGACAAGCCCGTGTTACTACCAAACTTGGCTAGAACACACCAAATTCAACTGCCGATAGGAGGTCGACTATAAAAGCACTGCTCTCAGAACGAAAAATTCTCATCCAGTCGACTTCCTGTCTTCGTTCTTTCCTCGCAATCCCCTTACTTCAGTAGCTTTATCAGCCTCACCCCCACAATCTTTATAACAATGCGCTCTTTCAGCTCCCTCTCCGTCCTGTTCACCGTCGCCCTCGGCGCTTTCACCTCCGCTGCCCCTGCATCGTCCCCCGTTGCAGTTCTCGCTGGCAAAGCAGCCGGACTCCCTGCTCTCCCTGCTGTTGGGGAAGTCACTCAACATCTTCCTGCCGCTGCTCGTGGACTCCCTCAGGTGCCTGATGTTAGCAAGGAAGTCAACAAAGTTAAGGAGACCGCTCATCTTGCCCGTGACTCTACTCCACGTTCGATTGCTATGATTATGACTGGTTCGTTCTCTGAGATTGCTCCGTACTGCCAGCAACTCCGTATGTGTTTCTGTTTTGCATTGATATTGCTGGTTTATCTGAATGTTTCTTTGTCCAGAATATGTCAACGCTAAGAATGCTACCGTGGTTGCTATTACCCCTGCTGTCACCAAGATCAGGACTTCTTTGACTGCCGCTGTCACTGAGATCCAGTTGCTCAAGGGTCAACCCCTTTCTATCATCCTCCGTGCTGTTGATGGTGTTACTATCCTTACGGTGGCTGGGCTTGCTCAGATCATCGCCATCGACCTTGCTGTTCGTACTTCATTGTCGTTGTATTCATGTCTTATTAACCTTGTTTTCAGATTATCTTCCGTGCTCTCGGTGCTGTGTTGGCTGTCGTTACTATTGACGCTCATGCTGCTGTCTTTGCTTTGCTTGTGACTGTCGGGTTAGTGCATCACATGCTTTCTCGAGTTCTGTGAATCTTTGCTGATCTCTACTTTGTAGAGCTGTTGTTGGAACTTTGCTGCAGGTTGTGGTCGGCCTTGTTGCTGGTCTCGCTGTTGCTGTTTTGGGACTGCTCGATGCTACCGTCAAGAGCATCATCGTTGAACTTAGCCTCAAGCTGGTCATCAGTGTTCTCGGAATCACTGTCTAATTGTAAGTGCTATTTAGCGTTGTCTTGATTTAAATGCATTGCTCAGTTTGTTCGTCTCCAGTTAGACACACGGTATATTCGTTGATGGCTTGCATCTCTGGTGTCATCGTATTTTAGTGCCTCATCTAATATATCTTTTTCTGTCATCGTTATGTTCTGTCTAAGTTGATCGCATGTTTGTGTGAGGTTCTCGCTATCATGTTCTTGAGGTACCAGATCTTAGTGTTGTTTGGGGTTTGTAGTGGTCCGACATTCCTTGGTTTTAAGGGCCATTGATGTTTTGTAGCTTCTCTGATTTCGGGTGCTTCGCTAGTTTTGGTAGTAAGCTATCCTGCGGAATGGATGCAAGCGTCGTGAGGAAGCCCTCGATAGCTGACATGTAAGGGACGCTCAAGAAGACGAGTACAATAATCGTTGAGGGATAACATTTCAACTTCACATGCTTCTACTAGAAGTTCTTTACACTTTACGGCATATCTCATAATTTGATTGTATTGGGGATGGGTAGTCGTTGCTAGTACTCACTGAAAAATATACAGAAGCCGATGTTACAGGAAAATGAAAATTTTTTCCTACCGCCGAACCTGACGGTTTTATTTTTAAAAAATTTGACCAAGGGTGAAGTTACTCTGGATGGAGCCTTTTATGTTGTTACCTTGTTTCTATTTTAGCGGAGAAGCAAAAATGATTGGAAGTACGAGTTGAACACGATTGGATGCTGATATCCATATGACTTTAGCAGGATACTCCGACACTTATCTCAAGCTCCGGGACTAGCTTCCCTTCACATACGGCATGATAGCGCCATCGTGATGCTTTGATGTGTTTGATAATTCGAAGGAAAAAGGGATATTACATTTAGCCTGAGAGCTAAGGTGGAGTTTTCGTCATCGAACGCTAAGATGAGTCGTCGTGTAAGTCTCGAGATAAACCAGACAATGATACCTACTCTGTGTTTTCAATAGTCACTTGTTCTTATATTGTGCAAGTCTTTGATCGGTGGTCGTGGTATCAGATAGAACATTTTGCGGACCTAGAAATGACACGGGTTTCTGGTATCCCGAGCCGATCAATAATTCTTGCAGTCAGCAATCGCACAGAGGATTTGAGATTATCACCATGCCTGATCCAACAAGTCAGTCGAACTACACTCAAATCGCGACGTCGCATCTATCGCTCGAATGGAATGTAAATTATAGTCGAAGATTCATTGCCGGATCTGCCACACACACGCTGATAGCGAGACAAGATGGTGTGAATGAGGTAGTGTGAGTTACAGCAATCACCGCCAATCGGCTTGTACTAGGACTGCATCTGAATCAGGATTATGGCAGATTTGATACGGCGCACTTGGATATCGAGAGCGTACAGGTAGAGGGGGAACATGCAAAGGTGAGCCATTCTGATCATTGTCACACGCGTGTTGGGGTTTCGGCCATAGAATATTGAATATTGAATCTTTTAGTATGCCCTGAAGGGCGAGCATGAAGTCATGGGTTCTGCCCTTCACATCGATCTTCCAAAAACTCTTGTTTCTGGATCATCAATCTCCATCCACATATCCTACAAAACCACCAAGGACTGTACTGCTCTTCAGTGGCTCGAAAAAGAGTATGTTTTGTTTTGAATTTGCCGTCGCACCCATTCCGATGAATACAATCAATTCGTAAGGCAGACGCAAGGACAGATATTCCCGTTCCTTTTCAGTCAATGTCAACCAATCTACGCTCGGTCCCTTGCACCAGTACAAGGTATGTTGAGCCCCCTATGATTTCGTCTATTAATACTTTCTTACATTGTGTTCATGAAAGACACACCATCCGTTAAACTGGTCAGTTAGCTACTACGGCAGCGAGCACTTGCTAACCGCCGAGGCAGACGTATAGCGCCAAAGTAACCTCTGTCCTTCCAGTGCTTTTGTCTGCAAAACGTGTGTCTCCGCCTTCAGATGGACCAGCTCACGGTGGTAAGGTAATCGGCGTAGACGAAGTAACATATGTTTACGATCAGGTGGGTTTCGCATTGTCCCACATATACCACTTTTTTCTTATAGCCCAGCATGAAGCCTGTCCCTATACCTTCTTACTTGATTGCCATTGCAGCTGGGAATGTTCGATATCGTCCGTTTCCTGTCGTGGATGGGAAAGACTGGACCTCTGGAGTATGGGCTGAACCTGAATTAATGACTGCAGCATACTGGGAATTTAGCGAGGATACTACAAAGTAATATCTCCCCTGGACAATACCGTTCAAGTTGACGACGTCTGATTGGCCCAGGTTCTTAGCTGCTGAGGAAAAAATAGTAGGTTCGTATCGATTTGGAGTGTATGATCTACTCGTTTTGCCACCCTCTTTCCCATACGGAGGTATGGTAAGCTTAACATTCATCTGTTTTTGTCGGATTATATGTGACCTGGATTTCATAGGAAAATCCTTGCCTTAGCTTTGTCGCGCCAAGTAAGAGGCTGTCTTTGCTAATTTTCACCAACGGCGGAAAACTGATTTCTATTCAGCACTCCTGGCGGGCGACAGGTCTCTCGTGGATGTAGTCATACACGAACTGACACACTCTTACTTCGGCAATGGTATAACGTGAGTGCTTACACATATCCCCTGGAGTGTGGTCCTCAGCTATCATCTTCTAGCCATGTCGATGCTACACATTTCTGGCTAAACGAAGGTTGGACCACCTATATGGAGCGTCTTCTTCAGCGACTGTTGCACTCTGAGGCTCATCGTGGATTATCCTGTATAATCGGTGCTAGGAGCCTTGATGAGGCTCTAGAGCAGTTTATAGATATACCACGATACCAAAGGCTCATCATTGACTTTGCGTATGGTGAAAACCCAGACTTCGCCTATAGTCGCGTGCCTTATGAGAAAGGCTCCAATCTCATTCTTCACATCGGTCAGCTTTTTCCTCATTCTGGTATTGTCATTCCTATTTGTAATGTTGAACAAAACATGTAGAACGTGTGATTGGTGGTCTGGACGTCTTCTTGCCATATGTGAGAGACTACGTGGACACTTTTATGGGTCAGAGCATCACTACAGAGCAGTGGAAATCCCACCTGTATACGTACTACAGAAACCATGGTGGTGATGAAAAGATCCAAGCTTTGGACAGTATTGATTGGAATGTAAGTTTAAGGTGTCATTCCATAGCTACTCCATTATTCATGCATTATAGGCTTGGTTTTATGGCGAGGGTCTGGCATTGCCCGTCAAGATGGAATATGACATGACGCTGGCCAAAGAAGCAAACCAGCTAGCTGAGCGCTGGGATGCCTCTCGTGCCATCAGCGACATCACCAAATTGGAATTCCAGAGTTCTGACATCGACGTTATGGATGCGAAACAGAAAGGTCCGAGGTCCTCCTTCAGAGATATTCTATGACGCCTGACAGGCTTTCTCTGTTACTCATTCGATCCAGTGGTATTTTTGGAACGTTTGCAAACTTTCTCATGCTTGCCATCAGCACACCTCTTCCATCTGGATGAACTGTATAAACTGTCCTCGACGTTGAGTGCAGAGCTTCGTCTGCGTTTTTACCAGCTCGTTTTACCAGACTCGACATCTGCTGCGGCAAAGCACTTTGCTCCCCAAGCTGCTCTGTGGGTTGTAGGAAATGATGGTACCGGTGTTATCAAAGGTCGCATGAAGTTTTGCAGGCCAGTCTTTAGGGCCATATACAAAGTTGACGCCCAATTAGCTATTAGTACATTCAAGAAATCAGAGGAAATGTTCCATCCAATTGCGAAGAAGCTGATCGAGAAGGTGCGCAGTTAACGGTTTATAGCAATTCCAAACATATACTTATCCTCCGTTTTTTCCGTAGGACCTTGATTTAGCTTGAAGGATCTAGAGATCTGTAAATACTATAACTGTGTATGTATCGATATAAATGACAGCGATGCCCTTATCCTCCTTTTACCTACGCAAGAGGGATCGTTTGTGGGTATCCAATGTGATCAATTATTTGTAATAATACATTACAAGTGAGTGAAGAAAAGAAATACTGTATCACAATGTCGAGTTACAGGGGTCTTGAAAAGCAGAATAGGAAGAACTGAGAGCCATGCTACAAGGTCTACTAGGTGACATCTGAAACTGAAGCGTCCATCAAGGCACTATGATTCGGCTTTACGAGGAGAGGTTGGAGCACTGCGATCTATAAGCCCTGATTGAGGTCGATCCAGTCGGTTCCTAAGACGCTGTACTTCTCGCTCCAAGCTGATGTTCACAGTAAGCATCAAGGAGTGTAAAACGGATCAGTGTGACGTACTTCAGTGCTTTCTGTTTGAGATCTGCGGCTTCACGCTCTGCGCGCCGTTTGGAGCGCTGAAGATTACTTTCCTCAGTTTGCTGAAAGCAGGAAATTTGCAGCTTGAGTACCAGTATCTCTGAAAGGCTTCAATATCGACTTACCGCCTTATCCAAGGTTTGCCTGAGACTTTGTATCTGGGCTTCGTGGGACTTTCTTTCCTCCTCCAGTCGAGTTCTTTGTCGGTCGCTCTCTGCTAATTGGAACTTGGCATCACGGACGGCTTTATCAGATGAGTGGAGCAAGCGATTGGGGTCATTCTTATCCTTTGAAGTCTGCTTCAACTGAGCTTCGAGTTCTTCTATACGACCTTCTAGTTGTCGAATAAGGCCAGTTGGTCGTGGGGAGGTAGCATAAGATTTCGTTTCAAGATCCACTATACGCACGTTGAGCTCCTTGATCTGTTTTTCAAGGTGTGCCTAAAATCGGTGTTCAGTATACTGGGTGTTTCTTCTGCGATAGAAATGCTCACATTCAATTTGTCAAGCTCTGAGTTCTCTACCCTGACGTTGCCTAGTTCGATTTGGCATTCATTAGCATGACTTTCGGCCTTCTTCATCCTCTCGAAAGCCATTGCAACTCGATCCTCTTGTTCTTCCAACGAACGTTCTAGATCTTGTTTCTTCAGCTGCAACTTTTGAAGCTCTCTATCTGAGGTCATCTTGTTCGCGTCGACATGGTCAAGTTTAATGCCCTCTAGTTCGGCTTGGAGCGCGCGCCGTGCTTTTTGCAGCATAGCTCGATCAGCCTCTGCATCATTCAAGACACCTCGGAGCTCTCGAACTTGGGAATGAAGCGACACGATCTGTGCTTGTTGCTCCGTTTGTGCGGCGCTTGAAACCTCATACGCCTTTGTCACATCGTTAATCTTGGTCTCCATACGCTCTTTTTCTTTCTTCCAAGCGCCACCGTTATAGACTTCATCGTCAAACCGAAGTTGCAATTCATCGTAGTCAGAACGAGTTTTTCGGTTATCTTCTCGAAGTCGGCTCATGATATCTCTCTGAGATTGAAGCTCTAGATAATTTGATCGTACATTAGTGTCAAATGGTAACATATCAAAAATATGTCAAAAGGTACCTTCACTGAGTTGGGCCAACTCGGCTATTGCAGTGTCAGAATATGTAAACCTAGACATGGGTGTACTTACCTTGATATTTCTTCCGCGTTTGATCTGTAGTGAAGTCGCGTTCTGCAATATCTTTCTGGTGTTGCTTACGCTCGTCTTCAAGTTGCTCGGCTAGGCGATGACGTTGGATGTCAAGATGAGAGGATTCTCGACCTTCATTCTCAATCTTTGACTGCAAGCCCCGAAGATTCTTTTCCGCGATTTCTAGGCTCTGTTGAAGGTTTGTCTTTTCCGCTAACGTATCCGTATGCGCCTTCTCTAAATCGGCCAAAGCTCGTCGTGCTGCAGTTTAAAGTTAGATTGTAGTTGTAAAAATGGAGACGAAAACGAACCGAAGGCTTCAGCTCTTGCAGCTTTCGCTCTTGCAACTTCTGCTACTTCAAGTCTTTCTGATGTGCTTCCCGTCTTGTGCTTATAAGATTCAAGTGCTTCTCGAAGTTCTGTATTTTCATTCATTAACGAACTGGTATATAGTATATAATCAATTTGACCCTCACCTGATTGCATCGCAATTGCTGCTGTGGATGAGATCTGGAGCTCTTGAAGCCTCGTTTGCAACTCGCGATTGGCACCTGTGTTAATCAGTGAAAAGTTACATCACAAGGGGTTAGAGTGGGGTCTTACCCAGTAAACCCTTGTTTTCGTCCATCTCTGACTGTAACCTCTCTTTTATATCATTGAGATCGCTCTCCAATTGCTTCTTGGACTGCGAATGCTCCCGAGCACGAGTGCGGAAATCTTCCAGTTCAGCTTGGGAAGTTCGTTGCTGAACGAGCTGCAGAAGTAAATTTGTAGGTTATACGAGGGCTTGATGATAATTAATAACCTACCAATGCCTTCCGAGACTCATCCAATCGGGTATAAGAGAGCCTTTCTTCGTCGATAGTAGACTGGAACTTGTCCCACATAGCTTGTATCCCATCAATTTGTGCAGCCTCTGCCGCACGGCGAGCCTCGGCTTCATCTTCTAACAAGGTTGATAACCTAACGTTCTCCTTGGAAAGACGTTGTCGATAATTCTGTAAAAATTTATTCGAGTCGTCGCTGTTCTCGAGATCTGCCGTAATGTCATGTATCAAGAGCTCTAGATGCTGTCTAACACGGTCCGATGCTGCCATCTTGAGCTCAAGAACCTGCACCTGCTGTTTCAACTGGGTAACTTGGGTATCGGAACCACGGGAGGAGTTTGATTGTGAATTTACTTGGCCGTTGAACCGGTCGTTTGCAACATCGCTATGTCGTGGGGTCAGAGACGCGCCATCAACACTGATGCTAGGGATACTCTGTCTTGATATGTTCTTTGAATAAGCCTGCATCTCCCTTTCCAGCCCTGCATCGGCTTGCTGAAGCTCCTTTAGCAATCGTGCCCGGAATGCATCATCTTTCGGAGTATCCTTCATAATGAGATCGCGTATTTCTCGATGTTGACGGCTAACAAGGTCTTTAATCCTGGCAGCAGCAGCCTGAGTGGACTGAGAGTAGCGAAGTTTTTCCTCGAGTTGAGCAATTCTCATTTCGTACTGCCGCTGGGATTTCGCAGTTGAATGTGGGACATCAGCCTCATCTGCCAGCCTTGCTATCTCTGCCTCCAGATTGTCTTTGGCACGCTGTACCATCTTTAGCTGCTCGTTGACGCTGCCAATCTCGTTGCGTGCGTCCTTGAGCTCTGATTGAGCTTTGCGAGACTGCATTTCAGCCACCTCCCTAGCTTTCCGTTCCATTTCAACGTTTGCAAGTGCCCGAGATGCCTTCTCTTCCTGTGCCCGGACGACTTTTTCCTTTGCTCTCAACTCTAATCGCTCCCGCTCAGTTTCTCGTGAGAGATCCTCCGCCTCTCCTGTTAATCGAGTCTTTGCCTTTTCAAGCGAACGAATATAAGTAGCATTTTTCTGCAGCTCCACTTGAGCCTCAGCAAGCTGTCGATCGGTGAAACGTTTTGCTTCCTCTAGAACATGGACGTGTTCGACGATAGTTTTGTCTTGTCTAGATTCCATCTGCTTGAGATCCCACTCTCGATTTTTCAGATCCGTCAGGGCCTTGTTAAGTTCTTGATCATTTTTGGAAATGCGATCTTTGTTCAATGCAAGCTCCATTTTCTGGCTGGCTACCATCTTTTGAAGTTGTTGAAGTTTGGTGGTCTCGGATTCAAGCTGTTTCCGACTGGCCTCAAGCTGGCGATCATAGGTCGCTTTATCCCTCTCCAGCTGCAAAACGGTGTCCTCAAAGTCTTGGCATCGATTTTGTACGTGAGCTATTTGCCGTTCCAAGCCCTATCTCAATGTCAGTGATGTCATCCCTTTTGTCGCAAGTTGACAAACCTCTTTTGCTTTCAATGCCTCTGCTAGTTGACCATCACTGTCAATCTGTCTAGACCGTAATGTCTGCAATTCGGACTCCAGTGATCGTTTAGCCTTGCCTAGATCAGATATGGCAATATCTGTCTGAGAAAGCCTTTCTTGATTGGACCGTTCACGATCCGATAGTTGTTTGTGTGCTGCCTCTAAGGTAGAATATTGGCGCATAGAATTGTCTAGATCCACTTTGAGCTTGCTCGTTGCTTCTAGCGCCATTCGTCGCGCATCGTTGAGCTCGCGCTGTGACTTGCTGACTTGGTCTCTAAGGTCAACGAGCTCCTGTTCTTTACTTTTCTCTACTTCATTGCGGCGAGTTTCTTCGCTAGTTTTCGCCTCCATCAAAGCCCGTAGCTCATCGACCTCTTCCTGCAACTTTGCCCTGGCCAATGCATCGCGTTCAGAATCCGCCTTGTTATTATGCACTTCAGCAACTAATTTGTCGATGACCCGCTGAAGTTCAGCTATCTGCTTGAGTAGTTGATCACGTTCATCCTTAGAAGCAGATATCTCGGAGACCAGACTGCTTATAGCTTCCTCTTTCTTTTGGATCATGCTCGAGTATTCAGTTGCTGTTCGGCCTAGCTCAGCAAGCTGCTCTTTATTCTGGCGTGTCCCCTGCTCAAGTTGATCGACTTTATCTTTGAGGGAGTCTCTGTGTTTTATCTTTAGTAAACTAATGTAATATAGCAATGCAAGATAGCTTGCCTATTTCGGATCTCCGCATTCAACTTGGATTGCAATTCGGCCGTGTTGGTATCCGCACGATCCTTGAGCCGGATCAGGTCCTCTTCACGCTGAGATGCAAGACTGGTCAAATCTTCGCTCAGTTTTTGGAGTTCTTCTCTTTCAGCACTGAGCTGAACCATTTCCTGTTGGACTACTGCTAATTGTTCTGATAAATCTGCATCCCTGTTCCTCCAATCCCGTTGCTCGCCTTCGAGACGTACAAGGTGCTCTGCCGCTTGATCAAAAGCTTGCCGCAAGGTTTCGTGCTTCTCCTCGCCTTCTTTCTGCAACCTTAGCGCCCTGTCCAGTTGAGAATCAAGAGTATCCAGGTCTGACTGTAAAGCTGCGATCTCTTCTTCTAGCTCTCCTTCCCTCAATTTACTCCTTTCCAATAGCGATTCTTTATCGACTGCCAACGCACGCTCGGCTGCAAGATCTTCTTCCACTTTTCTTTTCTCTGTTTCCAACGTCATCTTCAGGTTCTCTAAGGCCTCGCGTTCTTGTTGATCACGTTCCGCTTTCTCTCTTATGAGATGCAGTTCAACTTCCTTCCTCCTTAGTTCTTCGTCGTTTCTCGTGGCGGCAAGCAAAGGGCGCACCTACATGTAGTGAGAAACAGGCAAACAGAGATAACTATGGACAAACCTTTGTATAGAGTTGCCACCAAGGCCATTCCCTAAGCTCACCATATACACGAGCATTACGCTGAATGGTACGAATTGCAACAGCACGGTTCAGGATTTTCTTCATTTGCCTCCGCGCCGCAAACATCCTTGACACAGCTTGTAGCCTCGAAAAAAGATCGAATAACAAGGCATCTCTCCGCTCCTCGAGTTCTGCCAGAACTCCTGCCTTGAAAAAGATCTTGGAGGTACCAACTCTGTAGAGTGTGTTATCGAGTTCTAGGGCTTCGACCATGCGCAAACAAGCCCTACGACCATCCATATAACCACGAGGAATAATACCAGGCGTCAGGATCTCATAACGCTGACGGAATTCAACGAAGGGAAGTCGATTTGGATAACCTAGACGCGCGATACGAATACCTTCCAGCACACCGTTACAGCGTAACTGGTCCAGTATGAGGGGAACATCAACTCTGCCTGGTTTCTTGTGTACATTAGGTACTATGCAACGAATGAAGTGCGGTTGGGTGGCTTGCAGCTGACCCATGAGAAGAGCTAGTTGCTCTTTATGCCGCTGAGCTACTGTCCTGAAAGCACCTTTCTTGATTCCTCGCTTCTTGCCCACTGAAAAAGGTTGAATACCTCCGCTGCCCGCGTTTGACGGGGCTAAGAGACCTGACGATATGTCGCTGTAGTCTGCAAAAAGAGATGATACGTATCTTTCCGAGGAAGAGGCAAGAACACGGGTAAGATTATCGTTCAAAGGATCTTTGTTCTTTTCCAACCATCCGTCGGTTCGATATTCCACCTTACCAGCGTAATGCTGCAAAGTGAATCCCTGCTCAAATCTTGTCGGCTCGTATTTCTCCCTACCAGGATGGGGCTCTTCACCAGGCTGCAGGTCCCCTCGCCACATTGTATGCAGTTTGTTCGTAAAGGTGAGATCGGTGGCCTTGGGCATGATACATTCCTCGTCCAAGCAGCTCAACACTCCGATAACGGGACCGCTCGCCTCAATAAGATCTATCGTCGGTTGCAAATCAAGGCCAAAGTTGACATAGTCCCATTCTATACCCTCTCTGGTATATTCCTCTTGCTCGAGCACAAACATATGGTGATTAAAGAATTGTTGAAGTTTCTCGTTGGTATAGTTGATGAGAAGCTGCTCATAGGTATTGACTTCAAATATTTCAAAACCAGCGATATCCAGAACGCCGATGAACGTCGACTTCGCAGATGGTCGATCTAGCGCACGGTTGACACGGTCTACCAATGCACCAAATGACTTTTCATATAAAGTCTTGCACAAAGCTGATAGCTCGTCCAGAGCTTGCTGCCGCGTACGAGCCTGTGTAACCCATTCTCTGCCAGCCAGTACTCGTGGCCGCAAAACTGCTCTGATGAACTCAGCAACAGGTAAACCAAGTAAATGGCAGACTCGTTCTGCCTGTGAAGGATCGGGCAGTACCGCATCATCCGCCCTGGTTGAAGTTATCGTGATATTCCCGATGTGCAATATGGCTGCCACAATTCGAAACAAATCAAATTGCTCTGCCTGTGTAAAGCCTACAACATCGAAGGCATTCTGCACACAGCTATGTCAGAGTTTCAGAATCGACTAGGAACAGCATAGCTTACTATCAATGCATCCCACTCCTCTTTATCGTTGACGCCATCGACTTCTCGTCTACTCTTGTTTAGGAACTCGTACTCTGAAACATCACCTTCCAATAATAGAGTTTCTGAGAAAATAATATTCAGCCTCTGGTCTATCTGACCTGATGGCATCTTACCTTTCAGTGCATCATTGCCTGACATTAGTTGATAGAAAACGTGAAAATTCCTTTCAGCCTCGCTCCTCACTACGACACGACTCTTTTCTAGTAGATACCAATCTATGTTCGCCCCAGCGATGCTGCCGTCGGGAGCAAAGCTAATCCTGATGAACTTGCCGAATCGACTCGAATTATTATTGCGTTGTGTCTGTGCATTACCAAAGGCTTCCAGGATAGGATTGGCTTGAACGATCTGCCGTTCAAGCAAACCTAGACGGCCCTTTGCCGTTAGAGACCCGGTAGAGCTACCGGATGATATGATGGCGCTCTTGTGTTTGAAGGAGCTACTCCTCGGAAGGCCCGAGGAGGGTATGACTGCGCCATGAGATGATGTATGTGAAGGTGAAAGGGTGTGCGATGGTGTCGGCGGATGAACATCTGTCGCTATAGCAGCTAGATATTGTATAACCTTCTTCGTGCTCTCGGTTTTTCCTGCACCTGATTCCCCGCTAGATTGGAAGATGATGATGAACTCGACACACCAGAATTCCAGGGTTCGAGGTACTTACGTGATTAGTATGCTTTGATTCTCTCGTTCGTCACCCATGTTGACCCAGGCTCGCTCAGCCACCGCGAATATATGTGGGGGGTTCTCGTCTCGACGTTTGTTCCGGTATTGGTGAATGATCGCATCGGTATATAGAGGTAAATTCTGGTATGGATTTATGGCAACTAAAAATAAGCCGGAATATGTCTATGTACACTCGTCAGTGAATGCCCATGCTGCCATTTGCAAGCGAAGCTACCCACATATATTGCTCCTGAACCGTACCTTAAACGGAGATTGTGCACGACGCTGGCTTCGTTAAGAAATGTCAAGTCGGCTATATCGTCGACGCGATCGAACTTTGGAGGGTTCATCTTGGATAGCGCATATAGTGGTACTTTCCGTATCTGAGGGATATTAATGTCACATATTCAAGCCATTTCTAAACATAATACTGACATCTCCTCCAGCAGCCATTACAATCTCGCCTACATCATTATCTTCTTGATGAACCCACCCAGCAAGATATCCCTCTTTGTCGTCTGGTACCCAAACCCATCGTTTCTCGTTGAATTCTGCTTGCAGAGCAGCCGCACGAGCAGCCTCAGCGCTCTGCGAAGGTCTTGGGGCTGGCATATAATCCCCTGTGGATATAAACAAACTTGAAGCAAGTCCCCAGATTGTCGATGATGTTCCGGATCGTTACACGACAGGTAAACAAGTTCGTAGCAGTGTGTATTCAGAGGTATACGTTCCTTTATATCTTTGAAATGTCGTTACAGTCGTAGTAAAATGTCGATAATGAACAGGATACTCGGAGGAATGTCGAGATCAACTTGAAGGACAAACCATCCACGAGTGTGAATCACGTTGGTCGACGCGCCATGTCTCAATTCAACGAATTGCCACTTCGACCCTTTTTTGGTAATCGGTTAGAAAGGCGCTCAGGTTCAGTTCCATACCCTGAACTTGAAGTTACGGTGCACGCACCCTCACCTCGGGTGTTCTGCATTCTAACCACAATCACAGCGACAGAACTACACATCGAACCAGGTTACGATCAGTTCCATTATGATGAAAAAAAAAGTTGTATAAAACCAGCAAACGCGTATCAGTTCGGCGTCCGTGGCCTGCACACACTGAGAGGGATTCCATACTTTTCGTCAACTTTTCGAGTCTCAAGTGGAGAACAAGGAGATACCGACGGTATAAAGCTATGGGATGGCAGCTCTATTCTTCAATTTTGTAGTTCATATGTCTTCTTTCTCGCAGAATCTGTCCATCAACGTCGATGAAGTTTTCAACTTCGACGCCGCTACTTTGGAGTTAGTAATCTTCAACTTTTGATTTCCAGCACATTGAGCTTACTCCAGTGCTACATGTATCAGGGATACCCCATATTTAGCGGATGAAGCGTATCTGAGCAGTGACATGTCCGAAGCAACTATAGACGAGATTTTTCGCTCTTCGTATGGTTGGTGGCCGCAGGAGACGAGTTCTCTCATGCTCTCGCCATGTTTGCGAGGTTCGCCAGAGCTTACAGAAATGGGATGTAAACCTTTGGTAATGTCCCTCTCCGCATCATCCATGCCATCCGTTAATATCAAACCTTTCATTAGACGTTTTCTAAACCAATATCTCCAACGTCATCGCAATCGATAGATCCTTGTCATCTCTTGCTTGCAGAACACGAACGACCGCCGATTCAACCATCAGCAATTTCTTCAGGTGCACTGATGTCAGAGTGCACGAAATTCAACGCGGTTGATCCAGACAAAGCAAAAGCTGCGGAAACGTTGGAACATCCTTGTGCCAGGATACCCACACCCACTGCGGAAGTGAAACTTGAAGAAGATATACGATTAGCCCCTTCGTCACATAATACTGAGGTTACGACTTCGGTGAAGCCATCCGCTTCTAGAAACCACACCCTCCAAAGAACACAACGGCCACCGCACCACATTCCCATCCGCCATTCCACGAGACTTGCATCGAAGTCTGGTTTACTTATCAGCTCTATCGGTCCAGACCATGGGTTGGACGAGGAGAACAGCTGCGATGATTCGTTTTCGCCTGTTAGATATTTGAAATCCGGACGCAGACAGACCAAGAAGGTTCCTCAGCGTGTATGGTGCAGCTCTTGCGGGTTAAATTTTACGCGGGAAGCCGACCTCCGACGTCATGAAGAGACCATCCATAGCAGTGTGTCTCTAGACGAGATTTACAGCGAAACTCGGGAGCGATATCGCATTTATTGCAATCGATGCCGCGCGATTCTAGGCCGTGTAGATGCGCGTCAAAGACACGAGAAGAACAAATCCTGTGGTCGCAGTCGCATGATTAGAGAAGCGAGGGAAAAGAACGGCACCATTTCCGGCCACCTGCAGCTCAAACTTAAAGCCCATCAGTCCTCTCGACCCCATGCTGCCAGTAGCAGATGAAATTGATGAAAGGCCTGTGGGTCCAGTGTCCATCATAATTTAAGTCCTCTTATCGATTATGAGGCGCCCATATCATTATCTCCTTGTAAACGACGCTATACTACTAACCTATTTACGCCCTCACCGGACCGCCTCCTAAGTCCGTTGTATCTCTGCTTAATCCTGTACCCTAAATTCTTGCGGCTCGAAGAATTCGCAACTTTCGAATAGCACGGTTTTCATTTTTTTCCCGCCCCAAATGTGTCGTCAATGTCATGCGGGACGTATTACACAGCGATGGTGATTGCTGTCCTTAGAAATTCCAACTTCCCCCTCCAGGCACTGACAATGGAGTAACGTGGTATACGTTAACTGTGGATGCACTGCCTCTTTTCTAGGGGTTCTATTTCCTTTTATATTGTGGGTTGTTCCTCTCTCTCGTGTGGCGTCTTCATTTCCAGATTCTTCCAATTGACGCACTGCAAACTCTGAATGTCCTGGTTCAACAATTGACAAAATCTATAATCTGCGTCCTTGGCTACGGACTGTACTGATTGGCCCGCCATCAGCACTTGTAAGGACGTGATTCGTTGTACCTTTTTGTTTATCGTGATGTGTGCGTTTTAGCGCGCGCTGTGGGAGTCTCATCTTCAAATTTGTCCCATCTCTCTCGTTCTCTCCAGGATGTACTTATTATATCCGCCCATTTACAGCGATGCGCGTTGCAGTGCGAAGGCTAATGACTCGTTCCTGGAGCAGTCACGTTCTTTCTGGACTCCTTCTACCATCTGACAAACATGAGGCATACTCGTGTAGCCCATCTATGGATGTCTCAAGAAGTTACATGATCCGATGCAGCCCAACAGTGCATACACAAGCGGCTTCAGTGCAGGGTTTGACGCCGAGCGTTTATGATCGCATCCGACAACTAAGCTTTGAGCTTAAACAAGAATTCGAGAACAGATGGGAGGTGAGCGTCTATCTCGCATCGCGACGAAAGAAGTAAACTTCGGGGTTGTTGTTTTAAAAGCGTGCCACTGCAGCAGGACTACAGCCATACAGCGCGTGCACTACACGTTGCGAACGTGGACCCTCAAATGTCAATATCATTAGTTTGGTGATCCCCCAAGATGATAAGAACGGGATAGGGCGTTCTTGTTCGCTTTTTCTCTTGAAGCGACCTGCATCCTCTTATAGCGTCACAGCCTCAGCTCCTGTTTCATTCCCAGCCTCTGTTGTTCTCCACCCAGACCAACCATGAACTTCGCATCATACCTCACAGACCTTCCTGAAGACCTTCCTCCAGTTCTAGTTGATGGACTCACGCTATGGTACGTCCATTCACGATAGGTGCGACTGGACAGCAGTTTATGCTATAACAGGGAAGAGAGAACAAGCGTCTCTCGTGGTCTATTGTTACAAAATCCAGGTGTCTGCTCGCAGTCGGAAATCAACTATCCTCACTTCGATATATCCGACAATGATTATCCAGACGAAGAGCTCGCGTTTCAAACTTACATCGACGTAACTCAGTCAGACAATACTCAATCATTCTCAGAAGTACGGTTTTACGTCTTGTCCAATGTGTTTTGATACTGAGAAGGTTACTTAGATTCCACAATTGCGGCTCATACCTCCCATATTTTCACCCACTTCATCGGCTTCACCTTTCCTACCAGAACTGTCCCCAGACTCATCACCACTGAGTGTGGCGTCTTCTAGTGTACCGATCACACCCGAATTTGGCGTGTGTATGACAGATATTGAGCTTTCCCCGAGCAGAGCAAGCGACCATTCAAGATTTTACCACCAGGAGGATGATTACTCGTATCTTTCAGATGACGATCATATCCCTCTACTCGAAGATGTTATCAGCAAGCAGATCGCTGAAGGTGAAAAGCCTTTCAATGCGTACACACCTTTACCAGAAAGTCCCATCCTACGGCACAGCGAGTCAGTATTGTCACCCTCGAGTTCTTCCACTCATCCAGCCTCGTCGAAAAGCACATGTGACACAGTGTTCCCGTCTCAGATCGCACCACTTTCATTATATGTGGATGAAGTTTCTCCATCACCAACTTCTGTTCCTGTAACGGAGTCCCGGAATAACAGAGAACTTATTTCATCTCCCGCATCTACGGGCGTGCCTAGACACTCCTCAGCAGCTTCGTCATCGTCCATACAGCACTCGAAACGACCTCTTTCCCATGCCTCTAAATCAAGCTCACCCGGTACGTCAAGGTCCGCCGAAATGGCGAACAGCCGTCGCGGAACATCACTTCGTTCCTTCAATCGTACCACAATCAAATCTGAATCCGTCGACCGTGACACACAGTCAGCTCATGTTCCTAAAAAACGTCGTCGCGAGCTGTCACCTGTTTTGCGTGTAGCGTCGCCCGTGCCTTCCAAAGACGACAGCGAGACATACTTGGGACAGCTTGTTGATAGCGATGACGATGAGACTGATGATGAATACGTGCCAAGTCGTTCAACCCGACCACGTCAACCAAAGCGACGGCGAACCAGTACTTCGTCTGTCACCTCTAGGACTGGAAAGAGTAAGCCGAATAGAGATTTGAAAAGAAACTCCAATCGACTTACGGAAGCGACGAGCTCCGAGTCGGCTGGTGCAAAGCAACCCAAGTGTCGATTTTGTGGGAAGACTTCGTTCACGCGCGAGCACGATGCTCGGCGACACGAAGAACTATCCTGTTCAGCAAATCCTGCCCGGAAGGCTGTTAATTGTGAATGCAACATCTGTGGCAAGGTGCTGTCGCGACCCGATGCTCTCATAAGGCATGCCATCAAGCACGAGAAGAAGAGTCTCTTGCGATGACAAGTATGTGTTTGTTGGGTTTACCTTTGTGTCTTGCATCGATGAGATTTTTCCTCCACCACAAATGTCGTTGCATCTCGATCTTGTAGCCGCCTATGATGATCCTTGTCCGCAGCCCTGAATATACCCTTTTCCTTGCGCGATGAACGATTGCTTGTGATAAAATGATTCGAAGAGCCTTTTACTAGTAAAACTTCTAGTGGTTTACAAAGTCCTTGGGTGAAGGTCTGCACCATCTGAGTTTCGAATTACTTGAATTGGGAAACCACAGCCTCATCCGGGGTTTGCCGGCAGGGTGACTGAGAGGCTGTCCATGATTCCTGAAGTTGACATTCGACCACTTTCAGGTATTCTTCTTTGTTCTTTGACAGCGGATATCCAGGTCTTCTTCAGTACACCGCGATTCATACCATAAAAAGTATCAAAGGGTAAGTAAGGCGTAACACATCCGTCAGGGTACTTATCGAGGATATCTATCGCAGATGAGCAATGAAATTGATCTAGAGCACAGTCTTGGAGAGTCCAGTACCACAACCAGTCATCTATATATTCCTCCTCAAGAAGAAGCTGTCGAAAGCGTTTCAGCACCTTCGGCCGCTCGCACTCCACAGTTACTTAAAGATAGGCTTTACATTGGAAATCTCCATCCTACAGTAGACGAGTCAGTCCTACCAGCTATGCGCGACCTACTCGACTGATTTGAATCTTGACAGATACACACTGTTGCAAATTTTCTCGAAATTTGGGAAGATATCCAAACTCGATTTCCTCTTTCACAAGACAGGACCTAGTAAAGGCAAGCCGCGCGGCTACGCCTTCGTAGAATTTATTAATCAGAAGGTATGTTGTTCCTCCTTTCATGGAGAACACCTCGCTCACCCCGGGCACCATTTTTACACATTTTGAATTCGTCTACACCTCCTTTCTTAACCACACCCGGGGGGACTGGGGATTGATCTCTTCGAAATCACTTTTACTTCATGTCAAGAAGCCCTCACATTTTCTGAATAGGATGCGAACAAGGCTCTCGATGGCGCAAACGATAAACTTCTACGTGGTCGTAAACTGGTCGTGACGTATGCACACCAAGCGCCTCTAGATCAAAACGCCGGAGGGGCTTATAACGGGAAAAGAAGAATGGCAGACGCATATCGACCTACTGCACTCAGTATATTAAAGAGCGCTACGGGTGGACGACAAGACAGGTGTGCATATATTCAGATATCCACGAGTAGCGTAGACTGAGCTCACACTCTTTAGAACAAAGGATAAAATCGCTCAGATGGAAGCCAAGTTAAGGCAGATGGAAGCCAGTTCCTCCCCTTCGCAACCCTCATCGCGGATGTCCAATTTATCATCGTTACCTGCGAAGCCTCTGTTTTCCCCTTCACCAGGAAATTCAGAGGGCCGCCACGTAAATAAAAATACTTCCTCTAACTCACGCTTCAGGACTTCTCAATATCCGAGTCAGAGGCTCCACTCGAATACAAATCAAACGTTACTTCAGGCACCCGCTACCCTTCCTTTCCAGAACACCACTCTTTACAAAGGAGAATCGGCATCACAATCACCTGTCCCTCCTCCAAATAAGGGGAACGAGTCGATTGTTCCGAAACAGTCGATACTAGGTGTAAAGATATTGAAGGGGAAGAAATGATAGCCGACGGGTGGCGAGGTTGGACATTTACTTTGTGGCAGGGATGTTATCCCAAATATTGTTTCCATATGTATAGTTCGTGATTACTCATTCTTTACTCGTCCGGAAGCTGATCTCGTGAAAGACAGCTTTCTTGAACGCACGATCGAATTCATAATGACATTCAGAGAACAGTGATGTAATGAATTTGGCCCCGATCTATTGTTGCAATCTTTCAGGCCTAGCACTGCTAGCGTAGGACGTGTATCTTGACATATACAGATGCTGACGGTGTATCCCCCTTTCACTCTATCGTTTACAGACAAACACTTTTCCATAACATCACCAAGTGATTTCGGGCTGCTCCGGAAAAAGTCTTGTGAGCCCACTTCTTTGACACCCCAACGTCCATTGTTAATCGTATCTTACGATCGCTTTAACATTATTATGGTACGACGTTTACTTCAGGGCTATCGATCTGAAGTTGGCCTATCATGGCCGCCGTTCTGAAGTTCTGAACGAGCTAACAGCGATGATTTACGTATACACGGAATCACAAATGTAGGTTGGAATCCACGGTAAGCTGGGCTACTTATTGTAATGGTAATTCAACTCAGCATCTGATTGCTCGTACGTTCTCTTACAAAACATTCTGCACTAGTCATAATAGCAGGCTGTGACAGCTGCGGAGCAAGTTAATGCGACCTGGTGCTCATCCATAAACAGAAAGCGCCATAGGGTAACTGGAGATCGGGTGGCCGCATGCACTATCCGAAAACCAGAGGATTGGAGTGCGGTGATTTAAAACTATTGATTCGTTTTTCCGATCATGATGGTCCGAGACACCTACGTATAGGTGAAGTTGTTTCGGTTTGAAACTGTCGTCCAGGTAAGACCGCGGCGGTGCGTGCAAGGGAAGGTGGCTTCTCGAGTAGAGTATATATCGTTCCTAAACTTTACATGATCCTCAGGTTCGTGCGAGAGTCTGCCCATGTTTTTGAATTTTTGACATTTCTCTGAGAGTCAATCGGTTATGGGAGGGAAGCGTGCGATAAAGATGGACTGGAACGGCCACACTGGGCAACAAGAATAAGTCGTGGGTCACCTGCAAACGCCATCTGCCCACGAATGCACGAGAGTTACTATGAATGGACGACAAGGTCCGATCTAGCAGTAATTTGCGCCACACACCCCGCGGCTCATACCGACGGACCAAGGCAAACCTGTAGAAACCATTATCCCGAAATCCGACGTGACGGTGCGGTATCATTCCATAAATGCATGGTGCTACCAATCATGGACTAGAAATTTCACTTGGAGTTGGTTCTGGAGCACCTGACTTTGGCATGGATTCATAAGACAGTTCTCAGGTATTTATAATTAAACGTCCCATTCAATCCCCAAGTTAATCCTCACATCCTCTCTTCCCTCAGGTCCTAACCAACATTATCCAGAATGCCTTCTAAGCAAGTTCTTGCCGCCAAAGACGGCGCTGTTTACACCACCTCTAATGGTGCACCTGTTGCTGAGCCTTATGCTGCTCAGCGAGTAGGTCCCCATGGTCCTCTTCTCCTACAGGGTATGGCGAACATGTTTGTCTAAAGTGTACACTATTGACGAGAACGTTCGATACCAGATTTCCACCATATCGACCTTCTTGCACACTTTGATCGTGAACGTATTCCGGAGCGTGTCGTACGTGTATCCAGTAGATCATAAACTGGCACATATGAACTCTTTCTCTCCTGCAGGTCCACGCGAAGGGAGCTGGTGCACACGGCTACTTCGAGGTGACACACGACATCAGCGACATCACTTCCTCCAAGTTTTTCACTACCCCTGGAGTAAAAGCACGCACTACTGTCCGATTCTCCACTGTCGGTGGTGAATCAGGATCAGCCGATACTGCTCGTGACCCTCGTGGTTTTGCCATCAAGATTAGAACCGATGAGGGAAACCTTGACTGGGTGTTCAACAACACACCAGTATTCTTCATTAGGGACCCTGCTAAGTTCCCTCACTTCATTCACACTCAGAAGAGAGATCCGCAGACACACTTGAAAGACGCTGATATGTTCTGGGTAAGTTCATTATCGCAATCGTTACTTTTCGGCTTTATCGACTGTTCTATTCTAGGACTATCTCTCTCAGAACCCCGAGTCTGCTCATCAAATCACGATTCTCTTCTCTGATCGCGGGACTCCTGATGGATTCCACAACATGCATGGTTACTCTGGTCACACTTTCAAGTTCGTGAAGGATAATGGTTCATTCGTTTATGCTCAAATCCATCTCATTGCCGAGGGAGGCTTCAAGGTAAATAATACAGACGTTTTGAAGAATCGTTCATTCATCTGTCGTCTTACTTCATAGACCCTCACGAATGATGAAGCCGGAAAATTGGCGGGAGATAATCCTGACTATGGCACTCAAAATTTGTTCGAAACCATCGAAGCCGGAAAATACCCCACCTGGACTTGTTACGTTGTGAGTTACTACCCGTTTTTCATCTTGCTCGTCATGACCCCGCCTCTCTATAGCAAACAATGACGCCCGAACAAGCAGAGAAATTCCGGTACAATGTTCTCGATTTGACTAAAGTTTGGCCTCACAAGGATTACCCTATGCGGCCTCTGGGTAAACTCGTTCTTAATGAGAACCCTCAAAACTACTTTGCCGAGATAGAACAGGTATGTCGTTCTCGTTCTTCCACGATGTCATAAGACTGATGAACACTCCCAGGCCGCATTTGCTCCATCCCACCTCATTCCTTACTTCGAAGCTGCTCCGGATCCCGTCCTCCAGTCACGTCTCTTCTCTTACCCAGATACCCACCGTCATCGTTTGGGCGTGAATTACAGCCAGATCCCAGTCAATGCTCCCATTGTACCCATTGCGAACTTCCAGCGTGATGGTTACATGACGATCAACAGCCAAGGAGCTCGTCCTAACTACCAGAGCTCTTTCGCTCCTTTGACATACGTAAAGAACAAGGGCTCCATTAATGGCGCTGCGAGAGACTATGAAAGGGAAGCTAAGCACGATAACTGGGTCGGCGGTGCCTTCTGGGACTTGGCTGAGACCACCGAACGTAAGCCACGTCACATTTGGATAGCTCTTGACTCACAACGGCATGTTTGTAGTCGACTTTGAGCAACCTCGTGCATTGTACAGAGATGTCATGAACGACACGGACCGAGACCACCTTGTCTACAACATCTCTGTACACTTGGGTAACGTGAAGAGTGCTGAGGTCAAGGCCAGGACTTGTGAGTCGCCCTCTCTCCTCATTCATCATCCGCAACTTTTGCTAATATGTGATTAGTGTCTTACTTCGCCTCTGTTGATCAAACTCTTTCCGACCGCATTGCTAAAGCCATTGGTGCACCAACCGTCGGGCCTCTGAAAGTCAAACCCGCCTCGGAGGCTGTCCGCTTCAGGGCTGGCGTCGGGGCGTCCACTCAGTTCAGGCTCTAATGCATAGAATGAACTAGCATCGAGCTGAAGATGGGTGTGTTGTATGATAACTAGGGAAACTAAATGTATCATTCAAAGGTGTAAGCACAGTTGTATTGAAATATGATGTTGTTCATCTGTACCATACCGAAGCATTTACAATACTAGAGCCGATGAACCAGTCATCGCAGATTAGACATGTGAAACTTATGCTCGAAAACGTCATATGATAAGCTTTGAAACATGGTGTTGGTGTGGTAGGTATTTGTGTGCGGTGAAACTTGACATAGGCCATAGGTAATAAAGTAAGGACATTTACTAATCGAGTCAGTGGGGATATTTAGCGTCCAGGTTTAGTTTGATAGAGCTATTTACAAAATTTTAACTAAAGAGCAACTTATGTGCTAGAAGGACATGGAGAAATAGTAGTGGGAGTCCGGATGTGGGCCGGGCCGGTCCACGGTTTTTGCCGCTATCATCATGCATATGGGGTTGTTTTTGTCACGGTGGACGAGCGACTCAGAGGGCACCGTGACCGACGGTGTGGTGTGAGCAGGAATGAGAGCAATCAAAGGTGCATTTACTTTCTTGTTGGTGGGTGTAATCAAAGATTTAACATGCATGGTTAATATCAGGCGTTCTTTTGACATGGTATGTGCAATTCAGCATCCATTCACCGACATCCATTCATTTCTATCCTATTTTGTGTCAAACGGTTCAAACGACATTCCCCTATTTCTAACCCCATGAAAACTTGCAAATTTGGAACTTCCTCGTGCCCGTGTAGTGATTCAGCTGTAAAACAAATTCTTCTCACCATGAACGACAAAGCACCTTTCATCATAGAAGACCTCGATGACAACCACATCCTCATCAAGGCGGACGAAGAATACAGGGTCAGGCGTGAACTTGAAGCTGAGGTGAGGCTTTACTGTGTCTGGGGCCCTCAATGCCTTTGAATGCTGATATGCCCTTGGTTCTAAGCTGGAGAAAAATACGTATAGCTTAGAGACAAGCTGAATACGGAACATGCTATTTGTAGTATATGCAAACATACACTACAACGCGGTTAGTCTTTCGTGTTCCAACGCTCGTCTATTCAAGTAAACTGACCCAGGTTCTGATGTCGCCCGTAACAGGGTCATCCGCTTAACCTCTAGTATTCCCAACTTGCAACGCTTTCGCTTTGCAACTTTGACCACTCAATGTGCAGGAACAAGAGTGCAGCCGGAAAGTCCTATTCACGGCAGCTGTTTGTCTGTCATGTACAAAGCCGTCGGTGCGAGCAGAACGTCTCAACTCTTGTGCGTGACGTATCAAATTTGTGATCCTGACCATTCAATGGCTAGGATGGAGGGGCTAGCAAATAATCTTGTGGTACACGACTATGTATCAGACATGCTAAGATACTCAGGTTAAATCATGCTGGGGTCTTCCCACCTTCTCTCTGTACCCAGTCTAACCAAGAGCCCTCATAGTTGATGATGCTAGATCACATATTAGCATCACAATCACCACTGATGATCAATCACTCACTTGTTGTACCCGTTTCGTTTTGCCACGTCGCATGCTGTCGCACTACGCTTTCCACTACGACAGTAGAAAACTACCTCTTGGTTCTTCTCCGGCTTGGCGAAACCGTGTTGAGTCTGGAATGCGGTGGAAGACAGATGTAGCGAATTCGCAAGCACAGATAGTGGCAAGTTCACTGAAGAAGGAATACTGCCTTGCATGACTTCATCAGGCTCACGAACGTCGATGAGATAAGCATCCTGGATTATACATTGAGTAAGATCAGGTATAGGCAGTGATAAACACATACGGGACTTGGGCTGAGAGTTTTGGGTTTAACTTGCTCATATGTTAGTACGGGACCTTGCCAATCCTTTTGCAATTTATCATTCAATTTCCGGGCTGCTTTGAGCGCCTCGTCGGCTTTCGTGGACTCGTACCGCCTGAAGTGCAGATACGCAGGTTTGGGAGCTTGCCGAAGCTGAGCCCGCGCTACTGTGCGAGATGCACTCGAGAAAGCTATTCGCAGCATATTCTGAGAATGTCGTCGTGTTTGTACTCTTAACAAGGAAATAGATTTATAGAGCTTGTGCGGACTTACACTGACTGTAAGCAGGTATATGAGCATTTCTTGCGTGCTTGCGCATATGTCACGTGAAACCTTAGGGCAGGTTGGATGTGGTCATCACGATATCATCCGAAGACGGTGTCAGAGGTCCGTGAAACCTATTTTGCGATTGGTTGAAGCACAAATGCCGCAGTCTTTTTGGATCTCCACTTTTCTGTCCACCACCATGTCCCATCTCCTTCCTTTTTCCTCAACAACCTAGGTCGCCGTTCTAGCTACACGTAGCCATCGAGAGCGATGTTCGCGAGTAGCGTTTTTATTCGATATCTTCTGCCGAACTATCTGTCTCAGGCTTCTGCCCTCATCGGGTGAGGCAATTTTGTGGTGTCACGGCGCATCGCAAGCGGAAGCGTAGTTCTCAACAAGCTTGCGGTGCTTCGTGATACTAGCAATCATTGTCACCTTCTGTGGCCAGAAATCTAGACAATCCATTCTCAAGCAGGCTGCATACCCAAGGCCACTACCGAAGGCATTTTTGGGTTCGACGACGGATATCCCTGGATCAATGTTATCGTTCTCTACCACAAATGACTTCGCACTTCACTGCTTGGCGAAACAAATGGCCTTAGGTTTCTGGACCTTCGCATGCCTGAATTGTGCAGTTTTTGTCGATGTTTTCTTTATATCTTCCACCATGGATTTGGATAACTCGACGATGGATTCATTGTGCCTTACTCTGGGCAACGTCTTGGTGGCTTATCCATCGTGTCGACCTTCTGAATATGCTTACCTGTTGTCACCTGGTTGGAATCATGCTGGACGATTGCACTATCATGGCGAATGTTCATTCTTCCACCCCCCTCGACGTACTCTGTTCCTCGCGGTCTAATTTAACTTTTCACAATCCCGTTCTTTGCAATGGTCTTACGGACCGTGGATCTGGCGTGGTTATCAAAACCATGTTCTTCTCGCGCGCTAATAGCATCCCATGGTATCACTTGGCAAGACTCGATAATCATTTAAATTCCGAATTTGGTGGCAGCTAACCCCGTGCCAAACCCAAAATTATTCCAAGAAATAACTCTTAGCAAAAATAAATTTAATTGTAGGTTTCTTTCGGTTGTTTCCGGTTTTCCTTTTTTTATCGGAAGTTGTGTGGTCCGAGCACCATCACAATCCGAGCGATCACCTGCCTTCGTCTTCAGTCGATTTTTTTTATCACTCTCGATATCTTCGATATTCTTCTTTTTCGTCGCAATGAATTCAAACAACATGACTGGTATGGGCAACATGACCAGTACAGGCAACACGACCGGCATGGGTGGAATGGGCTCCGGCACAAACATGTCGTCTATGATGATGGCGATGATGGTGCCATATCTGCACTTTGGCTCTGGAGATAATCTGATTTTCGAGGCGATTAAACCGTCGACTGGGGGTGCCGTTGCTGGCGCTGGCATAGTCCTCATAGTATTCGCCATTTTGGAGCGTCTGGTTGCTGCTTCTAGACGCGCTCAAGAGGTTTACTGGATGCGCAAGTAGGTTTCTCTGCTCTTAGAATGAGATAACAATAATTTACACTATCTTGACTAGGGCATCGGCTTTGAAGTCGTTAGCTGCTTCTCAGGCCGGAATAGCTGGTCTAGCAGAGAAGCGCTTTGACTCTCCTGTTGAAGGTTGCGACGATAGGGAGCTTAGGATCGTTGCACCGTTCAATCTGAAGCACGATGTCATTCGTGGATTGTATCACGCTTTGCAGGCGTTGATGCTGTATGCCCTGATGTTGGCTGTCATGTAAGCTTAGCCCCTCGGTTATTTTGTTGTACTGTTATTGACTAGTGCACTTGATAACAGGACGTTCCAGGCTGCCTACATCATATGCATCGTCGCTGGTCTGGGAATTGGCGAGATGTTGTTTGGGCGGGTTGGAAGAGGAGTTAGGACTCATGCATCTCTCGGGGTTCTCTGTTGAGCAGGCAACTTGTGTTATGCAAACCGCGAATGTAATTACGTTGTACTAATATTGGAAGCGTGTATGATGAAAGAGACCTCCCCTCATTTTAGTAGCCGCGTCAATCGTTGAGACGTGAATGGTACGAAATACTTCAGTGACATCCTAATAATCATGATATTTGTATGAATATGATGGACTACCTTGAATGCTTGTATCACGACTTATGGTTGATAGAGTTCTATTCAGTAAAATAAGTAGTATGAAGATAGTCATGCAAAGAAAAAGTTTTTTTTCGGCAATCGTTATGGCGAATCCGCAGAACTTCATATTCGATGGAACACCTTCCAAGGGTTGTTTTCAAGGCTTCTAGTGAATTTTAAAGGGCTTCTTATTGCCAATGAGGATCCACGAGAGTCTGAAAATGTGCCTCGAGAAAATAACCTTTAAGATAGCCAGCGGAAAGTTGCAAGGAAGGGAAGAGTTTGTGCGGTCCACCGAGATTGTTTGACTACGTTTATTTACCCCCTGTTTTGAGACAAACCATGGAGGTAACGCAGTTGTCTCAGTTGTTGCTAGGTCATAGCGATCATGAGATTTGTTGTGTGGCATGCTCGTCTTGTTGCAGTATCATGTTCTGTTGGATGAAATTCCCCATAATATTTAAGGTATGACGACGAATCCCGCTCAGTACAATTTAACGACTAGACAATGCCATTGGGCAAGGGTTTCTGAATTCAGTCGCACACATCCAGTACTAGTACAAAATATTTAGATTCGCGAGTTCCATGTCACGAAGTTCTGCGCTCAGCAGAGAACCCCGAGAGATGCATGAGTCTTAACACCTCTTCCAATCCGCCCAAACAACATCTCGCCAATTCCCAGACCAGCGACAATGCATATGATGTAGGCAGCCTGGAACGTCCTGTTATCAAGCGCACTAGTCAATGACAGTACAATAAAATAATCGAGGGGCTGAGCTTACATGACAGCCAACATCAGGGCATAAAGCATCAATGCCTGCAAGGCGTGATACAATCCACGAATGACATCGTGCTTCAAATTGAACGGCGCGATGATCCTAAGCTCCCTATCGTCGCAACCTTCAACAGGAGAGTCAAAGCGCTTCTCTGCTAGACCAGCTATTCCGGCCTGAGAAGCAGCTAACGACTTCAAAGCCGATGCCCTAGTCAAGATAGTGTAAATTATTGTTATCTCATTCTAAGAGCAGAAAAACCTACTTGCGCATCCAGTAAACCTCTTGAGCGCGTCTAGAAGCAGCAACCAGACGCTCCAAAATGGCGAATACTATAAGGACTATGCCAGCGCCAGCAACGGCACCCCCAGTCGACGGTTTAATGGCTTCGAAAATCAAATGATCTCCTGGGCCAAAGTGCAGATATGGCACCATCATCGCCATCATCATAGACGACATATTTGTGCTGGAGCCCATTCCACCCATACCAGTCGTATTGCCTGTATTGGTCATGTTACCCATGCCAGTCATGTTGTTCATAGTAGTCGTATTGCCCATATCCATTGTGAAGACGAACTTTGAAATATTGAAGTGCAGTGATAATATAACCTGAAGAATACGAGGAGTAGCTTCGAATTTTGATGTGCTCGGACCACTATTATTGCGATAAAAAGAACCGGAGATACCCGAAAGACAAGCTGGATTGGGATCGTCGAAATTTGTTTTCTAAACAAAAAGAAAAAAAAAGAAAAGAGCAACGAGTTAGCCAAGGGTTAGCTTAACAAATTTGAAATCCGATGGTTACGCCGGAGGTTATCAAAAAATCGCCAAATAATTCCTATGATATACGCGTCAGCCGAAAGACATCGACAAACGTGTGCAATCCAGACATGTGATCCAGTGAGCGCAGGCTCGTTACTGTAAAAAGGCACCCCACGTCGAGAGTGTCCAAGAAGCGCGAAGCCCGTTCACAGGATTATCTCGAGGAATCGCCGCAAGGCCCCATCGTAAAAGCCAATCAGGGGGAAAAAAAACGTTGCACGTGGGTTTTTGCATGTAAACATTTGTGTAGCCTGACAAGAACGTCGAGAACAAGAAAGCGTAAGAAAAAGAAAGATGCCAGTTAGTGCGATGGATATCCTCCCACAGTTGGAAAACATTGCAAGTATCTTCCAAATTCTTCCTGCACCACATTCCAGTGAAGCACGGTTTCCCGAGGAGGTAATTGATATCGTTGACCAGAGGGGTTCGCTTTGACAGGATTTGATCCATCCTAGACAGCGGTTGATAGCAGGATTTGTACACAAGTGACCATCAATCTTGCTAGCATCACGAAACACCTTGAGTTTGTTGAGGACTGCGCCGCGATACTGCAAAATTGCCTCATCACCAATGAAAACCGTAAGATCAGAAGGGGAGCAGATAACGTTGTAGGTCGATTAAACATCCACCACGGTGACATGGTGGGATGAACAAAGTAGAGGCAACCCACTATAAACCCGCTATAGAGAGACATGAAGGGCAGAAAGACGATCAACACCAGAGGATAGAAAAGTGATTTCGAAAAAGATTGCGGCATTTGTGCTTCATCCTCGGTAATAAGCGACCCCCGGACACCTCTATGTATCCCACGCCACTGTGACGAGCATTGCAGCTATCTGTCACATAAGTAACAGCGTCACGTCGTTTCAATGAAGTAGTATACTTGAATATTCAAGTTATTCTCTGGTCCCATTCTGTATCTTCTCTTTATTCAAGTGTAGCAGCCAGCCCCATGGACTCAAACGACTTATTTGGATTCCTCGATGGAACAGAATTGGAGGACGCCGATATTGAAGACATCGCTTTGGAAAATGGTGCAGAGGCAACTTCTAAAAAGAAACGCAAGGCTAGTTCACCTGCTGAGCGTCCCAGCGGAGATGACGAAGAGGAATATCTGAAGAATGGTGACCCTAGTTCATCGACAAGCAAGAAAACTAGGCTGGCTTCTCCAGTTCCCGTGGTTGTGGATGAATTTGAAACGGAGGCGAAAAGAGAAGTAGCTGCAAGTGCTGGACTCACTGGCGGAGTCGAAGCAGGCTCGAGACTAGAGCTTAGACATCAAGTAATCATAAAATATTGATCAATTTAAGTAGATAATTCTGACAAGTTGTTTAGGTTCGCCATCAAGTGGCTGTACCCCACAACTATCCATACACACCCATCTCGAAGCATGTCCCGCCTTCTAAACCTGCGAGGGAGTACAAATTTACTCTGGATCCCTTCCAGCAAGTTTCAGTACACGCAATCCAAAGAAATGAGAGCGTGCTGGTATCGGCACATACTAGTGCAGGCAAAACAGTTGTAGCAGAATATGCCATAGCACAGTGTCTCCGGGATAAGCAGCGTGTAATATACACAAGTCCTATCAAGGTACGTCTCCTTTTCCTATCTAGAGGTGAGGACTGATACATTGTTGACTTCTATAGGCACTGAGCAATCAAAAGTACCGCGAGATGCTTGCGGAGTTTGGCGATGTTGGTTTGATGACAGGGGATGTGACTATAAACCCTTCCGCGACATGTCTAGTCATGACAACAGAGGTGAGGATGATTGACCAACTATTGTAGCTATAATCTGACCGAAAGTGGCTGATATACACAGATCTTGCGTTCTATGCTATACCGTGGTTCCGAGATAATGCGAGAAGTTGCTTGGGTAATATTCGACGAAATCCATTACATGAGAGACAAGGAGCGTGGCGTGGTTTGGGAAGAAACTATCATCCTGCTACCTCACAGCGTCCGCTACGTTTTTCTCTCTGCCACCATTCCCAATGCCATGCAGTTTGCAGAATGGATATGTAAATCACATGAACAGCCATGTCACGTTGTTTACACGGACTTCCGGCCTACTCCACTACAGCACTATCTCTTCCCTGCTGGTGGCGAGGGTATATATCTGGTGGTGAATGAGAAAGGTGAATTTCGCGAGGATAACTTCAGCAAGGCGATGGGAGTATTACAGGAAAGGATGGGCGAAGATCCAGCCGATCCTAGAAGTGGAAAAGGTCGAAAAGGAAAATCAAGGAAGGGAGGCGATAAAAAAGGTGCGCTGCAAATCCTTTTAACGAGTAGTTGGCTAGACTGTTTTCGTATCATTTAGGCCCGTCGGACATCTCAAAAATCATCAAAAGGATTATGCTTATGAACTACAATCCTGTCATCGTATTCGCTTTCAGTAAACGCGAATGCGAGGCCCTTGCTCTCACTCTTTCCAAATATGAATTCAACACATCCGATGAACAAGATCTAGTCGCGAATATATTCGACAACGCTATCAACAATCTCGCTCCTGACGACAGACAACTACCCCAAATATCTAATCTCTTACCACTCTTAAAACGAGGTGTAGGGATCCATCATGGTGGCCTATTACCCATTCTAAAAGAAGTCATCGAGATTCTCTTCCAAGAAGGTCTTATCAAAGTTTTGTTTGCTACTGAGACATTCTCAATTGGTTTAAACATGCCTGCAAAAACCGTTGTTTTCACTGCTGCTCGCAAATTTGATGGTCGCGAGTTCCGTGACTTGTCGTCAGGCGAGTATATCCAGATGTCTGGCCGAGCTGGTCGTCGAGGTCTGGATGACCGTGGTGTTGTCATCATGATGTGCGACGAGAAGCTTGAGCCGACTTCTGCGAAAGAGATGGTCAAAGGCGAGGCCGACCGCTTGGATTCCGCTTTCCACCTTGGATACAATATGATTCTAAATTTAATGAAAGTGGAAGGTATAAGCCCTGAGTTCATGCTTGAACGCTGCTTTTTCCAGTTCCAGAGCAGTGCAGGTATACCCTTACTAGAGGACGGTACGTCACCAAATAATCAAATGGCAGGCTCACTAACACGAGCCACCTTGTATGTTAGAACTAAAAACTGAAGAGAAGAACAAAGATGCAATTGCAGTTCCCGATGAAGCCCTTGTAGCGGTTTACTATAACTATCGCCAACAACTTGACCAAATGGCAACAGATTTCCGCGATGTTATAACGCATCCAATTTACAGTTTGCCATTCCTGCAACCTGGTCGCTTGGTAAAAGTAAAATATCAAAAGATTGACTTTGGTTGGGGAGTCATCATAAATTACCAGAAACGCCTACCTCCCAAAGTGAGTGCAGGGTTCTGTAACGATCAAGTTCGTAGATGCTTATGAGCTGAGATAGAATAGGCCAATGCCTCAGCTCGAAGAGCTTCCTCCGCATGAACAATACGTTATAGATGTACTATTGAACTGTGCTGTTGGGTCAGCTCTCAGCAAAGACAATAATGTCACCGCAACTCCTGGAGGTATTCAACCATGTCCACATGGCCAAAAAGGTGTCCCTTTAGTAGTACCTGTGTTACTTTCAACCATCGACGGCATATCCCACATCCGGCTCTTCTTACCAAAAGATCTACGGCAAGATCAGGCTAGAGAAACGATGTGGAAAAGTGTTCTAGAAGTACAGCGTAGGTTCCCAGATGGCATCGCCCTCCTTGATCCTATCAAGAATATGGGTATCAATGATGATAAATTCAAGGCGCTGGTGAAGGTGAGCTTTCTCATTATCAATTACTGCGATGAGTTGCTCACAAAAAAAAAACAGAAAATCGAAGTAATGGAGCAAAAGATGTTTTCCAGCCCTTTGCATAAAGATCCCCGGTTACCGGACCTGTACACACTGTATTCCCAAAAACAAGAAGCACAAACAAAAATACGTGCGTTGAAGAAACGTATACAAACTACACACGACATTCTTCAGCTCGAGGAGCTCAAATGCCGAAAGCGTGTTCTCCGACGTCTTGGGTTCACGAACGCATCGGACATTGTTGACATGAAGGGAAGAGTAGCATGCGAAATCAGCACCGGTGACGAGTTGCTGCTTACGGAGCTCATATTCAACGGCGTCTTCAATACTCTATCACCGGAACAAAGTGCTGGTCTCTTGAGTTGCTTCGTGTTCACAGAAAAGGCATGTCTGATTATCAGTATAGTGTATCATACAATCTAATAACGATTTTACAGAGCGAACAAGTTACAAAGCTTACTGAGGAGCTGGCATCACCATTGCGGGTTATGCAAGAAATTGCCAGACGCATTGCCAAGGTCTCCCAGGAATCGAAGTTGCCCCTAGTTGAAGATGAATACGTCCAGTCGTTCAAGGTGGAACTAATGGATGCTGTAGTACAATGGTGTCGCGGAGCATCATTTTCAGATATATGCAGGGTGAGATATCGCTGGTCCATACGATTTCCAGCATCATCACTGATATTGCTACCCTATATAGTTGACGGATCAATTCGAGGGGAATTTGATTCGAGTCTTTCGCAGATTAGGAGAGCTGCTTCGCCAAATGACTCAAGCCGCCAAGGTCATAGGAAACTCAGAATTGCAGACGAAACTAAAAAAAGCCTCTGAGATGCTAGAACGTCCAAACTCTGTCATCTTCTGTTCTTCGTTATATCTGTAGAACATGTTCTACTTTATTCTCTTGATGAGCGATTTATCCGATGCACCATCTCTCAGTAAACGAACTCCTACCTTAGTATTTCTTTTCATGAATTAGGTATCAGCTATAGTGCCAAAACATTACTTGCTCCTCTAAGATCCTGGCTCTTGGGGTACCAAGCTCGCTAACTTATCTAAGCATAGCACAAGTGTCTGGGGTCCAGTGGTATCATCCCATTCGAGTACTCCTCGGGCCAGCTTACGGACTGAACAACTCGACTGAAGTTCGTACATTAAACATTTGTCCCATTTGCAGTCATTATGTCTCGCCCGATGAACGACGATGAGGTCCTGGCCGAGCTGAATAAGATGGTACGCTCTTAACACTCCCGATCTAGTCATCACAGCTACCGCTTCAGTGCACTGGACACAGAATGCTGAAAGGGCTGCAATTTCCAGGTCGCTTTCATAAGGCAGGAGGCGATGGAGAAAGCTCGAGAAATACGGGTGAAAGCCGATGAAGAATTTGCTATCGAGAAGGTGAATCATGGCATGCAGCAACATTTCATACGCATCTAACGCTTGTCTCATCAGGCCAAGCTAGTTAAGCAAGAACAACAAGCTATTGATGCGCAGTTCGAGAAAAAGCAAAAGGGCTCAGAAATTGCTCAGAAAATGTACGTATTCTGCGTTTTCAGCGCAAGAATCTCAACGCACTGACTGTACGTTGCAGTACTCAATCGAACTTGACCAACAAATCGCGTCTGCAAGTTTTACACTGTCGCGAAGAACAGTTGCAAGACTTATTTTTGGCTGCGCGTTCAGAAATCCTCACGTTTGCGGAAGACGAGGGCAGATACACACAGTTTCTGGAGGGAGTGATTGTACAGGGTTACCTCCAACTGTTGGAGCCTAATGTTACATTGCACGCTCGTGAACGTGATGCTGACGTAGTAGCGCGCGCAGCGGAATCAGCGAGCCAGGTGTACAATGAACTCAGTGGCAGAACAGTGAAATTCGAAGTGGAGACTACTTTGAGTAAAGAATGGTGCGTTGTAGCGCCTAGACCTCCAGTTTTGAAAACTGATAGTAGTTTTGTGTTTTGTAGTGCTGGGGGTATCAAGCTCACGAGCGGCACACGACGAATCAATATTGATAACACTCTGGATGAACGCCTTAGGTTGCTAGAAGACAGGGTGTGTTTCGCCTGTTGGTTATGACACGGGAGAGATGTGCTGATTGATCTAACAGATGTTGCCTGAAATTCGCAAGGATCTCTTTGGTCCCAACGAGAACCGGAAATTCTACACATGAAAGCAGAAGTGGCTGGTTTTATTGTGCCTGCACTACATACCATTCCTCGTCGACGGCGGAGAAGCCTTAATGAGATAACATTTTTACACTGTTACTAATACAGAAGTCGAGAACCGTGTTGTTATTGTGTGAGCGCGAATATATCCAGATGGTATCAATATCGCTCTAGTTGGACAAAAAAAAAGTCAAGCAAAAAATAAACACCAATGCATTAAGAGGGAATCGAACCCTCGGCGGGTCGATGGCAACGACCCAGGTTACCACTACCCCATTAATGCGTTGATATCGCCTTCCTTTATGTAATATTCTGCGACAGTGAATGCTTTTGGTTTAAAAGTCGCAAGATCCAGACTTCAAGTTGTCGCGGTCTTCCTCCTAAACGCCCAGAGGAGACTACCTACACTGTTGTACAAGTAAAAGCTGTACCTAATCCGTGGTGCTCGAGTCCTTGAGGAGTGGCGAAGCGATAATAAACAGTCTAAACTCAGAAGGTCTATACTGTATCTTGGTCTACATAGCACATTGTACCCATGATGTGCCATGCGCGAAGGTGGTAAAATCCAATCTTGTCATCTCATCTTGTGCAACAAACAAGGTCCCTGGCCAATGAAGCCCTTCGCGAAATTCTGGAGGAATCCACAGTATCAACTCTCCATCTGTTCCAGTGATCCATCCGTCATCATCATCACCCCATTTGAAGCCGAGGGGATCACTACTGCTCCTATGTAAAATTTCATCGCGAGTTTCATCTTCTACATTCCACACACGAACTCTTTTGTCATAGGATCCGGACACGATGCGTTTGCCGTCAGGTGAAAACGAGACAGACATAACCCACGAAGTGTGTCCATGCAATGGTTCAGATGCACCGGTTTTCGTATCCCAAATTCGGATGTTCGCATCATATGACCCTGACACGATGGATTTTCCGTAGGGGAGAACGCGACCGACGTGATCCAGTTGGTGTGCCCACATAACGGTCCAGAAATTTGTTTTCCATTATGTGAATCCCACACCCGAATCGTTGCGTCCCCAGAACCTGACGCGACATAATTGCCATCAGGGGAAAACGCAATTGACATAACCCACGATTTATGCCCTAGAAAGCGGGCAAGATTCTGACCCGTGACATTCCAGATACAGATAGTTGTGTCGTAAGATCCCGACGCAATGCGCTCACCGTCAGGTGAAAAAGCAACAGAAGTAACCCAGTTAGTGTGACCCCTGAATGGTCTAGAGAAAAGGCGGCCAGATTCGGTGTCTCTAACACAGACTGTTGTGTCATGGGATCCCGATACAAGTTGTTTTCCAAATACAACAGATGTAATGGAGCCAGTATGACATTCTAGCATCGTGGAAACAAGGGTCCCTGTTTCCGCGTTGTGAATTTGAATAGATGCACTATTAAGTCCTGCAGCAATGTACTGGCCATCAGGTGAAAAGGCGATGGAAACGACCCAATCAGTTTGCTCAGCCGATCCGAGTATACACTGTTTTCCCGTCTCTGCATCATAGATGCGGATTGTTGCATCATCAGACCCAGATGCGATACGCGTCCCGTCTGGCGAGAAGGCGACGTACGAAACAGGTCCAGTGTGGCCTTCAAATAGCCTAGAAGCAAGAACGCCCATCTCTGCATCCCAAAATCGAATTGTTCTATCACGAGACCCTGATAAAACACGCTTACCATCAGGGGAAAAGGATACGGATGTTAAACTTCGAGAGTGCCCTTCTAAAGGCCCAGAAACTAGGTTGCCGGACTTCATGTCCCAAATGCAGACCGTTTTGTCCTGAGATCCCAAAACAATGCGCTCCCCGTCTGGTGAGAAGGCAATCGAGTTGACCCAACCACTATGGGCCCTAATTGGCTCAGATATGAGAACGCCGGTCTCCACTTCCCAGATGTAAATCATCGCGTTCTCCGATCCGGCTGCGATATACCGGTTATCAGGGGAGTAGGATATAGACAATACACTCTTCATTTTGAACCCACGCAGCCTACAAAGAGGAAGGCCTGTCTCCACTTCCCATATATATATACTTGAATCTTCAGACCCGGATGCAATGCATTTCCCGTCGGGCGAGAAAGTGGTTGACATGACCCAATCATCGTGTCCTTTAAAAGGACCAGCGGTAAGATCGCCGGTATCGACATCCCAGACGCATAAAGTTTTGTCATCAGAAGCAGTTGCAAGGTGTTTTCCATCAGGTGAGAAAGACACTGATCGGATCCAATCGGAGTGTCCTCGAAGCGGCTCTGAAGTAAGATTGCCAGTCTCCGCGTCCCAAATGCAAACCGTCTTATCGTAAGATCCAGACGCAATACGCTTGCTGTCGGGAGAAAAGGTAACTGATTTAATCCAATGTGAATGCCCTTGAAGTGGGCCAAGAACTAAGTCGCCTGTCTCTGCATCCCAGACTCGAACTGTCGAGTCCATAGCTCCAGATGTGATAAATTTGCCATCAGGTGAGGAGCTAACGTCCGAGATAGAGTCCGTGTGTCCCTCTGCTACGTATAGCAGAGCGGGCCAGTGTAATGGTTTACTGGTTTGAACAGGGATGATCTGCTTGCATCGGTGCTTGTATTGCCTCGACACTTTTGACTCAGGCGGCGCAAAGGCCAGTGTCGACAGGTATATATGGGAAGCACTGCGTGTTATAGGAACTTTAAAGGTAGTTGCGAACCTTGAGGCATCAGTAGCTAAATCCGCCAGATCACGGCATACATCCTGTTATCCTATCAATGGTTGCGTTCGATGTGTAGATAAAAAGACTTACTTTGCTCCACCTGGCTATCTTGAGTAGAGAAGGAGAAACGAGAGGAACACAGCCGAGCAAGCTTATCACTTCTAGCCAGTACAAAAGCTTCGTATCCACCACGTTTTTCACCAAGCTAAGTAATTTGTCGTTTGGACACGTTGCATGAACATGATCAGCCCAAAATTTGCACGCATAACCCAGAGGTGGTGATATGTTTTCCTTCAGGCGTTCCGCTAGATCATGAATACCTTCATTGCTTAAGTGCGACGTTTCTAAATTGCAAATATTGAACTTGAGATCCTGCATAGACTGGAGGCATATGTAAGCAAGGGTTTCATGGGCAATGGTAGGATTTATTGCCCAAGGGTGACCACCACACCGCTTTGCACTGATCAGATAGTCAGCAAAGGATGCACGCAACATCCTCACTGGCTGCCCGGGTCTCCACAGGAAGAGACATTTCAAGCGGCACAAAATATGTTTGCACAATCTCCCCCCCCCTGTAAACCTATTACCTAGTCAATCATTACGTCCGTCATTGGGATTCTGCCAACCAGGATAGCACCCATAATTGCATGAAAATCTGCCAAGAAGTGTTCGCTATCCCATTTCCCAGAGGTATCGAGGGCTGTCGAGTACAAAGCATCCAACGCGACTTCTGCTCGCTCATGAGAGCGAGCTTGTAGCAAAATTTCGAGCTGTTCATCAGGATTGTGACCCTCCAATATGAAATTCGCTGCAACTGATGTCCAGATGAACAATCCCGCCGAACGCATCGCTAGTTCCTCCATTTTTTTCATTTCCTGGCCAGTCCGGGGCCAGATCGAACATTCTGTGGCGTTCGCGTACATGCACCATTTTATTATGGAGGTATAATCGTATGTCAGTTGCGTTCGAAGGTGTCGTGATGTCCAATTCCCTTGTCAGTACATTTTGTTGTCCACATAATGCGGCCTCGATATCAGACTCGGCCCGACTGGTTACGAACATACGAAATGCGGCAGGAAACTTGCTAAACTCTCTAAATAGCAACGGTAAAAGATCCTGTCGTGACCTCGAATCACCGCACTCGTCCAACGCATCGATGACAATCACGATTGGGCCTTCTGCGGACATATCTGCGATAGATTGAAGTGGTTCCAGTAATAGTGCCTCGAATTGCCGACGCAGCGGGGCTTCAGATATTCTACTGTCTGATTCGATGACTGCAGACATAGCAGACCGAATGGACTTGTGGAACGAGGCAAGTTGATACGCCAGAGTGCGTATGACAGCTGCTGGATCACTGTGAGTAGGATCATTTTTGTCAAAAAAGATAAAGGCCCCAAGTCGACGCAATCCACGAAATTACTCTGCAATGGTAGCTGAAATCGTGCTCTTTCCCGCTCCAGCGAGACCATGCATCCACAAGATTTTCTGATCGTCCGAAGGTGTGATAAGCCATTCTGTAATAAAGGCAAGGTCGTCCTGACGAGTTCCAGAAAGGCATTCAGATCGTGAGGAAGCGTCCATCCGGACAGATCTAAGGTGATTTAAGCTGTCCCTTTCGACTATGAAAAAGCTAGTTTCAGTGATTCAATTCCCAGAGGTGAGTATACATCTCCGCACTTAATGTTTCCACGCTTTCGAGCGTTTGTGCAAATACGAAAGCTGTTTGCAGAATACTACCCGAATCGAGAGACAGTTTGAGTAGGGTAAATACATTTGAAAATTCCGTTATTTTTTTACTGTAGTCAGAAAATGTCTGCCTAGCTAGTCGACCTGGGAGTGTAGTTGCAACCTTTCGCATTCCAGCACAGAGTTGTATTACTCACCTCCAAACCCGTGGCCCGTATATTCACGAATAAAAATTGTAGACTCAACTGTCTGCAATAGTATCTTGTCGATTGTATTTCTGAGTAGCTCAACCTTACTTGGCAATGCTTTGACAATACCAACAAAGGAGTACGCGTCCTCCATAATAGAGATAAGAGCAAAAAGTTGTTCGTCTCTGTCCTTTTGATCTCTAATAACCTAGGGAGTTTGATTTTCGTTCAGTTCAAGGCATTCAAGGCGTGGAAGAAAAACCTACATGATAAACTGAGCTGATCACTTTCCAAGCAAGGGTGGCGTAAGGGTGGACCTGTATGAGAGATCAGCGTGATTGAAATTCATCTAAGATATGTCTCGATTGGATATACCTTAGACAACTCATCTAATATTCGTATATAGGACTCTAATTTTGAGGCAATATTGCCAAGGATATTGATCAGAGCATCTTGCGTTGCGCTTGTTTCACTTCCAGTAAAAGTATCCGAGGTACTCAGGATATCGAGAACAGAAGTCTCTGATAACCCGGCACGCAGGACATCGTGCTGTGAGTTATCCACGGCTGAGTCAACGGCTTTGAGCAGTAGCGTGATGGAACCTGGACTGGAATTACTAGATTTATTATTTGGAGCTAGTAGATCTAGCTTGACAGCTGGCATGCAACCTTTAAGCCACGCGTCGGATAAATAGGGCCGAACAATGTAAACACTGACCAGCATCACGGTTGCACAGTGCGAGGAGCTCATTCAAACGTATCTCAATACGGCCTTTGCAAGAATCTTCTTTTAAAAAGAAAGACTTTTGTTTGAGATACAAAACAAGAAGCGAATCGGGGGTGGTTGCGGACCTTAAGTAATGGTGAGAGATCTCCATCTGTATCCACGCGTTAGCTTACAATGGCAGGTCTTCATTCCACACCGGTGCCAACTTTCTTTTTGCTACAGTAGTGCGCTGAGTAATCCCTTCCAGGTTCACTTCGACGTACAAATCCAGAGCTTCCTTGTATAAACGCCTCGCCTTTCGATGGAGGCCATTTGCTTCGTGAACTTTAGGGAATTTCCTACACGTGAGAGGCGCAATTTCAAGACGTCCAATGATGGGGCACTTACTATATAACGAATAACTATGCCGCATAGTCCGCTGATGTATCCAAATGCCCTTCGTGCGCGTCCACAATCTCTAGGGCGTCGTTGCGTTCACACAAGAAGTGAAATAAACGCTGAGCTTGATGTTCGACGCGATGATCCAACAGGTACTGATTCTGATGGCGTTCCCACATCTGTCGATCTTAAATAGGAGATATAAGCGCCTGGTTTATTTCAACCGATTACACTTACTTACGCTACTCTGGCTGCAGAAACCCTAAACAATACGTAGGTATACCTGATTCTCTAAGGAAAGCACGTACCATGTAAACCTCATACCGCTACCTCTTATCGACGTCCCGCCTCTTTTCTGCATCTCATTCTAAGACGACTGGCATGCGAACCGATCTGCATACTAAAACGATTCCGGTTCGCAAAAAAGTAGCGTGTAAAGGACAATGAAGACAGTTATCAGGGGAAGTAGAACTTACATGGTCAGGATGAAGAAAGTCCAAAGAAGCAAGTAGTGCATGAGCCCAGATACCGTAGAACAACCCAGAATGAGCTCCCTACGCACGAACTTCACATTCGTCTATTTCTATAAACTTGCTGTGCTCTCAGGTAGAACCCATGAGAATTCGCTGGCAATTTAAACAGCAGTGTACGTGCGGTATCGGACGCCCATATTCTGGCTCCATTGCGGTGATTAAAGTAAGTCCAGCCTTGCATCTTCATCAGCATCTGTTGGTTGGTTCTGGTCTAAAAAGCTTCCCTCAGAGGTTTGTCCGTGGTCGAGTGGTGCTTGAATGCGTTCCATATGGTTTTTCATCAAAAGACGCGTAGCACGTGATGCGTGACTTTCGTGACGGTCCGACCTTTTCTGTGCGAGTACATGCCCAGTCTCATGGACGCGCCGCCCTCTCTATTTCGGTACGCCTTTGCTCTATAACCACGACAAGTCGCTCTCAGACTCCCCTCTGACCACGTCCTCAGGGAAAACGACATCTTCTTGACCATATTCAGGTCATCACCTGCGCGGAAGCCCTTGCATTTGGGGTTCACAGTTTGTCATGTGTACTATTACCCTTCAACTTACCTGAAGATACCCCCGGTTAGAAAACAATAACAGCAACCCTAGGTTCTCCGTTGCACCTTAAAAGCCTCGCTTGAATATGGATTCTCTGTCGCAAGCCCCGGTTTTCGAGTTTCGAGAGGCGATTCTCTCAGCTATATCTTTGCTTGCTGGTTTGCTCCCTCAAAGCTTTCTAATGTGGTTCAGGCGCATATATGGTGTCCTGACTCTTGCTACTTATGTCACTCTGACTAAGTCAACTCCCCCCGGCTTTCCGAGCTCGGGGAACGGCCTATGGTACACAACACCAGCTACCTTATGGGCCAAACAAATGTTGCCTATTGGTAATGGATATCTGGCCGGTAAGCGGACGTCTGATATTGGACACCAATGGCTGTTTAATACCGTTCCTATACAGCAATGATACCGGGTGGAATATTCCAGGAAGTTACTCAGCTCAATATCGAATCATTATGGCAAGGTGGCCCATTACAAGATCCAGTAAGTGTACTTTTACTTTTAGCATGGCACCGTGCCTCAAAGACGCAACTCGTGGGCTTGCTGCACATAATATTAAAGTTGTGAATCTGTTCCAGTAGTTTTACTGATGGGTTGGTATTTACAGTCTTATAATGGTGGTAACAACCTGCCTTCACAACAGGCACAAATGGCTCAAGACATGCAATCCATCCGCCAGTCCATTTTTGCCAGCCCTAATGGGACAATAAACAGTCTGTTTAGTTCCATCCTCTTTCCTGATGCCTTGTCTTACCACAACATTCATTTGTAAGACATCGAAGAAATATGCACACCCCCTGGAGACTACGGTAAATTTACACCTCCCTGAAGGTCACGCGCGGGCACTTATTTCACACTGTTTCCCGTGCGGCCCGTTCAAGGCTCGTATTCCGGGGCTGGGTACTTCATATCTACACTTAACAATACCGGAACAACATCAAACTATGGAAGGTGGCTAGATCTCGACGAAGGAGTAGCTCGAACCACTTGGTCTCAGGGATCTAGCATATTTTCACGGTTGGTCTCAGGATAATCCGAATAGCCAGACAACTATTTATCATCAATGTATTTTCACAGTGAAGCATTTTGTTCTCACCCCGCTCAAGCATGTGTGCAATATGTTAATACTAGTGGCCAAGCATCTCTACCGACCGTTACTTATGCCTTCTCCGTGTCTCAAGAGACTGGACTTCCAGCCCCGAACGTAACTTGCTTGGACAACGCCACACTAAATATCAGAGGTTATGTAACCAATCCAGGCATGATGTATGAGATTATTGGAAGGGTGCAGGCCTCTAATGGCACTGTGTCATGCAACGTTGTTTCTGGGTCCACTCCTACAAATGCCACAGTTAGCGTTTCAGGGGCCTCAGAAGCGTGGATCACCTGGGTAGGCGGAACAAACTACGACATTGACGCAGGAGACCTGGCCCATAATTTCACCTTCCAAGGCGTTGATCCCCACAGCAACCTCGTATCGCTTGTTTCATCTGCGACGTCTAATTCCTATACCGAGTTGCTTTCGGAGCACATTGCGGATTATACATCATTGATTTCGCCTTTCTCTCTTTCTTTGGGACAGACTCCTGATTTATCCACACCTACGGATCAGATCGTGGCTTCATATCAAACATATGTGGGCAATGCATATTTAGAATGGGTTCTGTTCAATTTCGGGAGATACTTGCTCACTAGTAGTGCGCGAGGAATTTTGCCTGCGAACTTGCAAGGTAAATGGGCAGATGGACAGTCCAATTCTTGGGGTGCAGGTATGTCAATTCACTCCTATGTTCAAGTTGGGGTTGATTGTCGATGTCGCATATGTAGATTATCGTGAGTTAAATGATAATCACTAATCTTTCAGCACTAATAGCGACCAACTAGATGCAAATATCAATCTTCAGATGAACTACTGGTTTGCTGAAATGGCAAATTTGAATGTTACGCAGTCGCTTTTTGACTATATGGAGGTATGCAGTTATACGAAGACTTTTCATTTGTATGTGCATCGGCTGAATTAGGTCGTAATCAGAAAACCTGGGCGCCACGAGGAGCCGAAACAGCCCTGATTTTGTATAACATCAGCCAAGGCTGGGTTACTCATGACGAAGTGAGTGGTTTCGGTGAATCGCTACATTTGTATGTTAAAGTTATGGTCTTATGGCAATAGATGAATGTATGCATTTACGATACAGAGAAGGGAACTGAAATTGATATAGCCATTTTTTTCTTTTACAGATATTCGGACACACGGGAATGAAGCTGGAAGGTAATTCTGCACAATGGGCTGACTACCCAGGTAAGGAAATATCTGTATTATACATATTAGCGATATACTTAAGGGCTGGTATAAATAAGAATCTAATGCCTGGATGGTACGCATTCGAGTTAAAGTTGTCACCGCTAGCCTAACCTTACTGTCGCCAGATGATACATGCATGGGATCATTTCGATTATACCAATGATGTTGAGTGGTGGAAAGCTCAAGGGTGGCCTTTGGTGAAAGTATGTCAAATGCACGTATGTGGGAGTTTGTTTTATTGATCACGCATCGCTCGTCTTTCTTGTAGGCTGTTGCAAGCTTTCACCTGGAGAAGTTGATCCCTGATCTTCACTTCAACGATGGTACCCTCGTTACGGCACCTTGTAACTCACCTGAACAGGTACCCATCACATTTGGTAAGAATATTTTGTTGAATGTTGTATCCAATGTTCTTCTAAACTTCATATTAATTATTGACAGGGTGCGCGCATGCTCAACAGCTGATCTGGCAACTCTTCAATGCGGTAGAGAAGGGATACGAAGCTGCGGGCGATACTGACACTGCCTTTATCCAAGGTATATACTCCAATTTCTTCGCTTTGCTATATAGTCACACAGAGTTCTAGCCATTGCTGCAAAACGAGAGCAAATGGACAAGGGCCTTCGTGTTGGTTGGTGGGGTCAATTACAAGGCGAGTGAATTCATCTTCTGCTCTCCCCACTGTCCTAATAGAACTACGTTTCAGAATGGAAGATGGACATGGACCAGCCGAATGATACCCACAGGCATCTTTCCCATCTCATCGGCCTATACCCTGGCTACGCTATTTCATCGTATTCTCCGGAATTACAGGGAGGACTTACCTACAACAATACCTTCTTGAACTATACGAAAGAGCAAATATTGGACGCGGCGACAATCAGCTTGATACACAGAGGTAATGGTACAGGGCCAGACGCGGATGCGGGCTGGGAGAAGGTATGGAGAGCTGCATGTTGGGCGCAGCTAGGGAATGAGACGGAGTTCTACAGGGAGCTTACTGTAAGTAACGCTCATAGCTACAGCCGAGCCATGCTTACTGGCCGATTATTTGCAGTATGCCATAGAAAGGAACTTTGCACCTAACTTGTTCGATCTGTATAGCCCAGGTACTCTTCCATTCCAGATCGACGCGAATTTTGGATACCCTGCTGCAGTTCTAGTGAGTAATATAGATCTTCAATCCTCCTGACCTTAGCTTATTCTTGTAATTCTCAAGAACGCGCTTCTCCAGGCGCCCGACGTAGCTAGCCTTGACATCCCGCTACAAGTCACCCTTTTACCTGCGCTACCTCTGACCTGGTCCTCAGGTGAGATAAAAGGTGCGCGTATTCGCGGGGGGATAACCTTAGACCTGCAATGGAGTGGAGGGAAACCTACCTCAGCGGTATTTACTGTTGACAGTAGCGTGGCTGGAAGACAGAGGGATGTTGTAGTCAATTATGCTGGAAAGGTTGTCGGAGAGTTTACATCGAACCCTGGAACGGCGAAGACGGTCACTTTCTGATTGATGATCTTCAGGTTTATTCACCTTTGACTGCTCTTCCGGAACAATATCTTGGATTACCCAAACCACAGAACTGTATGCATGCTGGATGTATTCTGTGTACATGATTATACCGAAATCTCTCTGCTTCCCCTATAAGAATACTACACATGTATGAAGTTGAACTTCGCATTTAAGCTCGGTAATTTACTCTTGAGCAAGCTAACCAGAATTCAGTTCCTCCTTCTTCACTCCACCCTAAGGCTCCAAGGTCACATTCTGCGCAGATGAGGAGCTTAAGCTTCTTGGCTGTAGTTGTGCAAAGGATAAGCTGTCAGGAGACTTCTGTCTAACTAGAAAAAATACTCACCTCCAGCATTTGCGGATTGCACCGGTTGTGTAAAACCAATATTCTCGAATGCCATCGGAGAAGGAGTGATCAGCCACCAATGTGCTGTAGCAGGAGGGGCCGGAAGAGCTGGAAGCCTAGGATGAACAGGTTGGTTCGGGGGATCTAGCTGTTATGCATAAAATTCAATATTGAAGCATCGCGCGATTAGGTTGATTACCAACTTCGACACTCGAACGCTCTACCCATTTCCCTACACCACTCTTAAGGATGATGCTGCCACATCCATCTTGAGGACAGACAAGGTCGAATTTATTCAGTGATGTCCCTTCGTCTGAAGCATCTGACTCATAAACATCTAAGACTCCGTTGGGAAACGAGGCAAGCGTTCGAGTAGCAGGTCCAGCTGCTGCCGGTCTTTGCAGAGCATCCCATATTCCAGGTGGGAACGACGGTATACGCTCTTCCAAAGGTGTAGTAGGAAGTTCTGTTGGCATATCATGGACACTACTATAGATTTTCCATTCTTTCATTCGTTTTCATTCAACTATTCCGACATTTTGATACATTACATAAGTTTCCTAATTAGGATACAGAAAAGCGCACTCATCCTACCAGATAGCCTATGCATGGTATGGCGTTATAACTCATACGTTCCCACACTGTAAGGTGTACCCGGTTTTGAACTGCCTTGCTGTCACAGCCGGCGGGAGTGCATGCGGAACGTCCTGCGCAACCATACACTTACCACTCATTTCATGCGCTGTATCAAACTACTACTGTATAGTACGACACCACCATACAAATGAAGCATTTGTATGGTCCAATGCTCGCATACTCGTAGAGAATCAGATGGTATCTCGCCACTATCCCAGAGTGCTGATTATAGATAGGTGGTATGTGATGTGATGACAAGAACTGTAAATGAAAAGACTCTCAGTCTTTCTGGTAAATGACTGATATATTATTCAAATGTACCTGTAAATGAAAAGACTCTAAAGGAATGTGTAAGTATGTGTTTAACTGTAATAATGATGTTACTATACCTCAGTCTTTCTGGTAAATGACTGAGGTGTCTAAGGTAGGATGAGTGCGCTTTTCTGTATCCTAATTAGGAAGCTTATGTAATGTATCAAAATGTCGGGATAGTTGAATGAAAACAAATGAAAGAATGGAAAATCTATAGTAGTGTCCATGATATGCCAACAGTATGACGCTCAAATTCACTCTGCTCACTATATTAAGGTGTATGGTATAGTATAACCATATGTGCTAGTACGTCAATAGCATGACAAAACCGGATAAACCCGGTCTCTGCTGAAGCAGCCATTGTTCTCCATGGAGCATAGCCACCACTCCATGGAGTAACCATTGTTCTCCTAGGAGTCATTATACTGTAGCGAGTAGCACCTCTGACTACAAGTAGTAGGAGGTTTAGTATAGAAATACCTCAGTCGTTTCTATAGCCTCTTGGGCAGCGGCTGAGTTTCACATAGGTTTATTAGGTTATGAGCCCTGGTGCGCAAAAGCTACGCATGAAATAATTCTTATTTGAAACAGCAACCTTGGAACCATGACCACAGCACATAATACATCCGCATGTCCAGTTCTCACTGGACCCAACAATTTTCGGATATGGAAACTCCGGATCATCTCAAAGCTACGTCGGGAAAAAGTTCTCCAGGTTGTTACTGGAGAGGAGCTTAAGCCCTCATCAGGAAAACCTACCTCCTCAGAGGATCCTGAGATCACCTGGATACTTAAGGATGAGAAGGCACATGGAATCATCCAGGACCACATCTCTGATGCCCTCCTAATGAGGACTGGAGACCTCACCAGCTCCAAGGAGTTATTTGATAAACTTGTCTCACTCCATCAAACGTCCAACATTGCCTCGGCCTTCTATTCATTCCAGCAACTCACCAAATTGTCCTGGGATGGGACATCACCTATCCAGAACCACATTGCGAAAATCCGGACAATTGATTCACACCTCTCCGAAATGAAACTAGAAGTTGATACCAAACTCATGGCTTTTGCTCTTCTCCAATCTCTCCCATGCATTCCTGAATGGCAAATATTTCAGTCATCAGTAATCAACACGATTGAAGAAAATAAACTTACCTTTGATGCAGTTGAGATCCGGATCACTGCAGAAGTTGCACGACAGTCAGGGAAGGCCCCTGGAGGTTCCGAATCAGCACTCAAATCCGAGGAGAAATGGTGTAACTTCCACAAAGCCAAATCACACAACACCTCGGAGTGTTGAACACTTCAGTCAGCTGAAAAAGGTCAAAGGAAGAAGGGAAAGGAAAGACACAAGGATAAAGGAAAAGAGAAGGAAAAGGCAAATACAGCGGAGCAATCATCTGGATCTGACTCCGAGGAGGAACAAAGTCATATTGCATTGGAACATGTACATATTTCCAAGCCCCTTGCTAAACGCATTCAAGCTTACCTTGTGTTGGAACCCAATAAGACCAAAACAACAATTATTATTGACTCCGGAGCAACATCCCACATGGTCCCTCACCGCTCCTGGTTTGAGCCAGGAACATACCATGTTCTGCATCCTCCGAGGACAATCAGTTTTGGGGATGAATCCTCTGTAAACGCCATTGGCATTGGAACAGTAATCCTACAAGCAACTGTTGGCAAAAATGACTACAATATTGCACTGTCAAATGTCTTACTTGTGCCAAACTTCACGTTAGCACTTGTCTCTGTCCACAAATTGTCCAAAACGGGGTTATCAACACTTTTTCCAGCAGGGTCAAATGCTTGTGAAGTTCGGAAAAAGGAGGAACTTATCCTCACTGCGTTACACAAGCGAGGACTTTATCACATCCAAGCAAAACCTGAAATCAACCCGGAGTCAGCTTTTGCAGCAGTAGATGTAAATTTATGTTAGTTTTGGTGATTCTGCACCTTTGTGCTACCTATATATTTTCATTCCTTTCTCTATCTATTCTTCTATCATTCACTATTGATTGTGTTTTCTATTATTTCGCCTTTGTGGCTGCTTTGTTTACCTTTGTTTACAAAACTTCGGACAGTACTGCAGAGTCCAATGCTTCCTATTCTCTAGTTACTCACATTGGACTCTAGGTACTGTATACCTGTCATACTCTCTAATAATATAGTTACTCACATTGGACTCTAGTTCCAGTCCCTGATTGCTCTCAGCAAGTGGCTAGACACTTCCTTCAAGCTTTGTTCTTAATAATTTATTGCACAGGAGAATGGGACACATTGGAATGGACCGCTTGCAATGAATGGTTACAAAAAGACAGCTCCAGGACATAGACACCCTTACCGGAACCCCGGAGTTTTGTGAACCTTGTGCTTTAGGAAAGATGAAGAAATTACCTTTCAAGTCCACTGGAGGAAACCGAGCCAAGCGCCCCATACAAATTGTGCACACAGATGTTGGAGGACCAATCAAACCAACTTCCAGGGAGGGTTTTCGGTACTGGATTATCATTGTAGATGATTTCTCCAAATTTCCATGAATATATTTCCTAAAACATAAAAGTGAAGCACTGGAACGATACAAGCAATGGAAAGAAGATGTCCAAACATTCTTCCAGACTCATTTGGGAGAAGAAAACTTCACTCCACTATACACAGAATTCCTCCGGAGCGATGGGGGAGGAGAATATACTGGCAATGCATTCAAAAATCAACTCCGAGGAGATGGTGTCATCCAAGAAACTACAGCTGCAGATACTCCGGAACAAAATGGCATTGCAGAACGCATGAATCAGACATTGGCTACATTAGCAACCACTATGCTACATGACTCCAAAGCTCCCAAAGTCATTTTGGGTAGATGCCATGCAAACAGCTGCATATATCACAGCACACTGTTGATGATGAGAACTGCTGTTAGAAAACCACACACAAAAACAAACTAACACACAATCCTCCCAGATTCCACGGAACTTGTTTATGGGCTTTGCCTCCTAGAACAGTGGAGTGGTCTGGTTGCTCGTGGGGTGGTACGTATAAGGATCCTTCAAAGTAAAACCCAGAGATGTATGAGTGTGGGTTTTGAGGAGGAGGGATAGTTGAATTTATAGAAGATAGGGGCTTAGTGACGAGTATAGATGAGCACTACCTTGCTAATTGTAGCACAAGGTAGGTTTGAGAATGACGAGATAACGAGTTTCCCAGTGATAGCAGGCTCCTGACGCACAAACTGTAGTGTTCAGAAGGACTCTAATCGAAGGGGATGACAATCACTTTCAAAAAGTGACAAGTGACGATGACGGCAGTTAACAGTGGTAGAAGTGGGAAGTGTTGTGACCACACTGGATCACAAGTAGCAGAGTAGTGAACTTGAGAGTAGAGAAGAAGTCTGGATTGGATTTTTTGTTGTATTACAAGGTAAAATACAGGGGTTCATATAGTAAAAGAAAAGTAGGCTATGCATAGTATAGCTGTGCAAAAAAAATGAGAAAGAACATGAAGGAAGGAATGTACACTGACAAATCCTGCGTAGGTAGTACAGGATAAGATTGTCAAAAAAAGGAAAAGAAAGGATAGAACAATGAATGCTGTGAGTAATGTCACAGGTTTGTACAGCCATAAAGTAAAGTCCAATAGCAAAAAGAGAGCAGGAAAATCATGATGTCATGGGAAGATGCAGTAAAAAAAGGGCAAGGCAAAACACTATCAGTATCAACACAGTTCCTTTATTGTCAGTCAGACATTCTAAAAAAATATGTGTCCATAAAAATGATTCAAAAATCAAAAATAATTGCACTGTAAATGAATGTTCTGCTGAAAAAAAAGAAACTGGAGCCACCGGTCCACCACCTAGTCCAAATCCGACAGTTCCATGGCCTTACCAATGGACTGGTTGTGTTGGACCACCTGATCAAACGAGGGAGGGAGAGGAGTAGTTCCAATTTGGAACAAGTGAGTCCCAGGCAGCGTGTGGTAGGTGTAGCTGTAGCGAAGATGATGGACAAAAGATAAGTGTACCCAAGTGAATGGGACAGCGATGAACATGGGCAACGCAAGGGGATGAACCTTCTCCAGCTCAAAAACTACCCACTCACGCTCCAACCAGGCAAGACGAGCGACTGATGTTTTGATAGTATATGATGGCAGATTGACGTCATGAAGATGGACCTGTTGCCCTATTTAGACCGGCTGCCGGGGCTTTGCTGATATCAGCAGTGGCATGTGGTAGTCAACAGATCAGCAACAGAAGCGGATAGGAAGTGGTGAGATCAGAAATGGTGGGGGTGCAAATAAGATGAGGAGGAGGAGGGTGGAGGTGACAAAAAAGTGGATTAGAATGGGGATCCAGAAACGACCGTCAGGTGAGAATAAAAAGGAGAGGAAGGGGCCCATGGTGGGGCTAGGCAAAGGAAGGGGAGTAAGGGAAACGACAAAAGCGAGGGCGCAATGCAATGTGTAGCCAGTGGCGACGCGAAAAATTGCCGAAATGCCGAAATGTGGAAAGTACCGAATGGAAAAGCAAAGGTGAGCGTGACTGGATTGCCTAATAGAGGTGGTGCTGATCAGCCACAAGTTCGAAAAAGGCAATATTAATTACTATTCCACGTGGCACTGTGCCTGTGTGGCACAAAGGCGAGTCTTTTTGAATATTCACTTCGTTATTGACACCTGTCCATGCTACCAATCAACTTTGGTGCATGACAACACAGCCCAGCATCAGGACTCCATGGAAAGACCCCATATGAAATACTGTTTAAAAGGAGAGTTGATCCAACTTTGTTTCGCCCTTTCGGATGCCAAGCATATGCCTTGATTCCGAAAGACAAAAGGCAAGGGAAGTTTTACTTCAAGGGGCGCAAAGCCATAATGATTGGCTACACACATGGAAAGCAAGCCTACAAACTCCTAGACACTGAAAAACAAACTGTGTTTTGACAAATTATGAATTATGACATTTGTTTATAGTATGAGAAAACATGCATTGGCCAGGGCTTGAACCTGGGACTCCAGCTTTCATGGTCTGGTGCTTTACTAACTAAGCTACCAAGGCGTATTTGGAAAGCATACTGATTGGTTGCATGCCCAGAAGGTCCAGAATTACTGTACACGGGTGCGGATCCCATTGTGTTGTGATATGTTTTCCAGTCGGCATGTCATATTCAATGAATCCAGAAAGGTACAAAAGGATGACACTGCTCCCTGGAACACAGACACTAGCACAGATCAGTGGGAGGGACTCATTCCAGAGAATGCTCACTATCCAGACCAAAAAAAAATTGGAAAAGGATGATCCTGACCCTCGGATCCGAGATCCAAATGAATTGCAAATGGAACCACATCTCCAAGGAGATGTTCCACAAGCAATGGAACCATATCAGCATGAAGATGTTCCGAGAGCAGTGGGGCAATACCTCCGTGGAGACATTCCAAGAGCAGTGGGAGCACCTGATCAGCTAAGACACCCTCCACAACAGTCTCTACAACCAAGACCTGAACACTGGCCATCTTCAGAACAGAAAGCCAAAGTAGAGTTACAGTCAGTGGGAGGACAGCTCCTCAACATACAGCCAGCTGATGTGGAAAAAGTCCGAATACAGCTAGACAGCCTGTCCATTGGATCAGCTTCTGGATGTGAGGAATCGATTTTTCTTATCGCATTCCCGTCATGTCGTGGTTAGCAGACTCGATCCCCGTCACTCCTCTTGCCCTTGGACTAGAGATTACAGCAGGTGTCTTATTACTTTTATCATTTTTCTTCTTATTCTCTCTTCACACTCACGTTCTATCGTACCTACAACGAGGTAGACTTGTTGTCGACCCTCGAGAAGATATCCAGATGACATAGCCACGATCCAGTGCTATGTCTGGGAATACTTCGGAGGAATATTGATAAGCGAAGAAGGTTGTGAGTCAGCGCCTTCTCATGGGCTTACTGATACAGCCAATCGCACATCCCTTACCAATACGTTTTCTCATACAATTAGTAAATACGATAGATCAGACCACCTTCTCCTTTTTTCTTATTGGTTAGCTAGCTGGTCAGACCACTTTCTCAGTTCTTCCCTTTCTCGGTCTGACCATCGCCGTTCACTATATAAAGAGGTACATACTCGATGTATTGTTCTCTAGTTCAATATTAGTTTGGATTTGCGCTCTTATTGATACTCTTCATTCTCATACTCTGATTCACCGCCTTCCAGCAAGGACTTGACCAGGCATTGGGCTTTGTTATATAGCTTCGTATTTGTTGCCTGACACTGGAAGGCATACAACACCTCCAAGGAGTCATCCAACACCTCCGAGGAGTGATTCAACACCTTCAGGAGTGAGTGGGGCAACAAATACACAAATGCTGCTACTCCCTGGAGTACCTGCACAAGTTCCTAAAAGAGCAGTCATGCCTGCTGAAGTCCTAGGAGTACGCAGAAGCAGTCACCAGACCTGTCCTGCAGACAAAAACCGAGATTATCAAAGGACTCTAGATGAGGAACAGTCTCAAAAAGAGCAGCATGACAACTCCATGGAGAAACCTAACACTCCTGAGGTTCATGAAGAAACATCTGATACAGAGGAGACATTCTTTGCTGGAATAGCAAGTACTGGTCCATCTAACACAGACCTTCCAAGGACACTAAAGGAAGCCTTATCACGTCCGGATGGAGAATTATGGAAGTCTGCCTTGGAGGAGGAACTCCTAAGTCTCAATACTAATGCAGTATACGACACTGTTCCACTTCCGAAGGGAGTAAAACCCATCACATCAAAACCTGTGTTCCGGATCAAGTTTGATCAAAACGGAAACATTGAGAGATACAAACTCCGGATTGTTGCACGAGGTTTTACTCAAAGGGAGGGGATTGATTACCAGGAGGTTTTTGCTCCGGTTGCAAACTTAGAGTCAATATGAATTATTCTAGCCCTGGCAGCAAAGTACGACCTAGAACTTGATCAAATGGACATATCCACAGCTTATCTCAATGGAGAACTTGAAGAAGAACTGTACATGCTTCCTCCAGGGGGTGTTCCTATCCAACCTGGATACTGCTGGAGATTGAAGAAATCCATCTACGGGTTAAAACAAGCTGGTCGTACATGGAACAAAACTTTTGATCGCAAGCTCCAGGAGCTCGGTTTCACAAGACTAAATGCAGAAACATGTCTCTATGTATCCCGGGACAACAAACAAATATGCTTTGTTGTTGTCTATGTAGATGACCTCCTCCTAGGAGCTTCATCCCAAAAATCCATGGATATCACAAAAGCCAAACTCGAATCCATATTCAAAATGCGGGACCTTGGAGAAGCAAAATACCTCCTCGGAATAGAAATCCAACGTGATTGTTCAAACAAAACAATATCCCTATTGCAACACCAATACATTGACACAGTCCTGGAGCGTACTGGAATGAAGAACTGCAAACCAGTATGGACACCAATGGCCCATGGATCAAAACTCCTTGCAAATGCTCCAGGGGAAGATATTGTGCAACACAAGATGCATATTGAAGGGCGTCAAGTGTCATACCTCTCAATTGTAGGCTCCCTCATGTATGCCATGCTCGGAACCCGCCCAGACATTGCCTACGTTGTTGGAATACTAAGCAGGAATAGCTCAGCTCCAAGGAGCCATCACTGGGAAGCTGCAAAATGTGTCCTCCGATATCTGAAAGCAACCAGGGACATGGAACTACAATATGATGGCACAGATGTCTCCATGGACACGGATTTCAATGGATATTCAGATGCAGATTGGTCTGGAGACCCAGACACGTCTCGATCAACATCAGGGTTTGTCTTTATCACCATCCGAGGAGCAATCTCCTGGACAAGCAAAAGACAAAGCATGGTAGCTTTATCCTCCACGGAGTCAGAGTACATTGGATTGAGCAATGCTGGACAACACCTTGCATGGCTTCGGACATTTTTTGAAGAAATTGGACATGCTCAAAATGGACCTACAACATTGCACTGTGACAATCAAGCAGCTATCATTCTTACACGAGATCCACAGTTCCGTGCTCGCACAAAACACATTCAACGGAAATATCATTTTATCCGAGATGACTTAGTATCAAAGGGAAAGGCAGTAATCAGATACGTTCCTACAGGAGATATGGTTGCAGACATTCTCACTAAACCCCTCACTCATGAAAAACACTGGAAATTCTCTAAAGCTATGGGACTATGGTTGCACTCAAGTGGGAGTGACAAAACTGGATAAACCCGGTCTCTGCCGAAGCAGCCATTGTTCTCCATGGAGCATAGCCACCACTCCATGGAGTAACCATAGTTCTCCTAGGAGCACAATTGTACTCCTAGGAGTCATTATACTGTAGCGAGTAGCACCTCCGACTATAAGTAGTAGGGGGTTTAGTATAGAAATACCTCAGTCGTTTCTATAGCCTCTTGGGCAGCGGCTGAGTTTCACATAGGTTTATTATAGCATCCATAGCATATTCAATCCGCTCACACCATCCTCCGACCATTTTTTTGTGGATGGCTTAATGGTAATATGCGACTATATCAGTTTGTTCTACCAGCTAGATGGTGCGTTATACCTGTATACTTCCATTAGATTTTCTGATACCGCTCTACAACTCAATTTCCTCAACTATGAAAATAGTACAAGGCAACCATATAGAATGCATACTTTGTGTGTGTATAGTTCTGTGTAAGCACATCCGTTTATTGCTATTTCATGCACAGTAATACCGTGACAGTGTTCGGCGTAGTGTCATACATATAAACCTCCCAAATCAATAATCTCGTACTATCCAGCTATACCACAGAATGTGTTAATACATAAATGCCTTGCAAAAGTGTTGAACTCACGGCTTTAAACACTTGCTCGCTGTGACTTGCAGATTCTCAAACAATTCCAAACTGCAAGGAAGACTTTCGTGTACAAAATTGCGTGATCTTGGGACATGTAACTGACAGATTTTCGGATTCGTTTCAGGGCACTATTACCACATTCTGCAGCGCTAGAGTTGATTTGTGCCAGTTGAGGATCTGTATTAGCATAGGTATTGAGAAAAACCGCTGGAGAACATTGACAAATTATGACATTTGTTTATAGTATGAGAAAACATGCATTGGCCAGGGCTTGAACCTGGGACTCCAGCTTTCATGGTCTGGTGCTTTACCAACTAAGCTACCAAGGTGTACTTGGAAAGCATACTGATTGGTTGCATGCCCAGAAGGTCCAGAATCACTGTACACAGGTGCAGATCCCATTGTGTTGTGATAAACATTTTGTATGCCCCTTTGCGTGAAAACCGTCCACTACAAAAAGTGTGTCTGCGAAAAACTCGGGCTCACAAGTGAGGCAATAGGGTCCAAGTGCACATGCAAAATCATAGACGACCACCTTTGGGGCTTTGGGCCAGCGGGTGATCATAGCTGAGAACACGTCGTTTCAACCTTCACCGTTGGGTATGCAGTGAAACCCATAGCAGATGCTATGGGTACACCACGCACACATAATCCCTCCAGTCAATTTATTTTTACCGTACTGCAAATAGTACTTTAAGCATTTGTCGCCACGCTGTCCGCCAGGTTCTTCTTGAAGGTCGTGTTTCAAGTGAGGATAATGTGGGCGAGAACGGATTTGGGGCATACTGTAAAAGCACCCAGTCTAAATGTTATGTGAGTCAAGCAACAATAAACAATGAGCGGGTACTATATTTTCTGCCATTCTATGTCCGCCTGATTGGCATGTGACCTTGTATGAGGGAGTGGGACTTCTCCGGCCAGTAAGTGTTTGAGAACTTTGCATCCTCATTGATAAAGCCAGAGGCATAAGCCAACAACATTGGGAGGATAGGCTTCATTGTGGTTGTTGTGATACATGAGAATGTCATACATACATGGGATTTTGACTAAACGCAAGGCATTTTCCTGAGTAGGTGACAGGAGAAAATTATAAAGGTTGTATTGAGTAGCTCGGTTGATCATTTGCAAGACTGATTCTTATGCTGTAAGCTGAGATCCATAGAATTATTAAAAGTAATCAATTGGCCATTCACGCCAATATAATATTGCTTACCTGGAGGAAAAGCCTTTGATACACACTTTAAGGCTGGCCCTTGGAAGTCATGCAACCAAAATGTTGGAAAAATACTTGTGCCAGAGCGTTATTAAGCACTTTGAGCTTTGCATGCACACCAGGAATGATATCCATCAGTTTAGAGAGGTCGTTTGCAGCCAGTTCGTGTACATCATTATCCGGCTAAGTGTTGAGATTGGGATTATCAAGGTTGCTGATATCAACACCATCTGCCTCAACCGCAAGCCTTGCCCTTGCATTTCTTGATAAGCAGCTGACAACAACTAACCGTAATTCTCGGTGCAGCTTAGAATCCGCAATAACTTGCAGACCGTATTTGTAACGTACAGATTCTCGTCAAATTGAGTCATCTTGTGATATAATTGGAGGACAAAGCAATGAGAGGAGATGTTTTTGGCTGAAGACCAATGTAACACCGTCCCAAATTGTCTCCTGTGGTAACGGCCCACATCTTGGGCAACACATATCATTGTTGAACTGTTGAAGTTGGACGTAAGCAAATCATACAGCTCTAAATGTATCCTCCAAAACAAAGGGATATTTTGAGCCATAGTTTTGATATTGGCGAGAAAGGACAGCTACAAATGAGACAAATGGGGTTTCGGATGATGTGAATATACTTGTATATTCATCAAGCAGGTCGTGCGTGAAAAGGAGCCAATTATTCAAGTTAAATAAGCCATGTTCTTGTAGGTCAGGCCCGATGAAACAACATTTATGCGGAGGGCATGATGTGCATGATTGCACTTCTATTACAGATGTCCACGCATTTGTGAGTGTGTAGATGGTGCACTCATGCTGCTCCATATCTGGCATTATTGAATACTTCATCAAGGAACACATGCAACTCGGGTCTTCATCTAATTTCAGGATGCTGGGCATTGCTAAAAGTGGTTTGGGACAGGTGTAACAAATTGTGTCTTCGTTGATAGAAGCCCAAGCGGGTGGTAAAATTGGTTTGTAAGAGACAGGTTGTTGTTTTCTAGTTTGCGTTGCACTAACTTGCACAGCTATATTATAGATAGTTAGTCATTTGTTTACTCTATCACCTATGAGAGTGCTGCACCTATCGCGTCAAGAGGTTGATCACTTGGATTATCAACACCCAAGTCCCTCGCACCAGCGTCGCTTGTCACCAGTTTTTGTAACTGGTGACGAGCCATGACTACATGGGCACATGTACTGCAGCGGTCCTTACTACATGACCACTGGCCACTCCCTGAATCTGACCCAGTATGCAGAACGATTACGCGGCCTTTGGCTGACAACAGGTTAGGCAGTGCAACAGAAAAAATATTAGATGAAGTGTTGTCATTGGACAGGCGAGAGACGAGGATGACAAGCTCATTGTCTTAGTAACCTTTAGCATTTCAAAAATCATTGAAAAAAATAGATAGCAAACCTTTGTAACAAAACTTGTTATTATCTTCAGGGAAACAGTCCTCACCATGATCTTGAAGAAACCAAACGTGGACACATTTGTTGCCCTTGGGACAGAAACAAACTATCACCCACTCCAATCTAATTTTTTTCCTTTGCAGGTGATACCAAGTGTCCTACAAAAAAGTCCATATCAAGCCAATAAATCAGTAGGCCTATCACGTACCGTACTAGTGCGGCTTTTTGTGTCCCAGCCTTGGACCACAAATATAGTGTCCGTAAGTTGATATATAGGTATGCAGTCTGATAAAATAAGTTCTGCAAAGTAGTCATAGCCGTTATCGAGTCTAGCTGTTGGAACCATTGATTGAATAGGCAAATCCAACAAAGAAACACAAGCAAGATTAAGCGACTGATCAAGCCCAGGCCGCCATCAGCCTGCCCACAAACATTTTCTTGAGTATCTGAGTCTGAGGTGGCTGTGCGCCTTTGTTTCTTCTCTTGATAAAGATTGAGACCTGGGGCAATCATAGTATAGCATTTTTGTTTCTAAGGCGTGAATATCATTGAAAGAGGGTTTAAACCTCGGGTGATACCATAGTCGTCAGCATCAAGAGTGAAAGATAGATTCTTTACACCTGGATTGTGGTCAGGACCGCCTAAAAAGGCTACCACATCTTCTTGTCTGGGACCATGCACATAGTTTGGAGCGTTGAATGTGAACAACAGAGAAGGGGGAGGCGTCACCACAGACAGAATTTCACTTGAGATCTGTGAGTCAAAGAAGTTGTCAGTTTGCTTTTTTGTTCTTACCATGCTGTAGCAGTTGACAACGTTGAGGCCCAATTGAGGCATTGCGCCTACTATAGGTAGTAACTGTGACAGTGAGCAGATGTGGCAAGACACAGTAGTCTCGGTCAGACTTGGAGTCTGATGGATGAGAACTCAGCCACCTTAGGGATGGTTTCACATTACTATCCACACTATCCACCAGGATGGTTGTGTGCATCTATCCTACGCAAACAGGTATGATTTCTTTATATTGTATACGGGGTCCTGAATTGCCACATTGACTTTTTTTCTGTCCATCAAACATATATAAGCTTCAAAAAAGGCTATCTTATTCAGGTTTATGCGCCATCTTTATCTTAACCATCATGCCCGCTTCAAGCAATGGTAGATTGCTTTGACGGTGTAACAAGTGTCCTGGCCGACCACTTATGGTTCTGTGTGTCCAGACAAAGGCTGGAAGAAGTCACCTTCTATCAGTGAGTTATCATTATTGTCCAAAACAAATATTATTGACTTTGAACTTTGTCAGCAGGAAAGCAATGCTGGAAGCACTGTTCCTATTAACTCACACAATGTAGATCACCCGGAGACATCCCAGCCTGCTACTCACTATCTAGTCCCAGATGCCTCTTGAGGGGTCACCAACGAGCATTCTGTCATGGCTAGTGAAGGTGAGCGTACCCCTTGCGGTAGCTCAGATCCCTCCAATGTCGAATTAAGCTCTCCGGTTATTGATCCTTTGTTGCTTGCTCTGGCTGAGCCCGATATAATGGCACCTGTTGCAAATGTAAGTAATGTCCAGGCTTGTTATCTTATTTTCAAAATCTTTTTGCTCATGCCCTGTCAAGCAAACCAACGTAAATCAAGACCCAGCTCATTTTGAACCCCTCAGCTCTCCTCATCTGTTCAACTCAGCCATCAGCTTGAGTGCTACCCCGCAAACACCACAAACCTTTTGATTGTATTTGCAGGGATTGGACCTTGCTGCAGCCTCTGGTAGTAGTGGCTTCTCTGTAAATCACCATGGTCGCAATCATGTCTCCGGTAAGAATCTGCTCTACGGTCGCGTTGAAGATGCCATGAGAGGTGCAGCTGAGTGGTGTAAGTTAGCTACTTAACCTGTCATCCGTTCATTTATTAACATATTCATCTTACAAGCTGTTCTACAAACAGCACACCTCAGGCCATCCCAAACCTCCTCCAGAATTGCATATGCACAATTTTCTAGATTGGTGGAAGATTTAATAGTCTGAGTGAGTCACAAAAATTTATCGTTCACATCCCTGCTACATTACTCTCAAAGGCGGAACGTGTTTCACATGAGACAAATTGCTGGCTTTTTGTAGTGGCTCAGCATCCACAAGCCAATGCCCATTTTATTCACTATACGTCCCCTCGCATGCATTGTGAAGCCAAGGCGGAAACAAACAAGATTGTCCATACCTTTTCTACTGTCATCAACAACCTAATTCTTGCAAGACGAGCCAAGGCTCTTGAGTTGGCACAGAAATTGTCTGAAGCCAATGAATCCAAGAAAGAAGCGGATGCCGAGCTGGCAAGAAAGGAAGCTCTGATTGCAGAATATTGATTGTGCTTAGGGTTGCCTGACGAGTAGTACAGTTTTAGTGTATTTTTGCCATCAAAATTGATATATTGATCCTACACATTGTCTGATATACTCAAGCGCATGGCCACTCATATGATGTGTGAATAGTAAGAGTGATGATGAAGAGACTAACTCAAATCTGTAGCTAGAATGTCTGCATCGCCGAGATATTGGCAGCCAACGTGACTGAGCTAGCACCAAAGCAAAGCATCCAGGAGATGACAACCATATATGACAGGTGTGCGAGCATTTGAACAACTAAAAAAAAAACTCTGTCTGTACTATGTCAACGCTTCCTGAAATGATCCATACTGTGCATGTTGCCTGAAATGCCTTGGACACAGGCTGTGACATCCTCCCGAATACCCAAAGTGATTAATATACATCATTGGTCAAGAAGAGAATGACATACCAAGTGTAAAATATCCCAACTTCTTGTCCCACAGAAACAATGGAATAGCCCTCAGGCTCTATCCCAGGCTCTGGCAGCAAAATGTTGTCAGGATGTGGGATATTAAACATAGGAGGGCTCCACAATTGTTGTTCTAACCATGGTGTAGAATGATTCATGAAGGTCAGAGGGCTTGATTTTCATGATTAATATTTTTTGTCCAGAGCTGCACAATGTCATGCGACGCATTCATATAATGATGATACAGTATAAGTTAACAGGCCTACAGCGGAGTGAGTTATGCATAATACAGTATAATAGGGAAGACTGAGAACAGGAAAACAGTTGTACAAGCTATGTTGCAGATCTATGAAGGTAGCAGGCATTAGAAGTCATCTGGGGCACCGAAAGCATTGTGCTTGGTTTTATCTCCTTTTTTCCCACATTTACTTTCCTCTGCCTCAAGTGCTACTGCCTCTCCCACTTGTTGTTCTCGTTCTAAAAGTAGATTTGTTGGTTTAGGTTTTGCTGATGATGCCCCGTTGGGACCAGCTGGAGAGAATTGTGATATCAAAAACTTCATATAAAAACTGATGATGTACTGGTGCTGTAGTGCCCAGGTTCACCACATTTATAGCACGTTCCTGGTGCATTTTCCATGGATTTAGTTTGCTTAAAACCACCAGGTTGAGGGCAATCTGTTTGAAGCTTAGGCCTTTTTTCGATAACGGTTCAAAAACACCACTTACCGGATGCCCAGTGACCCTCTTTATTGCACTAATAATTCTGTGAGTAACACAATACAAAGCTAGCATACTGTTTATTGAAACACCTTGAAATATGTCTTTGAGTATTGTGTACTGCGTTGATCAGTGACCAAAGTACTTGGTTGAGGTCCTGAGCTACCGGAGCTGACCTTTCCATTATCCCAATCAAAGAAATTGCATCTGTTGTCTATGCCTTTTGAACAAGCAAAAAACGGCTGACCTTTGTAAGGGCCCTCTTTAGTCACAATTGCAAAAATTCAGGCCTGTAAGATATAGTGTGTACCACAAATATGAGCACTGTAATTTGTGGAAGCAAAGATCAGTGAGACAGATGTAAGGAACTTTACAGTAAAAAGGGGGTGCAAGCATGACTGTGAGTCTCATTAAGGCATCTCGACGACTGAATGATACAGATGTGACAACACCAACAAGACACAGTCTTGGGGCACTGAAGCACAATAAAAACAATACTCAAAAGAAGAGGAAGAGGTGGGAGTGGTTACCCATTTGGTAGGAACAAGTTAGTTGTTGGTAGACAACAGGAGGACTTGCTGAGTCCCTCCCCATGTATTGCTCCTGTATATATACTTAAAATACATGAGGTACTGTACAGTTGTAAATCAAGTTTAAAGTCTGATGTTTAGCATGTGACCAGTTATATGGTGAGCTTAGATATTGGTTAGGTGATGTGTCACATGATTGGTTATGTGACTATAAAAAGTCCGAAAATGTAAAGTAAAGTAAATGGTCACATGATCAGTCATGTGACTTGGAAAACGAAAAGTAAAAGTACAAAAAGTGAAGTGTAAGTAGGTGCTGGTATGTCAATTTTAACAACGGATCGGATGGCTTGAAGAGGAAATCAGATATATTTCTGATCACTTTTGATCAATCAAAATGATGTCAGTGCTCAACCAGGTAGCAGTAGAACACAATACAAGTGCTAACCTTCATTTCATCTACTTGCTGAATGAGCTATCAGGCTTCAAGCTTCAAGTCCAAGGCAATGGACATTGAGTCTGAGTCAAAATTGTCGGCTTGTGGCACTGACCTAAACAGGATATGTACATGTATTGTAACACTGTCAACGTGAGTTGAACTTAACCTTGCACCACACTGTTTAAGGTAAGAGTTCATCACACGAACACTTAGTATTATCCTTCAGGTCACACACATTCTCAGACTATGGCTCATTATCTTGCAATCCCTCCCAAATTGAAAAAAGGACCTCCAGCGCCACACATTTCCCTCTCTGGAATAACATGCACGCCTCCAGCCAGATGAAGTTATTGAAAGGCATGTGGATATTGCGTAAAACAGTAGGATCCCTTTTTTGTGCTGTCTAAACAATATCACTGGCTGGCAGCTGCATAAGAGTTTTGGAGGCTTGGAGGTATATATTGCACAACTATAATTGAATGCCATTGATTCATCACCCATGAATTTCCATAGCGCGTCTCTATTTCTGAGTTTCAGCTACAAGTTGATCGAGTGGCTGTTGCCCCAGACAAGTCTGGTATGCGCTAAAAATTGCAACGTGCAACTACCGGGATCGCCATGACAATAGCATCAAGCGCTCAAACGTTCGAGGCCCATGATGCAGAGTGTTTGCAATCTTCCTGTAAAGGCCCTTAACTGCATGATTCTCACTGCATTCGTGTGTTTTGGTACCATGTCAGCGCATATATCCCTTCTCCCATTGTGCTGGAACTTATGAATGGTGTAGATTGTTGAACTAGATATGAGACAATAGCAACATAGCTCTTGACCAGTTAACATTCTCTCCTTTGTCTGCAAGGTTTGAGAGGAGCCAAGTGGAACCATTTCAAAACTTGCCGACAAGTTATCCATGCAATATGTCACAGAGTAGCGACTCCAATACAAAACTTGGACAAGTCATGATTGATCACAGGGCTGTCAGGGCTGCAATCACCGTTTTGACGCCTTCCTCTGATCAAATTTAAGCTGACAACTGCCAGGAACCAAACACGTACGTTCTATTTTCTGTGTTACATGTCTCGCACTTATCACTGTCACTGTAGTAGTGTCAGACCCTACTACCTCAGCCAAGCTCCATAAGCACATGGGTTGAAGAGAAAACTCATGGCATCAAGGATCACATAGCATTTTCGGCAATGGTGTTCTGGAGCTGGTGCCGCCAAATATCACCAAAGTTTGAGCAATGGTTAGTAGTATTCACATTCGCAATTCAGAATATATGTGCTAAACTATGCTGGTATTCAGGCTGTAGCAACCATGTGAGGTCCACTGTACAAGGGTGGATATCTCGCGGTGCTTATTTGCGGTGGAAAAATTTTATGATGGGTGTTGTGGGGTACCTTATTAAAGACTGAGTGTGTTGGGTTTTCTGTGTGTTTTGTGTCTCGTCTCTTATACCATTCAGTTTCTCTGCAGTTACCACCTCCACAATGGACGACAATGTTGCAAATAAAAATCAAGGTACATTTGTTGGCCTATAGAAGGGTGGAACGAGACATTACTAAGGGGCCTGTTCTGTTGGTGCATTAGACCCTACCTTGCAAGGCTTGGAGAAGGATATAGAGACTTTGAGGGGAGATATTGTTGCTAAGAAGGCTGAGGTTAGTGAAATCAAGAAGAATCTTGACCAAAAGAAGCGAGGAGGTGGAAAATGTACAGCATCTAGTCATTGTCCTGTGACATTTCTGATGATGGGTTTGATTTGGTATAGGACCATTTGATAAAGTCCAGGCCAAGCAGACAGCGTTGGAGAAAGCCATGTGGATATTGAAGGATCGGTTCAACACCCTCAAAGGCAAGCCAACTTGCTCAAGTAAGGACAAAGTAACTGACTACATTACTAGCGGCCGGACCAGCAGATTCTTCTGTAACCAATGCAGATCCGGACTTGCATGCGACTGGTATGCAGCAAAATGAGAAGGAGATTGACAATGCCACGGATCAGCCTACACATGGAGAATCAGAAAGAGGTGACCACGAAGAAGGAGAGGACCATGCACCGAGTGACAGTGCAAGAGAAAGCGCTCACAAAATCCAGGCTGCAGAGAGACAAGCAGGGTCCGAGCGTCAGGAGTGTGCGGACGAAGGACCAGAGACAACAAACCAGGATCATGTTGACCAATGGAGCCATTTTCCGGATAGGGAATCAGTCCAGCCAGCGACAGAATCCCCACCAGTCCAGCCAGTGCAAAAAGAGACTATACATCAGCCCCCTGACTCAGTTGGACTAATGGCTACAACTTCCGAGCAAAGTCCTGGTCAATTGGAAGCAAATGAGCATGCTATGCTTGAAGAGCAATTAGAAAAGACGAAGGCAGAGCTCCTCAAGTTGAAGGAGGAGGTGGGAAAAAATAAGAAAAGAGCAAAAGAAGTTGATTCAGATGACAAAATGGGAGGGAAGTGCAAGAAAGCCAAGAAAGCAAAAGCAAATAAGGAGGCCAGTAGTTGTAGAAAAGACGAGCCAATAAAAGGTAAGCGCACATACCTCCTTGTTGAGTGGTTTTTGTTAAATATCCGCTCACAGAGAAAGAAAGAAGAGGCCACAACCAGATCCAGCAATTTTTACAAGGAAAGCGCCGCAGCATTCATCCCACAATCCAGTCGTTAATACGAACTGACCCCAGCTTTCTTCCTGAGGCTGCATTTATAAATCGGGAACTTGCTCTACACTGCCTAACGACAAACCATGCCAATATCATGTGCCTCTATCATAAAGATGGCAACAAGACAGGTGCCACAGTGGAAGATGAGTGACAGGGACACCTCACCCACAAGCTCTCAATGAAAAAAAAAGCGACAGCATAGAATGCCTGCCAGGGTACTTACACTGTGGGTGCCCTGAGGATCATGTCTTATTCAATTTTTACCTCTGGAAATATATGCGAGCCAGTGATGCTGATGGCAACAACACAGAGACAATGTTATCTCAGCTCATTCCCCCTTGCTTGCGCTATTTCCTGTACAAAACCATGCAAGACTTTGGTTTGAGCATTGATCGTTTATACACCCACTTGCCAGGAAGCAATTCCAAAAAACATATTACTTGTCATCTTATTATTTCTGCGGTGGAGATACTGCACAAAATTAATGAAAAGGATGGTGAAGACAAGGAAGTGTTTGGATGGGATGAAACTAATCACAGCAGAGGTGTATCGAGTTCCGGCGAGAACAGTCCAAAAGAGGGCCTCACTGATAATTCTGACACTAACTCCAGCATAGGATCTCAATCCGACTCAGACTTTTAATATCAATAAAATAATGATAATATATGCCATATTGACCTGAACATTGGCCTGAATATGAATAGCGCATAAATGGTCACATGATCTGCAAGGCTAAAAAGTAAATAGTACAGTCAAAAGATGTGCTTGAAGATGGTTCAAACCAACGACTTCACCAGTGCAAATATGGTCATGTGATTGTATGTTGGATATTGTTGCACAACCAACAGTTATGGTGTACTGTACCACAGTGACACATATAGTAGGAATAAACCATACAGTGACTGAATAGTTTCCCCACACTATATGGCTCAAAGCTAAAATGTGTTGCACTACCATCCAGTCACATATGGTTGGAGTGCACTGTACTATGATTACACATATGGTGGCAATGAACCATACAGTGACTGGACGGCTTCCTCACACTATATGGCTTAATGCTGGATAGTGTTGCACTACCATCCAGTTACATATGGTTGGAGTGCACTGTACTATGATTACACATATGGTAGGGATGAACCATACATTTTCTGAATAGTTCCCTGGCACTATATGGCCTAAGGCTAGATAGGGTTGTACTACCATCCAGTACCTATTGCATTTTTACAACAACAACAACAACAACAATATACATGTGGTGGTCATTGATCATCCATCTATTGTCATATGGTTGGTAGACAATCATATGGTAAGTCTGTTGTGACTTTTGTTTATGGTTTTCCATGACTATCTAATGTTACTGATATAAACATTGGATGCTACATAAGCACCATATACCGTAGGAGGCATTTGTGGCTTGCTTTATATTTGTGGACAGTGGTAAATATACATGTGGGATCATGTGAGTGTTGCTAGTGTAATAATCCACAGTGGACTCAGAGAGTACAGAAAAGCAAATTGGACCAGCCAGGGATTGAACCCAGAACCTCCTGCCTATATATGGCGGTGCTCTAACCAACTGAGCTACCAGCCCATATCAACACTCAATTGCACAATGTTGTCTAACAAGGCCCAGGCTTTGACCTTGACAATTCCAACAGCTAGATATGGTATTGAAACGGCATGTTGATAAATATCAGCTGGCTGTATACTCCTTATGACCATATGTTGTACACAGTGTGCAGTGAGAAACCGTGAGAGTTTAGACGGCCGGTCATGTGTCGCCTGCCCCCATCCTACCTTAGACATCTCAGTTATTTACCAGAAAGACTAAGGTATAGTAACATCATTATTACAGTTAAACACATACTTACACATTCCTTTAGAGTCTTTTCATTTACAGGTACATTTGAATAATATATCAGTCATTTACCAGAAAGACTGAGAGTCTTTTCATTTACAGTTCTATTCATCACATCAAGTTCTGGGTCTAGGACCTTACACATTTCATACCAGGGCAGCAAGCCATGTTGGACATCGCTCTTTCCAATAAATTCAAAGCCAACACTCTTGTAAAAGGAACGGAGGTCTTCGTGTGAGAGAAGTAGCACCTGCTTATAAGATACAGATCCCTCTGCACAAGCAGACTCCAGACGCGAGATGTATTCACGCATTAGATTCGAAGCAATACATTTCCTGCGATATGGAGGCAATATCGCAACGGCGTGCACGCATACGGATGATGAGTTGGGTACATGAGTGAACATTGAACTGTGTGTTAATGTCAAAGAGGGGGAAAGGGTGGAGCACACATAGCCTATTAGGGTGAGGGAACTGGTAGCCGGCTCGCCGAGGTAGGCACCCAAGAAAAGATCAGGAGCTTGGGCTTGACGGCTCCTTGAAATGTTAAAGTTCAATCAAAGCGATCAGCTAACTGATTAAAATGCAGTTGAAGGAAAGATACCTAAACTTTTCAAGACTCGCAGCTTCATCAAAGGGAAAGCCTGATCATGTTGTTTAGTGCGACTTGAACCGTAAATTGCACTGGAGAGATAGACACTTACTTGACATTTCTATCATATGTGCATCCAGCACATCATCAGCAGAGACATAATTGTAGATAACAGACATTTGGGATAAGGATGAAATATAGTGCCAGTGGTTAATGTGTAACCAAAAAGAATGCGAATGTGAAATTTGATCGTTCTAGTAGCTAAATGACCCTCCGGGTTGACAACCTCTTGCTGGCAACGCTACAACAGCCTCAGCGGCCAGGCTCAATGGTGTGCGGACGGGCGTCTCCACAAGACGAAAAAAATAAACACATTGCATTAAGAGGGAATCGAACCCCCGGCGGGTCGATGGCAACGACCCAGGTTACCACTACCCCATTAATGCGTTATAATTAAGCCAGCACATGATCATGATGAGGACGAAGATAAAGCTTTTGACAGAAAAAAGTGAAGTACAGCAATGAAATCATGAGCAACACGCTCTGCCAATTGGAACTAAGGACCCCCGGCAAGTGCTAAAATTTTCGCGACTGCTTGCTCTGCGGCGGACATGAGCGTTCCATGTGGGTTTCCGGTTGGCAGCGAAGGAATGATGGAGGCATCAATGATGAACTAGATAGCATCGATTAAGTAAATTTCATTTATGACATCGAATTTTCTTTTTCACCAAGTTGTCCGTTTTGAAGACTTTCGTGTTGGAGTCAACCACTGAGCCTATGGAGTCCGACCCTACCCAATGGTTTGAATTCAACAAAGCCTGTGAAATTCATTCGATAACGACTCGTTCTGCTACTATCAAGATTACTTACAGGATCATAGTTGTTAACTAGGACATATGTTAGCCAATATATCGTGAGTGACTAAGGGGCTTACCATAGTCAGTGATTGTTGTTTGGTTATCTGGTGTGATCAATGTCAGTCCAGGGACTGCATTCAGGAAGTTCGTCAACTTATCAATCTAAAGTGAGGATGGCTTGCGCACCGGTGTTAACAGTTGAAATGAGATCGTTAAGTGCCGTTATTATAGTAGACTTGTCAACAGGATCAGTAAACCACGGATTGACCAGAGGTATTCCGGTCAGAGCTGCATTGATGCCTATGCGTCCACGAGAAGTTACTCCTTGAGATCTAATTGAATTATTAAGAACATTAAAATGCACTCCGGATCTTACATATTAATCTTACAGATAAGTGGTGATCGTGAATGTTTGACTGAAAAGGAATTCAATATTATCAGCAATTTCAAAACAGCAACAGCTTACCTGACGTTGTAAGCATAAGTTGTGTTGATGACGGAGGCACCGGGTCGAACAGTACCTTGCATCTACGCCACTTGGTAAGCAGGGGATATGCAACCAGAAGATCGGATGTACCCATCGTTGCTTGCCATCTGTGTCAGTGTAGGAGCGCCAGAAGTTAAGTCTGTCATTTAAGCAAGTTATCACGACGAAATACTGATTCATAGAGAATATACCTCCTTACTTTGATGTTATACCCGCAAGTACTCCAGATTGATCTCTCAAGTATTGGGCTGCATCAGCGGGACGAGGGTCAGACCAGACATTTGCCCAGTTGTCGTAGGCGTCAATATCAGGGTGCGTGAACACGAACTATAGAATAATGGTGAGGAAAAACTACCATAAATATACAATGTGCTCACGTTGACAGAAGGGTTATCAGACACATTATACCCAACGGGGAGGTCTATGTACTGGCTTGATGGTGGCAGATTAGCAGCTGTGGTCGGATTACCTTCCACCAAAGCGATCATATCCGAGGGACCTATGCCGCTCTGGAATAAAATCCGGGGTGAACCATAAGATCCGGCGGATAAAATCACACGTCCCTTGTGTGTAAGAGGTACGACACCGTTAGGCCCTAAAGACGAGTCATTCGTCTGCACGCCTGTAATTTGTGACCTGTTGCGGACAACACTAGAAACTAAGGTATAATCTCTGTACACAAAATTTGGGCGGGAAAGTGCTGTTTGAAGGTACGTTGCGACAGGTCCACCTCGCTTTCCAGCTATAAACTGCGGGAAAAGTCAGCATTATCAACCCAAACCAGGTACCAGCCCTTACATCAAAAGCACTGTAACCATAAACATGGTCTTTCGAGTTGGGGTAATTGTTTATTGTGACATTGCGATAGCCTTGACCATTGATAAGTTGAGACGTAACTGTATATGATTGTTCGAGGTAGCGCAACCCATCCGTTGAGGGGTGATCCGTGCTGGGGAGACGAGCAGCTATTTTACTTGTGTAGGGCTGATGATTGACCCAGCTGATTGGCCAGCCAACACTGACAGAGAAATCGGAGTCTTGGGGTAGCCAGTATAGACTGGAAAATATGGTTAGTAAGGATGTTCTCTGCTGGAGACTTAGTCATTCAGTACGCACGCCCCATTGATAGAAGTCCCTCCGCCAAGCAGGCATCCTGCGTAAACTGTAATATCTGAAGGTGTATATATTGAGAATGAATTGGGTACAGGAGCCTTGGACATGATTGTTACCTTTGCACCAATACCACGGATTAGGATCACTAAACATCGATTCGTACAACCCAGGGATGTCAAATTTAGTTAGCTGGCTCACATAACATCAGATCAAGCTTCAAGTGTAGCGAGGACACTCACATTAGTTCCTTCAGCCCAAGGGGCATTGTATGTTCCACCAGTTTCTCCGGTACTGGGTCCCCCTCGTTCCAATAGGAGAACCTTTTTCCCAGCTTCAGAGAGGCGATCTGCAGCAATTATACCACCTGGACCAGCACCAACTATGATGTAGTCATACGGGGTGGCCTGTTCAAAAAAGAGTCAGATATGCTGGTGCATTTTCGGAGACGGTTGCTTACAATAACAGTGGAACCTGGCAAAGCTGTTGTACTAGATGTTGCACTATAAGTGCTAGTGGGTAATATACCCGTTGTCCCTGGACTTCCGTTGAGATAACTGCCATAATTTCTGTTATGCGCTACTGCAAAATCCTCTCCAAAGAATCCAACTAAATATGAATATGATATAGTATAGTCAGAATAGTGCTCGTAATGTCAAAAATGACAGTATACTCACAATCGGTGTGCTCCTGGAAACTGCTCTGAGCATCAGAAGGATCAGCAACAACAACATCGGAGTATGCCCAAGCCAATGTGCTCGCCCCTCCCAAATCAAAACTCCCGCCTTCCCAGCCTTGGATGTTTGGTTAGGTAATATCAATTGGAGGCAATATAGACATACTGGTACAGTTCTGACATCGGAACACCCATTTCCAATGAGTTGAATTGACAGTGGTAGATGGAAGACTGGTTATTATAGGACCTGTATAAGCGCTGCATTGGGATGAGTCACAGAAGTACATTTTGGCCTGTTAGGTTAAGGTACGAACGTAGGCAGGGCATATTGTCTGTAAGCAAATATTAGTGCTTAGCTAAAGAAAAGCTGTGAAGTTCCTACGTTGCATAACGAGATGAAAACACGACCGAGTTGGCATTGGGCCATGCAACTAGCAACAAGCTGTTGAGCATAGCACCACCTAACGATAGACCAATCCATTGAGCGTCAAGAGGTGCAACGATTTCACCAATAAACTCCGTAGAGTTGGTTCCAGTAGTGACAAGTGGGGGTAATACAAAACCATAAGTGACATTGTATACCGGGTCCGTGTAGCCTTGAAAAACGAAGCCATTTCCTGAGTCGGTGTAGCTTGAAGAGCTCTGTGCCAGTACTACGTGCATGACATGTACAAGCTGATTAACATAAAATTGCGCTGATTAGAAGAGCAACTCGCCAGGACTTGATATAGCCACAAAGCTCAGCAGTAAAAGCGGGAGTACCATTGTGATAGAGCAATGACACAAGAGTGCATTGGGGGGTCCGAGAAAGACTGAGTATGTAACAGAAGAAGTCCTAGTCAGATGAGCAAGAGGGGTTCTATTGACGCCCAGGAACCAAGCCTACATCCCGACGCAAAACTATATCAACGGGGCTTTACTGCAATATCATGAAAACCCACCATTGTAGAATATATGCAGAGAAAACCAAGGCAGCACACCTATTACAAGCGGAAAGTAATTGGGGAGATGCTTACACCCGCGACTTGTTGGCATCAATTAGTACAATGGATACATCAAGGTAAATAGAAACAAGAAGACCAAGAATGTAATAGTTCAATAGCCAGAAACATCGAAGCACTCTGGGAAAGCACTTGGACAAGGCACTTACCTTTGTCATACTCGGGCAATGACCTCGTGTTCAACAAAACGGCAATGTAATATTCCTCGTACCATCAGGTTACCAGGCCTGCAATCAGAGGCATGAGACCTTCATAACCACCTGAACAGCATTTTCCGAGGGTAGCACTAATACAAGCTAATGTATTCAAGTCCTGAATAGACACAAGCAACATATCCTATTATTTAGGGACCTCCGGCTAGTGCCAAAATCTTTGCAGCAGCTTGCTCTGCAGCAGACATAAGTGTTCCATGAGGATTTCCCGTTGGCAGTGAAGGAATGATAGAGGCGTCAACAACAAACTACACCATACATTAAGTAAAGTTTTGCTTAGGATCGGACTTGTTTTCCTCACCAAATTGTTCGTACTGAAGACTTTTGTATTGGAATCAACCACTGAGCCTATGCTGTTTGATCCCACCCAATGATTTGAATCTAGCGACCCCTATGAAGCAGAGTAAAAAACGAAAATAATACTCTTGCTGCAAAATTACTTACAGGATCGTAGCTGTTAACTGACAGTATATATCAGCCAGATTGTTCACGAGGAGTAGACTAGGATGATATACCGTAGTCAGTAATCGTAGTTTGATTATCTGGTGTAATTAATGTGAGTCCAGGGACTGGATTCAGAGAGTTCATAAATCAATTAACACTAAAAAGTGAGAATGGTTTGCGCACCAGTATTGATATTTGAAACAATATCATTGAGCGCAGTTATTAGGGTGGACTTGTCAACAGGATCGGTAAACCATGGATTGACTAGAGGCAGTCCAGTCAGAGCTGCGTTGATGCCAATCCGTCCACGAGAAGTCACTCCTTGGGATCTAATCAAGATAAAGTTCAGCAACCCAGATCGCGTCCTTGTTCACTTTTCTTACAGGTAGGTAGTAATTGTGAATATTTGACTGAACAGTATTTAAACGCCTTCGACTCCGGATCGTCAGACAATATCGGCTCACCTATCATTGTAAGCATAAGTTGTATTGACAGCGGAGGCGCCAGGTCGAACAGTCCCTTGCATCTATAGTTGTCGGGTGGTTGAGAGACAGAGGGTATAGGTATACAAGCAGAAGCAAAACACACCCATCGTTGCTTGTCGTCAGTGCCAGTGTAGGAGCGCCAAAAGTTAAGTCTGAAAATGAAAGGTTTCAGTCACGACATCAAATCAAGTCTCAGAATATTTAAATAACTTACTTTGGTGAGGCACCTGCAAATACTCCAGATTGATCTTTCAAATATTGTACCGCATCAGCGGGACGAGGATCAGTCCACACATCCGCCCAGTTGTCATAAGCATCGATACTAGGGTGTGTGAAAACAAACTAGAAAAAGCAATGAGAAAAATCACAGTCTAAACACACAGGCACTTACGTTAATAGAAGGGTTATCAGACACATTGTATCCAACAGGGAGGTCTATGTACTGGCTTGATGGTGGCAAATTAGCAGCTGCGGTCGGACTACCTTCTACTAGAGCAATCATATCTGCGGGACCAATGCCACTCTGGAACAAGATGCGAGGTGAACCATAAGACCCTGCTGATAAGATCACACGTCCGTTGGGTGTAAGAGGCACAACACCATTAGGCCCAAGAGACGAATCGTTCGTCTGCACACCCGTGATTTGAGATCCATTGCGGACGACATTCGACACCAAGGTGTGATCTTTGTATACAAAATTTGAACGAGCTAGTGCTGTCTGGAGATACGTTGCAACAGGGCCACCTCGTTTGCCATTTATGAACTACTCAGAAATAGTCAATACCATTTACCTTAAAAGTAAGAACAGCTCCTTACATCAAAAGCGCTGTTACCATACGAGTGATCTTTCGAGTTAGGGTCATCGTTTATAGTGATATTGCGATACCCTTGACCATTGAGAAGTTGAGCCGTAACTGTAGCTGATTGCTCCAAATAACGCAACCCATCCGTTGATGGATGATCTGTACTGGGAAGACGAGCAGCCATTTTATTTGTGTACGGCTGGTGATTTCCCCAGCTGCTTGGCCAACCAACGCTAGTCGAGAAATCAGAGTCTTGCGGCAACCAGTACAGGCTAAAGATATGATCAACATTGCCCTTATACAGAAACAGTGTCACCGGATACGTACGCCCCATTGATCGAAGTACCGCCTCCGAGCAAGCATCCAGCGAAAACAGTGATGTCTAAACATAAATATCATCAGAACGCGTCGAGACCGCCAAATTGCGGTATAATTACCTTTACACCAATACCACGGATTAGAATCAGTGAACATGGACTCAAATAATCCGGGGATATCGAATTTAGTCAGCTGGACGGTATAACATCAACATTTGGAGCATTAGAACCGTACGGATTATGCTTACATTAGTGCCTTCGGCCCAGACAGCGTCATATGTTCCACCAGTTTCCCCAGTACTCGGTCCTCCGCGTTCTAGTAGAAGAACCTTTTTACCGGCTTCAGAAAGACGATCTGCTGCTATTATACCCCCTGGACCGGCACCAACTACGATGTAGTCGTAAGGAGTTGCCTGATATTCAAAGTATCAGATACACTGATGCATTCTGAGAAATGATTACTTACAGTAGTAGTGGGACTAGTTAAAGTTGTTGTACTAGATACTACGGTAGAAGTGCTAGTGGGAACAGAGCTCGTCGTCCCTGGGTCTCCGTTGAGATAATTGTTATAATTCGAGCTGTGTGCCGCAGCAAAGTTTTCTCCGAAAAATCCAACTGAAGGTGATATGATCAAAACACTGATGATGTCGAAATGATAGTATGCTCACAATCAGTGTGCTCCTGGAAGCTACTTTGAGGATCAGAAGGATCATTCACAGCAACATTGGAGTATGCCCAAGCCAGTGCGCTTGACCCTCCCAAGTTAATGCTTCCACCTTGCCAACCTGAATATGCCCGGGTGAGTAAACTAATATCAAAGCAAAGCAAAGCAAAGTCGACATACTGGTACAATTCTGGCATCGGAACACCCATTTCCAATGAGTTGAGTTGACAGTGGTAGATGGAAGGCTGGTGATGATAGGACCTGTATAAGCGCTGCAATGCAATGAGTCATACAGGTCTATTTCTGCCTATCAGGCTAAGATACGAACGTAGGCAGGACATATTGTCTGCAAGCGAATATCAATAATGCAAAGTTGAAGAAATTTGTGAAGTTCCTACGTTGTATAACGAGACGAAAACACAACTGAGTTGATGTTGGGCCATGCGACTAGCAACAAGCTGTCGAGCATAGCACCGCCTAGTGATAGTCCGATCCATTGAGCTCCGATAGGTGCAACAATTTCACCAATAAATTCGGTAGAATTCGTTCCAGTGGTGACAAGTGGGGGGAATACAAGGCCATAAGTGACATCATATACCGGGTCGGTGTAGCCTTGAAAAACGAAACCATTTCCTGAATCAGTGTAGCCAGAAGAACTCTGGGCGAGCACTACAAGTATCTAACTCGGTCAACGTGTAATTGTTCTGACAACACGAGTGACTTACCAGACCCAGATATACTGAGAACACTCAGCAATAAGAACGAGAGCACCATGGTGATATCGGTATGAGACGATACCGAAGGTCAGAGAGAGGCCTCGTATTTATTGGAAGTTTTTCCACCCCAATATGAGCGAAGAATTTCCGCTGATACTTAGGAACACCTTTGAAATCCTATGCCCTTTTGGAATATTGTGCCAAGGTGATCTGACTGTGATATCACAATTGCGGTTCTGACGTTTGCGGAGAGATCAAGAGCATGCGTTCGTTAAAGACGGAAACAAATCGGTAACGCATTCATGCTTGTGACCTTTTGATGCCCAGCTAGTACGTCAGATAAGTCAACGAGGGCTAGAAATAAAAGACCGAGGATGAGTCGTATATTAAATGCAATATTCAGTGAGGAATTACATTGATCGACTCACTCGGAAAGGATGGTTCAACGAGGCACCTCCCTTCAACCTGGCCATATGATTCCGACCTTGTCCCGACCAATGTCCTTGAACTCAGCAGAACGGATGTGAAAGAATGCAGCCGCCTAGAACGAGATGTGCCATGTATTGGAAAGGAATAAAAGGAGAATAAACAATACAAATCACATGTCATCATCTGTCTTCTCGCCTGTTACTTTGTCGTTGGACGAAGAACCATGTGTGCAATTGTAGTCTCTCTGCGCGAATAGCTAGAACTCTAAACTGTATCGGGTGAATTACGCGCTATGCTCCGCAAAAAATAGGCGTCAGTGATGAGCTTCCCTGTATAGTGCTCCTTCAGACTAAAGCGGTCCGTCAGTGTGGTGCCAGAGACCTGAAGTCTGTGTTGTCGCGATAAAAATCCGCAATGAACGCTATCATTGATGGAGATATCGACTCAGATTCACAGTATCGAGTTTCGTGTTATACAATGCGGTATCGATATTGATACTATCTTGCATTGTCGCAGACTCGCGGTCACCGATACAGAGTATTACAGACCTGCATCATGACTGGATGCGCTGTTTGTTTGGTCGTATTAGATTTAGACGCCAATGGGAAACAACGACAAGCAATCCGGCCTGCAGCTGATTGTGGCAACAAAATTTCCGATGGGGAGTTCGTGGCAGTGGGGAGCAAAGAAAACAGATAATAAGCTTATCACCGTCAAGTCCTGACATGCAAAGCTTTCCGCTCTGCTACCCGGGCGCTCAGAATAACCATCAAACACCATGTATTTTCTTTCAAACCCCGATACACCTGTTTTTCATTGGGGACTATCATTTCTAGGTCTCAATGTTTCAGAATCGTAGCCCCATCAACCAAACGAATTCGTACTTTGGTTAGGGTGTCTTTTATCAAGATACCAGCCACCCCTCTACCACGTCCGGATCAATGTTGCTTCAGATGCAAAAGCGAATCGTCTAATCCGCACGAACATGGCAATGTAAGATATCAGTTATCTTATGGCTCTTGTCACGGGTGATATGAACCTCTCGCGACTTGGCACTGACATGGAACTGTTATCGTGATATTTAGCGCTATTACTATGATAGGTATACGTACCGATCGAGTCTACCTGTATGTTTCCTTCGCGTGGTCTATGCTGCTGGGCTCGTTGTATGACTTGGCATGTCGAACCGTTATGTATACGCTAGCATTTTCTTACCACTCAAAATTAAATAGCAAGATGGCTATTGCACTACAAGTAAGATGCGTTTGTGAGTAAGCTGTATATTGTTGACTGTTGTTCGGGCTGTAAATTGCCGAGCCTGTGAACGCGCGATCCATCCTTGCAGTGACCAGTCCGCTGTTCATTCCAAACTCTCTGTTCCTGTCTTGCTACGGCAGTTGACGTACGACGACGCACCCTACTGTATCGCTCACGCTTCGGTATCGTTCTTTTCGCTGAGCGTGGGCTGGTTACTCGCAACAGAGCGCTTATCGAACATCTCGCCACTGCACTACAGAACGTGTCCCTCTTTTCCATCTTTTCATACCTTTTTTCTTCAGATTTCTTTTGATTAAGTCTAATCTTCCAACTTGATACCCGTTGTTCTCGAAGAACTCGAAGCCTTAGAATCACCAGCACCGTTCATTCGTGCCAATTCGTGTGGATTTTGTAACTACGTCAACCCATCATGTCCACCTCAGCTTCTTCCTCCACTTCAACGCCATCTTCAGCAACAGCCGGGCCTAGTGGTCAAAACCCCCATCCCTTGCTGGAAAACAACGAAGAAAAGAACAGTGTGGTCATCAAAGTTGGCATGGTTGGAGATTCGCAGATAGGCAAGACGAGTCTCATGGTCAAATATGTAGAGGGCAGTTTTGATGAAGACTACATCCAGACGCTAGGTATGTGCTTCGTATTCTTTTTTTTTACCTAGCATAGCTATCGTTTGAACCAACCATTTATGCCTCAAGGCGTCAATTTCATGGAGAAAACCATCTCCGTCCGGCGGACAACCATCACTTTCTCGATATGGGATCTGGGTGGTCAGCGAGAGTTCGTCAATATGCTACCGCTAGTCTGCAATGATGCTGTCGCTATTCTATTCATGTTCGACCTCTCTCGAAAATCGACCCTCAATTCGGTAAAAGAGTGGTATCGACAAGCACGAGGTTTTAACAAGGTAAGCAATTGCAAATTCGTCTCGAGAGTCCTGCATAGCACTATGGCCGCTCGCTTGTTTTCTTAATCACACACGTTACTGGCAAACATTGGTTTGGTTGATGGGAATGGGTGCTTCTACTTGTTGTACTAAGACATGATATCGATCGTCAAATGAAGCTGATAGCTCCATGTGAGTCACTAATACTGACCTCTTCCTTTCACAGACTGCTATACCTTTTCTGATCGGGACAAAATTTGATACGTTTGCAACATTTCCAAGAGACGAGCAAGAGGAAATCACTAAGCAGGTATGTCAACATATTACTTCACCTATGTATACTCTTCTGACTTTGCATATTGAGGCCAAACGATTTGCACGGGCTATGCATGCATCATTGATATTCTGCTCTACATCTGCTTCAATAAACGTTCAAAAGATCTTCAAGATCGTGCTCGCAAAAGCGTTTGACCTCAAGTGTGTAATTCCGGAGATCGAGGGTATCGGAGAGCCTGTGCTCATATACGTGGATGTGTAACACTGAATATTGTTCATCTATACGGAGTTGGGTGGAGAAGTGTCGGCAGAATGAGGTGTGTTGCATGTTGAGGGGAGACGGGGGAGAGGCATCAAGGTGAAGTGGTGTCAATGTGTATATATAATTCTCACTTGCTAATGTCAATATGGAACTATCTATGTTATCCTGCGTTAATTTAGGCTACCCACCTCTGGGAATGGTACTGTCTACTGAGATGCGCTGTTGTAACGCGGGTAGCGATGCTGATGATCTCGACATGTTTTTTCACACTCAATTCGCGGACGGTTACGATAAATCACTGAAAGGACTGACAAGAATGCCGCCTGTCATCTTCTGCCCTATTTATTCACCCTTTTAATTCTTCGTTGGTATTATTTACAATTACCAAATTCCTTTGTAACTTCCTTTGACATCCCTAGCACCGACTTCCACCACGTATATCGCTCCATCCAATCACTATTGTCTTTTGTGTTGTCGTTTTCTTCGTTTTGCTGCATTCTTGTCCTTGCTCCTCTATCGTCCCGCATCTACAAACCTGTTCAAAAATATCTTTTTCTTCTTCTATTAGCCCAACAAGATACTCGGAGCGTAGCTTCAACCCGACATTCCTTTAAACTGGTGGAGGCGGTATTCTTGATCGCTGTCACGGTGTATCCACCTGATTCCATCCTGCCAGCGCTCCAATCTGATTTCGTGCCATGCTTCTTCATCCATGTCTTCATGTCTTCACTACGGAAATCATCTATTTAAATGACATGGTACCAATTCTCCTGATTAGCCTCTTTATGCAATGGGCTGCCCAAGCTTTCAAGTTTGCTCTGATGCGGTTCTGCTGCATTCAGTTTCTGCCGATGACCGGGAATGAGGTCCGAAAATCATGATGCCGGTCCATTTCTTGCTCTTGCACCGTGACTACCATCGAGCGCTGGGATCATTGAGAAGTATCGTGTGGTATAGTGTTGCCACGTATAAGGTCCCTTGCCAAGGACAACTATGTGTGATGGCAAGTTAGGACTGAGTGTGGCAACGTGTGCTCTCTGAGTCTGGGGACGGAGTTCAAGACGATTGACTGTGACCATTCCAGATACAACTATGCGGTCAAAACGGTACCTTTATTTTGGCACGGACTTTCAGCGAAGATAAACTGACTTCAGCTTTCTGACAGCTCTCCGGGCCCCATAACGCTGTGATCGGTCATCTCAGAACATGTACTTCCTAATAGTCACCGTGCCATGACTTCAAGTTGACAAGTCGGAATGTTCCAACTCCTCTGTGGTATTCCTGGAGGCCCGCCCTGCCCTGGATTGCCTAGCCCCTTGTTTTTCGCGTGCCACGCGTACAGATAGCAAGGTTTCGCCTCTGGTGAGACGGTGTCGACCACTCGCCGCGGAGCTCAAAAGACCAACCTCTCATGCTCCAGTCCTATAGTTCCAAGAAGCTTCATAATAGCTTCCATGCGTCGTCAATCTTTTCAGGACATGGGCCCGCATGATTAACCCCTTCTCGTTGATACGTTGATAGACGCGTTCTTCCCTTAGAGGATGATACCGTCTGTCCAGGGGTTTACGACTGTTAAACTTTGAACAGCCGTGCGGTTTCTCTAAGATCCACAAGGTGTTTCGCACCATCACTAGTCTCAGAGTCACCACAAAATGGAATATACAGTGATCCCCCTTGCTTAGACATCACTCTCTCTTAAGGTACAAATAGAGGATCATTCTGGCACTGTATTAGTCGGAGCCCCCTGCGATTCCAGAAGCAACGAGGCAATCATGGTTTCCACATCCTTTACCCCGCACTCTCCGTTCAGATCCATCCTCTTGCTTCTCGTAGCCATATTCACCATTTCTTCAGCTGTGGATGCTACTCAAGTTATGCGACGGCCTGAGGGTTATAAAAATACCCCCAGTCAAGTAGAGACAGTCCAGGTGTCTCCCCAGATCGTGCACAAAAGAGCTAATAGTCACGTACAAGCTGCTTACTTCACAAACTGGTAAGGCATTCATTGTGCATTTCACTGAGAAGTCTCTGAGATATGGTTTCAAAGGGGTATCTATGGCGCCAATTTCCGTAAGAACAACATTTACCCAGTATCAGCTTCCTATCTAACTTTGAATATCAACAGAGCCTACCAATATTACTCCATCAGATCTTACGCACATACTCTACGCCTTCGCCGATGTTTCTTCTTCTACTGGAACCATCTCCTTGACTGACAGTTACGCTGATGAACAGGTAAGTCGTGCTTGCGTTTAACCAGTATGTTTCTTTTAAATCTGTTCCGCAGAAACATTACCCTGGAGATTCATGGAGCGAAGCTGGAAACAACCTGTATGGTTGTTTGAAACAGGTACTTCGTAATCTGTCATTTCGAAACCTGTCATGTGCTTATATGTGTAATATCTTAGCTTTACCTCCTTAAGCTCGCTAATAGGTATAAATGGCCCGAAGACATTCATTCCCAGAATCACGCTAATACTCAATGATCCAGGAATTTGAAGGTTCTTCTGTCTATTGGTGGCTGGACTTATTCGCAAGCTGGTCACTTCTCTTTCGTTACTGACGCTACCAGTCGAGCTACTTTCGTGTCGAGCGCAGTCCAACTCATCAAGGACTATGGATTTGACGGCATGTGAGTCTCAAAATCTTTACTCACGCGCACACATACTCATGTTATATTATTACTGGCGATCAGCGATCTTGATTTCGAATATCCGTCTAATTCTGCTGAGGGTCAAGGTTTTGCGGATCTCTTGACAGCCTTACGAACAGCATTCAGCCAGCTGGAGACTTCGAATGGTGATACGGTTCCATACGAGCTTACTGTACGTCGGTCGTCTTTGAAACAATCCCCTTCCCGTAAAGCTCACAGCATGTCCCCATACTCAGGCCGCAGTTTCTGCTGGTGCACCAAATTATGCATATTACGTCGTTCCTCAGATGGATCAGGCATTGTCCTATTGGAACTTGATGGTAATGAATCCTGCCACAGCACTCTGGAAATTCATCTAAGTAATCTCTTCTAGTCTTACGATTATGCTGGTTCCTGGCTTACCTGGGTATGTTATCCTACAAACATGAGAGGATACATTATTAATTATCCATCCCCCCAGGCGGATAACCAAGCTAATTTGTACGGCGGATCTCGTACTAATGTCAGCACTGATGCCGCTATCAAACATTACCTTGCAAGCGGTGCAACTGCAAGCAAAATCAACATGGGTAATGTTAATATAGAAAGAAAGTAAACTCATCTGCTCACTGTTTTTCAGGTATTCCGCTTTATGGACGTGCTTTCGAGGATACGAACGGCATTGGAGACCCATATAGTGGAGTATGGCTTCCTTATAAGCGTTCTCACTTCACCTGCTAAACATCTTTTAGATTGGTCCTGGTACCATTCAAGCTGGTATCTACTCTTATAAAGATCTCCCACTTGCGGGAGCACAAGTCTTCGAGAACACTACAGATGTAACAAGCTATTCTTACGATTCTACCAAGAAAGAGCTCGTGTCTTACGATGTGCCGGACATCGTGAAAATAAAGGCCGACTATGTTGTGTCTAACAATCTGGCAGGTACCATGTTCTGGGATGTGAGTTATTTTGGACTGTCATGCTACGGATATCTGCTGATTCATTCAATTGTATCATCTTTTCTATGTAGCTCTCGACTGATAGCACTGGTTCGACTTCTCTCGTTGCCACGGCTGCGGGTGTGTATAGCTCTTTGGACCAAACACAGGCAAGTTCATCTGTCGTGTACCTATATTTCGAGATACTGAGTGTGATCTTCTTCAGAACCACATAAAGTTCGTACTCAAGCACTTTCTTCATATCATTGATGCTAATCACATCCCACAGTTATCCCAGCAGTAAATGGGACAATATTCGTAACAACATGGATGGATCGAGTTCCTCTACATCGACAACCGCAACTCAGACATCTACAGCTTCTTCAACACCCACCTCCCCATCGGGATCAGGTAGTTGCGCTGGGGTTGGTGCCTGGGGTTCCGGAGTAAGTACTTTCTCTCCATTCCCTTGTACATCACGACTCACAATCCTAATCGTGCAGACTGTGTATACCGTGGGACAAACTGCTACGTACAGTAAATCCCCATCCATTTCCAGCTATATCCAATTCTGAACTAACTTTTGACCATCTCAGATGGTCACCTCTGGACTGCTAAATGGTGGACCCAGGGAGACACTCCTGGAGGATCAGGTATGCTGCTTTATGCTGTTCGAAAGCAATGCGACGACTGATAGCGTATCTTAGCTGGTGCATGGACCGATGGTGGGGTATGCACTTCGTCCAAGCGTTCGATGCGATTTAGATTTTGAAGGATATCGTAGAAATGTTCAACCTTAATGACGTGTTTTGTATACCATTTTCTCGCGCTGCCTCTATTGACGATAAATGAAAGTGTACGTTATTCGATGGAGGTCACGTCCGCAGGAAAACAATTGCTTGATTTTTTTTTCAAGGTATAGTGCGTTCCCTGAAGTTCAGCCAGACTATGTTCTACTATCCACTAACAACAAAAAGCTACAAACCCCACGGAGTCTTTGATTCGCCGCAAAAACACAAGTATACAGATGAATATATAATTCGAAACCGAACAAACACGGATACAGTTTCTGGTCAGGACGAAAATTTGTATGTAAAAGAAAGTCGACAAATTGTCCACGCTCATTTAAAAACACAGACGAGACTGTACACAGGTAAGCTACAACGTCTATAGCTAACTGGTGCAAACAAGACCAACAGCATGAAACCCGGTGAAAAATAAGGGTAAACAGCATATGCGCAAAAACGTGGAAGAGGATACATCGAAAGAACTAAGAGGAGGTTTTCGGTATTTCACCAGACGCACAGCGCAGGGGAGAGGGACGAGATGAGGGACGATGAAGGTTCTAAAGAGTCAGCTTCAACCCATGTTGCTATAGCTAACACTCTCGCTGAGATGTTCGTTGGCAGGGTTGTAGGTGAATCCTTTGAATTGGTCCTGAACGGTTTCGGAGAGATGGGAGTCTTCAACCACTGAATCTTGGGCTTCTTCATTGGTAAAATCGGGATCAAAGTTGGCCACATCAAGCACAGATTCCTGATGGAAAACATCAACACCACAGTCACACAGTAAAGGCGAAGTCAAAGGAACATACCACACTGGGCTTAAACGGAGGCTGGATCTTCTTGGCTAGAAGCCTATAGATGACAGGTTAGGAATTCTAATGCGAAGAGATATTGATGTTTTCCCATACCTATTCCAATCAACGTATTTGGCAAAGAATGGGTGACGTTTGATCTCCTCGCCACCATTAGCACCAAGCCGCCTGGCAGGATCACGCTGCAGCAATCCTGTCATCACGCTACGAGCTTCGGCTGGCATATCCGACGGGAAGTTGAGAGGATCTGTCAGAATCCTCTGGTACATTGTGTTGACGTTCTCGTCATAAAACGGTGGTAGACCAGTCTATGAAGATCAGTATCAGTGCATCGCGTAAAATACCACAAAACACATACCATCATCTCATACAGGAGCACACCAAGAGTCCACCAATCAACGGTCTTTGTATATCCTTGGCTCTCAAGGAGTTCTGGAGCGATATACTCTGGAGTACCACAGAATGCTAAGTGCAGGAACAGATCAGAAAAAAAATAAGAGTACTACCGCAGCGAAAAATACATACTATTGGTTTTTTCCGTCTCCGACATGTTTAGTTTGCAAAGACCTAGGAAATAATATTTCATGTTACATCGAAGGCTTTATAGACAATATAACGGCACTGACCGAAATCACAAAGAGCTATGTGTCCAGTGTAATCCAGCAAAATGTTTTCGGGTTTAAGGTCACTGATAGACCACATCAGTATATGAGATCGTACTTTAGCGATGGCTACGCACCGATAGACAACATTGAAACCGTGTAAATGTTCCAAAGCACAAAGCAACTCAGCTGCATAGAATCGACTCCGATCCTGATCAAATTTTCCTTCTCGCTGCAGATGATAGAACAGCTCTCCACCGTTTACTAATAACACACAATTATAAGATATTTCGATACAAGTTGATAGATAACGCGTATACAAACCGAAAGACATCACAAGATAGAGTTTGTCAGGGTTTTGAAACGAAAACTTGAGCGGCACGATGAATGGATTGTTCACCAGCGCCAGGACAGTACGCTCCGCCAATATATGCGTGATTTCACCGGGCCGTGATGCGATATGCGCTTTGCGAATTGTTTTGAGAGCATAGATCCGCTGTGTATCCTTCTTGCGAACTTGCATCACTTTGCCAAAACTTCCTTTACCGATCACCTTGAGTAAATCGAATGCCTCTATTGTGAGCGACTCGTTTCGAATGGGTTTGAAGTCGATTTTTAAGTGGAAAGAGCCCGCGCCGGCAGTGGCGCCATACCACTGATCTGATGCATGCTAAGGAGGAATGAGTGAAGAACGCAAGAGTGTAAAGGCAGATAGATTACATGGCCATCCAGAACAGGTGTGAGATCTACTCGAGCAATCAAGAGATCATTACCCATGTCATCCTGACCCTGGACTGCAGCTGCGGTCCGTAGATAGGCAGAAACGGATATGTTCGATGTACGAGACACATCGCTGGTTAATAAACAAGACGATTTAGAAGAGGTTCAAGGGAGTGTAGCGTGATTATATCGCTTACAAGTCTGCCCTGTAGTTCCAGACCGGACTTGACAGATCGCCACCCATGGCGTCAATTAAGATTTCGTTTTTATCGAATTCAAGGACGACATAAGGTAGCCACCAGTTACGCCTTCTTTGCATGCTCTCCCGATTACTTGTCGACCGACGTGAAGGAGCGGCTTCTAGGGCTTTTTGAATCACATCTGGGACCTGCACGCCAGGTGCAAGAGCAAGACCACGACCTATAGTCTCGTCAATCTCACGAGAATTATTATGCAAAGGTGGTGACTTACCGGAGAAGATGCGGATTGTAAGCATACCAGAGCGGAAGTCGTTCTGCTGATCGACTCCATTGGGTGGTCTGGGAGTTGTAGGGCGGGATGGTATTGGAGTGACAGATCGAGAGACGACGCCATTTTCTTTGGTGTCCTTTGCCTCTGAGAATACGATATAAGCATCAAACAGAAGAGAAACGAGATCGTAAGGAGATTAGAAAGACAAAGACATACTTTTGGACGATCCCAGTTTCCAAGACATGATGGGACGAGTGAGAAATGCGAAATGAAAGGGTCAAAGCTGGGGCAAAATAGCCAGATCTTTGAGGAACCTTTGGAAATACCTTTGCGAGATGATGGCAAAGGAAAGGAAGATGACTTTGTAAGGCTTTTGTGACCTTTGATGAAGCTTAAGCCGGCCAGCGACTGAGTGGTCGGATATTGGCGATAACAAAGAAAGCACATGACCCAAGCACTGCTTATAACTTTCCTCTCACCAGAGCTTTTCCCAACACGTTGCTTTCTTTCCAACATTTTCTCCGTTACAGCATTGCTGTGATATCTTTGATACAACCGTACTCTTCTGTTGCATTATATCCGCTTTCAGCTTCTTTCCTGCCCGCTCGCAGCATTACCGCTTGGGCTATTCACCCTTTTGGCACAAGAATTCCTCAACCCACACTCTCGCGTTTATTTCCAGATTTTCTCACTTCATAACTAGGCAACTACCGACTTTGCCAGAGATTCAGCTCGTTCAACCATCTTCGGATTTTCCTGATGGCATGATCACCAGCTCCACTGCTGTCGCAAATATCCCAGACGAGGCTATGTATTGCAAAGCGCCGATGTTGTCGCATGAACAGCTTTGAGGTATATCTTTAAGTACCACCAATGTGGCAAACTCGAAACTTCGTTGCGCGTGAGTTGTGTACTTTCTAGAGCACCTCGGCGCCAGTGGGATAAAGCGGGTCTTACCATGCGGTCGGGGATTGATGTTGTCCGTCCTTTTATCAGATATCATGCAGGGTTGGTGGTCGTGTCTAGCTATTCGCAATATGCACATTGCGGATGTCGCAAACATGTCCAGTCGCTACGCAAATACAATCGCGGCCAAAACGAAGAGCAAATTGTGAGGCTTCACTTTAATTTTTGCAGTTTTTGTTGCAACCGTCAATGATTTGGTGGAATCCTGCAAGTTCGCGAGTGTACTGCTATATCTTCCAATCAGTATAGCTCCGTCTTCTCAGTCACTCGACGTGTCCAAATACCGGTTTCCGAGGGATAATCCTCCAGAATTCAAGTGCGTCGTATTCGTTCCTTATATATCGGATCACTGAAAATATATACACATATATAATCGATACTCGTGTTCCCCGCGTATGTGCAAAATGCCAATAGTTTTGTGAAATTATACCCTTGATATCGACTTCGGTGTCGCGCTCAGAACGCCACATACTACGACGCCACTGGCAGTTATCGAGCTGAGCATTTTACGCTAAAAGTTTTTGTACTAATAGCTATTTAATTGATTGATTCACATTTTGCGACAGAACTAGCGTTTGAATCTATTGCCGTGTATGTCGCGAGTTAAGTGATAGCGCAAATGAGCGTCTCTTGGTTTAAGAAGCTTGTTTAGTGCATCCCAGAGTCTAGTTAACGTCCTTTCTTGGAACTGTAGCTTGAACTTGCGTGCCGCAATATGCACCTTATCGCCTTCCGTTCTCAGAACAAACCAGTAACCGCAAGATATCCCTTTATGAGATCAAGATAACGTCAAACCAAGCACTAGTAGAGTTTGATATTTGGATGATGAAAAAATGTACTAGCCATAGATAATCAGTATAGGAGAATCAGTGTTACTTGATGCAGAAATTAACTGATTTCATATCTCCAGTCTTGTATTACCAGATCACGACTTCTCCAGCCCAGGCGCTTAAGACGACCTGGGCCCTTCGCCCACGTCTCCTTTACCCTTTCCTAGTGGTCTCTGTAAGCTTTGGTGCTCCTGGCCCCTGGCCCCTGATGTCCTTCTTTAGTCTCAGCTGGATTGCAGATATTGGGAGATCACCAGAACCCTTTTGCGGTTCACCCGCACTCACAGAATGCTCCTGTGGAACATGTATAATATCCTTATCAAACCTCGCTGGGGAACCTCTGGACCCCAAGTGGCCAGGTATTGGTGCAGACTGCTTGGCACTCTTCTTCATTTCCTCTTGGCCCTCACCTTGTTTGCCGCGCTTTGATCTGCGGTTTTTGGATTTCTTCGACGGTAAAGAAGTAGAGCCAGAAGTCATCTCTAGCGGGCTTGGGACTTCTGCTGGTTGACCCTTGCGGGCGTCCGAGAGGGTGGGAGTTTCATTCGACATGACCTTTTTCACAGCAGTAAGATCAACGTTGTCGGCCGAGCCTCTTTGCTTCCCCTCTTCGGTCCTGACCTGACGCTCGGTCCACGCCCTCTTTCTTGTCTCCTTGTTAAAATTGGAACGACTCGCGGCGATGGAATGTGATGATGAACCGGCTGTAGGTTGCAGCCGAGGTGGCGGTTGCGAAAATGCGACACCAATATCGCCCGCGTGATCATCTAAGGGAGCCCGTTCTCTGTCTTTACCCTTATCCCTAGATGACTTGCTATCAGGAAGAAGTGGGCGTATCAGCTCATTAAATAATCTGGATCGTTCAGTGGTAACGTTTTCCCGAGAACCCTGCGCGTCCAATTCCGATTGCGGTGGTGGTCGGGGTTTATGATCTGGTCTTTCAGCTCTAGGATAGAGCGGTTGACGAACAAAATTCCTTTTCTTGGCGAAGCTATGCGGTTGAAAGACTGGGTCGTCTTCCAAGTCAATGACCTCACTTATCGAGGCACCACATGACATAAGAATCGCGACACGCTGACAATTCGAACGAAAGAGCTCCAGGTTTTTCTTGGTAATACTTCTTGTGACATTCTATGTATAAAACAGCACAGATAATTAACGATTTAAAAAAAACTTTTTGTGTAATAACGGGCTTACCTTGGTCCTCACGAATGGATCGATGATGCAGATAGATTCCTTGGCAAATGTGCTCTTGGTATTCTCCTCCACTTCAAGATTCGTGCTGTCTTGGTCCTCTTGATCTTCCTCTTCCTCTCTTTCTTCGAAAACGACGACCGCTTCGGCTTCTTCCTTTCCACTCGATATCTCTGCGAGTTCTGTGTCACTGTGTTCGCTTAGATCATCGGCTTCTACACAGGGTAAGTCAGGATTCAGAACAAGGACCGTCTTTGTCGAGCGTTGGGATCCCTCGGAAGTTAGCATTTCGGGTTGCTTGGTAGGGCGTGGTACTACTCCTCCTGATTTGATGTCCATCATCGAACCCTCGTAGTCGAATCCTTCGCTCCAGAACCTGTACAATATCACACACAAAATTCGTCACCACCTTCCTTACCGGGCTTCAAACACAAAAGTCAGATAAGCGATACTCACGTGAACCACCCATGCAACGCTTCCTTTAGTTCAATCTCGACATCTGGACTCCAGTCATTCTTTCTGTGATACCGCGTATCGCAACGTATCTTGCAGGCATGAAGAGATACGGATTCGCGAAGCCAAAACACTCCTTCTTCGCCGCCTTCAGATGAACTTTCAATTTCATGCTGCAGGTTTGGCGCCCAGCCTCTCATCTAAATAGAATGAGAAAAACCGTAGAAGCAAATGTACTAGAGAAACAGTCACCTGCAGATATCCAATAACCATCAAGGCAAACGCATATGTGCTAAACGTCGGAGGTCCTTGCCCTGTGCTCGGGTGATTGAGCCCAAGCGGCTTTGCCCATCTCTTAACATATCCAAGCATCGGGCGCAGAACAGGGACTAGATCGCAGTAGCGCTTGATCATGCTAGTGTTTATGAGCCCAAGCTGATCATTTACATTGATGTCGCACTCGAGTCTGGTTGTGGGATCGACGAGCTTGACTGGCCGGTGAAATTCAAGGTAAGCTGATTGGAGCAGTACAGAGAGAGTCTAATGGTGTCACACCTATAGGTACTTTCGCTTTAGGTATAGTCACAATCCTTATGAATCCAAACTGGCGCATCGTCCTTCCAAGTTTTCTGTCGCCATAGGGGGCATATTGTCAATGATGCGCTCGGGGTGGTTGACTAAGACTACAAAGGTACCTACTGGATGTTATACACCGCTTTTGATGCATGACAAATTGAGACAGGATGGATGAATTATGTTGTTCAGCACTCACAAGGAAGCCGCCGCAGATCGACATCTGGAGTGAACCCGGTTGGCCTATCTGGATCCTTCACACACGCACCCAGTCAGCGTTCGATGTGCCATATCAAAGTTTGATGTTGGGGAAATGCCATTCGAATGGGGTTGAGGGGCAAGTAAATCAACTTACAATAACAACGAGGTCCAAATCACTTGTGGCGGTCGATACCCCATACTGTGTGCTTCCAAACGCCTGTACATCATACTTCACCCCATACATATGTCTCACAGCTTCGCGCACTCTTTTGATAGTGACAGAACGTGCAGCAAGGACAGGCGCTGGGACAGCGTTAATCTGCAGAAAGCGAGTAAAATGTTGTTAGCCCAACGGAAACACGTTGTGACAGAAGGAATGCAACGGATACTTTCCCGTCGCACTTACATCCATTTCGACATGCATACCGTCACTATGATAAGCTCGACCAACTGACATTGGCTTTGATGACTGGATGTTGAACAGTTTCGACTTGGGACTCCTCAGTTCTTTTCCAAATATCGTAACAAATGGATGGCCTCGCCCCATAACTTTGCGAGCATCACGACAATGCAAATATAGATAACGATGCGTGGTTTTCGATAGTCCTTCAGCATGGTTCTGCAAAGTCCAGAACATAAGCGATGGAATAGTAGGAGGAGAAGAGGGCGTACGTAAGTGCTCAAGAATGGGTCCTGCACCACAAGGACATCTCCCGGCCACCCAAGAGGCTGGGACTTGTGCTCGGACTCTTCGAATGCGACGTATTGGTGTAGATTGGCAACTTCAGGCTGATGACGTGGGGTGCGTCCTCCTTTGCCTGGTGATATGACGAAATCCCGATACCATGAATCCGATGTCGCCAAGTAGCTATGGGAAGGATGAAGACATTGGGACTCATATGAGCACGATAATATTACGAAGCATAGATAATAGATGACACACTCTAAGAAGGAATGCAACATCGCTGAAGTTTGTCTATCTTCTATTAGTCTAGGGAATTGCTCTACGAACGAAACACCTAGTTGCACCGGCACAACCTCAAAGATAGGTTGTGATGACACATCTTTAAGAGTTTCCGGTTTGTTTTGTTGTTTTGTGTGTTGAGCGCGTCCAAGTGACTCATTTTCACCTCTCAAGCCCAGAGCTTCGCCAAATGGTAATACGTGGTGTCTATACGGCACCCACACCTTCGATGTTGTGTCCTGTGCGGGGTGGGCGTCGGGGATATGTTTGGGGTCCACGATGTTCGGAAAACGGTACTTTTGCTGCATAAACACCACGATAATCAAGCCTAGGCACGTAGGTCCCACCTCCAGATTGTTTATACCTAAACTCCGCATCCACAACCAGAACACCCCAAGAAGGTCTCTCCCCGCAGAGCCAAGCAAAAAATTAGCACGCAAGTAGCGAAAAAGAGGTATAATTGTGGGTCCAGGAAGCGTCAAGCTGAAAGTAGTGGGGGAATTGGTGATCAAACGTGCAGGGTGAACAAATTGATTAGAATGGCGGGGATATGGCGATGGACAGTATTCGGGCCAGGGTGAACTAAGTTCCTGATGAACTGGCATTGGATTCTGGTTACGGGGGAGAGAAGGGAGTTTCTGCTGCATGCCGTTTGGAGGCGGCGACCAAAAGCTACCTGTGTAACCTTCGGATGCGAGGATTCTAGAAAGAGTGCTGCGAGGAGGAGACAACGACTTTAATCGACCAGATTGGATGTGCTAGGATATGGTACTTTACCTGGGATCATATGCGATGGGTAGATTACCAGTGGGAGTGCCTGGTGGGAGTCCGTTTGGATATTCTCTGTCCTGATAGGCCGTGCATTCTTGTTAGCATGCTCTGTGTGTATCACGCCAGTTTCACGAAGGGAAAATAGCTCTGTCTCAGATATCCCATTCCCAGGTAGAAGAATGTACCTCATCCCATCAACCTTAGTGATTCTCGAAAATCCAGCTTATTATCCACCCGCCTGGAAAACTGGCCGCACCATAATTCTCGCAGCTCATAAAGCGATGGTACATATATGTGTGAATCTCGACCCGCGACACTGTGCCTGCGCTATGAAAGGGAGAGAAGACATACCACGATTGCGAAGTCAAGTGGTGCATCATGTAATGTCACAGCCCAGTTATGCATGCTAATGTCCACTACGTCAAAACGAGGTCCAGCGTGCTTCTTGATAACGCCCTGGAGTTGAGTCAGAATTTGTCTGTCTTGTTCTCTCTCTTCTGAAAGACGCTCAAAGGCCTATGATGCAATTGTACCATGTCAGAGATCAGATACGAGTGAACAAGTCCGCAAAGATACGAAAATATAACACGCACCTTCAGGAGAAATGCTGTGTCTTTCTTCATCCTTCCGTGAAACTTTGGTGCCCGGCGTAGTGTTTTCTTTCTGAGATTTGTTTTCGCTTTCTCGTTCAGCGGACGAACATATTCCTCAAAAAGTGGTTGTTGAGCCCTTCGTGATGTCGTTGAGAAAGCACGGACAAAAAGCATAAAAAAGACTTCCGTGAATAAGTCCTGGCCTCAACAAGGAAATCAGGTATCACGGTATAACCAAGAGGGTAATGTACAAAACTTCAAGCTTCAAGCTGAGGTATTGATCATAGAACAACTTGAAGTGCCAGAGTGCCAGTGGGCACTAGCAATTAAAATTACCACTCCGGCGGGTAAAGCCAATAATACGTACTACTGCCAGTGAGAATTTGTCAAGCTAACACAGGTACCAAACAGGTACTACAGGCTATAGGTCTTACTCAGTTGGCCTACACCCAGCAGACTTGAACACAGATCTTAGGGCTCGTTTGAGTACGTCTTACGACTATTACAAAATCAGATATTTTTCAGCCTCAGAACCCTCACGCAGCCTTCACCCCACCCCAAGCAACCTTTTGTCCTCCAGGTCGTGGTGCGTTGTTTCTCTGTACATCTGTGCTATCGTTGCCTCCCTTGGGTTTCGGTCCACTTCCTGGTCCGGTGGCTGCACCTCCGGCTCCTTTCGAACTTGGCAATGGACTAGCACGTAGGGCATCTAATACCCTCTGTGCGTGCTCTGTGTTACGAATAAACCATCCTGCATACCGTCGACCAACAGTGGATTCTGCAATATGGACCATGTTCTATATATCAACATCAGCGTTAGATAGTGCTGGTACAAGATAAGACAAGACACCCACGTCGTCGATAACGAAATTCAGATCACTGGTAACAATCATTTGACCATCAAGTAGCCCACCCTTGGCGCTCTTATCCCCACCCTCCTTGTCCGAACCTATACGACTGATACTGCGACTTGCCTGCTTCATCATCATCAGCTGGCACACCATCTCTTCTTCGCCTACATCAAGAAAATTTGCCAGCTTCGACGCATCAAGTGATGTGTACAACTTCAGGAACGAGCGCAATGTCGGGATTGGTGACTGTGCTTGCACGTCAGCGAGGAAGAGCGCCAAGTGACGGTGAGCGGGGTCAACATGAGGCTGATCCGATTCGAGGAGAGCACTTAGGGCTTCAGGGTCGTCGTAGGGAGGAGGGTTGGCGGAAATGAACTTGGGGCAAGCGTAGAGGAAGAGCTCTTCAAAAGCGGGGAGACCTTCATCGCTGTATAGTAATCAGCATCGCGAATACAGATACAACAACGACCAAGCGATATATTTGAAATGTATGAACTAAGCAGAGAGTACGTACTCACCCTTTTGACATTTTAGCAAATTGTTCTCCGTATTTTTCCTTGACTATATTCAAAATGTTATCGTCGAGTCTGGTGGGCGAAAGCGCATGACAGATCGCGAACAATGCATACATTCTGTCCGCTGTTTTGTTGATCTGCATGTACACGGTAAGACAAATTAAGCAAATCAAAAGGGTAGAGATACCTGATCGTATTGGTAACTTCGAGTGTGATACTGTCTCATCCTCAGCATGAAGTTCAGGATGGTAACAAACGTGCGGATGGCGTCATGGTATCGACGAAGCATTATGTAGCAGAATCCAACGTAGTAATAAGTGGCGACATGGCACGCCGTGACACGCGTGAATGGGGACTGAGCAGTTTCTATCAGGTAAGAACAACAATGACATAAGTTTCATATGTACCTTCTGATTAAGCTCCACGTTATCCATGACTTTTAATGCAAGAGTGAAATCGCCCAGTAGAACGTGAACGCGGAGCAGACCGATGATACTGAAGTATCCCAACATGCGATAGAGAGGTTTTGTGCCATACTCACCTACAATCTCACTGTACATGACTCGTAAACACAAAATTGCAATGTCAATGAGGGCGAAAAATCCTGCTCACCTGATTTCTTCCTCACTTTTTCCCTCTTGCGTGGCCACGATGTACTCGTTGATGCGAGACTTTTGTATTAGACTGTACAGCACATTGAGTACCGAGTATGAAGACCAGACTTGTGCACCGCCGTCAGCCAGGAGACCGAGTTCGTCGTCGGTTTTGGTGCGTGGTTTTGAACGCCAGATAGAGAAAGACTGGTATTGGTAAATGAATTCGTCTATGATATCCCAAAGCCACTGTTCAGGAAGAGAGATAGGCACTGGGCCGTCAGAGTCTGTACAACGAAGTGAGATTCATTAATCATTGAGGGTACAAGTACGAACGTACTGAGGAGATAATTGAATAACTCGCAGCTGTTTTCGTAAGAATGGAATCGGTCGTCAATGTTTGGTTGCAAACGAGAGTAAACATGACGATAGTATAATTCGCGGTAGAGGATGAGGAATATCTGATCTAGATATACCGGTTTGTATAGCGGAAGTGAAAGATGCTATCACTCAGCACTTACCGTCGTTAACCAGAGGGGCAATAATTTCAGCCTCTGGCCACTCCGTTTTGGCATAGTATTTTTCAGTCAGTCGATTCCAGCCACTCTCATACGCTACAGTTATTTCTGCAAGGTTGTTATCGAGTACGGCTTGATGGAAGTGCACAATGAACTATAATCGTTTCAATACCATGGAAGCCAGACATCAAATCCACGATGAGAAAGCAGGAAAATAAAGCAAATATCAGGGTACGTACACGCTTAACCACATCAGGGATTTGCGAAAACGCAGCTTGTTGAGCCATATGCTGCTGCATTGTGAGCAATGCGGATTCATCTAGCTGAGGCTGCTGAGCTGTTGTTCCATCGAGCAGTCATGGCCGAAGTCAATACACTCATGTCTATCTGATGATATCTGAGAATATGCGCACCATCATCATACAACTCGTTCTGCCCATAGCTTCCCATCGCCAGACTAAGGTCAACGTCTTGCAAGTCCTCATCAAGATCTGCTTCTGCAGCCCAAAGAGCCATACGTTGCTGCGACATGTTTTGCGTTTGTTGAGGGAATATCTTGCTGTTTGCCAGTGAACCAATTAGAAAAAAAGTCCTTGACCCCAGGCCGTGAGTGGCTGAGGACCCCGAGGAGTATAAGATTATAAATGCGTCACAGCATTCCTCTAGTAACCGAAGAATGGCCCACCACTCATACATTGTCAGAGAAATGGGAAGCCCCCTAATCAACACTGGGGATTTACGAGGTGCGGGTAGTGGTTTGTATCCTCAAACCCGCCTCATTAGAGCGCCAGTAAGTACATAAAGCACATAAACATATTGATGCTGTACAAGGTCATGTCTATTCTGGCTGTGTGGGAATATTAATAATAAGTGAGCAAACAAACCAAAGCTGCGATATTCGTAAAAACAAAACGGACGGCGAAAGACATGTAACAGTCGTCAAAAGTCGTGTAAAGTCAGGTAAAATCACTGTGAATAGCACTCACTATATTCGAGATGGTGACGTGCCACGTCATCCAACTCTTTTCTTCTTCCCAGACAACCTGATGCCAAAACGCAAGGCAACTGCAGCACATGCCTTTAAGCTATCTCCCCTTACCAAGCGTCCACGATACTCTTCAGTTACGTCCGCAGATTCTGTACAGACAAGACCTAGCGCAGACAATGGTTCCAGTTATCACCACACCAGCGAATTCATGGAGCTCGATTCTGCCAACAGGCCACTCGGTTTGTCTATCGAAAGGTTGGAATCAGTTGATCTTGTGAGGAATCCCCGCATACTTTCCTTTTCAAACAATCGGAGAGAAATAAACACTCAGGTATCCCAGACGACAAGGATGGAATGCGATATATTGCAAGAAAGAGAAAGTCACCTTGAAAAGGCTGTGGAGCTGCTGAGAGGAGAATTTGAACAAAAGGCGAGAAAGAAAGAAGAGCTCAGGATAGTGCAAAAGCAACAAATTAGGTTTGTACATTATCTATTTTACTACGAGTTTTGACCTACAAAAGCCTTTGGTCAACGTCGAAAGATCCTGGATACAGGACGTTGAAATGTCTTTATGCGATACATGCGCTCAAGGGTGACGTGGTACAATAATGGTGGACTGGAATAGGAATCAGGTCATGGACACTGCATAACACTCATATATAAGCATAGAGTATACTTTGGAATATACCTCTAATATTATTCTTCTCTCATCTATTTGGACTGCTGCCAAACCTTCGTAGTTATATGTCAAATGCGTCGCAACGTCTCGTCACGATTGCTACTCCATTGTTTTGCTGTGACCACCATCGTACAAACCATGATGCAAAATAGAATAATGTTTTATGTCTTCGTATCATCAATGGGTTCGTACAGTAGATCCCCTTCCTGAAGGTGTCGTAAATTATCAAGATTCTGAGAGAAATACGAGTCCAACTGTGAATAAAATGATGGTATACTATAAATTGGATGAGAACCCTGAGCGGCTTAGAGTCCCCAAGTGAAAAACATGGCAACTGAACACTCTTCACGTTTTGAATACGACGATCAGGATGAGCAGTACAACGATGAGCACTGCAATTGTCACCGTTGAAACTAAAAGAATAAGCGCCTCAGTTAGCTACCAGTGATTAACAGCACATATACTGTAAAGTCGCAGCCACCATAGAATGTATCTCGACAAATGAAGGACATAAGACACTTACCATTCCCTCGAACCCCTCTTGCGACTTTATCCAGTCTCTTTCGTGCGCTACCTAAGCGGGTTGCGGTATGGTCGAGGTCAGTGTCAAGCTCGTCAAGTATACCAGCATGCGTGTCAAGCTCTGAGTTGATCTGAAGAGAGATATGATGTTGGCGCGTTATGGAATTGGAAAGGTTGTCGAGATGCGAGTCCTGATCTGAAAGTCCACAGGTCAGTTAGTGTATGACAAGAAAAGAGTTAAGCAAATCGGTGTTCAAAGCAAATGTAGGATTCCAGTTACAAACTAGAGAAATAATTCGAGGATGAGACGAGGCCATACCATCTATCATCCGTCTTTGCGTCTGCAACAAAATCCCTGGCTCAACATCAGCATCGGGATCATCCGTATACGGCTCAAACACGGGTTCTGATTGTTTGTATAGTGCATCGTGGCGGTCGTCCAACGACATTGTAGAATTAAGGGGAGGGGAAGGTAGTGGTGATGGAGACGGTGAGCGTGAAGGTTCCGGTTCTCGTGGAGTATCCAAGCTAATGCATTGTTAGTATCGCAGTGACATATAGATCCCTACCATAAAACGATTACGACTCACCTTTCCAACCCTGCTTTGATGGCCTCCTCCCCGAACATCCCCCGCATGCGCTCGTACTGCGCTCGCAATGAGTCAACTGTTTCTCCCTCTCTCCTGTTCTCACCCACGCCAGGTAAAAGGGTCTGCGATTGGAGTGCTAATATCCCCGTATGGAGGTTCCGTAGGTTCTGTGTGATTCGTTGGAGGTGGAGTGTGGACGGTGATGTCGAAGAGATACTCTGGAGACGCTGGCGTTCCAGGAGAAGGGTAAGGGTTTGAGAGGACAGAGAAGTTAGCTTAGGAAGTGACATTCTTTGATTTCGTTGTGAGAAGTGCCGGAGCCGTTGCTCTATGCTACTACGACGGTGATTCTAGTGGTAAGGAACCGAGGGGGCTGTTGCCTTGCAGACCTAAGTTCACCTTTATTCCGAAAACGTGGAGTGTTGTTGTACACACGCTACTTGTGGGATATACCGGGGGCAAAGAACGGGAATTATCCCTGTGTGAAGACGTTCCAGCTGAAAATATAAAGATATAAGTTATGCGCAGCCCGAACGCAGCTGGTAAATGTGGTCCTGGTGAGTACCGCGGTGAGTGTTGGTGTTGGTGGTAAAAGCGTGGCAGCTGCCTACTACTGCGCCCGCCGCAGCCGCTTACAACCATTCTTGAACAGAAACCACATCCAGCGCTAGTACCTCACAACAGTCCTGTCACGGTACTTGTATGTTCTTTGGCAACAATTTGCGCGCCTTGGACCGAACGAAAGGCATCACGAGGCACCCAGTTGGAATCTATACCATGTAGATCCACTACCCTAGTATCCATCTCAGAATATGCCTGAGAGCTAGAAAAAGAACATGGTATATCTACCAGACCCTTGATAGTATCGCCGAGTTAGCTTCCTGAATATTGCAGAAGATCTTTACAGAAAATATTTGCACAATTCCTTGCTACTGCCCTGCACTCTTTCTGTATCACGTTCATTGACTTCTGCGCCAATTACTTCTGGCACTGTCATCGTCGATATCCGTACGCCTTTTGGATGGAGATGTTGTTCGCTCTCTGCGTCATTTCAGTCTGTATTATTGGAAATGCATATGCCATGCCCTTAATCTCGTCCATGCCTTTCAGGCGTGATGTCAATCCAGCCCTAGTCCCTCCATTCGAGTGGCAAGCTGGTATCAATCCAACTGGTATGCACCCATCATGAATGACTTCTATTTACATCTGACTTGAAATATGTTTTCAAATATACCAGGTACTGGTAACTGCGACGGGGCTGTTAATGGCACGAATGAGCAGCCGATTCTGATACCATGTACTTGTCCTCCAAACTCCACTGTTTTCCTCGCTGTAAGCCTTGTTCTTGTGTTTTGCAATAATTTAGCTGGCGTATGATGCTAATACACACCCCGCTAGGCCCTCAATAGGAATGTTGCTGCTGGTTTTGTCACCACTAATCCAAACATCACGATCTCTTTCCCCACTGACAACAGTACCGCCTCGCAGAATACGCGGCTGCATGCTGCTTCTGTCACTCTGCTCAATCTGAATGGTCCCGGTGAGGGGTGTCCCATCCAAGCAACTACATACGCAGCACAGCAGCAAGCGATTAACGATGAGGTCATATCTTCATCTACATATTCATCCGCTAGCTCAACTACAGCTTCGATCACTTCAACTACTCTTTCTTTTTCTTTCCCATCTGCAACACCCTCCATCAACGGTACAGCACCTACATCGCACTCCTCCAATTGTGTCACATGTGTCATCGGATCTGCATATGCGGAGTGCTGCATGGTTTATGAAATAGTCACAATACACACGCTCGCCGTGAGGCAGCGTAAGGGCGCGAATGGCTCAAAAGAGCTTCAAATAGAAAGACGCATCCCTTGATCTGTGCGTTTAGTTCGATTCTTTGTATTTTTATTTTGCATCAAACACTGTATAAATATGAAGTTTTTATTGACCATTGGCACTGTTTAGGTGATGCTCTTGGAAGGCTTGCAGGAGCATTGCTTGTGCATCTCCATAGGTTTACAGTGGCTATGTGGCATCGCCTATGAAGAACTGCAATGCGCAGAGTTACCAGTTCCCTCACTTGAACGGCCATGATTGATGGCCACTTTGAAGACGACATCCGCTCCTGAAATCCGAATTACATTCAGATTGGTTGGTGAGTGGTGACTGACGGCACATCAGTGTCGAGTCATTTTCCACCACAATCTCTTAGAGGCTGAGATCGGAACAACTTCGTTGTGTTCCGAAGTTGGATACCACTATGAAAACTTTTTCAAAAAGGTCTTAGCATCATTGCGGAAAAAATACGCCAATGTAGCTTGCTTAGCATTGCCGCCGTGCTAGAAGAAACACGGGTTTTATCTTTCCATGAGAAGGTGTCAGTCAGTGCCTCTTCCTATACCGTTTTGGAGAAACTCGAAGTACCTATGGTACCTCTGAGTCAGGCCTCGGGTTCGGCGTCCAACTTATTAATATACGTGAGCGTTGCTATTATACGACGCAGTCCTGGTTGAGACCACCACGATTTGATTATCTATCCCCATAAAATTATCAGAGTAGTACACGTTTATTGGCGCTTTCCCATCGTAACAGTAAGTTGATTTACCAGCTTGATTATAACTTGATTTTGAAGGATTTCAAGCCAAATATAATAGTGCCGCGGAGGTAAAATCAAGAAGTAAAGTCCGCGCCACCGATACATCAATATTGTAGACTACAACTACGACAATGACCCGAATCGCGCTGCTCATCTGTGATACTCCAGCTTTATCTGTACGCAAAAAACATGGCGATTATATCCAAGTTTACAACGACTACCTTCGTAACTCCCTGCCTCGCCCAGAGTTGGTATCGCAGCTGAATGTTGACTCATACGACGTTGTTGATAAGCAAGAGTACCCAGACGACGACATTTCCTACGATGCGGTCGTGATGACTGGTTCCGGTTAGCTTCTTCTTGTCAATGCTTTGACCGAAGACTAACCAGAACTATCATGGTGACACTCCCGATGGTATATCCAAAACTGGCCCTTATGATTACCTTAACTGGCGTATGAGGAGATAGCTGCTTCCGCGTACCAGAATCTGGAGTGGATCAATAAACTTATTGCGTATGTTAAACGCCTTGTAGAAGAGAAGCCGGAAGTAAAGATATTTGGTACGTCAATTGTCATCGATCCCACTATCCAACGTATCTCAATCATAATATCATGATAAGGAATATGTTTTGGCCACCAAATTGTTGCACGTGCAGTTGGAGGTGAATGTGTACCTACCGATGGCTTATGGGAAATCGGTGTGACCGAGATGCAGCTCACGGACGTTGGCAAGAAAGTATTTGGAGTGGATTCTATTGTAAGTGTCAAGTTATCGGCGTATGGAACCTGGAGTCACGCTTCGATTCGCATATCATAATCTCATTCGTATGACACGACCACTCAAGAACATTCAACAAATGCATAGAGACCATGTTCCAGCAGTCCCACCCTCATTCCATCTCCTGGGGTCGACTGATATCACTATGAATCATGGCATGGTTCGCTTTTCACCGTCGTCCCCATCTGCGAATCCTGTTTCCTTATCACTGAAAGATATCCAAATCCTAACAATTCAAGGCCACCCTGAATTCACGGAGTCAATCGTTAAACTCGTAGTTGACGATAGGTCAGGTAGGGGAGTAATTAGCCCCGAAGTTGCCGAGGAGGCCCGTCGAAGGGCATCGTTGCAAAACGATGGAGTATCCATTGTGGGGAAGACTCTATGGGGAATCTTGGGTGTAGCATGATAAGCTTATGGGCGGACACTACCGTAATTTTGGATTTAGAAACATCTGTAGAAGTATGGCACTAGTGTGCCACCCAGATGTATCCTTTCTTCTTTTCACATAGCGTTATCTTGACGTACTAATAGTGTATATGTACATGTAGTGGATATAGTCATACAAGAAGACGGAAAAGTTTACGCGGTTGTGCTGGGATTGAAAGAGGGGTTTACTTTGTCGCCATCAGTTTGCCTGTTACACAGGTTCGGGGGTTCATGGTCCAACTGAGCTATATGCACTTCAACGGGCTTCATTTCATGTGATCCCGTCGATGCCGATGCATCAAAATGTGGCTCGGTCAGAGTCGGGAGAAATGAGGACCTGGTCATCATTCTCGCCATTGTAGCACAGATGATGATAGCATAGAACGTGATAGGTATAATTTGTCCGATCTACGGAATAGCCTCATGTTTGGTACGAATGACCTGGATAATGAATGGTAAACACTTACAACGTCAATAACCACATAGGCACCATTGGTCTTGAGCGCGTAGGTGATGATCATGATAATAAGAGAAAGGGAGTATAGTGCTCCGCATTCCATAATCACCCGCATCACTGGGGTTAACAAACGATGACCATAGCGACTGATGGTGCTATTGGATATCCATATCTTACAGGCCAAGAGGCCTGACGAACGCATTAGCGAGCATCGGCGGATAATAGGGTAACAAACCTGTTGCAATTATATTAGTCGCCAGTGCGATGGAGTAAAATGATATAACCCATCGGGCCGTCTCTTCGATGAATATATCATTAGGATTGGTGACGGGCTGAGCTATTGACCAGACTGTATGTGTCGCAGCAACTAACAAGGAATGGCTAGTAAGAGGGAAGTGAGGGGGAGGATGGTGGAGTATTACCTACGATTCCACACCAACCAACTATCAAAGGTATGGTGATCCATATGCTCTGCCATACTATATAGTTTCGATAGATCTATAGACTGCCGAGTTCATAGGTGTTTATGACAGAGGATCATGAGATTTACTGTGAGATTTACTGACAATTACTGCGTCTGCGATAAGTGTTTCAAATCCGTATACTGCATTCTTGAAAGTATTCACCGTAATGTTGCTGAAATAGGCGTTGGGTGTCCCAGAGGACACGAACCCAACGTAAAGACGCCGACCATCTGCTATAATATGCTAATAGAGATATGTCGCTGCCGGTGAATATACGCGACCCCTAAGTACGACAAAGAAAAGCTCACCAGAGTGCTAAGACAAAACAGCAGTAGTGCTGCTACGCACATGATATAATTGGCTTTTTTTTGCCGTCCGTTTGTATATCAGAGCCCAGGCAGTGGCGCCAAACATAAAAAGCGAGAAACCTTCAATCGGGACAAGTCATATCGAGTATCTGACTCCATCGATAACTTGAATCGGAGGACTTTCCATAAAAAACACCTTCGATAATGATAGAAATGACTGCAGCCGCCTCTAAGCTGAAATATGCCACCATCCTGCCAGTGGAATCAGACGAGCCCTACTGGCGTGAAGGGTAACGCTCCAGGTGATCGAGCCACAAGGACAAAGGGGACCGCTGGATATTGGATTCAAAAAGCACTTTAGTCACCATCGAAGTTGAGGTATATTTGTACACTTCCAGAAGAGTACTTACTATCGAATGGAAATAATTTTTTGAAAAAGGTACTGCTGTGCGTGAGTTGATGGGTGACTTCAAGTTGGAGCATCACGCCCGCCCTACTAGTGCAGTGCGACTTGGGAGTTACGTGACAATTATGAGTTGGTCGGACTATATTCCATGGCATCAGCGGCTGAGTGTAATATAGATTAGGATACTTACCTGCCCTTTCAGTCTGTCCTTCTGGTACAACTTGAACGCCTGGTGAGTTCGCGTTGTTTAGTATATTTCCCAGTTTACATCTAAAATGTGATCAAGTTAAGGCTCTTAATTGCTGGATGTGAGTGGGTGTTGTGTAATTGTTGTTCAAAAGTAATACTTTAGCTGCGTATTCATCACAATCAACGCTGGAGGATGGTACTTCGGTGGGGCGTATCAGAGAAATACATCAAGGGCCTAACGTTAACGCCTGCCCAATTCGGAATGCCGCATTTTTGGGCCCCCGAATACTCCCATGAGAACTGATGGTCTCCTGGTACACTTGTTGAAACGTTGAAGGGCCACTGGTGAAGCTCGCGGAGGTCTTCTGTGCGCGGATATGGAAAGTGAGGCACGCTCTCGAAACATCATCATTGCCGTGCGTTCCGATCATGGCATTATCGCATCCACCATGTGCCTCAGTCAGAGCATAGCTTCAATCATTCGAGCAAACGATAACTTTAAAGGCACATCAAAACTCTGACAGCAATATGAGGAACTGGGTTTCTGTCAAATTAAAAGTACAGAACGGTGAGGCATTGGCGTATCCTAGAACTATGGCTGGAAATTTTCTCAGGCTGTTGACCGTGTATGAGGAACAACAAGACAAGGAAACGGCTTGACATGACTATCGAATACAAAATCAGCGGACAGAATAAGTGGAGGCAACAACAAGTACATACGCTGTGATACCAGGCGTGAATTCAATCACGGGATCAATTTCTCTTCCATCTTTGTCGATGGCCTTGCTAATATCAAAGCTCGCCAAAATGTTCGAAATGCTCAAGAAGAGAGACACTTCAGCAAAATGCGCGCCTATGCCAAACTCAATCAAGTTATTGCGGGGAGAATGTGATAGATGGTTTACCTGGGCATATTCTTCTGCCAAAACCGAAGATGATCTTTCGGGGATCAAGTTGAGGTTCATTGTCCTCTAGGTGCCGTTCAGGTTTGAATTCCGAGGGGTTGGGATAAACTGATTCATCATGAGCGAGTGCCCTATAGGCCGTGGTGTAAAGATATTTTAGCAATGCCTCTGCGGAGTGATCAGATGTGAACCGACCATATGTTCCCTACAATTGTTGCTCCCTTGAGGATCCGGCAACCTTCGTATATATCATCTTGTGTGACTCTATGAGGAAGCCCTTTAACACAGTTAGCACTCAACCAGATGAACGGTGAGGAGTATTACCCAAAGGAGCAGCAGGAGCCCATCGGAGAACCTCTTTAATTAGAGCAGAGACGTAAGGGAGACTCTTCTGATGATCAAGAGTGGGAAGCCCATCGGCAACAACTGCAGCGACTTCAGCTTGCGCACGTTTCTGCACTTCTGGATACAAAGTCATGGCGAGGAAGAAAGCTGTGATAACCGCAACGATCTATCAAAAAAAAATGAACCCACGTAAAGAAAATATTGAACAACAACCTACAGTATCCGCTCCTCCGGCATATAAGGCACTGCTGCACCATTTGATTATGTCTTCTTGTTCTGCATCAGGTACCTCGCCACTTTCAGGTCGCAAGTGCAGGGATGTGAAAGACTCGACGTAATTTCCGGATTGCTAGTACACCACAACAATAAATAGGTGATAGGATAATTAACAAAGTGACGCCCTACAATTTGCTCTTTGGCCCAAGCATGAGGGATGAAGTCAACTCGATTGAGCTGTTCGCGAAAGTAGTCCGCGTGGCGATGGAAATCGGTGAAAGGGAACCATCTAGGAAGAAAACGGACTGGTTTGAATGAACAAGGGTCGGCAGAGGGTTGGCAGAAATGTATGGACTCACTAATCGGATATGAATCTACGAGCCAACGACCAGGCTGCGTTGCCTGCGCTTGTATACCGATAGATTCCTCCATAATTTTCACGAAGTAGTCGTCATTGCCCGAGACAGTCCACCCATATGCAACCTTGAGAATATTTGCCCCGGCATATCTGGAGAACGGGGAAGTCAGTATACTAAGCCATGTAAAGCTAATTCCCAAATCTCGACCTCCTAATATGAGAAATGAACTGGTCGGGAGTCACTGCGAGCCCTTGTAGGAACTTTTCTGTTTCATCCTCTAGGATCTGACGGTAGGTATCTGTAGCCCGAGGATTGAGGCCAGAGTGTAGCAATTTACGATACTGCTTGTGGCGAGGTTCGTGAATATATATATTGAAGACTGCCCATTTTCTTCCTGCCAACTCTTTGTACATCCACGCCCGTGGTCTGTCAGAATAAATTCCAGATCTGGACTCGAGCAAATCTATTGCCGCCTTGACAGTGTTTAAAACCACATATTGTCGACTGAAGATGCGGAAGAAGACAACAGGACCTATTCACAATCAGCACATGTCTTGGGGTATATGCTTATAATGTAATACTGTAACTGACCATATTGCTGAGACCATTTCATATAAGTCACCCAAGCATTTGAGGTAGGTAACTGGTGAACATTCCCCGTCCAGAATTTTGGTTTGGGACCGGGAGGCACTGGGAAACGGTGGGCAGACGGCCATATGTAAAGGACTACAGTTGCTCCTACACAACTCAACAAAGCTAGCTGCCAGTTTTCAAGCATGGTCGAGGATATCCGAGTTGGTTCAGATTAAGCGCAATACCAGGGTACAGCAGTAGAAAGACCCAGAGGAAGAGATAGGTTCATATACGGGTCAGCATAGGCCAAAAGAGGTTCGAATCAGTCACAGTACATCTTTGCCATGCCCGTAATTCAAAATAGCACTGGAGTGCCGTTCCAACGTTCCAGCGCTGTCGCTGGCTTGATGCGAGTCGATGGGACGAAGAGTGGCATCATCATGGACCCCAGTCACTCATCAAATATATGCACTCGACACCATGAAAGGGTTCCAGCCAAGCCAGGAGAGGTATGATTCGTACACAAACAGCATAATTTCAGCCACCTCAACGGCCTGACTGGAATACTTCAAATATTATAAATATATACTTTGTGATAGATTAACTAAAATTTTACCAATGTTTTGAGAAATAGCTGGGATGGTTCATGCCTGACACATTGCTAGTTCTTTGAAAAGTCAGCAGCTTGACAAAACCGGATAAACCCGGTCTCTGCCGAAGCAGCCATTGTTCTCCATGGAGCATAGCCACCACTCCATGGAGTAACCATTGTTCTCCTAGGAGTCATTATACTGTAGCGAGTAGCACCTCCGACTATAAGTAGTTGGGGGTTTAGTATAGGAATACCTCAGTCGTTTCTATAGCCTCTCGGGCAGTGGCTGAGGTATGTTACATTACATTTATTAGAGATCACCTTAAACTAACATCTATTGTAGTTTCACTTAGGTAAATAATAAAGTCGTTTCTATAGCCTCTCGGGCAGCGTGATTGAGTTTCACTTAGTTTTATTACAGCTCAGCCAATACAAACCTAGCTTATAAAGAACCAGCAACATGTCAGCCTCAAACTGGGCACGAACCATCACAGCTATGTCTCAAAATATTGGTAAAATTTTAGTTAATCTATCACAAAGTATATATTTATAATATTTGAAGTATTCCAGTCAGGCCGTTGAGGTGGCTGAAATTATGCTGTTTGTGTACAAATCATACCTCTCCCGGCTTGGCTGGAACCCTTTCATGCCCGTGGTGTCAAGGAATGAAAGTGGAAAACTTCGTTCACATCTGACACCACTGTGAGTACTCAGCACAACATTCTATTAACTTTAACAAATAGCAATACAATTTGGCTCTACATTAGTTGGCTCTACAAACATTATATTCTAATATAACCTATTCGGATGCCTTGCCTCCATTTTTAATTGCATTTACGCAAGGCATTCTCCTATAGCCACAGATCAGTTAAATCCACCAATCCGCTTATCGGTTCAAAGCTTAACGGATGAACAAAAGTGAAGTAATGCATGGACGTTGTCATGCACCAAAGTTGATTGGTAGCATGGACAGGTGTCAATAACGAAGCGAATATTCAAAAAGACTCGCCTTTGCGCCACACAGGCACAGTGCCACGTGGAATAGTAATTAATATTGCCCTTTTTGAACTTGTGGCTGATCAGCACCACCTCTATTAGGCAATCCAGTCACGCTCACCTTTGCTTTTCCATCCGGTACTTTCCGCGTTTTGGCATTTTGGCAAATTTTCGCGTCGCCACTGGCTACACATTGCATTGCGCCCTCGCTTTTGTCGTTTCCCTTACTCCCCTTCCTTTGCCTAGCCCCACCATGGGCCCCTTCCTCTCCTTTTTATTCTCACCTGACAGTCGTTTCTGGGTCCCCATTCTAATCCACTTGTTTGTCACCTCCACCCTCCTCCTCCTCATCTTATTTGCACCCCCACCATTTCTGATGTCACCACTTCCTATCCGCTTCCGTCGCCGATCCGTTGACTACCACGTGCCACTGCTGATATCAGCAAAGCCCCGGCAGCCGGTCCAAATAGGGCAACAGGTCCATCTTCATGACGTCAATCTGCCATCATATACTATCAAAACATCGGTCGCTCGTCTTGCCTGGTTGGAGCGTGGGTGGGTAATTTTTGAGCTGGAGAAGGTTCATCCCCTTGCGTCGCCCATGTTCATTGCTGTCCCATTCACTTGGGTACACTTATCTTTTGTCCATCGTCTTCGCTACAGCTACACCTACCACACGCTGCCTGGGACTCACTTGTTCCAAATTGGAACTACTCCTCTCCCTCCCTCGTTTGATCAGGTGGTCCAACACAACCAGTCCATTGGTAAGGCCATGGAACTGTCAGATTTGGACTAGGTGGTGGACCGGTGGCTCCAGTTTCTTTTTTTTCAGCAGAACATTCATTTACAGTGCGATTATTTTTGATTTTTGAATCATTTTTATGGACACATATTTTTTAGAATGCCTGACTGACAATAAAGGAACTGTGTTGATACTGATAGTGTTTTGCCTTGCCCTTTTTTTACTGCATCTTCCCATGACATCATGATCTTCCTGCTCTCTTTTTGCTATTGGACTTTACTTTATGGCTGTACAAACCTGTGACATTACTCACAGCATTTATTGTTCTATCCCTTTCTTTTCTTTTTTTGACAATCTTATCCTGTACTACCTACGCAGGATTCGTCAGCGTACATTCCTTCCTTCATATTCTTTCTCATTCTTTTTGCACAGCTATACTGTGCATAGCCTACTTCTCTTTTACTATATAAACCCCTGTATTTTACCTTGTAAAAAAAAGAACAAGTAATCCAATCCAGACTTCTTCTCTACTCTCAAGTTCACTACTCTACTACTTGTGATCCAGTGTGGTCACAACACTTCCCACTTCTACCACTGTTAACTGCTGTCATTATCACTCGTCACTTTTTGAAAGTGATTGTCATCCCCTTCGATTAGAGTCCTTCTGAGCACTACAGTTTGTGCGTCAGGAGCCTGCTATCACTGGGAACCTTGTCATATTGTCGTTCTCAAACCTACCTTGTGCTACGATTAGCAAGGTAGTGCTCGTCTATACTCATCACAAAGCCCCTATCCTTCTATAAAATCAACTATCCCTCCTCCTCAAAACCCACACTCATACACCTCTGGGTTTTACTTTGAAGGATCTTTATACGTACCACCCCACGAACAACCAGACCACTCCACTGTTCTAGGAGGCAAAGCCCATAAACAAGTTCCGTGGAATCTGGGAGGATTGTGTGTTAGTTTGTTTTGTGTGTGGTTTTCTAACTGCAGTTCTCATCATCGACAACGGTCAATATTAGCCGTGTGAAACCCCACAAAGGGCCGCTGCCGGGACAGCGTGTAGACCGGCCCAGACCGGTTGTAGTCACCCAGGAAGGTGAAGAAGAGTTCAAAGTCAAACGGGTGTAGAGTTCCTAGTCCTATGGAAGGGCTATGTGTCAGGCAACGAATACGAAGCTATATAACAAAATACAATGCCTGGTCAAGTCCTTGCTGGAAGGCGGTGAATCAGGGTATGAGCTTTTGAAGAGTATCGGCTCCGTGCCATACGGCACTTTCCTTTTCGTTCTAACTCCACTTTCTCGCACGACGCTGCCTTTATTCTTCTCTTAGGCACAAAGTCTCTCACGCAGTGGAGCTGGCCACACGGGCTGCGCCCTCTGACATCATCAGCCACTGCTTTTATCAACTGTACAGTACATAGGTACAAACACTCTGTATTAGTATAAATACCCCAATAGATCAAGGAGACTCCTCAGCGAGTCCTCCTGTTGTTACCAACAAACCCCCTGCAGCCTAAGGGGTAACCACTCCCCATTCACTACCTTTATAGTGTGTGCTTGTGTGCGCCAGAGTAACTAACTCTTGGTTGTTACACATATGGTCACTGTAGTAATGCGCATCAGGTATAAAATGTACTCTAAAGTTGTCTGCCATTGATTTTCCACCTTTTGCATCTATGTCTGAAAACAAAGGTGACAGGGAATACCGGTGTAGTTCAAAGAATAACAAGTGTGGCCAAAGTTCTGCCTGGGAGCCGGGCCCTAGGAAAAGACCGTGAGTCTGAGTTTAATTTGTATGATGCAGCAAGGCGGCCGGCAGCTATCCTGCCAGTGCTTCACTAGGCATAGTACTTGCTAATGTTTGACTTGGTATCTGTACAGTTCTACCCAAGATCCTATTGCCCATCATGGACGCCATTTTGGGCGAGCAATACATGCATTCTGTAATGTCCAGAGCCTTATAGAAAATGGTATCAAACATATGGTTTTGGACGAGCCCAAAGAGAGCTATTGTTACGCTTAGAATGTGCAAGCCTGGTAACACTGGGTTTCTGATGGATAGATGGTTTCTGATAAGCTCGTTGTAGACGAGTTTGAGACGTATTCTGATGATGAGGGTTTCAACTGATGAATACCAAGTTACACTGTTGAAGCGTACAATCGTATTGGAGAAGTAGCATCAAACTCTGAAGTCAGCTTGCATAAAGAGAGTTACTGACATGTATGATCTGTATGACAACATAGCTGAGAAGTAGCATCAAACTCTGAAGTCAGCTTGCCACCAGAACAAGAATATTTGGTATTATGAGAAGGTGTGAAATCAGGCTATGTCCTAAGGATCCGCTAAGCAGCTCTGTCTATATTTTCAGATATAACACCCTTCTGATATACTACAAGACCCATAACCATGAGCCTTCGGTAAGCAACTCTGTCTATATTTCTATATTTTCAGATATAGCACCATTCTGATACTACAAGACCCATATGCATAACCATGAGAAAAAATATCGCCGCTTTCAAGTATCCCAAAAGTTACACCAAAGAGGCTACCATACAAGTTGTATAATGCTGACAATAGTGTACCTTAGAGGTAAGCTGAAGACCAGCGGGAGCAGACTGGAGAATTTGGTGATTTGTGCCATGGCTCCCGGAGGTTATGGTGTATTGTCCGCAATGCTAGAGTTGATCACTCAAAAAACTGCTGCTGCAACTTTGTTGGGTGTGGTGTGATAATTGTGATGTATGTTGTCTTTTCCAACAACTCACCCAGTAAATATAAATCATTACATTATGATCCATCAGAATGATATATTATTGGGACATGTCAGAGTTGATAACACTTTACAATTGTATACATGGTTTTGTCGGACTCTCACTGATTTCCTGATGCATTTCCACACGGTCCACTCCAATGGTTTTCAGAGACTTACAACATGGCAATTAATAAAACTAAGTGAAACTCAGCCGCTGCCCGAGAGGCTATAGAAACGACTTTATTATTTACCTAAGTGAAACTACAATAGATGTTAGTTTAAGGTGATCTCTAATAAATGTAATGTAACATACCTCAGCCGCTGCCCGAGAAGCTATAGAAACGACTGAGGTATTCCTATACTAAACCCCCTACTACTTATAGTCGGAGGTGCTACTCGCTACAGTATAATGACTCCTAGGAGTACAATTGTGCTCCTAGGAGAACAATGTTACTCCATGGAGTGGTGGCTATGCTCCATGGAGGACAATGGCTGCTTTGGCAGAGACCGGGTTTATCCGGTTTTGTCAGCAATGTCATCTTAATACTGGCAACCATCGAGAGGAAACCGTGCCCACCTTTCACTTTACCACATGCCTGGCAAGCTTACTTATGTGTCCAATATGTACAATTACTTGCAGAAGACTGAAAGCTACATATGCTACTATTTAGGACTCTTGTGACCTTGATTGGTGCTTGCCTATTACAGGTGCCAGGGGTGCCCGGAGGGCGATACTATTTTACTGAGCGAGACCAGGAACAAATGGTAGGCTCAAAAAGAGACAATAAATGCAAAGGAAGATGATAAAGGCAAAAAAAAATTGTCATGCATTAAGAGGGAATCGAACCCCCGGCGGGTCGATGGCAACGACCCAGGTTACCACTACCCCATTAATGCTTGAAGAGATATTCGACACAAACTCAATAAGGAAATTCCCATCTCGTCTTCAAATTTTCCTACCCTGTCATTTTAGCTGCAATCTCGTTATCGTGACTTTCATGTCATATGATGGTACAGAAAAAGCAGTCTGACTCTCTCACAGTATTCTCAGGGCAGAACTCTTGCGTGCTTCGCTATCAACCCTCAGATGTCGGCTATAGAAAAAAACCTATCTTGTTGGGGAAGAGATTGCGTGGTGCTTACAAAGGAGGTTTACGACCATCCAATAGTAGAGTGAACATCTCGGCCATGCGTCCTATGGGTATAGTACAGACCTCGTACAATGTCAATGACATCCATAGGCTCGTGCAGGAACTATAATCGTAGATCCATGGTTTCCAGTACTATCGAATCCTGAAGCGCGAAGGCATAACAGTAGATTATCGAGATCCACAGCAGAAAAAGTTAACGGATATAGTTGGATTTAACCAATAGTCGTATCTTTCTATAAATAAAGAACAGCTGAATAAGAGTGATATCGACCACCTCCATGAATAAACAGAAGTACCTTGGCTATAGCATGTTACGCTACAAAATCAATAAACCAGCTCTTCTACATGCTTTCTATCACAGAACCCGAGAGACGGTATTCATGCGAACGACGCTCTTCCATTGCTCTACATGCGTTCGTTCGCCCTCCGCATGGATGCGAATAAGATTAGGGAACAACCGAGATAGAAAGTGGGCCACAGCGATTGGATCTTGTATAGGAGAAAATCCGACGTCCAGGCTGACCAGCATATTAGCGCTGGGACCTAACAAATCCTGCATTTCGTCAACATCAGGACTAATGCGACCATCAATTGGCATAGCTAATGACGTCAAACGCTTGCATCCTTCAGCGAACGGGATCAGCCCCGCCAATGTGACCTTGCATTCATCCAACTTCGAGTACGGAGAGAAAAGAAGAGACTCGAGCTTTGTCCAGGAAAAGGCCATCTCCTTGACAAACGAGTTGTCTATGCCGCTGGCACAATCAAGGAGAAGAGCCAGGATACGCATGTTTTTAAATGCTAGGAGCGGCTGCAAAATGTCGCAAGAGAGGATAGAAGAGTGCGGGCCTGCCCTGATTGAGCTCATAATTACAAGATTCTCCATATGTGCCAGCAACGACGGACTTTGAAGAGAAGAGAAAAACTCTTCAGTAATAACCGAAGATGAGTTGTCAAGTACAATCTTGAGGTCTGAAATTGGCGATGACGAAATGAGGCTTGTGAATGGGTCGAGGGAGTCCATGTCCATCAGACGAACGTGTACCTTCGCCAGGAAAGGAAAAACCACAGTACTCCCTGTGGGAAGTGGAAGGGGTGAAGTACCATCCAAAAGTAAATCCAATGATTGGAGATTACGAAGATGAAGAAGATATAGGTTAAACAGAGGGAATGTGATTGAATTGGTAGGACAAGAGAGGTGTTGGAGATGTTTGAACGAGCCGACAACTTTCCAAAACTGGGGGAAGATAGGTCTATTATTTCCAATTCGAGTAAAATGTTGAACCGCTAGTGTCTGCAGGTTAGACGACTGCCGCTCGAGACACTCGAGAAGTTCTACTGTATCGCCAATTGGTACTGGCTGGAACACTCTAGTCCATTGGAATGATACCAAGTTTGGCCCATAAAACAACGATGTGTGGATATAATCATAGTCGTCTCCACCTATAGGCCGATTGAAATATTTGAGGTTGGGCAACAGTAAAGCTCTGGGCAGATAAAGCCGTAGAGCTGAGAAGACATCATCCTTGACATGAAAAGGGCGGGAAAATGAAGATGATGGTGAGGTTGATTCCGAGCCAAGACTCCGGATAAGATTTGCGTAATGCAAGACACGATCCCAATCCGAATCTTTGTTAGGTACCCTAAGAAGTTTCTGAGTAGGGGTGTGATTTGAGTTGCGAATACACAGCAATATAAAGGGTGTTTACTCACAAATATCCCCTTGAAGGTATTGTACGTTGATGGACGCTCAATTGTCCAAGCATCAGGCGGCAAACACTTGAGTAGGGGAACCAAAGAAGTTTGTTCCTTCCACAAGGCTACAAGGGCGGGATACGAGAGCGTCCGACATGTACTTGCTATGGCGGCAACAGCGTCTGTTCTACGACGCCCATTTTCATAAAGGGCGTACTCCAAAATCACGTCCAATATCTCGGGAAGCTGAAGACAAAAATGCATACTATAGCGCAGAGGCCTGGGGTGGGAGTCCACTGAGTTAATTGAAAATAAGGCTCGATATTTTAACTGCAAATGGAGACATAGATGGCTAATCAGGTCATTTTAAATGCCGGATTGTCAGATATAGTCGCAGAAGTAGAGATAAGAAAAAAATACATAGTTGGTGAGTTTCGATCACACATGCCAATTGCAATGTGCACTTGTAGACATGGCAACCTCCTTCAAAACTTGGTACCTCAAGCCCCAAGTTCCTCAGCCCTGAGGCCTGAGTCGTGACAATAAACGCTTCATTTGCAGCTCGATATATGATTTATCTCTCGTCGAACGTATTTCATAGAGCAAGTTTAAAGTTTAAGAAGTTGAATTTGAAGACGCCGCGACTCGGACAAACTGGTTTTGAAAATGTCTGTCAGTAACGTTTACCACATCCCATGACCAGTCGTCGTGTATATAGTATATGCCAACTGGCGAGGAATGTCGTTTCGATGCAATTAGCCAGTTCTAGAGTGGAGGAGAGCTTCTGTAGTAAGCCCTACACCATGCCCTATTTCTTAATGACCAGCCATTCACGTATACCAGGCCATTATAATTCTGGTTATGCTACGTCGACTTTGGTGGTCTTATCAGTTGTTCGGGGATTTCAAGGAGAAACTCGCCGTCTATTTATGTTGCATGCATATATTGCGGCACTGACCTCTGAAAGTTCTTGAGGCCACAAGACAGGATCAGTTCACGGGATGCCGAATGGCGCCAAAGGATCGCAGGTATATCAACCAGCAACTATTATTTCTATATCATTCCTTCCCACCACCAACAACTAACTCAAATTACTTCATGTCCACTCGGGTTTCGTTCACTTCCACAGTTGGCCTTGGCTCTTCTGCCTCAGAGGTAGCTAGGTCCCCAAAACGCCCTCGCGCCGTGGTCACTGGGGGATCTGGAAAATTGGGCCGTGCAACTGTTGTTGACCTCCTCGCACATGGATGGAATGTCGTGAACTTTGACAAACATCCACCTCCTGCAGATGCCCCATCCGAGGCCGTATTTATGCTCACTGAGCTGGAGGATATGGGTCAGGTTATGGAGAACCTAATCGAGGTGGACTCAGTGAGTAGATATCTGGCCGTCTCGTAAGATGTGCAGAATTGATCACACTGCTGCAACAATTTAGCGATACAAAGGCGTCGACGCTGTTGTTCACCTCGCTGCACTTCCTGCTGCAGGCATGATGGGCTCTTCCACTCAATTCAGACTGAACACGATGAGGTGGGTGTCCTCTCATTCTTGCTCAAATAATTACCTTGACGTGCCCCTTCCCAGTACTTACAATGTCTTAGAAGCGTCCCGCAAACTTGGAATCAAAAATATTGTCCTCGCTTCCTCTGAGACGCTCATCGGCTTGCCCCTAGATCCTTGGGTGCCTGATCGTATTCCTGTAGATGAAACCGCCGATCGTAGGCCAGAAAGCGCTTACTCACTGAGCAAGCTGGTTGGCGAAGTAAGCGATTTTAAGTCGTGACTTCACACCATCTCAAGTGTTTCTATAGGTCATGGCAGAGGAATACTGTCGCTGGGACCCAAGTACAAAGATCGTATCCCTGCGCTTTTCTAATGTAATCCAGCCGCATGAATACGCTAAATTTGAAACATGGCAGCAAAACCCGGAACGCAGGAGGTGGAAGTGCGTAACTTGTCATAATAAGGTTGGCGAGACGCTAATCAACAACTGGGTCATACTCATTTTTTCTAGCTTGTGGGGATATATTGATGCCCGCGACGTACGTTTCATATGTCTTAACGTAGTTCCACGCTGATATGTATTTTCTTCTGGTCTATAGGGTGCACAGGGCATTCGCAAAGCGTTGGAGCATAAACCTACTGGCCACCATCAATACATTATCGCCAACAACGTTTGTGCATGTATTTTCCATCGCCTTCCCAGCTTACCTGTTGTATACAGAATACCGTGATGCGCACGCCGAATGATCAGCTCGTCGCGGCCGAATTCCCTGGTGTACCCTACACGCCGACTCTTGGTTCGCACGATACATTGCTTAGCATTGACAAGGCGAAACGAGAGCTTGGATTTGCGCCCGCGTATGACTGGCAAGGGTAAACGCAAGTAACCAGTCGGGGATTGTCTCCTGCTTATGCAGCGAACGAGTAGAAGAAACGCCGATAATTTTGTAAAAATGGATGTGCTGTATTCTGTATAGTAATGAATGTCGAAGCCAAGTTCTTCACGCTGGTGTGAAACCGTTTGAAGAAAAATGCGAAGTCTATCATCTCGCAACTCAAGAGCAAGTCTTCTACTCATCACACCATCACGTATTTGTACACACCTAACTCCATTATTCTGACGGGTGCCAACCACATATTACCTTACAGTTCACCGGTAATATGTACGATGATTCCCGTTGACCATCGACTCTGACGATAGGTTGGTTGACCAGATATAGCAGTCTAAGCCTCATTGACCAAAACAATATACGCACCCTTTCATGGTGTTAGATCGGCAAAATCTAAACCCGACGTGCTATGTAATTTCAAGCAAGAAAAACCACTATGCTGTATTATGTGTGAATGATCATTGAGTGGAGAGCACACTTTCAGAATCGAGGATGGAAATGAAGTCCGGTGATCATGAGTTTTGTGAGGACGCAGAACTACCTCCCTCCGCCTGTGCCTGCTTGCTTAACAAGCGCCTACATAAAATCGCCTTAGAATAGGAAGGAAAAGGTTATGCTCTGCGAAACGTACTGTCGAGCAGCCAATATCATCTGCGCCTTTCGCTCCCGCAGACTAGCTTCTCGCTTTTCAGCAGTATCCTCCCACTTAGCCTTACCTCCAACCTCATTTTCTGAGAGTTCAGGTGCTGTGTCGAGACGTGCCTGAAGTCGATAACGTGATATGAGATTATCTTTGGGAGTCATGGGCGTAGCGTTTGCGACGAATTGCTGATTTGCTTGTGCCTGACCTTGCGTTCGTGGATAGAGCGTGTAGTATGCGGGAGGCGGCTTAAAGAGGGGAATTGAGCCCTAACATATATGATGCCAGCACGTAACCTACTTACGGCATCAAGGAAACCTTTCTCTAGTATTTTGTTAGACGTCAACTCGACGTTTCCTGTTCGAAGTAGGTCGTAACGGATGTTGTCTCTGAAAACCCAAGAAGTTCGTTCAATAAGCAGACAGAAAATAGAATGAGGCTTACTGAGGTATGTCCGGGAACATGGCATGTATCTGGTCTACCTGCACCGAAATGTAAGATAGTAGACATCAATCAGAGACACCTGACTGACCATTTCTTGAGTCACATTCTTGGGTCTGAACCCCAGTGCAGAAGTAGGTGACCTCGCCGCAGACGCGTTGCTACCTGTCGAACGCAGACGCAAGATGAGCGAATGTAGAGATGCTGAAGATGGGAAAAGACGTGCTTGAAGTTGCCCAACGGAATATGAATACTATAACCGCACAAGCAACAATGGCATTCACAACCTCCCCCATCTCTTCTCTTTTGAATGCTGACCGGAGTGAAAATGGAGAAAATATGATACTTAAGAGATTCTGGTAGTGAGAATATGGGCTTGACGCTGGGGAACTTGTTGGGGCAAGCAGGCGCTCTGAGGGTGAGAGTGCAAACTACAGCCACTGCCGTGGCCAGGTTAAGCACAGCAACTACTGGTACTAAGCAACCTACAATTGTACTATGGGCCGTAACATGCACTGGCTATTTCAAACTGAAAGGGAGGTGACAATCACTTGTGAGTATCAGCCTGGCTCCAGGTGTCGTCCATCGCATTTATGGTACAACTGTTTACGAAGTGTTCTACGTAAATATTACAGATTTTGACGCTATTAGAAAACTGGTTTGAGCAAAGCAATATTATCTCGGTACAGTCTCTGTCACGTTAAAAGTAGAAACTCCGGGGTTGCCTTCGCCCACGACAACCGTCATCATTCACGAACCGTTGGGTAGTTGCGGCAAGTGACGGTTCAAGTTGGGTGGGTGGGTAGTGGTGAATTATCAGTGAGTTTCAAATATCGTTGGGTATATACGTTGTTGCTAATTCGCTATTACAACAAGATCTTGTCAGTAGGTTTTGTCGGTAGGTTTTGCATAGGCTGTGCGGTAACACCACTGCTGCTTCGATCGATGTGAAGTTAGAAGGGTTTGGATTAAGCAATGGATAAAAATGACGTCAACAAGTGGTCCAAGCAGCAAACAGTAGCACTTGAACCATCGAGCCAGTAGTTAGTTGATGGCTTGCCGCGACATCCCCCGGCGCAGAACACTCAACCTCAAGTCCACCACTTTTGATATCCTGGCATGAACCAAAGTTCTTCTGACAGGCCTACAAATGCGTCTCGCAGGCACGTTGACATCAGGCAATGCCATTGATCAATATTGATTTCCGGAGCAGCATACAGTGGCTCACCGAAGGGTAGTGTCAACATAATCACACAGCTTTCATCCTTCTGTCGAACAATTATATCAGATACAGTGGATCGTGCGAGTACGTTGGTACGTTCAACTACTACCCACGCCCACTTCTGTCCCCGAGCCCATTACTGTGCTGACACCCGAGGCTTTTTAAAACGCTTAAGACGCGTACCGAGGACGTCCTCAGCAATCTCATAAAAACTAATCTCACTTCACAGGATGTTCAAGGATCTCCAGTGTTCCATGATTTTCGAAACTGTCGAGAAATCTAGTCAATATCTAATCTCATTTCTCAATACCAAGACACTGTCCCTCTAACTACATATGACTCCTACGAGCCATCTGTTCGTAGGCTTCTCGACTCACCATGCAAGAGCTCAGAAATCAGAAATCAAGGATTTCTTTTCTCCTAGTCTACCTTGTTTCATTGCGGCCTCCAGTGCCACCTCGGGTACAACCTCAAAAATGTTCGCAAAGTATCGTCACCTCCCTGGGATATCCTATGGCCAGCTACTGAAATTCACAGTCACCGTGAACGACCGGAGTGTGCCATCGGGGTTGGGATATATTGTTGAGCTACATGGCTCACCGCGTCAGAATCAGCATTCATCTTCATTTTCACCGTTAACACCTGACGTGCCAAAATCGCAGATCCAGACGAGCACCTCGCTGTGAAGCGATTGGTTGACGAACTATGTGCTTCGAACGTAAATGTTGAGCGTAGCTAAGAGCGACATGTTGGAGATATGAGAGAAACAAGCGTAGTACGAAGAAGGGAAGTGGCGCAAGCGCCGAACTAGGCAGGCCTAGTAGATGGAGTGGCCCGTGCGCCATCAGATAACATTTTTGATTTTGATTCCGTTCTCCTTTATATACGCTGTCGTCGTTAGGCAGACACCTCAGACCTTCACTCGAAGTCTGAGGTGAGATTCCCCATTTAGTGTTAAATTACGAGTACCTAGCTTACCTTTCGTTTTTCCAGCTGTTCATTGCTAGGTACATTATTCCAATATATTCAGACCTTCACTCGAAGTCTGAGCTGTTCATTGCTAGATAAACAATACGACAAGCAGTAGCTGCACCAACGATTCGCACTGTCAAGCCAGGCACTTTTCGAGAGTCCCGTCGTTGGAAGATTGATCCTTCAACTATGGGCTCTAGATAGGTGAAGGTGAGTTGTCTCATGGGACGAAACTGCGATGCAGTGGATGTTAGACAGAGTTCTTCAGGAGATATGAATTTCAAACGACAATCGTTGAATGTAATATATCATCCAGTAGTTCATGAATTCATGGTACATATGCATGCAATATTATTATCGGATTATGCAAATCACTTCCGGGACAAAAATCATGAAATAACTTGCATTTGGGTAATGGGCATCATAAATCAAGAGAATTGGCGTCGATAGCTAACTTCAAAACCTCAGAGCTTAGCTTTCAAGTTTATTCCGTCTTTGGTCAAGGTAAATCGGACCAATGAACATGTGAACCTCTGACCTTGGTTTATATGGTATCCCAGATAATGGCGAGCTCCAAGCGAGTGATGGTATATTCGTGGGTTGTGGAACAAGAAGAGGTTCACGAGTTGCGTGGGACCTAGGGTAAGAATTGGAAAAGGCATTCTGAGGTGGGGGCGTGCCGGCACATCATACAACCAACCTAAGAGTCATGCTACACCAAGCCATCAGAAACAGGAGTAACGCTCGCTTGCTGTGTATCTCGGTCTCTTGAAATCTTCAAGCTCGCATCTATATGCTCCCTAGACATCGTGTTGCATCGGCACTGGTCGGCTGTGGTTTCATCCACTCCACCCATCGAGATGGTGTTCAGCCCACCTCTATCCCCACTTAACCTGATCACTCCCAAGTAATCACATAACGACAATCTTACTGGGTCCCCATGGCAGGTAGACTCGCAGTCGCATTGGTGCAATCCACAGTCACAGCTGGCCGCTAGTGATTCGGTTGTGGGGTAGTATGATGAGCCACGATTCAGCTACGTTAGGACTTGCGAATTTTTTACGAGTGAACCAGTGAATTATCTTCAGTGAAGTTGGAGAAAATAGGTTTAGGCCGACGTTATCGGGTTCTTACATGCTTCACAGGTGAGGCACCAGCCTGCATCGGCTGATTTTGGCTCGCCTTGCCTATATGATCTCGTTGCTACCTGGATAGTTGATGTGGCACCCTTGACAGTGACCCATTGCAACAAAACATTGTTCCAACCATACGACAGTATCAGTTAAATTGCGACATCGAAAATTCTCAAATATCAACCGACGTCACCAGAGAATATTAACATTAGCTCCAACCTGCCTGTCCTCTCCGTAGCTCAATGTTCAACCTTCACCTGGCGCCGCAGGTAATGATCCACGAAGATCCACGAAGTATGTTGGTACTAAGGCGCAAAATCCCAAGATACTGATAGTTTAGCGATTCCTTTATCGACTTGACCACCATCATGAAGGGCTTTTGATACTGCTCAAACGGACGACCAGTGGCAAGAGCGATACATTCTCGCTTGACGCATAGTACTGAACGCAATCATGGTGATGCTAAAAGAAGCACATCATTAGCTGAATGGTTCATGGTTTGTAAACACATAAACATTACTTTAAACCTGATCACCAGAGCAAATCAACATCACGACAAACATTTTAAAACATTGCATACTTACCAGTGATTGAAATTAGTCTCGAACTTCCTTAAAAACTCCCACCGCTTGGCCATAGCAGTGTCTCCATCTCCCATATCTGCTGCTGCTAGCCCTTGTGTAGCAGACTTCGAGAACGATGCCGTATAAAGCGCGAAAGTAGAGCAAGTGACAATGAGCCGCGAGTAAACCTGGGGAATATTGTTTAGAAAAGAACATTAAATAAAATATCGATAGAAGCTTACTCGCAACAGTTTCGAGCTCGTTAACATGCATTCTTTCAAACATGTATCCAAAAAATCGACATGATCTCTGAGAAGTTGGTCAACAGTGGTTACCTTGGTAAGCTTCGCCTCAAGGTTGCGCCAATTGGGCTCCAGGACCTCGAATGTCGTGAAGGCTAAGATTTGTTGCACAAAAGATAGCATTCTCGCACGCAAAAGAGCCACTCTCAAGCGCCACTGCTCAAACTCTGGATGATTAGAAGCGGAGCGCCGCCATATGATCCCCTTGTGCTCAATCCACATAGACGTCAAGGATTGTTCGACCTGTTTAAGGTGCAGCAAGAAACGGAACAAAAGCTGATAGCGGAGAATTGTCTTCCGAGATATTACCAAAGATAGGGGAAATTTAACGCTATAATCCAATGCCAAAGCATCGATTCCTACAATAATAGTATAAACTCTGTGAATGCAAGATTGATTAAACAGCTACAGTCACATACCTTGTAGCTGCTTCCTATCATCCCGGTCTTTGTCTCGTTCCTTTTTGGAGTCTTCGTGACTTCCGCTATCAGGCACAATATCGCCATCTTCTCCACCAATGACTCCGCTAACACTGATTACCTTCAGTAACCAGTCATACAGTCCAGTGCTGGAGATGGAGATTTTGACATCTTCTCTAAAAAGCGCATCCTCTCCTTGTGAGTCTGTGTTCAGCGCTAAATCAAGCAAGCTCTGCAACTTCACCATCGATACTGATTTTGCAGGTTTTTTCAGCTCCGTATGGGAAAGGTCGAGCAGATGTGTCAAAAACGATGACTGAGAAAGGAAAAAGTAGCGTTTCAAAGACCTTAACCGTGGGATTAGCTGTTGATCTTTGAGAAGAAGTTGAAGCAATGTCCGGTTCGCATGCGTGTAAGCCTCCTCGATAAAGTTGTATAACCTGAAGTAAAAAAAAACATCAGTGCCATGTATAAGGAATAGTGGTGGTGTCCGACTTTTCATTATCCATGGACAAATCCTCATCGTCCGCTTGTCGATGATTAGTCTGCACTTCAATTCCACATTCTCGAATTACATTCAAATATTTCCCGGCCAGGAGAATTTTGTGTTTCCATCCTTCTAACAATGGCGGTATACAGGCACCGCCTGGAAGTCTACCCGTCACGGTTCGGGGGGGAGGAACACCCGCCTGATGGCGTTTGGATGGTGCAGCTAATGTAGATCCATCGCGGAGCTATCTTTAACAGTAAGTCGGAGTGTTGGTCGCCAGGCATAAAAATCATACCGTATAACGACGCTCCCAATATTCATCCGTATAGTCTACCTCTAAAATACCTTTACTAATAAATTTGCTTTCTTTGACGCAAAGCTCGTCGCAGGGGTCAACCAACCGGCCCGTCGTTGTCCACATTTTCAACATAGAAACATATGGTACCCCAGCCGATTTCAATAGCGTGCTATAGAGTTTGTGTGCCGTAGGATCGCCGGACATATTCTGCATGCGTTCGTAAATGATAGCCAGTACCTCGCCGCCCTTGACGACGATATTACTTCCCTCGGCACCATTGAGGCCGTTTTTGTTGATTTCTGATAAGACCGCTTTCAGCTTGGCGCCACCCAAACCAAGAGCCTCGTTACGAGCGTCATCCTCGTCATCCTCTGATGAAGAGGAAGTTAAGTCAGCAGACGAGTCATCCGCAGTTGCTAGCTCCAAGACTAGCTGATATATTAGAGACAATGTGTGGACAGTAGGATGAACGTAAAACCATAGTTTCTGCAGAGTGAACGTGGAGGAAGTGTTATAAGCGTGCTCAAGTTGCGAGAGAAGGGTTTGATAGTCCTGGCCACTTCCGATCAATATCTGAGGAGGCCCTCAAAGGAAGTGATGAGTAACTTACCTTGAGCATATCTCGGATAGCCGCGCAGAGAGCGTGATTGACCAAGCCAAAGTCTAGGTGACTTCGACTTTCGATGAAGGATGATATTGCAGTATAATAAGTCCCCAGTGGCAAAATCCTCTCTGTCAAATCACGCAGGGAAGAGTCTAGAAATAGCATGCAAGTATACAATCAGATGATGTATGCTAGTATTCAGGCAATGTTCAAGCGCACCTAGAGGAGAGGATACAACAAATCGGATACCCTGGAGAGGATCATCATCCTCTGGGGAGTATTCGGGATGGTATGTTATGTGCGTGCCCTCGATACCCTTCACGTCCTTTTTAGCTTAGTCTGGTATGCTTTTAATGAGAGCTTACAGACCATGAGGACGTAGAGAATATCCTCCAGTATCAGGGCCTCTTGTATATCAACGGGGAGGGTTCCCAACACATCCTCCCTAGCCTTGCCTTTGGACTTTGGTAGCGATGTGTTTGCACCGACGCGTGAATTCAAAGGAGCACGAACGAACGAGGTTTCAGCGATAAAAGAAGGCTCGTTATGATCTACTTGCAGTATAAGGGCACTAGATCAGATTGACGATAAAAGGACTCACTTCTGCCTCGGTTTTCATGAGAAGAGTTCAGTCTACCATCGAAACCTTCGTCAATATCATCGTGTAACACTTGTCTGTTCCTGCGAACCGACGCGATAGTCCCAGTAATCTAAGGAAGTGGCATGATTGTGAGGCGAGATACACGGAAACAAAAGAAAGACAGTAATACCTTTGTGTATTCCTTTGCTGAAAGTGTAAGATTCTTTTTGCGACCTCCTGGTCTTGCTCTGGGAGTATATGGGTCCATGTTGGTCGTCGGTTGAGTCAACCGCAATCGAAAGACGCGAAACCGTGTCTTGCACCGCCACCTCAAAAGAAATCCCGAGTCCGGATTCCTCAAGTTGTTTTCTGCACCTCACTTCCGCTTTTCCTTATTCCACAAGCCTTGTGGGTTGGCCTATCTTTTGCTTTTTGGGCTCGAGAAAACTGGATAAGGCGTATCATTAAATAATATCAGCTGAAAAACCTGTTTCGCGATGAGGGATGCCAACGTTTTTTCAATCTCGAGAGCAATGCCTCGGATGGTTCGCTTCAATTCGTATTTTTTTTCTTTCTACTTTCGACTAATCACTGTAAAACCCGTTCTTGCAGAGCTGGTCCCCTCGCAACCTCTACAATCTCTGGCTACGTTCTATTGGAGCCCGGTCTGAAGAAGTAAACTTCACCCGCACTCAGCAAACGCTCTTCCAACAGAGGTGGACATCCAAAGCCCTCGTCCGGGCGTATCATGGCGATTTTATTAACGAGAAAATTTTCAAGCGATGGTACCTGCCCACTACACTACCAGACGTACGGCCACGTCAGAGACGGTTGGGAGATGATACCGCTGCCCTCGATTCTTTTGCCCAGCGCACCGAACAACTAGAGAAGCAAAAGAAACTCCAGGAAGAAGAAGAACGAAAAGGGTTGGCACCCGTCGGAAGTTTAATGTTGACAGAGGTGGAGAGACGCATTGACGTATTTATGTTTCGCTGTTGCTTCGCACACAGTGTTTATGAGGCTCGTCGTCTGGTCATTCACGGCTACGTGCTGTTGAACGGCAAGAAGGTATGCAGCATCCCTCCGTACCTACAGTGGTCGCCATTCGTGGTAAACTAACGGTTGCTATTTTGCATGATGACAGCATCAAAATGCTAATACGCGCCTGGCTCCTGGTGATATGGTTTCAGTTGACCCTAATGCAATCAGATTCCTCCAGAAACCAAAGCCAACATCTGAATCTCAATCAGACGCAGCAAGCTCTTCCGACGAGGCGGATAACCAGGCTGAAAATAAGACAGTGCCCGCTCAAGGGCATTCTCCCGCTGAAAATCAGTTGACGCCGTTCAATTTACCACCATACGCTTCCCCGTTCATATTCATCCCTGCATACACCGAAGTATCTTTCCCAACTTGTTCCGCCATCTACGTGCGACACCCAACCGCCCGACCAGGATATTCAGAAATTCCTACGCCCTACGATGCGGATGGCGAAGTAATCAGATTAGCATGGGAGTGGTACTCGAAGATGCGACCCCGGAATAGAAGCAAGAGGCAGTTGGCTAGGATGCCTGAGAACCGGCAATGATAGGTAGTGAGGTGTCATGGGGGAGTGCCTGTTTCTTTGAGTCAATTTATCTGATATATGTCAGCCCAGTTATCCCCGTCGGCGAGCGTTGAAAATAGTGCAGACAGACAAATTATTTGTGAAAGATACCGCCGTTGGTACAGATGCCGCCGTAGTTCCAGATAACAAACCCTGGCAATAGCCTGATTGCCATGCTAGTTCATCAACTCGGCCTTCCAGATCACAGGAGACTGCCGACGATCATCTTCCTCTGAAGAAAAAGTCCACAGGATATTCCGGCGTTCATTCGCTCTGATAGGGACTGTGAGATACTGAGCTGTCGTCCTGTTCACTTTGCAGCTATGAATAGCACGGTGACGAGAGCCATCAGTTGTGCCATCTTAGCCATACTTCGGCGGTGGTCTAAGCTACTATCAGGGGCGACATCCATCAGCTTTGTTTCATGCTAGACTGATGTCCAGACTACTGGATTTCCCACTGTATGCCCAAGGCAGCTGTTGGACGCATGTCTGGCGCACTGTAGGCATGCGTCCGTATATCCACCATGGTATTTGACGACGATCGCTGTCTTGTCACGAGCGGCCATCTGTTCTTCGCTTTTTTTTCATACTCGCTGATGGGTCAAACTTTGAGCAGCATAACGACTAGGGTGTCCAACCAATAAATGGTACATGTATGGAGAGAAAGTCACAGCGGGGAACGAGGCTCTCAAAAACTCGCTGAGTAACGTCCTATCATGGATAGTAAAACTCATGATACAATCCGTTGCCATTGAGACTATTTTACAAAATCACAATATTCTATTCTTTCTCCTGCCACTCTCGCCTATGATTGCTGCCAAGCTTAAGCCCAATGAAAATGGTTTGTAACAATCGTCCTACTCCAGCACATGAAGCAGCAATGACCCCGTTGTCCATGACCCAAGCTGGCCACGGCCACTTCATTCCTCGAATTGAACTATTGTACCGTGGTCTGTAGCGGTGCCATTGTGTAAATGGTGAGATTGGCGAGCACAGAACATGTGTGCCATCATGATGGTACTGGATTGGTACTGGATTGGAGCACCAGCGGTGACAAAGAGGGTGATAATTAAACTAAAGTGTCAGAAATCCCAACAAATCCATTTTTGTTTGTTTTTCGGTTATTTGCAATGGAAATTGTTGAACTGCGCAAGCCATTTCCTTTTCGTATTTCACTGAAATATCACACCCATTGTGCAATTGTTCTTGTTAGTACGGATGCCATCCTTTGCGATATGAAACAAGGTCCGTAATGAAGGGGCACCAATGGAGCACATTGATGGGCAAGAGCCTCGAGGCATGACATTGGGCGGTCCTGTCCTTTTGTCTATTTTTGTGGAGAACCGGGTTCTCGATGGAAACAAAGGTTCAACAGGTGCGTTGTTATGCTCTTTTCGATATCTGATATCCCACTGACGGTCCTGCTGTGTAAGACTAGCCAACCTTATCAACCTTGCCTGGATTTCTGCCTATTTGCCGCCGTTTTAGGAGATTTTTCATGAGAACTTTCTTTGATCGAGGGTTTTTCCTATTGCCCCAGCCCTTTATGTCATCCAACCAGTGAGTGCCGTGCTCAAAATGTAAAAAAATTCCCTGCGAAATGTCCGCCAAAACCATGGCGATTTATCAGATACTATAAGTTACCTGTCAGTCATTTTCGACGCAAAATTTCATTTCTCCCCCCATACTTCTTTCTTCCTCCAGCCTTTCTTTTCTCTCTTTTCGTTTCCATCTCTGACTTTGAGGACTACTGGTAGTCTTCTAGTCACTTCTCTCGTTCTTTCTTTTTTCACACTTGAATCTTTGTTTTTGGTCACAATGTCTCCTGCCTTCTTTGCAGCAGCAACCACTGCGGCGGCTGCGGCTCCCGCTCCAAACCAGAAGGCTTTGATTCTACACGCCGATATTCTCATCCTTGCTGTCATTGCTTGCTTCACCCTTTTTCACCTTCCTCGAGCCATCGCTAGATTCTCTGACAAGTCAGAATGGATGCAAGGCCACATCTTTCACTCGGTTAAGGTTGAACCTACCAGAGCAACAAACTTTAAGGTCGAGGCTTCGTACATGCCCACGTCTGACAAGACTTACACGGGATCTCAAGACTCGCATTCCGCATATTCGTCGGTCACTTATCTTGGTCAGTTTTCGAGCTTGAAGTATGCTGGTGCACCTGCTCCTCGACATGTCCCCATGTTGTCGTCATTCATTCACCCAATTTCATCCGCGCTTTGCCACCGCATGAACGGTTATTCCGTCGGTCAAATCTTACTCATGGCCGGATACTTGGGCATCTTGTTCTACGGCTCGTTCTATGAATCGAATCCTTTCACCGATCCAGAGCGAGCAGGCTATGTCATCACGTCTCAAATTCCATTCATTTATGCTTTTGCGACTAAAAACAATGTTCTCGGTTTCCTAGTCGGCGTGGGCTATGAAAAGGTAAGGTGCGGTACCGAGCCGAAACGATACATCATAATTGCTGGACATCGAACTAAATCCCGGTTTCTATTTCTAGCTCAACTTCCTTCATCGTTTCGTCGGGAGGATAATGGTGATTGGCGCCAACGTGCACGCGTTGGGATATAGTAAGTGCTCAGCGTTGGCTCTCATGACTGTCAGTGTCTTATCTGATAGCTATGCAGTCTATAAATGGACCCTTGCAAGCGAATTTACCGAAAAGATATCAGAACCTTACGTTCGATGGGGATTTGTTGCCTTGGTTTGCTTTGATTTACTGGGTTTCCTGTCGGTGTCAATTGTTCGTTCGACATCATACAATCTTTTCTTCACCACACACGCAGTCAGCTTAGTTGTGTTTCTCCCAGCTGTGCGCCTTTTCTGTTTTCTCACTAGGAGCTTTACTAAACAAGAAACTTACGTAGGTATGCTACCATGAAGCGGCTTGCATTCCCTACGTTATCGCTGCCAGTGTTCTATACGGGTTAGATCACGTCTGCAGGTTGATCAAAACTCGTTTTACATCAGCCAAGATCCGTCCTCTTCCCGAGCTCGGCGTGACTCGTGTGGAGATGCCAGGTCTCAATGCAGGATGGCGCGCTGGTCAGCACGTGCGCCTTCGCGTGCTATCATCTGGTATGGGCTTGTGGGGATGGTCAGAATGCCATCCTTTCACTATCGCGAGCGTGAGTAGGACTCCGGAAGGCATGGTTCTGATGTGCAAGAAGGCCGGAAGGTGGACAAACAAGCTTTATTCAATGGCTTCGACTCCCTCATACGGTGAGGGTGGTAAGGAAGTGGGCAGAAATGTGAGCGTGATGGTAGAGGGACCCTACGGTAAGCATATCGCTGCGTATGTGTCGAATTGCAGTCTGACGGTGATGTTTGCATGTAGGCGGTGTTGGCCATACAGTCATGTCCAGTTACTCCGGAGCGATGTTTGTGGTTGGTGGCTCCGGTGTCACTTTTGCTTTATCTGCTGCGCAGGATTTGATCAGCTCTGGAAGCTCCAGTCGTGTGAAGGTCATTGAAATCGTCTGGACTGTCCAAGACCCATGTACGTGACTTTTATATCTGTCTATCGGGATGTCTAAGCTGATCCAAAAATGTTAGCTTCCTTGACGCCAATGCTCCCTCTTCTCGCCTCGTTGGTGCAGCAGAGCACTTCTGCTCGCGTGAAGGTCTCCGTGTTCTACACCCGTGCTATTCCCATCTCGCACGACGAGCCTTTCTTCCCTCCTGGGATTACGCTGAGCACAGGCCGACCCAAGATTGGGCGTATCCTAGACTCCGTCATTGGGGAGACAGTATCCAGTGGAAACGGCGGATCTCTGAATGGTGTATTCGTTGGTGTCTGCGGTCCTGCCGCTCTGGCGGACAATGTTTCCAAAGTGGTCAAAAACTTCGATTCGAGTGTGAGAAAGGCTGTTGGTGGAGTTGAGCTCCATGAAGAGTGAGTTATCTTTTTGTCTGTTATAAGAATGCTCTGCTGACTACGTGTCGCCTGCAGAGTTTTCGGGTGGTGAGAAGCTGGTCTATCGTGCCCGATACATTTCCAGGTACAGGACAGATGTACACTGTGTGTACAGAGTACTACTTAGTACGCTCCGTGCCGTGTTGTATTACTATCGTGTCTTCCGCTGGAGGAGACATCACCATGTCATTCGTATAGGGAAATAGCAATGGCATTTTAAAAAAGCTGGACAGATTTGCCAAGGTGAAATGCTTTGACACAAACCGTCAGGATGTGCCTTGGGCAGGGCACTCGAAGAGATCAGATCGTAGGGTAAATCTCGCCGCTCTACATGAGGAGACTGCATGACCTTCAAAAATCGTACAAATCTGGTCGCTCGGAGTGAAATGCTACTTTTTTCTTGGGCTTTTTCCCCTTTGTAGGTGGTGCCACCACTCGCTCTGTTGTTTCTAAACTATCAACCGCTCCTACATCACCACCTGCTGATGACTTGACAGCTTCCAACTCTACTTGGATAGTGGCAAGAGCCTGCTTCGGATTTGAAGTGAAGGTCTCGAGGGAGGTGTGGGCGGCAGGGCCGTCGAGAGCTGTTCCCTCAGTTGGAGGTGCAGTTCGTCTTTCAGAAACGCCGCCTTCCAAGTCAAGGTGCAGGGTTTCGAATACAAGCCGCCTGCGCGTACATTTGAATGCAAGATTATTTTCACCGCTTCCGCCTGTCGCTGAGGCGGAAGAGGATAGCCCACGGAGCACAGAATATTTGTCGCTCGGGGGGAGAATGGTGTGCGGTGCAGGTAGGGTGTGGATATGGAGAAATCCGTGGTGAGAAGGGAAGAGCGCGGTGAGAGAGGGGTTGGCTGGGTAATGCATCGTTTGCAGGTAGCTTTTTGCTAATTAGGAAATTGGAGTAAAATACATACCTGGGAATGCCTGCATACTGATGACTGCATCTGAAAGCCAGCCTACCTTTTGTATCCAGCCGGTCCCGCCCCATTCGTCCGTACATAGATGAGGAGCGAGAGAAAGTGAAGCGCATGTAGTTGGGTGTTGGCGAAGCAATGCCCGAAGACGATATAAGAAGAGTAAGATATCCTAAGTCGCAATTAGCGCGTCACGTCCAATCTTTAACTGTCAGTGAGCCGACATACCTGCGGCTCCATATCTCCCCACTGTGGAGATCCAAGAGAAGGTATGCATATTCGAAGGGGCCTAGACGAGGGCCCCTCTATAGTATCTAAAACCTTCCTGATGTTTCTTATGGCACCCCGTGTGGACTTTTCGTCATCTTCAGAGCTAACCGGATATGTTAGCACCTGTTCAGATCCTTTCGCTAGGTCAAGCGTTGGCTGAGGTATTCGACAAGTCAGATCAAGAGGGGAGCAAAAATCTTCTGAGGGCATTCTATCAGGAGCCATTTTACAGATGACTGGCTGAACTTGGCAAGAAAATACGAAACACATACGAATTTGATGTAATAGTCGTCTGAAACTTCTTCATCTGCTCGTATCTCCATGCAATCTTAATCTTATCACCACTATCAGTGGTTTTTTCGTTATCTTCATCCTCCGCTACGGTCAAGGACGTATGAGCGGACGGACTGCCTGGCATCCACATGCACTCTCTCAAAAGCAACTCTGCGTCGTCATCGATGACACATATTTTCTGTCCAGTTGCTAGGCCCTGTGCGATGAAGTACTTCTGCACTAATTCTCCATAGGCAGAATGGCTATCTGGCGCTAATGTGATGAATGAACAGGACGAAGGCAAACCACCACCAAGGATGTCATCAAGGGAAGGAATACCGGTGGAAGTGATGATGGTCGATGGTGACGATGGAGATAGACGGGTGCCAGGAGCGAGGCTGGGCTGCTTTGAAGCTGATTTTCTCTTGAATGAAGACATCCAGCAAGAACAAGGCTGAAATTTTAAATCGATGGTAAAAGATTCATTGCAAGGACAATTGCAATATTCCGTGGATTAGGTCAGCTATACAGAAATCACAGTTTACCTCATTGTAGCACTACAATACAGAATAAGCATCCTTTATGACCACGATGAGCAATGGACTGGAATATCGGAAGGGTACGACTAAAAGTGTGCTCTACTTGGATATGCTGCCGTGGTACTAGTAGATGTTATCATGTCATGCACGGTGATCAATGCACGACAGCCCATTTCTCCAGTGCTGCCATATACCTAGCCCACCTACCGTTGTTCCAACTTACAACCTTTAGCCATGCCTCATCAGGGCTATCATATCGCAATGTGAGCATCAGCCCTCCAAGCATACAGTCAGCCAGCGATAAATTCTCCCCCATGAAGTAAATTCCATGCACATTCTTTTCCAAAAGCTTAGAGAGCAGGTCAAAGGAACCTTCGATTCGTTTCCATGCCTCCTCCCTGTCGCGACCTTTCAGCTCTATGTCCTCCAATTTCTTACCGAATGCCGCTTCCATGCGCTGGCGAAAATGTGCGCGGTCGCGCGGGGTCTTTTTCGAGTACATGTGCATCACCATGACGGGGAGAAGATGAGCAGTGATGGAGGTAGCGACGTGATACTCAAACAGCGCTTGAAGTGCTCGACTTCCTGATGGGAGGAGCACATGAGTGGGGTCGGGGTCTGGATACCTGCGTTCTAGGTATTCGATGATGGGCGTCGAATCTGAGAGGATAGCGGGTGGAGAGAATGTGTTGTCTATTAACGCTGGGAGAGTGTATGTTGGTACTCCAGAAGGTGAGGTGCCTGTGGGGGGAATCCCGAGTGATTTGCTAACTGATTCGATGTCGGTGGTCTCAACCCACCGGGTTTGGTAGCACAGGCCTTTGTAGTTTAGGGCTAATCTGTTGAATTTTGGACGTTAAATATAGTATGAGACCAAAGTGTAATGGCGAGTATATCTCTTTGAACACTAGCCTTACTTTCCATGTATTCGGTGAGGTGGGGACTGGGAGGACAGTAGGGATGTCGAAGAATGTGATTTTAGTGACAGTCATAAGCAAGAATCGTACAGAAATGACAGAATGGACACTCAGGCGGGCACAGTATGTTGCTACTACTAGCACTGATAGTACTGAAGACTCGGAGTGACTGAAGTTGGTCACGGTTATTTGCAGACCGGAACTTGAAAGCTACCGCCGGCGTGGGCGAGATTTTCTCACATCACTTCAGCCGCATCACGTGGACTCGGATAAGGCGCTGCCAACTGATCTGGTGCACATGCCTCACTGCCAGTGCCAGCTATGCTTCAATCTATCTTCTTCTAGTGAATTAGGGGGGTTATGGCATCAGTCTATTCATAACCACATTACTTATAGCCGCGGAGCAAGTCAATGTTGTTCAAGTTCGTCAACATTTCAACAGTTACATCGGTGAGTTCTATGATTCCAGCTCCAGAGTCCAAAACTTACTCTTGTTCTTTCATTTACAATCACTCAGGGGCTTGTCGCCTCCACGGCGCACTAAAGGCTCGATCTTCACTACAAATATGCTGTCTCTAAATATACAGTACCGGAGTCCTGCTATGCGGACCTACGTTAGCACTTACGCCCATCCAGTGTGGCCATCGCTGTTCCTATCACAATAATGACGGGGGATTTATTCTTCGAATTTAATATGGCGGTGAATAGGTGGACTGTCATCGAAAGAAGCAACGGGTATAGCACTTGGAGTGTCAATGAAGGATGGAGAATGCCGAGGCTGAAGCCATCAATGTTGTGAGTTGAGGAGGATCCCGAGCAGATTGAAACGAGAGAGGCGGTAGGGACGCAAAGCCTTCTTTTCCTTCCCGACCAGTCCAAATATTTCCTCCGTCCTGTCAACAACTACAGGCAGCGTTCATTCAAGTTGGGCTTTGCGTTTAAAAAAGAAGTAGCGGGGAGAAAGCATGGCCCTCGGCTATCTTCTTACTCTTTAATTCTAGTATGTAGAGCCTTCCACTTGTCATCGTCAGTACTTCGATTTGTTCATCTTTGCCTCCTATCTACTTCGCATGGCTTGGCACGAGCGTCTTGTCGGATAGCGCTGTTTTCTATTATGCCGGTGGACGCCGTTGGCCTTGTGATGCTACTAGAGTCGTTGCGAGTGAGTTAGCCTCGAAACTATCCAGTGTATACTCTGTAGCTAATAGCCACACCTCTGCGAAGTGAACTATCCTGTTATCATTATTATATTACTCGCATTCTTGGCTGGAATGCAAGCTCTGGTTCAGTTGTGACCATGTGCCCGTACAAATCAGCCATCAAGTGGTTTTGACAAGACGTCAACTATCCTGCATCACATCTCGGTGAATCACGCATTACCTAATGTATAGAGTAAGTAACGTAGTCGCAAAAACCATTTAAAGAGGACGCATTGTCTCAGCGTACCACTTATCAAGGGCTTCACAAATGTCATTCCAATCTCTGGCGACCACAAACACATTTCCTGCGTTTGGACTCTTGGGATTTCTCTTGATGGTTATTTTGTTGCCAATGATTTTCCGAGGTTAGTTTCTCATACATCTTGCATATTTGAAAATGACTATTCACCCCTCCAGTCCAGAACTCCATATCATACTTGTACAAATTGTTCATAATGTGGACAAGCCTCTCATGTCTCCTTTATGGCGTTAACGCTATCGTGTGGAACAACAACACAGTAGACAAGTCACCAGTTTGGTGTTATATTTGTAAGTGTCGGAATATCTTGACCAGCACATCCTGATGAGTGGCCCCTTATCGCAGCGACTCCCCTGATCAATGCTTCTGAAACTGGTAATCCGGCGGTTTTACTTTGCATTGTTCGCCACCTATATCGCATCATAACAATGAGTGCAGCGAACCAGAGTATTTCCAAGGTAATCTAGCAGTTCGTGTTGCTGATTATTCTTACTAATGGCGGGATGTTAGAATCGACGCGACTTGATCATAGACCTTTGTATCGGAGTTGTTTTCCCCGTCGTACTTTCATCTCTATGTACGTTGTGTGCCATAAATGTTGTTGAACTCACTAACTCTTCTTATCAGTATATGTCGTTGAATACAGGAAGTATTTCATTCTTGAAAACCTAGGATGTTTTCCTGCCGTAGCCTTCACACCACTCACTATCCCACTTTTCTTCATTTGGCCTTCCGTCCTGGGATTGCTGAATGCTCTATATGCTGGTCTGTAACTCCAATACATTGCCAATATTTCTGACATATATGGTCGTCTATAGGTCTTACCATACGCGCTACTATAAAACGGAAAGTTTTCAGAAGAGAAATCATGCAAGATAACCGATATATGCAGTTTGATCACTACTGGCGCCTGTTGATGCTAAGTGGCATTTGCATCATATGCACCCTCCCATATGGGATAGTCATACTGGTTATCAACCTCCTCGAACCAATGGTCCCATACACATGGCACTCGATACATGCTAACTTTTCTCAAATTGAGCAATTGCCTGTATCCGTGTGGGCGATAGATGCCAAAAACCAGGTCGATATTGAGTCATCTCGTTGGTTTGCTGTGTTTTATGCCTTCATATTCTTCGCGTTTTTTGGGTTCACAAAGGATGCTGTACAAAACTATCGCCTCGCTGGCCTTTGGGTCATACGACGTTTTGGTTTCCGTCCATCCAATCTGGATGCATTGATGGCTAGGTTCGTAATCTTGAGTCATCTCTTTTTTAAATACTCATTTATGCCGGAAGACAATCCTCACCTCGTACTGATCTTGTCCGACGGGAACCTGTTATGTTTCCATCTGAGACGTCTGTTGGCTCCTTGAAATTCATTTCTTACCCTGGCTCCAACCAAATCATCGCGTCTATTACGCAGTCTTTGCATTTTCATCCGCTATCTCTCCCTATATGCTCAACGGACCTGTCTATGGGAGAGTTCCGAAGTAGCCAAACAGGTGGCCTGAACGGTGGGCCCGTCACTGTCTCGGGTAGTGATATAGCTTTGAGTAGCTTGAATCAGGGGCCGACTCGGTCTGCTCGCGGCGATGAAAATGATCCACCAGCGTTATCGCTCCCGATCACAGAGCCGGTATCTGCTTTGGATGCATCTGCTGTCTTACGGCGTTAGTGCTTGAATTCACCATAGCTACAGGAACCCAAACAGTCTCGTTATAGCCTCTCCAGTTAGATACTTCTAGGACCACCTCTTACCTTTACGAGAAGCGACGACAGAATATGCTGTCAAATAAGCGTGCACGTAGATCGTAGGCACTTTATTTCCTAGCTATGAACGTTGCAGGTTTTACTTTCTTGGCGCTTGAAAGTTCACAACATTCATGTTCACTTTAAGATATTATCGCTTGCTTTTCCGTTGGATGATTTTGAGTACTTTACCTGACTCCGCCTTTGGAAAAATAACACTTTGATGCCGCTAAAAGCAGTGCAACCGTGGTATCGGATAGGCTACGATAACAACTATTCAGTGGGTCTTAATGTATGTGTATGGCCCAAAATTAGCCAAGTATCTTGTCCACCTCCCATCGCTCCAGCTCCCTATCTTTACCCAAGCGTCATTGGGACTAGCGTACCGAGACATGATCAGCAAACCGCAGAGCTTGAAATCAGCCAGGGTAATCGTGTCTCCCATGAAATATTCCCCTCCATTCTTCTCGATACATCCAGCAAAAAAGTTAAATACATCCTCGATCTTTCTCCACAGCACTTCCCTCGCCTCGCCTTTTGCTTCAATTTCCTCCAGTGGTTTGCCGTATATACCTTCAAGTCGTTTCCGAAAATGAACCTGGCCGCGCGGGCCTTTCGTGGAGTACATGGACATGATCACGAGTGGGTAAATATCAGCCATGATCGTGGAAGCAACGTGGTGTTCGAAAGCGGCAAAAAGAGCGCCGTAATTGGGCGGGATAATCGCTCGAGAAGGATCAGGGTTGGGGTATGCCTTCTCTAGATATTCGATGATGGGGGTAGAGTCGGAGAGAATGACAGGAGGAGATGGGGTATGGTCTATCAACGCAGGAAGAGTGTATTTTGGATCGCCATTGAGCTTCTTCGTCGTTGGGGGTATTCCAAGGGATCTACAGATAGACTCGATGTCGACGGTCTCGACCCAGCGAGTCTCATATGCCAAACTCTTATAGTTTAAGACGAGCCTAGTGAAGATGGAACGGTCAGCAATGCGTTCAAGTTATCACCTGGAATGGCTAACATGACCACTTACCTCACTTTCCATGTGTTCGGTGACGTTGGAAAAGAGCCGGGAAGAGTTGTCGGTATATCGAAAAAAGTGATTTTCGTATCCATGTTTATGGTCATCAATCGAGGACCTAAGCAAGAGACGGTGCGGTATCAAGAAGACTGAAGAATCCTTGATGGGATGAGTACTAAGTATCCGGGTATCCTTCAAAAGATGCTATTCCCGAGATTACTACACCTGATTTTTCATGGTCCATTGGCGCTCAACTGATGATGTTACTAAATATGTGTTAAACTTGTATTGCTCAATGGCACTCGCAGTGGAGAAAAGAAATGTGTCACTGATACCGACTGTGACCCGCTGTGACGTGCGTAGGTCGGCAAGTCCGTCTGGCTCGTGCCCGAACCTGTGCCCGATGGTTCTTGTTCGCTACCACATACGTCCTCATGATCATATCTCCTACGATGACAGATAACGGTATCTTGCCACAGGAGTAATATATGCTTCGCAGTGGCGATAAAATTTACCAAATGATGGATCAAATGATGACCAGGAACCTTCGCTAGTCGAGCAGTTAAGAATTGAGACTGGTTTTCTGCTATGAACATAGAATGCAGCGATGTGGTTATCTGACCTGGTAGAGTCACGGTCAAGGCGACAGACGAGTATGGCAAGTCTCCCATTGCACGTGTGCCTAGTGACCATGTGTTTTATGTACTGACGCTCACAACCTTTGGCGCTTTAGCTGTGACGTCTCCCTTAGGTCTTAGCATTGGTCGGGTGAAGTATATTCCTGTGCTCATTCACTTTCCCTACAGAAATCATCGCGCTGAACGCTCCGGAGGTGTATGCATTTTTACACTTCAGGCGACCTCATTTTTCATCGAGTCTTCGCACACGCACACACCGCGAGGCTACTATGACCATCGTCCTTGACTCCTCGTTGTTTTTGCATCCTGACAATTCTTCGTACCACAGACCCAAGCGTCCTTTTTGTTCTAATTGATAACTAACCAAATCGTTGGCATAGTATGTGCTGTTGGCAGAAGCACAGTCAGTCAGATCTTCATCTGCCCACAGCCGAAAGCTGGCAAAGGGATATTGCGCGCAAGGTATAGGCTGTCATCCTTTCAATGCAATGATTTCTGGAGTAATACTATCCGAGCAGTATTCTCGGCCACCTTCGCGAGCACTATTCATCAAGGACAATCTGCTCGGCGGGGGTCGCAAGTTTGCCAGGACAATTAAGGAGCGCTTTGCTCGAAGTGCTTCGTTGTCAACCTTTCCTGCTCAAGAGGCTCTTTCGACGCTCGCTACTTCCACTCCCGAAGCAGAGAGACCTGACAGTATAACTGTAGACCCAATCTCTGTACAGAGAACACTCATGAATGCCACCAATAGATCCATCGACTCATTGGCCGCAGAACACATCCTGTGCCCACTATGTCAGACGTCCATCGATTCCTCCCGCCTTCTTCATAACCCATCTCGGGGTTCAGAAGACTTCCGTCACTACTCTGATTGCGCAACACTTGAAGCATCAGTGTCGGATGGAGGATGCCACCTCTGTTCCCTGTTCCTTGGAAAGGTTAGGCAGCAGCAGCAGCAGCCAATAACTGGACCTATTACTGTCACACTTCAAGTGTCGCGTTCAATTGGGATAACTCTGGTGGTTGGGGGGGAAACTGGTAACCAGAGAATAGGTGATCTCGCTGTTGTCCCAGTCGATGACGTGGAGAACCCCATTACCTCCACATCCACTAGTGCAAAATTCACGTTTCCAAATGAAAGCAGTTCCGAACATGCACGGATTGCAAAGTCGTTGGCTTCGGAAGCGTCATTCTTTCTCGCTCGGGAGTGGTTGAAACAGTGTCTGCAGAAGCACCATAAGTGCATGGAGGCAGCCAGTGCAACACGGATAAGGACTGGTCCCAGTCGGCTTATTGATGTCGGGGGTGATGATGGGGCAGAACCCCGGGTTGTAATAACCCAGGGACTGAGTGAGACAGAGCCAGAGTACCTGACACTCAGTCACTGCTGGGGTGGGGCCAATATTCTTCGACTTCTTGTAGAGAATATCAGTAGGCTAACGGCAGGAATACCGTTGTCTACCCTGCCAAAAACGTTTCAGGATGCAATTATCATTACACGACGTTTGGGGTGCGCATCTTATTCTCTTCTGCCTGGGCTGCGATTCTAATGAGTACATATCAGGTATCAATACCTCTGGATTGATTCCCTCTGCATAATCCAAAACTCCCCCTTTGACTGGCGCTCCGAATCCATAATCATGGGCGAAATATATGCTAATTCCACCTGCACCATTGCCGCCCTCACTGCACGCAACTCCCATGAGGGCTGCTTCTTTGATCACGCCCGGAACCCGCTTTTTTTCCGACCGTGTCGTATTCTGGATCGTTGGTATGTCGAAGGCAACTCCAATGTTGGCATTGATTTGCGGACAGGACTATCGCCACTTCCGCTTCACACGCGTGCATGGGTCGTTCAGGAACGGATACTTGCTCCTAGGACACTTTACTATGGCTCTACGGGGCTTGCATGGGAATGTGTAGAGTGTTCGGCGACAGAAGCATTACCGGGTGGGGAGGTGAGCAGATTTTCGCCCAAAGCGTCTTTCTTCGGCATACAACAGCAATCCGACAAGGAGAAATACAACGCCTGGACAGATATCCAAATCTCATATACACGGTGTCTCTTGACGCGGTTTGATGACAGGTTGGTGGCGATATTGGGTGTGATAAAGCGGATTGAGATGTTGACGGGGTGGACAAATGTGTGGGGCATGTGGAGGGAGAGATTATTGATGGATATGCTATGGTTTGTGGAGGAGCCGACAAGGGGGAGACCGGAGACTGATGTATATTTGGCGCCAACTTGGTCATGGGCGGGGATCGAGGGGAGAGTGATGATGGCGACCGGATCTGAGGAACAAAGGAGGTGGACAGCAGAGGTCGTCGAGGTCGGGTCACTTGGGGAACGAGGATACGTTCGGCTTAAGGGAATGATGAAGAAAGTGAAATGTACCGCTGAGTGGCAGTTGAACCCTGGTATCGAAATGCCAGCGCCAAAATGGGAGGAGGTAGACTGGGATCCGGATGTGGTACCGACAGCGGACGACATGGGGAAGGACATGTGGTGCATATTGATTGCAAGGCTGCCGGAGTATCTTGGAAGGGGTGAAGCGTTTGACACCGGATTGGTGGTAGCTCTGAAGGGAGGGGAATGGGTACGGATTGGGATATTTAGACAGCTGCGGGAGGGGAGTGCCTTGTTCCCTGAGAATGTGGCAGATGTTACTGAAGTGGTGATTGTATGAGAAGAGTGTGAGATACATACTCTGATGACACGATCGATGATGTGTAGGCCAATGAAAGTTGTAGGTGCTGATCACTCACATGCCTGTGTTCGCCCCGGGGCGGTTCCAGATAGTGGCCCGGACTTGACTGTTTTTTCTGTTTTCAAGATACTAACTAAGCTTTAGGGAAAATCGTCGCACCACCTGATCTTTCGAGGTGAGCATAGCCTGTAGGTTTTAGATGTTTATGTTGTTTAACATAATTACTGCATTAGCTGCAGATTCGCTATAGATGGAATAACTCAGCAGATACGGGCCTTTATATACATGCGCCTTATATCTACATGTCAAAGTTTGTCAACCTTCCTTCAGAGATTTCCTTTCTGCCTCAACCATTCAGAAGTCGAGTTTTGATGGGGTTAGAGGGTCGGCCAGTGAGTTTCTTGGAATAGGCTAAAAATGGCAAAACTAATGGGATAGTGTTCATATGATCGTAGCTTTTTGTCGAAGGTCAGAAATGGCATTCTGCATCAAATGTGTCGTTCTCACGTATGGATATGATGTTTTGAAGAGTTGTAGATTTCAGGGCAGGATAACCCGTTGGCGTCAAGCGGAAGCCGGCCCCTTCTCCTGAGAGAAGATGCTTTTGTACACCATCTCGTGACCTCTCCTAGGGTGTTATTCCTGCTTTGCCTGTTCGGTTCACTCTCCGGTTCCCCTACAAAATGATCTACAAGTGAAACAAGTCATCTTCTAATACATTGACCATGTCGTTTTCGGAAAAGGAAAAGTTCGAACCTCGACACCTCGAGTCTCAAGGTCATATTGATGAAGAGGATAACGATTCAGATGCAGAGTTTGGGGGCCCCGAAGCTCGTAAGGAGCTCGAGAGGAAATTCATCATGAAACTCGACATACGTATGTCAATCCTCGTGGTGATTTACATACTGAATTATGTGAGCTGTCTCTCCGACGCATATGGGGGCTATTCGTGCTCAAGGCTTACTTGAACTCTACTAGATCGATAGAAATAACGCGGGGTTTGTGCAGTGCCCAAAGTTACATTCCATAAAACCACTTATAACCATTATTGCAGTGCGGCACGATTACGCGGCTTTCAAACCGATCTTAATCTTCAAGGTCAGGAGTTTGCGACAATCCTTTCCATCCTGTATGTAGGATATGTAATCATGCAAGTTCCATCGTAAGGCAGTTTTATCTTATAATTTTTAAGTTCTGTTGACATTGTACCATATGGATTGTAGGAATATGTTTCTGAATTGGATTGGTAAACCGTCCATTTACCTACCTGTGTGTATGATAGTCTGGGGAGTCATATCTATCTTGACTGGTCAGTTGTTGGCTCCTTCCACGTACCACTTCAATCATTATTCATCATATCGATGGTTTTGCCAGGTGTTACCAAGAAGTGTGTTCGTTGCAAGAGTGTTAATTAATCGTAACTGATGTCGTGCTGTAGCTTTGTGGGTGCCCTGCTTACGCGCTTTTTCCTCGGTTTTGTGGAAGCGGCCTTTTTCCCCGGCTCTTTATTTCTGATCTCGAAATGGTACAAGCGAAAGGAGGTTGGACTTCGAACAGCTCTACTGTATTGTGGAAATATCATTAGCAATGCCTTCGGTGCTCTCGTCGCTTCTGGGATACTAGATGGTATGCAAGGTAAGTTAGGGGACGCTGCATGGAGGTATGTCAAGCTGTTGCTGTAGATCACTGTCAACCGTAACTCTGCGATCATGCACAGATGGTTGTTCTACATCGAAGGGAGTCTCACTGTCTTCGTCGCTATATGCGCCATCTTCATTCTTCCCGATTTTCCTCGCAACACTAGTTGGCTGACCCCACAAGAACGTCGCCTTGCTATTAAACGCATGGAAGAGGACTTAGTAAACAGTGATCCTGAAGGAGAGGCTAGCCAAGCAAACGGGCTTAAGTTGGCGCTCACAGACTGGAAAGTATGGTGGTTTGCGTTTGCATTGTGCTTGCAGATCGTTGCCGTGAGCTTTAACATGTTCTTCCCGACTCTAAGCGCAACAATGGGTTTTAATCCCACTGTTACGTTGTTGCTTTGTGCTCCACCTTTTTTAGCTACTGCGATATTTGCATTCTTCTTTTCAAGGCGAGATTTATATGACATCAATTCATATTCTTACTCATTATATCTCCTAGGCATTCCGATAGGGTAGGGAGAAGATTTGAATATATCGTGGGCTCCGAAATTGTTGGCATAATCGGATTTATCATTGCAATGTCTACTATGAATACTGCAGCCCGATATGTCTCCTTGTAAGTATCCAATTTAGTTCAGCTGTGTTTTCATCGTTGAGCTTTGGATAGGTTCCTGATGGCTCAATCTTATGCTGGCTTAATTGTATTCTACGCATGGATGAGCAATTCCTTCCCTTGGCCATCGTCAAAACGGGCTGTTTCCATTGCGTTTATCAATGCATTTTCACAGCTGGGTAATATTGCTGGCTCGTGAGTGTTTTTTTAGTTACTTCTATCTTGATTTGGGCCCTGCTGTGTCCTCGTGATAACACTGGGTGTCAACAGGTATATTTGGCCTTCGAACTGGGGCCCGTCATACCGCTACTCATACGGCATCTGTATTGCAACATCAGGCTTGAGTATCATCATGTGCTGGATATTCAGAGAACATCTCTCTTCCCTCAACAAAAAGATGGCTTCGGAGGAACAAGCGAGAGGTGCAACGAGAAAGGGCTTCCGGTACCTCCTATAGTGGAGAACTAGTGGAGTCGGACTCAGATACTGTTCCAATGAGCTAATAGTGATTGCTATTGTGTACGTCGTATTGACTTTGTTACTCTATCTATGTTGAGAAAATGCTTCCGGTTTGACGAGATCTAGATCTGTTCCACAGTCCCCGCTGCTTCCTTTGCCTTCTCCACTCACTTCCTCCGTGTTCTTGTGACCTGCCGGGCGTCTGACGCTCAATTCTCGATTGACCGAATAGGGCTTCCTTTGGACTCAAGTACCTGGCATATAGATATCTACCAGGAGAGCCGATGCTAGTACTTCAGTTCACCTATCTGCTATAATGTCCTCAAACTTGTATGATCCCGAAGCAAAGGCTGGCTCGGTTCATGAAATCGAAATCAAAGGTACTAATGATGTCAACAACGTGCTTTCTGACAGCGAAGACAGAAAAGGCCACTCTGACAGAACCTCACTGGAGAAGAAATTTCTAAGGAAGCTTGATATACGCATGTCAGTGCTGGTGTTGATCTACATATTAAACTATGTGAGTTTCATAAGAGTTATGTGAGGACCTAGTTTTATCACCTTTTCTCAGATAGATAGAACGAACACAAGGTATGGTCCTCACCATTGTGTGTCTTTGTAGCCGCCTTCATTATACCATACATAGCTCGGCACGTCTACAAGGTTTCGAACAAGACCTACATCTTCAAGGGCAGCAATTCTCGACTATCATGTCTATCTTATTTGTCGGGTATATTATCATGCAGGTCCCATCGTGAGTCTTGTGGATATATGCCAATTCCTACTAAATGATACTTGATGTGATACCAGGAACATGTTTCTGAACTGGATGGGTCGTCCGTCAATCTATTTACCTGCTTGCATGAGTATCTGGGGAGTCATCTCCATACTGACAGGTTAGTTATATGTTTTATTGGAAGACAACACAGCCAATAAAGTCGATCTAAATTTTAGGAGTCACCGAAAAGTATAACATTGAAATTCATCAACGCCAAGTTGTATTCTGACTCGATCATTTCTGTTCTTAGTTTCGTGGGAGCACTTCTAACCCGATTTTTTATCGGTTTTGTTGAAGCGGCTTTTTTCCCGGGAGCGTTGTTCTTGATATCTCGCTGGTATAAACGTGACGAAGTCGGACTCAGGACCTCAATTTTATATTGCGGCAGTCTCATCAGCAACGGCTTTGGCGCACTTATTGCATCTGGGATCTTAGCAGACATGCAAGGTAAACTTGGGCATGCTGCATGGCGGTAAGTCTAACAGTCTTCCGCCTGCACCAGTTGAATGATCAGAATTTTGGCAGATGGCTCTTTTACATCGAGGGCAGCATCACTATATTTGTGGCTATCTGTGCGATGTTTATTCTTCCTGACTTCCCCGAAAACACTCGCTGGTTGACTCCAGAGGAAAGACAGCTTGCCATCACACGTCTCCAGGAGGATGTTGCGAAAAGCTCCTTAGATATAGACCTGAATGTTTATGTTTCGCCGTTGCAAGGTCTCTGGATGGGCTTAACGGACTGGAGGATGTGGTGGTTTGCTGCAGCAGCAGTATTTCAGTTGCTAGCCCAGTCTTTCTACATCTTTTTCCCTACACTCAGTGCAACAATGGGATATGGTACCACAATTTCCTTATTGTTGTGTGCGCCACCATGGGTGTTCTCCGCCTTGCTTGCGTTCGTTGTATCACGGTATGTGTTCGTCAAATCTATCTCACTCCCAAATTGATCTCGATGATAGCTATTCCGACAAAACCAAACAACGTTTTATCTTCATCGCGGTGTCTGAAGTGTTCGGCATCGTGGGATTTATCATATCAATCTGCACAATGCACATCGCGGCAAGATATATTTCCCTGTCAGTTTGGTCACCCTTTAAATCAATGCCAAAACTCATGATTGGTGTTTCAGCTTTCTTATGGCGCAAACATATGCTGGTCTCATCGTGTTCTATGCTTGGATGAGTAATACATTCCCCTGGCCTCCTGCTAAGCGTGCGGTTTGCCTTGGATTTATGAATGGCTTTTCACAAATAGGAAACATTTCTGGGTCGTAAGTTAGTGTAAATCTTTCACGGTCTACTTACGATGATATTATTTTTGCATAGATACATATGGCCTTCCACATGGGGCCCAACGTACCGCTACTCGTACGCTATATGCATTGTCGCTGCAGTGGTATTCGCCGTCATGTGTTATGTGATGAGCGCGCATCTCATCTCCCTCAATAAGAAAATAGAGAAAGAGGAAGAAGACAACGGAGTGCTGACACCTGGATTTAGGTACTTGGTTTGACGAAGTAGCGCCAGATTTTATGCAATTAGTAAGTGAATGTATAGGCTGGAACATGTACGAGTAGGCTACCTCCCACAACCTCTCTTTTGAGCCCTCTCAAGTCTCACGGTAGCGAAGGTTTTGAGAAAGGGACTTCGCAGTTCCTGTAGTCCTTTCAGGTCAAATGATCATCCGTTGTGGACTCCCTCCCCTCCCCCAACATCTGTTTACTGTTTTCGGTTGTCAATGTGGCTTAAGGACCCTAGATAATGGGAGGAAATTTTTTCCAAGAAATAGTATGACCGTCAAGGAGTGGGAAGGGTGGGGGGAACAAGCTCCAGTTTCCGCAAAAGTAAAAGCACTGCGGGGGTCGAGACCCAAATGTTATATTTTCAAGCCCAGTTGAGGGTGGAGATACGTACGTCGCATTGTATACTACTATCTAAGAATCACTTATCTCAAGTCTATGACAGTTCTATTTCTGACATTTGTCCTGAGGTTATCTACAGCACAACAGTTCTCCCGGCGTCTTTCTTTGGCATCCCAAATGTTCTCGTGACCCAGGTCTGACACTCTTTCCTGATATCAGACTGGCGTGGCTTCTTGACTAGTGCCCAGATTATAGGTACTTGCCAAGCAAAGCTAACGACGGAGCCTCGTCTTTTATGCTGTTTCAATGCCTCCTAGTCCTTTTGACACAATGCCAATAGCTAATTCTTTACAAGGAGCCGAGGCCGGAGATCACAATGAATTACATGAACTACGAAGTGCATGTGAAAATGGCGTTATCCATATTGGTAGAGTACAACCGGAGAAGAGATTAGTGAGGAAAATTGACATACGAATGTCGATATTAGCAGTGCTCTTTATTTTGAATTTTGTGAGTATTACCAGTGAACTTCGAGCGATTACCGCTCAACATTTTGCATCAGATAGACAAAACAAACATCAGGCGAGGCCATTTAACTGCGGTCTTTTATATGTATATGTGCTAACCCCTGCCGAAACAGTTCTGCACGACTTCAAGGCTTCCAGCAGGACTTACATCTTCAGGGACAGCAGTATCCAACCGTTTTGTCCGTTCTGTATGTTGGATATATTATCATGCAAGTTCCATCGTGAGTCTCACTGGGTCTGAAGACGTATTCACTGCTGAACCACGCATGGGAATATTCGCAGAAATATGTTTTTGAACTGGCTTGGGCGCCCTTCGATCTATATACCCTCTTGCGTTGTTATCTGGGGCACTATCTCGATTCTTATAGGTTTGTGACATATTCCCCAGTCTTGCAGTGTTGAGTAAAACTTACCGAAGTCGAGTGGTTCAGGAGTCACTGAAAAGTAATTGTACTCGCACCCAACAGTGCTAATATGCTGATTCCTGGGTAACTTTTATTCATAGCTATATCGGTGTTCTTCTAGCACGATTTTTCCTTGGTACCGTCGAATCAGCTTTCTTTCCGGGAGCATTATTCATAATATCGTGTTGGTATAAACGTGACGAAATTGGACTTAGGACCTCCATACTCGATTGTGGCAGTCTTATCAGTAACGGTTTTGGTGCTCTTGCAGCTTCTGGAATCCTGAGCGGTATGCAAGGCAAACTCGGACACTCTGCATGGAGGCAAGTCTGACCTCTTTTCCAACCATTTAAACCGATAAAGCATATTCCTGGCAGGTGGCTTTTCTATTTCGAGGGTAGCATTACTATTTTTGTTGCTCTCTGCGCAATGCTTATTCTCCCTGACTTTCCTCACAACACTCGATGGCTTACTCCAGAAGAGAGGCAATTTGCTGTTTCGCGCTTGCAGGAGGACGTGGCAAAGGACTCTGTGAATGCAGAAGAAACTACTCATGTCTCACCTTTGAGAGGCCTCTGGTTGGCGGTCACAGACTGGAAGATGTGGTGGTTTACTATCGCAGCGACTTTTCAGATTCTGGCACAATCTTTCTCTATATTCTTCCCAACCCTCAGTGCAACGATGGGGTTTGACACAACCATCTCTTTACTATTGTGTGCGCCGCCATGGATTTGTGCAACATTTATCGTGTTCAGTATCTCACGGTATTTCCGTTCAGCTTTGTGTATATTGCCTTATATCACTGAATCCTTGCACTAGCTACTCCGACCACACAAAGCGACGTTTTATCTTTATACTCGTGACAGAAACAATTAGCATCATTGGTTTTATCATCTCGATGTGCACAATGAACACTGTAGCAAGATACATATCTCTGTGAGTGCAAGTCATTGATGGGGCTACTCAAATATATTACTCAAATGACTTTTTTGTAGGTTTCTGATGATTCATTCATTTGCTGGGGTTGTAGTTTTCTACACATGGATGAGCAACACGTTTCCTTGGTCCCCCGCTAAACGCGCCGTCTGTCTTGCGTTCATGAATTCTATCTCTCAACTAGGCAATGTCTGTGGATCGTAAGCAGCCTGTTGTCTCTGCTGGTTTCTGAGTCTGACATCCCATATTTTCAGTTACGTATGGCCTTCGACATGGGGTCCATCATACCGCTACTCATATGCTATTTGTATCGCCTCGACAGTTTTGTTTATTATTATGTGCTGGGTTATGAGTATGCACCTCGCCACTCTGAACAAGAAGATGGCGAAAGAGGAGGAGGAGCGTGGCGCTCTGACACCTGGCTTTAGATACTTGGTTTAATTGAGCGGGCTCCTTACACCCTCTATATATACTATTGTTGACCGTCACAGTGGCTATATGTACTTCGTTTCACAAAATGTTCGTGCAAACAATGTCTACGCTGTTGTGGCTAAGACCTCAAGGCCTCATGATCAGCCACTTTATCTCATGGTTGATGCCAAAACATCCAGCTCATTGTTCTCAATAACGAACTTGGATTTCTTGCTCAATTTCAATGTTTTTGACTTATTTTTTATATTTTATATTTTTTTTTCAAAATTTGATATTATACAGGTAAGTAGAATATTTATATATGGTTAGAGAGGTACCATCGTGTCGTTTTTGGTGGTTGACACCAAAGGTGGGCTCCTATTGTCATTCGCATAAGAGTAAGTATGGCTTAAGGACCTTGCATGCCGGGAGAGAATCCCTTCCGAGAAATTGTATGGCCGCCAAGGAGTGGGAAGGATGGAGAGGAACCGCCGTGGCAAACTTCACCGAGAAGCATTGTGGGGTGAAGATACGTACGTCGCATTGTACAATTACTCTTAAGAATTGCTTATCTCAAGTCGATGACAGTTATAGTTCTGAAATTCGTCATGACGTTATGCACAGCCGCGGCATTTCACAGTTTCTCCAATGTCTTCCTTTAGCACTGTGCATGTTCTCGTGACCCTGGTCTGGCGCTCTTCCTGGTATCAAGCTGACATGGCTCCTTGAATGGCGTGCCTACACAATAGGTACTTGCCAAGTGAAGCTAACGATTGAGTCTCGTCCTTTTTGCTTTTCTCCATGCCTCCGAGTTCTTTTGACACACTAGCGACAACTACTTCTTTACGAGGAGCCGTGGGTCACAATGAAGCGCATGAACTACGACGTAGATGTGAAAATGGTGATATTCACATTGATAGACTACAACTGGAGAAGAGATTACTGAGGAAAGTTGACATGCGAATGTCGATCCTAGTGGTGCTCTATATTTTGAACTTTGTGAGTATTGCCAGTGAACTTCGAGCAACTATCGCTCAACATTCCCCTCAGATAGACAAAACAAACATTAGGCGAGGCTATTCGAATACAGTCTTGCATACCTGTGTATACTAAACGCTGCCAAAACAGCTCTGCACGACTTCAAGGCTTCCAGCAGGACTTACATCTTCAAGGACAGCAGTATTCAACCGTTTTGTCCATTCTCTTTGTCGGATACATCATCATGCAAGTCCCATCGTGAGTCTCATCGGTGTTGAAGGCATATTCACAGCTGACCCACAAATGGAAATATTCGCAGAAATATGTTTTTGAACTGGTTTGGGCGCCCTTCAATCCATATACCCTCTTGCGTTGTTATCTGGGGCACTATCTCGATTCTTATAGGTTTGTGATATGTTCTCCAGTCTCGCAGTGTTGTTTTAAACTTACTCGAATCGAGTGGTTTAGGAGTAACTGAGAAGTAATCACACACGCATTAGACAGTGCTAATATACTGATTCCTGGGTAACTTTTATTCATAGCTATATCGGTGTTCTTCTAGCACGATTTTTTCTTGGCATCGTTGAATCAGCTTTCTTTCCGGGAGCATTATTCACAATATCGTGTTGGTATAAACGTGACGAAATTGGACTTAGGACCTCCATACTCGATTGTGGCAGTCTTATCAGTAACGGTTTTGGTGCTCTTGCAGCTTCTGGAATCCTGAGCGGTATGCAAGGCAAACTCGGACACTCTGCATGGAGGCAAGTCTGACCTATTATTCAACTATTATAGCCAATAAAGTAGACTCCTGGCAGATGGCTTTTCTATATCGAGGGCAGCATTACCATTTTTGTTGCTCTCTGCGCAATGCTTATTCTCCCTGACTTTCCTCACAACACACGTTGGCTTACTCCGGAAGAGAGGCAATTTGCTGTTTTGCGCTTGCAGGAGGACGTGGCAAAGGACTCTGCAAATACAGAAGAAACTACCCACCTTTCACCATTGAGAGGCCTCTGGCTGGCGCTCACAGACTGGAAAATGTGGTGGTTTACAATTGCAGCGACTCTTCAGCTTCTGTCGCAATCCTTCTATATCTTCTTCCCAACCCTCAGTGCAACGATGGGATTCGACACGACCATCTCTTTACTATTGTGTGCGCCACCATGGATTTGTGCAACATTTATCGTGTTCAGTATCTCACGGTATTTCCGTTCAGCTTTATGTATTTCTCCTTATTACTGAATCATTGCACTAGCTACTCCGACCACACAAAGCGGCGTTTTATCTTTATATTCGTGACAGAAACAATCAGCATCATTGGTTTTATCATCTCGATGTGCACAATGAACACTGTAGCAAGATACTTATCTCTGTAGGTGCAAGCCATTAATGTGTTTACTTGAACCTATTACTCAGATTACCTTGTTATAGTTTCCTGATGATTCAGTCATACGCTGGGCTTGTAGTTTTCTACACTTGGATGAGCAACACGTTTCCTTGGTCCCCCGCTAAACGCGCTGTCTGCCTTGCATTCATGAATTCTATCTCTCAACTAGGCAATGTCTGTGGATCGTATGTGGCCTGTTATCACTGCTGATTTCCAAGTCTCTGACATTTCACCTGTTCAGCTACGTATGGCCTTCCACATGGGGTCCATCGTACCGCTACTCATATGCTATTTGTGTCGCCTCAACGGCTTTGTTTATTATCATGTGCTGGGTCATGAGTATGCACCTCACAACTCTGAACAAGAAGATGGCGAAAGAGGAGGAGGAGCGTGGGGTTCTGACGCCTGGTTTTAGATACTTGGTTTGATTGAGTAGGCCTTTTTAACATCTCCTTTACCGTTGTTGACCGTCTATGCTATTCTTTGCCTAGAAAACGTTCGCGCGAGCTATAGTGCGATGGTTCTTGATCTCAATAGTTTGTCTGGTCAGACGATATCACCTGTGTGCAGCATGATGCACATGTGTGTTGGTGACTAGGTGACTCTCGAAGGTAATCCAGATGGTCCCGTTCAGAATGAGCTGCCCCTTTTCTTTCCTACGACTCGCGGCACCAGGCTGACAACCTTGGAGTAAAGCCACAACCAATACACAGTATGCTCATTTGGTTCGAATATGCGCTGGCATATGGGTCCAAGTAGGACACCCTTTCGTCTGCCTGAATTCTGATTTTGTCGAGCCCCATGTCAGCAACGAGCTCGGTTATGAATCCTTTTGACACCGAGCCTCAGCCACAGGACGGGACGTATAGACATGCACAACTTCATATGAACTCTGTTTGCAAGTAATGAACGCTTCTATCGTGTAAGTCATTTAAGTCATTGACAGAGTTGGTTAATCTGAAGTGATTTGAGACGCTGTTGTGCGATACAACTGTAATCCCATCGATTTACTAAATAATGCTAGGGCACTGCTATGGTCGCCATTCTACATCTTGGCCTTGACGGCCTCCTTGACCTTCGCTTTCTGCAACGCTTCCATAAACTTTTTTCCATGTTCTGCGTGATTGTGAAGATTAAGATGTTCTAGCACCATTTGACCTGGCGAACCCTTCAACCACTCCTCTAACGAGAAATCTTCAAATTTTGGTGCCCTGAACACTTCCAGCATCTCTACTTCTTCACCATCTCCTCCAGTATTCTCTACGTAGTGCCCCAGACTGCGAGGCACAATCCCGACGTCACCAGCCTGATAGTCAAATGTGCGCGCATTACCACTTCCTGCGAACACTGTGACGCGGGCATGTCCACGGATGAAGAACGACCATTCGTCTGCGTTGGGGTGCCAATGCAGCTCGCGAAGACCATGCGGTTCGATAATCACGTGTGCAGCAGAAATGGTAGTCGAAACTGGGAAATTGGATGTGTCGGTAATGCGAACTTCACCACCTGGAGTTTTTAGGGGGCGTTGCGCTAGCATACTGTGGGTGAAGCGGTGCTTAGATTTTGGAACAAAATTAACGATACTTGGAAGTGGAGAGGGAATCTCTCCGCGAAAGATATATTTCTCTGTGGAATATGATGAGACGAGCTGAAAGTGTGGTGGATTTTCAGCTTTACTTACCCTTTTTCGATAAATGGTCAAATACCGCAGGATCAAGCCTGAAGTTTTTGGCGACCACGTCTTTAGGTGTGTGGGAGAGCCAGTCAGACAGCAAAAAGGTCTCATCTTCCGAGAAGTTTCCATCGTCAAAGACGAGCATGAATTCACATCCCCCTGGCCCAATACCTTGAATCGAATGAGGCCTTCCCCTTGGGGCGTACCAAATATCACCCTTTTGCAAATCGGCCTCGTATGCACCGCCATCAAGATCGAGCACTGTAAATCTGGATCGTCCCTCAAGCATATATGCCCACTCCGCCTCACGGTGCCAATGAAGCTCACGGATCGCGCCCTCTTCAAGACGCATATTGACACCAGCTAATTCAACAGATGATGGGAGCTCGCGGACGGTTGTCTGACGGGCCCAACCTCCCTCTTCGATGCGGGTATGTGAATCTGCGAAAGACCACTTTAGGGAAGGGAGAGTGCCGTGATCGGTTTGTGGGGGGCGTACAAGAGAGGTAGCTTGTTTTTCGCGATCATAGTTTCGTGGTCCAATAATGTTGGATCCAAGAGAGTCTTGTTTTGGTTCGATAGGTGGCTTGGGAGGTGACATTGTGGACTGCGAGGTGGGGGTTGAAGAAACTTGAAGGATGCAATGAGAGCTTTTATATGATAAAAACCGAACAGTGACGCAGCCATGACGCAGGGTTCGACAGTAGATCGGAGAGTTGCGGTAAACTTATTCTGTAAGAGGAGAAGTTGCGTGCAGACTTGAGGTTGGAAAAGAGGAAGCACCGTTGGGACCATCAAGGGCGCCCGTACAACGTCATAGCTATTTATGTCATTGAACCCAGGTTATCAATAGCTTGTCAATACTGCTGAGAACCAATCGATATGACATTGCTTACGATGACGATCACTAACCAATTCATGCTAACCGCGCCCTGTGCGCTGAAGATACGACCTACGCAGACGCATCGGAGTCCGAGTCTGTCAGTGACTATGGAAACTAGATAACAAAGATAATGTTCGAATATAACGCCAACCCAGAAATGCTGAAGCTTACTCGTGCTATTAACCTTCTTAATCAAGTCCTTAATATGTAGTGATGGTCAAAAGCAAAAAGCTCGATTTGAATCTCGAATGAACCCAGAAAAAGTCAACACAAATGACCCTGCATTAAGAGGGAATCGAACCCCCGGCGGGTCGATGGCAACGACCCAGGTTACCACTACCCCATTAATGCTTATGAAATGATTGACGCCCGAATGCTTATACCTGAACGACGAGCAGACGTTGGCAGTCGCGTTTGCAATTGGCTGAGGCTGCGCTTGGCGAGGACATATAATACGACATCATGCATCATATCTTGTGCGCTGCCATCGGGCTCGAGTAACCAATGCACCATCGTTCAGGGCTCGATATTGTAATGAATTACGATGTGCCGAAGCAGGCACTGTCAGCTAGAGACAAGCCATTCCTCATGCAATTAGTATTAGTTCGTACCAGGGATGAGAAAACGCTAACGGACTGAGCCCAACATGTCAATCCACAGTCGATTCATTCCATTTTTAACCTAGCAAATATATGGGACTGGCAGGGTACTGTACAGTACGTACCTCCAGAGCGAAGGGCGGGTACTCCGATAGCGGGACGAGGGAAGGAGAGGTCCGTAAATGATACGATGGGAATCTTCAGGAACGTGCTTTCGACTAGGTGTACAACTCGAATTGCAGTCTGGTGACCAGAAATTCAATGCGATGAACTTCACGATGTAGCATCCAGTGAAGAGGTGAACGAAGTAGAGATCAAATTACTGAAGCTACATATTTCTAGAGGAGTATAAGATACATCTCAGCGAGGTAAGACAGGAAGGGGGTTAAGATAACGGTACTAATAAGCTTTGAGTCAGTGCGAACGAAAGGTCTGGACTGATCATATCACGGAATAACAACATTCTATGAGATTCTATGAGAACGTGGCCTTTGTTTTTGTTCCCACATAGGTGCTGATGAAAAGCCTCTGGCCAGGCGGGAGGATATGTTCCAAGGGAGCTTCGACTCCGCCCGCAAGGATACCCACGCGCATCATTGAAAGCAGCTTTTTGTGTTTCGCACATAATCAGCAACACGCGTGATGGCCGAACAAATAACAGAAACATACATTGTGAGCTGCGTGGGAATGTGCATATATCCCTCCAAAGAAAGACGCCGTCATGTCTTTACCGGCGTTGTGAGTCAACAACGCTTGTCCTCCAGGGTGGCTGTCCAGGAACAGGGAAGCGTCATGAATGAAACCAGATATGAGAAGGAGAGTGCGGGACTTCGATTCTTCTTGGACTGTACGAAGGTGAGCAAAATTAGAGTTAGGCCGTTGAGACGGGATAAGTAACAACGGAACTTGAAGTGAAGGAACATACATGTTTCCCACGTTACTATAGGTAACTCGCTAGAAGGTACAGGCCACTTTAACGAATCTTGCACATCCTTGAGAGCCTTAAGTTTCATTGTCAGCGCACCCTTTTCAATCTCGTTGCTAGGGAACACTCGAAGGTGCGAGGCCAAGCCAAAATAATGGCATCCGGCAATGAACCACTTGGTAGGGTCATACTGATACCACCGGAACGCATTCCTGGTTATAACGCAAATGTCGTGAGCTCGATGTGAAAATATAGACAGAACAGGACGATGATGTACCGGTAGTCCATGGGGAACTGATGATGGAAATTGTGGTAACCCTCGCCCATGGTAAGGAGGGCGGACACGAGATGATCACGGGGAGAGTGCTTGTCATCATATGGCGTGCTCCCAAGGTAATGTGCGATTGAGTTGATGCAAAATGTGCTCTGGAAGGTCGATCCAAATCAGTACATACCAACCAGCCAAGGCGACCTGAATACAAACATGATGGCAAACAGTCATGCGAAGCGCCCCAACAAAGAAAAATCCACCTCTCCAATCTCCCCAACAAATACCAGGAATAATCATTGGGAGCAAATAACCGAATACTGTTAGGATGTAAAAATACCAACGATGTTGCCATTGTACGAGCGGATCTTTGCGTAAGTCGGACACATCAGCAGGACCAGTGCGGAGGTCCGATTCAAAAATCATCCATCCAATATGGGTCCACAACAACCCGCGTTCCGAGTTGTAAGGATCAAGATCGGTGTCGGTGTGACGATGGTGCGAGCGATGACGCCGGGCCCACCAGTAACAAGAACCTTGAACTGCACTTGCTCCAGCTAGCATCAAGATAAACTGTAACGGAAACGATGCATTGTATGATCTATGGGACCAAAGTCGATGATAGCCTGTTATTGCCTCGACTTCAGCTTTACTGTGCCCAACGGAGATTCATTTCACCTCAAACCCACCCGCAGTTATACCTGATTGTGTTCTGTCAGTAGGCTCGGAAGAACGAAATGCATTGACACTCACCTAACATTGAAAATGTGTAATAGCACACAGAAGCAACAAAAGTCTTGAGAAGGAAAGGGACATAGAGAAGCCCATAAATCGACAGCGCCGGAGTGAAGAGTAATATGAAAAGATTGAACCAACGAACTCCAGTGATGGTTGGAAAATCCTTGGTAAGGTCGCGTATAACTTGAGTAGTGAACATGTCTCCGGCGCGCGACACTGAGTGAACAAGAAAGACCGTCAGGTATCAGATTACACAGGTAAGAAAAGGCTTTGTTACCAAGCGCTGGGTTATATATGAAGCTCGGGTTCGTCAACTGTGAGACAATATAAAAAACTTCCGCCTAGTTATTGTCCGAACGTCGAAACGTTTCGACTGATTCCATGTTCCGGACTCAGTCTGTCTGAATTACAATGCCTGATTTGCGCTCGGTTCGTAAAGACAAAAGCCGGGCATCCTGTGTCCAAATTCAAGCCCAGAAGTTTGAATGCAATCTGGATGAAACCAGAACCTTGACATTGGCCAACTGAGTGTCTGTAGTGAGGCACAGGCTGTTAGTCAGTCAGGATTATGCACTAAGGATCCTTGAGAAACAAAGGGATGCGCTGGGATGAAATTACTGGAGTAAGTAACTTACTAAGGACCTGTGCGACTCAGCATAGGGTTCAACTAGTAAATCGAGCTTCTACCTCGAGCGAGGCGTAAGAAAAAAAAAATGAATGAAACGCACGTCACCCAAACTGTTGCCCGTCTGCTTTTTAACTATCCTGCGCTCCTTGTAGATCCTTCTGTTTCGAGAACTGCAAGCCATAACTTCGCCCCTCTAATTAAACTGATGATAGAACCAAGGATGCGAAAAACGTCGACATCTTGGGTATTGTGAGGAGTGTCAAACACCGTTCAGAAAGGTTTAAGCGCATGAGCAGCAAAAGCACCCGAATACCAGATCAGATGAGTTTCCTGAACAATGTTCTTTCACATTCGAACGCTAAAACATGAGCCATAGGTTTGATCAAAGGACGTATATTCTGGAGAGACTCATCATCGTTTACTGTAGACCGCTCAGCTGCCTGCAGTGGCTGGTCACGCTCGCCCCACCGCTGGCACGTGCACTCGATGCAAGCCAAGCGATAAATGTCGAATTCACATTTTCTGAACAAGAGCACGAACTTGATGGTTGACAAACAAAAACAGTTCCATGTCGCCGATTCATAAATCACTATGCTTTTGTCTTTTGTCTTTTCCCAGCCTTTGAGACAGACGACACGCGTATGTTTCCCCGGCGCCTGCTTCAATCATTGGCCTGCCACGGTAGCTGGCCACGGTGTCATGAGACCCGGGCCCGGATATTCTCCACCTCTTGGACTTACCGCGTTGTTCTTCCTTCGAGAAGGGTAAACATTTACACTGAAGAACTCTGTAAGTGACTCATCTACAAGATCAGTTGATCCTTCTGCCTCCGGTGTTCACTCGACTGGGATCAACGTCTACTATGAATTGGCTATATCTACTTCCGTGCGAACATCAAGTTAATCGATATCCATCATCAGCAGATTCAGCAGGTCACGGTGCGATGGGCTCAAAGCCCATGCTTTGATTGTATCGTAAGGTATGGTCACCACGTTTTGAAGGTTCAAGTTTATACCAACTATGACCGGTCCGCTGTAATTCATTAGCTCCTCCAATTACGATAAAATTGTCAAATATGTCAGAAATATCAATAGAGCTCTTTGATTCTTCGACAGTGTCCCCACGGCCAACGGTCATGCGACCTGGCATGGTGTACTGTCTCTAATCGGCTGTCCGTCCCCGAGTTACGCTGTCTTACGACGATGGATAAAAGACCGTCAGATCCCACAAGTCTGTCCTGGACCCCTTGTTAGTCTTAGCTCTCTGCTAAATTTCCTTTTTTCAGTGGTGCCAACCATTAGCAAAGAGCCCTCGACAGAAGAACATATCAACGAAAATTTAACGTTCATGACGAAGCTATCAGTCTCGGCGGTCGTCGTCGCTCTCGCGGCTGCAGTCTACTCAACTGCAAGTAGTTCAGATCTAACACTTCCTCCTCAGGCAGTGGTCAGCAATTCCTTACTCTATGGGCGTCTATGAATTTTTAATGATCTGCTGCTTTCTAGTATGTCAACCCTCTTTCTTGGAACGTTCTTGGTGCAAACAGCACGCTATTCCGTAACTCGTCTATTGATCAATTCTTCAATCCTACCAACACAACTTCGCCATTCTTCCAAGTCTTCGATCCATCGTTCCTGAACATCCTAGGACCTAATGCCAACTTCCGTACTATTGTGGCAAACCCAGGATTCGCATTCGCTCACGAAGCGCCCATCTACGACGCAGAGTCTAACATCCTATATTTCTCGAGCAATGATGGCGGCCCACTTGGTTACAATGGGTGGTACAACAACAGTGTCGTTAGTATGCTAAACATGACGGAGGTTGAGGAGGCAATAGCCAGTACCAGCGGAAATGTTAACATACAAATCCAGACGGTATGTACGATTGCCTATATGGCCATGTATACTTTAACGCTGTCTTATCACAGCTCCCGCTTCCCGATACTGTTCAAATGACAAACGGAGGGACTGGCCCTTACAAGGGTGATCTCCTTCTCGTTACTTCCGGGCGTGCTCTTCTTCCACCATCAGTAGTACTCGTTAACCCTGTCTCACCATACAACGCCACTGTCCTCCTCGACAACTTTTACGGAAGGCAGTTCAACTCACTCAACGATGTAAAAGTGCTTCCAGGCACTGATATCATCTACTTCACTGACCCCACGTATGTGATCCTCATACAGTACATGAAATTTAGTACTAAATTTACCCAAACACTGTATAGATACGGATGGTTGAACAGTTTCCGCCCAGAACCCTTACTGCCATCGCAGGTTTATCGACTTGATCCATCTACTGGACAGGTTCGCGTGGTGGCTGACCAATTCATAAATCCCAACGGTGTCGCTTTCACCGCAGATGGCAGGACAGCATTCGTGTAAGTCTGGTCCCCACGTTCGAATACCCTGACTCCTGACTGTGGGATCGATCTAACAATACACCCGCAGCACGGACACCGGTGTTTCTGATGGCTTCCTCGGCTATAACCAGACATACCCTGCCACGATGTAAGAATTCTCCAATGTCGGGTTATCTACAATTGATATTCATTTCTTGGTAGCTATCAGTACGACGTTGACCCAGCTACTGGATCATTTATGAACCGCAGAGTGTTTGCTTACGCTGACACTGGTGTTCCCGACGGAATCCAGCTAGACACCATGGGGAACGTTTATTCTGGGTGTGGGGAAGGAACCCACGTCTGGAACCCTGAAGGCACTCTCATCGGAAAGTTCTTCATCAATTCCACTACGGCTGAAATGATGTTCACCAAAGCGGGATTGGTAATCCTGGATGAGGAAACGATATATCTGGCACAGATCCAGGCTCAGGGCACAAACTTGGTGACACTCTAAAAGGAGGAGACTGCTATCTTTTGAAGGCAACCTGGACGGTTTAGATCCTGAGATAGGCCTCGTGTATAGATAGGAACTTTGGACTTGGTCAGCTTTGATGAATCAATCGATGTATATTTTACCCAATGTTCTGCACTCGTCGAAAACTATTTCAGAGTCGTTTTCCACCACTGTCTCGCCGCTCTGCCTTGAGCTCTGCCCTGTCGCAAATCCGGTGCGACGTGTACCTTAAGTATAAATGTCCCATCACAACACGTGCAGTAGACGCAGATGCGGGATACAGACGCCGGGCCAGCGGAGCATCATTGGATATATTATCCATAAGAGGACTACAATCATAGTCTTGTACTCAGATTTCCTTTGTATCACTTTCTCTTCATCGACAAGACAATGTATACAATGTCGCGGACGACAAGCTTTCGCGGCCCTGGGCGATCCAGGAGTCGATCTAACAGTGATCCAGGGTATCCATACACGCCCCCATACCGGACTGCGTGGCCACCACCGGCACGCAGACAGTCAACTGACCCTGCACCTCCAACTAACGAATCAGTAGAGTCGCATGAGCAACTACAAGCGCGCATTGCACAGTTTCAGCCTCCGCCTGGGTCTCTCCTCGCACAACAGCAACAGAACGCATCGCGCTCCCCGACGAATCCCTCGACTCCGCGCTCACCTTCTCCTCACCGATCTCATCGTCGCTCGACTTCGTCCGTCCGGCGAGGACCACTCATTCCAGTTCCTCCACCCCCGGGCAGAACGGCGCTGACGACACCTCCACATACACCTGGGCCTCATGTGAGATCTTCGTCGCAGGTGTCAATTCATACTCCATCATCCGCGAATTATATCCCTCCCCAACCTGTGCAGGGGCATGCCTCTATGCATTCAAGTTCACATCACAGCATGCAGCAAGGGACACACTATCAGGGCACGCACCATAATAGTAACTCTCAGCATCAGAGCCCTTCGCACCAGCCCACACACCGCAGATCACGGTCTCGGCCACCCAGTAGGACCTCACATCACCGTTCAACAAGCGCCACAGGAGCTGCTGCTCTAGGGACGCTAAAATCACCTCCAGCCAGCTCAGTGACGCTGAACGCGTCCAGAGTTTCGCTGAATGCTACCACTGCACCGAAATCTTTGGGACATCAAACAACAGTATCGTCAGCCCATAGCGCTGCTGGACAATACCCTGGACAACCTACCAACAATGCCCACCAATCCCAGAATTTCCCCTCATCTGAAATGAGATCACGATCTCTTCCCAGAGCCCAACCTAAGACAGTCAAAGAATCCCGACCGGACCCACCGAGTACACCTGCAGCAACGAAAACCACGCCTCAACGACCCCCATTGCCGCATGCCACAACCAGTCAAATGAATACCGAGTATGTGAACATGCTTCTTGCACTCGATGGGATTCCGCGACTGCATAACATGTATGCATCCTTCTTCACGTGGATTTTGTTGGCGGGCTTTGTCTTGTTCCCTGGCACATTCACAACATGGCAAGAAAAAGGACAACAACAGGGACTAGGAAGCACGGTGACTGAGCTGATAAATGCTGTCCAAGACGTACCTTTGTAAGTGATTAAGAGTGCTATTAAAGATGACTCTGAGGCTTTTGTTTAGATACATTATCGCCTGGATTTGCACGGGAATTGGCGCTGCAGGTATGCTTTGGCTCTGGTGGAGATGGAGAAACAATTACGTTTGGATTGTGAACCGTATTTTTGTGTGAGTCATGAAATATGGTCAACTTTTGGCTTAAACGATTTGCCCTGACATAATACAGCCCTGGGCTTCTAAATTCTTTAGCAGGAATAATATCAACAATCACCAGCGTCTATGGTGGGCACCAAGGAGAGTTTACTACGACGAGCAAATCGACGATCATAGTGACAGCAGCTGTTGCTTTGGTTTGTGGTGTGTTGACAGGGTGGTATCAATTTTGGAAGCTGAGGCTTGTTAAAAAGCAGCACGACAAAGAGGTGGGCAGGGAGTTGACGGGAAAACACGGGGAGGGAGTTCTGAGCGGATAGCGAAGACAGAAAGGCAGCTGGAAGCTTCGTGTCGTCCTTGGCGGCACGCGTTATTTTGTGTTTTTATCTTGTAATGGTTATTTCATGTGTAGATTTTGGGATTCAAGAATATCGACCTCTACACGAATAAGTCGCCTTCTGTTGTATTTGTATGCAACACGGAAATATAAGCATACGAGTCCGTCTCTGTAATGTCTTAACGGCAGAAATCATTGTAAGCAGCAATTGAAGTGGCGAGTTGTGATATAAAAAAAAAAAGCTTGCTCTCCAATGTCTGATGTGTAATAGCTCGTATTTTCACGAATGGGCTGAAAATGGCGGAGGAGATTCACAGGTGAATAAAAGAGGAGTTATGATTGCACAGCTCTCGAACACATTCTGGATTGCTGGATTGAGTCCGTTATAGGCGGAGCCTCATCTCGTTGAGACTACGACTAAGGTCACGACACGCTCAATAGCGATGCTACCTTCGAGGCAACATCTGATGAGGAAAGGTTATCCAACTCAACGTGCTTCTCAACTCCGCGCTCTGTTGACCAGGGACATTATTCCAATGTGTGATTGTGACGAATACGATTTAACACTTACCAAACCTTGCGAATACTCTAGCTGGTGTTCCACTTGCTTCCCGTATCATAACTGGCAAGTCAGGATTATGTTGCTTGATCGTGGGGTACGTAGACAATATGAACTGGCTGTCCATGTCCATTCCATTCCAACACGCGAGAACATGAGCACCTCAGTTCCGTTTCATGCGAAAATGAAAACGAACGTGCTCACCGTGTCCCTGCGGATGCTTGACCGGTCTGCGAGCATAGAATGCGTATTTCACGCAGTGCTGGCGACAATGCCTTTGCAAACGAGGCCATGGGCGATAATAAATTTAGCTGAGGCGGTCGGTGGGAGGAAATGGGAGGTTGAACTTATGTAAGCGGGGGCGTGGATACAACGCCCGGTTGTTGTTTTCGTTGAAATCGTCCGTCATCCAGTGAAGCTGCGGCCCATCCCTGGCATTTGCGAGCGAACACGCCTTTGCACTTGACTGTTACAGAACATATCAATGGACGACGAACAGAGACAAGAAGACTGGCTCAACAGCAGGAAAAACAGGCTGCCCTCGTTCACTGAAGTGTTGTCGAGGAGGACGCGTCCACCTGTCGACTTATTCATGTTTTAGTAAGTTTTTGTGCAAAAAAAGTATTTAATCGTGTGAGCTTATAATCTTATCGCCAGCCTTTTCCTCCAACGCGAGGGTGCAGAGGATATTCTCGACTTCTGGTTGGATGTCCAGCAACACGAAAATCTGTGTAGGGCGTATTTCAAGGATGTGCGAAAGTCTGGGCGAACCATCAAGGATGATTGGCCCCAGTACTGGGAGTATGCAAGGCGTCGCGGGTCTATCTACGGTACAGTTGTAGGTTTGCAGCCCAATGGTGGTGGGACGAAGCGAAGTACAGCCAGCACGGGCGATATGTTGACCGAGAACGAGAAACGTGCTTTAGCTACCACCGGAGACGAGAAACACGCAGGCATGCGCTCAGTCAGCCCACGTTCACCCACCCCCAACCTAGATGGCGCTCGTATCGCATCACCCAGCGAAGGCTACGAACCTCCGCGGTCAACGACGCCATTTTCCTTGTCTGGTCGCACACCAACGCTGTTTAACAGCAGACGCGCATCACGTGCACCAACCGTTATCCCGCGTTCGACTGCAATTACACGGCTCGATCTTATTGCCTCTGCTGAGCGCATATTCTTCCGCTACCTATCCCAGGCGGGCAACGCTGTCAACTCCCAAGAAAATCATGAGATATATCTGCCACCTTCCTTGCGCATTCACAGTTTCCCATTGAGTAGCACACAAGAGCCCAAGACGCAAAGTGAGCTGAGTATGCTGGCCCAAATCCCTGATATGTTCCATGCCCAAAAAGAATACTGCTTCCGTGCAATGGAGCAGGACGCGTTCCCCCGATTTTTGAGAGCTAAAGCTTTCGGGAACTTGACTCCCGTATCATCTCTAGTGAGGCTTGTGGTTGGATTGATAGTCCTGTGGATTGGTTTGGCGGTAGGGTTCTCACTTATATTCCTTGACGTGCATCCAAAATCCAAGCGGTTCTTCGTACGTACAACTAAATTTTATATCTCGTCCATTGCGCAACGCTCACTCTTATACTTATGTGTTTGTACAGCTCTTTATCCCATTCACGGTTGCGATTCTATGCCTCATCTCTCACCAATATGAGCTGGATCCCATTCTTGTATTCTTGCGACAGTCGGAAACAACACCGTTCCGCACGCTTACCATCCGTGAGCCGTACGTGAAGAAACTACTCCTCGGTCGCGCAGCCTGGGTCAGCACCCTCGTGGCGGTGTGTGTTACCGCCTTAACATTGATCTTCTGGGCCGTCCCAGGCCATCGACTGTAGTGGATATGAAGGGTTGTGATCGCACACAGCCAGGCAAGGGGCATATTTGGTTTTTGGAACCCTGGATCATGGAGAGATTAAGGATAAGAGGCGCTGGTGTTTCACAGCACGGTGTATGATATTTATCAAGGGTCGCTATTCTCGATTAGGCACAGTTGTAGCTGGTGGTGATCAAGTTTTTTTTATTTGTTCGTCGTCGCCTTTTTATTTGTTCGTTCCAGTTCTTATCGTTTTATCTCCAGACTCTATTACTATTTTATAAATTTTACTACCTCCCGCTCGCTCCCCCCATACCCTCCTACGAAGAAGTCTACCATTTTCTTGTTTGCAATGTCAGTCCTCAGTTATCCATCATACTAGTTATCGTCGTTACCGTTCATTTGTTGGCACCCGGAACTTCTTTTCTTTTCTTATATTCTCTACGACTTTTTTTATACGTAGAACGCTAGTCTCTATCTTTAATGCCCCCTCCTTTTTATGGGTCCATATCATGATTTGCCTGGAATTGATTATGTGGTAGCCGAACACTACAAATATGATTGAATTGCTATGAATAACAATGCTGTTGATGATATCATAGTAGGACACTGAGTGACATCAAAAGTGTTCTTATTGTTGTCTCTAAGTTGTGTACATTTAGCAACAAAACAGTGTGATAGCATCGAGGATAGCATTAAGGGTCCGATATATAGAGCCATCCAGTTGTAAACACAACAAAAGATCTAGGATCTAGAGCTTGGCAGCTATCGTACGCAGATTCGTCTTTAAAATCTTGCCCGTCGAGGTTTTCTAAGAACAAGGTAGGGTATCAAAAATTATGATGGTGAAAAGAGTATGAATGATCTTACAGGCAACTCTTCGACAACTTCAACCCATTCAGGACATGCAAAACCGGGCAAACGCGTCCTTGCATATCGCTTCAGCTCGTCACCAAAAACATTGTGCTTGCCTTTCCAAGCAGACACATGTTCCTGACGCAGTGTTACAAAAGCCATTGGCCGTTCGCCCCATTTGACGTGTGACCGCGCTACTACTGACACTTCCAGCACGTGCGGATGACTAGCGAGCTCTAAAACAAAGAGGAATGTTAGCCTTGTCAAGGTATACCTGTTACTTGGGAGGTGATTCACCTTGCTCTATGGCGAGACTCGAGGCATTCTATTAGAAGTCAGCGCCGTAAGAGAAAATTGAGACTAATAACGAGACGAACCTCTCCCCCAGAAATGATGATATCCTTGCTTCTGTCCATGATAGCTATCACCCCATCGGGATGCATCACTGCAAGGTCACCACTATGGAAGTAGCCTCCTCTGAAAGCCTTCCTCGTAGCCTCCGGGTCGCGGAAATACTACGATCATTGGTCAGCAAATAGATTGCGCGATCAAGTATGTCGATTACCTCTTTCATGACTATGTTTCCTCTAGTTGCCACTTCGCCGACCGTCTTCCCGTCCTTGGGAACATCTACGACTTCTTGGTCGTCCTCGGACTTCGGAGGATATACGACGCGTACTTCTTGGGCAGTGGCAAAACTTTGGCCTTGGCGAGCCATGAGCTTGGCACGTTCTTCTAGAGAAAGCAAAGCCCAGGAAGGTTGATCATAGCACCGAGTAAAAGGGCCGTAAGTCTACGATGCATGAGTGTAACTTATCAAGATGAGTGAATGCCTCATAGATACCTCGCTGTAAACGGACACGCCTATGAGCCTGAAGTCACATGTACATAATAGTGTAGAGGACATACGTCAAGCCATATACATGTACGGGCTGAATGCCTTTTTTTTCTAATTCGCCGATGAGATGAGCAGTAGGCGCTGCGCCAGCAATGATAGCTGATATCGATCGCGGCAGTGGTCTCGCTGCTGGATTATTGACTATGCCGATCTAAGAGGCATAAGTACAGCCATTCAATTTTGATCAGAAAGCGAGGACAAACCTGGACAGTGGGTGCACCGCAATAGTGGGTCACTCCAGAATTGAGAAAATGTTTCCAGATCTGAGAGTAGTCTACTGTCCGCATCGTTATCTGACAGAACGTTACTTTCGAGAGATTAACTCCACGAATAGAAATCGACCAACCTGAGTAGCGAAGGCAAATACATTAGCCCATGGGAACGTCCATCCTGCGGCATGAAACATGGGAAGGATCCTGTTATTGAGTAGGACATTGCCTTCAGATAACGGATGAGGATAAGCAAGGCTTGAGGCCCACCATAAATATGTCGAATCCTTGCTAATCCTAGATATGTGTTTAGGTGAAATATCTCCATATATAATCTCCATACGTACTGTCCCTCCACTACGTTGGCAATGGCTGCAAGATAAGAACCTGAAAAGCTGCATGATTAACACACGAAACAGAGCCAATTTCTTTTGACCGACCCCTCAAGGTTGTGAGTACACCTTTTGGCTATAGATGCGTTAGGACAACTACGATGCTGGGTGACGATACTATACTACTTACTCGACCTGTTGTTCCTGAACTAAATTCAATAGAAAAGTGAATCAAAACAAATTCACACAGAATGATCAACATTCACCAACGTGTAGCACAAAACCGCTCCAGCACCCTCGTCAAGTTCCACATCTAACCCTGCCCAGCCTTTTTCAGCACTGAATCTTCGCCCAGCACTAAGGAAATCTTCATATGGGTCACCGATTCTCCCAGTGTCGTTGTTAACAATGAAAGGGATCTTGAGTCCTTGCACCAGTTGCATGAGTCCTCTATCGATCAACAAAAGTTTAGAGCCGGAATGTTCTAGTATATAGGCCACCTCCGGAGGAGTGAGACGGGTGTTTATTGGAGTGATAATTGCGCGAGCGGCAAGAATTCCATAGTGTGCATCTGAGCGTTAAGAGCAAAACGATGTGTCAAACTTCATAAAACGATAAGATGATAATTGTGGACCTGCGATCATAGGTCTGGTTCGTGTCAGCGACTGATAGTCCACAATAGTGATAAACCTCACGAATTGGGTGCCAGCACTGCTACACGATCACCTGGTTGGATGCCGGCCTCGATAAGGGCGTATGCCAGATTCTGAATGCGCTGAGCCCTGGCAGGCGATTAGTGAGCATTCACGGGTGGTTAACACAACATGAATATGGACACACCATATACGATATGTGAAGAAGGTGGGGTATTCCACATCGGGGTGTGCGAGAGCTAATTTGTCGGGGTATACGGTGGCAGCACGAAGGATAAATGGGAATGGGTTCTGGGACATGTAAATACAAATCAGTCCTCATACGAACTCAAAAGAGATTGCGGCCCTTACAAGGGGGTGTAAGTGAGTAGGAAGTCCGCTAGTCTGTTTCTGCTGGTAGCTCACGTTTGGTGGGGGTATACTCTCCCGTGTGGGTTGAAAGGCGTTGATAACTATTCTGAAAGTCAATTTGATTGAGACTACCGTGGTAAGATATAAAAGACTGACTGAAAACCATAGGTATACCTCCTCAGTCACGGTAGCCTAAAAGACGGTCAATTTATGCGGCGAAGTAACTCACAAGTGCTGTAACACTTGTAGTACTAGTGAAGCCAACTATATATCAAGCCACGGCCGGGCGGGTAATGATAGTGTTCTTCAATGTACCGTGTCGGCCATGATCGACGGAAAGGGCCGGGTTTTGCTACAACGGTCACGTGATTTTGTCACTTTGCTACAAACTTGAACGCGTTTCTCCTTGTTCCCCTGAATTTAGTCACGGTAAGTAGTAAGTTCTCTTCAAGGCTTCAAGCAAGCCCCCAGAAGTTGAATAGCGCGTTTTATAGGACTATTACCATGCCAAAACCACTTTTATATATCGCGTTCCGAACTCCGAGACCTAATATCTAAAGGACAAGAAAATTGGAAGTGAGTCTTTCTCTCGCACTACGATGTGTTGTTGAGACGTAAGCATTATATTTAAGCCAGGCGGGACTTAGCGTCCAATATAGAAGTATCACAGGGTCGCGTTGGAAGTAATAATATATGAAGCGTGACTATCTATATTTTGCAATGCATCGAGATAAACAATGATCACGGTGACTCGCTACTGGCAAAGTTAAACTCTACGGTTAGAAGGTTCGCTGGCGCAAAAATGTATAAAAAGGTATGCAGTTACTCTGTATAAGGGTATCACTTCTATCACCTTTCACAATCCAACTACGAAATGTCTTCCGCTCCCAAAATCTGGTTCAGTGAGTCCATTTTCTTTTCAGTGCAAGTCGATGGTCTGGTTTCTCACAGACACTACCTCTTTGTTCCAGTCACCGGTGCCTCTACAGGTTTTGGCCGCTCCATGACAGAACACCTTCTCAACAAGGGTGATATTGTTATCGCTACCCTTCGTAAACCTTCCGCCCTATCAGACCTCTCCTCAAAGTACCCCGCAACGAGACTCCTTGTACTGAAGTTGGACGTCACAGACCAAAACGATATCACCGCTGCTTTTGAAAAAGCCCGCACCGTCTATGGCCGAATTGACGTCGTCTTCAATAACGCTGGAGTTGTGCTTGTTTCAGAAATAGAAGGCACTTCCGATGAAGCTGCTCGCTCGAATTTCGAGGTTAACTTCTGGGGGGCGGCGAATGTAAGTAAAAAGGCTGTGGAATTTTTTAGAGAGGTCAATAAGCCGAAGGGTGGGAGGTTGCTACAAGTCACATCGGGCTGTGGCATCAAGGGTCACCCAGGAGTAGCGTTTTACAGTGCAAGGTGAGTTATTTATCATCAGTTCAGTCGACATATTCTAAAGGATTGTTTCGCATGAATAGCAAATTTGGTGGGCTCTTGATTTTAGCTATATCTACTTTGTTAATGAGCTGTGTCAGCCCTGGAAGGTTTCAGTGAGTCTCTTTCCAAGGAACTCGATCCAAGGTGGGACATCAAGGTGAGTTCTTCTCATATAGAATTCTCCCTCACACTCATATCCATACTCCCGCTAGGTCACAATCATCGAGCCCGGAGCCTTCCGCACAAACGTAAACATAAGCAGCAATACTACTGAACCCGTCCACCCAGCGTATACAGATCCGTCCCTTGAATCCGCCAAAATGCGTACATTCCTTGCCGCGGGGCACGCTCTGATCGACGGTGACCCAGATAAAGCTGTCGCCGTCATCGAGAAAGTTGTTCATCTGGATGACCCACCAATGAGGCTGCCGGTGCACAAGGGAGCCTTGGCTATGCTTAGGGAGAAAGTGAGGAGCATGATTGCAGATGCAAATAAATATGAATCATGGTCAGACGACGTGTGTGTTACTGGTGCCAACGCATAGGATGGCACTGGCACCATTGACTGGTATGATATCCAATTTTAAGATACAACTCATACGTTCATCTCCTCTCATTTACCTACCATATACTAGATTTCTATCATGATAGCGCGATCATGTTCTCTGCGTAGTAGCAGATCATTGCACAAGCGTTCTCAGATTAGAATATAGACGGGTCATTCCATCACCTCCTAAGTCAGACCGACGATGATACATCTGTGGAAAAGTGCCACGCCAAAACTGCTATTAGAGCTCTGAGCAGCTTTTTGCACTCGGCTAACATCGGACTTCACTGCAGATGTAGTTCACAACAAGTGAAACAGAAACGGATCAAATATGTAAGATATTCATACGTAACTAATAAGCTATTGTACAATTGAAAAAAAAAATGTATATATTGGATATTCGAGCTTGAAAATGAGGGGTTTTGGCCCAATTCAGTGCGGCGAGTTTCTGAAGTTTTGAATGTAGACATACAGATAACAAGATAGGATAGCGTAGCGGCGTGTTGAAAATGGGGAATCAGAAATCACGGAACATAACACCACAAAACAGCCAGGATTCATCATCCCACATATCGATGGGATCGCCCTCATCCTCATGTACTCGGCCACCCACGAACGTATCGTTCGTGCTTAAGCAGTTGACGCTCTTTCAGAATCACGAGTCTTTACCCATTCGTCATAATCTCGTTGGTAAGCATCAATGTATGGCTGTTCAGAGGAAAAGGGTACAGATAAAATAAAAGTCAAGTTAGAGGTTATAACGGTCAGTGCAACACCAGAGACATACCTGCTTCTCAGCCTCTGGGAGTTCTCGCCATCGCCGACCTGACAAGCGCGCAATACGAAGTGCAGCAGGGCCCTCAGCTGTCTTACCTTCGCGACGGAGTTCATCGGCTTCAGGGCTTAGGCGGAAGTCAGCTGCGAATCTATATGGAATAGGGGATAGTTTAGTAAAATGCTTGTATCGGGATTACGTTGCAAAAGAAATCACAAATCGTTGTGATAAAACTCACCTGAAATAAGTGGTTATGGGAATGCCACGGCGGAAGGCCCTTGTCCTCTGGAGACGTTTCAAGCCCTTAGATTTGCGTTTCTTGTTGATTGCAGCAAGCATTTCGCGGGGGAGGGAAGCCCAGTAGTCCGTTGCAGCTTGCTCATAAGCAGCCTTCAATTCTTTATGCTTCTGTACATAAGGCTGCATGCATGTTAGAAAGGTTGCCAGTATAACCCAAAAAGAACAGTAGGCCGTTACACACCTCCTTTTCTTCGTCACCGAGCCCTCTCCAAACTTTGGCGGACTCACTTGCAATAGCTTGGGTATCTGAGATAGATTTCGCATGCTGACTGATAACACGTTCCGCGAAAAAGAGAACGTAAGGGTTTCCTGGGCGAGTTGGGGGGAGGTCTGCCTTCTTGACCTTCACTGTTGTTATAAGGTTCAAAGCAGATATTAGTTAGCTCGTAATCTATGTATAAACAACATGACGCCTATGTACTTACGGACAGGTTTCTTGGCCTTAACTCTGGTTTTACGCTTAGTTTTACTGATCCGTGATTTCGTCGGTTTGCTTTTCTTCTCAGCCAGAATCTTCTTTGCAGCTGACCCAACTGCCGAGGACTTGGACGCCTTCCTGGTTTTCGCTGCTGACGTTGACTTTTTCTTCGCTGTTGTCTTGGAACCACTCTTTGGTTTGGCTGAGGGGAAGGCAAGACGCGATGTTGTGAGGAAAGTGCGACGCGCCGCCGCGGTATTCACGAACGACAAATTCAGGGTTGCCGGCGTGACTCTGCTGGAGGCTGCGGCGATGGGCATGGCCCGTGCACGCGCGAGGGTGCGCAGGACGGGGAGGCGTGTGATGATGGGGAGCATATCGTTGTCTGGGCTGTCGTCAGGTTTCAAGTTTTCGTTTTCTGGCTTTTAGGGACCAGAGAGGTTGTCACGCGTTTGGTAGGTGTGACATGTTAAGTTACGCATGACATGAATGAGCGTGACAAAGGATCGCCGTCGCCGTCGTCGTATGCATTAGTACTTATTGTTGTCGTCGTTGCCCACGATGGCGACGGATGCTCCTGCTTTGAGTCTACGTTTCGACCCCAACTCACTCCCGCTTGGTCAACTAGAGTCTCTTCGATTCAAAGCAGTCCAAATCATTGAGTCTATCCAGACTCTCCAACGTACACTCGATGGCTCGTTGGGAGGAAACCCAAATGTAATGCCAGCATGGCCGGACATTCTCACAAAATATAATATTTTACTTTCGCAAACTCACAGTTTCTCGCAATCTTTACTTACTGTCCCACATTCTTCTTACTCGTCCCAATCATCTTCCACCCATTCGGCATTTGAGCGTATTGCTCTCCATCCTTATGTTCCATTACCCGACACACTCCTCGATAATTCCCTCACCCCTCTTTTGCGCAATCAACAGACGACAGATGTCCTTCGCATGGAAAGTAATACTGTAAGGAGAATTGCCGAGAAGATGCTTCCCAGCTTGTCGGGCCCAGCAGGTCCTGCAACACATGAAGTTACCATTTCCGCCATGTCTGCCGTCCGTGCTGCTCACGATTCGCGCGTTGAGCGTGCAGTACGCGCTGTCACAATGCTGAGGGAGCGATACGAGTGGCGTCAACGTGTTGAAGTGGAAATAGAAGAGCCTGACGATGTTGTCGAGGAAGAGGTTCAGAGTGGGGAGAGCCCACATGACGCGCCTATGGATTCGTCCCCACCTTCACAGACACCAACGCCTACATTTACACAAGCACAAGCACCTACTCCTAATCTCCAGACACCAACGCCCACTCAGAATCACGTTCTCAGTCACTCTTTTGATCATGATGGCGACAATGATGGGGATGAAGAAGAGGTTGAAAGTGAGCTCGTTGATCGCATAGACGGAGATGGCGATAGTAGCGAGCACCTTCTAGCAGGAGGAGACATTGAAATGACATGACATGGACAAACGAAGAGTTGGCTTGTATGCACGTTTTCAGATACCGTCAAGGGTCCAACGCACTTCAAGGCCTTCGAGGACGTCGCGAATGTCTACCTCAACTAATCTTGTTATCGGGACTCCGAGTCCTATCATGACAGTGTTAGTGGGCTGTAGTGATGCATATACACTATCAGAACATGTGGGCGTCCGTCGACCTTTGTACATTCGTGATTTTATCCACCGTTATTCATCGGATACGCGTCGACTCTGGATCACATACACGCTATTTGCCTTCCTCACGACATGGTGTCATACAGTCTGAGCTTGTTATTATCAGTGTAATCAGTCACTTTTGTCTTCAATTTTTGAACTTGCAAATCCTGTTTATATTGTCGACTGAAATATCTGTCGACCTCTAGGGCGTTGCATTCCGGGTCAATCGGATTTCTCGAGTCGGGTGGTCGTCAAAGTATTCTTGGACCTCACAGCGTAGCAGGACCACAACTGTAATTCATCGTGTTATCCATTCCAAGGAACTGTTAATTTCCGAAACGCGTGCATTTACCACCTAATCATCAACCATGCAGAACTATAGATCATACAGGCGTATAAGATTGCAGTCTGCCTTGATACTATGCAGTCAAATGGATATTTCCCCCCACAAAAAGGGTACTGTTAGACTTCAGATTGTCGAGATTAAGGGGACCTGCAAAATGTACCAACCAAGTAGCACATTCTGAACCGAAAAGATGCTCATAAAATAGCGACAAATTGTCCTCCTGTTGTTCCGAGCTCGAGCATCTCAATCATAGCTGCGTGTCTCTAGAAATATATTAGAAGTTGACTAGATATTGTACGTGCACTGTTATGACTATAGCTCCTGTTGTTGAGATAATATACATGCATTAACTATCAGATACAAGATATATGATTCAAAAGACACCCTGAGCAAGACCCTTCACAAAGCATAACAGATCAGATTTAGAGAACGTCAGACATCATGAGGTCCATTTGAAGATGTGGAATCGACAGAGGGTTCAAGTCGATGGTCTTTGTCGATTTCTGTATATTGATCTTGAGTGACGTTGACCTGCAAAGCTTTTATTGAATTTTCCTGGGGATTATTCGATAAGATCGTGCGGTTTGGGTTGAAAGTTCTAATTATGCGATTCTTGGTTCGAACTTCATCTCCCTGAGGCATTGGCTTTGTCATAGCAGTACGGACCATGATCATATAGGAGGTAATGGATATGATTGGCATAACCTAGATATCCACATTGGCTCGAAATCCATTTAGGAACACAGTTAAATAGACTCACCATATCCAGCAGTACATATTGCCCTCGATTTTGCGTGATAAAGCAGAGGAAGACGACTAAAAGTGTGATAGAGTACAGAAGGCCTGTATCCGTGATGATGCGCAAGAGCGCCAGCAGAAAGGTCTTCCGAGTAGCAATATGGTGATCGATGGCCCATAAGCGGTAAGCCAGTAACGCTGTAAACTATGATGCTTAAAATGCATAGTGAGAGGACTGAACGATACTTACCCGTACTAGAAAAGCTCGATACCAGCGTACACACATAATATGCGGTCATCCAGCTACCGGTTCTTGTGGAGAAAAAACCTGTGGAGCCTGACGAAGTTGACGTGATGGAAGCCCTTGCGTAGCCTGACCCAGCAGCTAATGGCACAAAGAAATCAAGATACAGGTCAAGAGGGTACTGAGCGAAAAAATCCGTACCTAGCACACCACACCAAGTGACCACGGGGAATGCAATAATAAGCAGCGACTGCCAAACTACGTAGCAGCTTCGGATCTACCAGCCACGTTAAAGACCGAGACTAGATGGCCGTATGCCACCAATGTTGGACTTACTACAACGCCAATTCCCAGTAAATTCTGAATCAAGTATAAGGAATCCCGAACAATGGATATCTGTGATTCGGTGTCTTCAAAGTAAGCTAGTGGACCGCCTTTGGCTTTTTGGTGTGACACCAGCCCTTCCTCAAGCCGCACTATGCCTAGTATTATGTGCTGCACCGTTGTATCGTTAGCCATTAAATAGATTGAAACCGCTACTACTGCACTTACAGCTGTATTGATAACAAGTAACAGGCAGGCAACTATGATCATGGGTTTGTTGCGTGCGTAGCTGTTGCTTCTGCGCGTCAGTTCCCAAGTTATGCCAAAGAACATTAGCAAAGAAAACCCTACGGATCCTCCATGATTCAGCGGCTTCTATTTTGCAAAAACATTCCCACTCACCGTAGAGAATTCCTTCCAGTATCGCAGCTAGGAGGGCACCTGCGTCCAAATGTATCCCGTTAGGCTGCATTTGTCCTGAGTTGGTAGTATCAAATGGAGCAGCAGTGTGCAGTTAAATAGCCCACCTCTTTATAAACCTGTTCGAATATGCTTTATATATCTTGATCGCATCACAATGTGATACACTGCACACCGCATCAGGCATCATACCGGTCAAGCTGTCATAGAATCATGATATCGCGCGCCAAACGGTCCTAGGATTGCCGTGACTTGGTGGATCACTCGAGCTAGAAGTATAAAATGCCTCTAATTCTGTGTTTTAGAATGTGAAATGGGTACACCGTCCTCATGCGAGGAGTGGCTGAATCTTTTAGCGCTTACACGAGGTATGATTGCCATGCAGAGCGGAGCTGAGGTATTTTTCAGGTCGTCACGGCTAACATGAGTCCAAGTAGGGTAGTCGCCTTGTTAGGCCGCCTTTAAACTGGCTGGGCTGTGTGATCTTGCATGTTGCGAGGGGCGATAAGCAGGCGTTACTGATCAGAGGTTTGACAACATAGCCCAACTCCCACACTCACCAGCAATCAAGGAATGATCTGAGAAAATGCATTTGACGTTGTCGCAGCTCTGAGCAGTCCAGGCTTCCGGCGTCAATATACTAATACTTGTAATCGTAACTGGGGGGACACTTTCGAGCAGCATGGAAAATGAAGAACTAGCACAATTACTGCTCAGCTGCTTCGAGAGAATCTGAAAACATGAGCAGAGAACACGCACGATATTAATTCAAGCAATAAAAGTCACAGATATGCTCGGGTTCAGCTTGACGAATATGGAACGCTAACGAGCATCTACGGAACGGTCCTTGAGGAACATCGATGGTTTGAATGTAGAAGTGATAAGGTACGACTTGATTCGGAATTACTGTGAAGGCATATAGAAAATCCACAGAAAGGATATATATATGATGCGGCATCTGGTCTCAGTATGTATGCAATAGCCTACCAACTCGTCATCAACGCTTTCTATCCTTGAGTTTCTAGATCTGCTTTCCGTCTTCCAACATAATTCAAAACAATGATGAATACCAGGACTACCATGAAGCCCCTATTTCCTTGCTGGCCATCCTACCGAGCCTTACATCCTGGCTAATAACATGGCGCCTCTTTAAGTGCTTCGACACATCGCGGAACCGTATCGCTAGCCCAAGCAAGTTTGGTATGGCAGGAGCACTCTGAGGCAAGTTCTCCTTGGCCCGCATCTTCTCGAGTATGTTCATATAAAACGAGTAGTGCGAGATAGAGCGTGTACCAGATCCTCTTCGTACGCTGGCGGGGGAATACGATGAGAGGATTATCAACGACTCCTAACGATGAATCTTCTGACACGGTTGCAGCCAAGTTTGTCAACTCGTCATTTACATTGATAGATTCCCTAGTGTAGCCCTGCGCAAACGGCCAGCTCGGTCTGGGTGGCATGAATAATGCTTCAAGGAGGGGATCACCCCATAGTGCATGGGTGAAAGTAGGAAGTATGTAAGCTACTGAAGGATCGAAATGAGAACTCGAGGAGAGCTCATCAAATTCAGGTTGTAATTGGTCCATCATGGCTCTGGGAACGACGACGAAAACGTCTTCCTCCGCGCCCGTTACCCACAACAAACTCGGCATCTCAACGTCGTCGAACAAGAATGATCCCATCGCTCGAGCGAGGTGGGCGCGGATGGCTGGTATGTGCGCTTGGATGTCAGGCACATACTTTGTGATGTCAGATTGACTGGACGTGGACAATTCGTCGAGCAGAGTGTCAAGGAGCAGAGTAAAAGTATCTTGCCAAGAATACTGCGTGAGATCTTCGTCAAAATTGAAGCCATCTGCACCTTCCGCCCCTGTGAAACCTGGAATAGAAAAGGAGGGCGTTGTTGAGGTATCGGTGGACGAATACGGGCTATCAGGCACCCCAAAATACTCATTTTGCACTCCATGTAATTCTTTCAGATATATTCCCAATTGTACATCTATGAGAGCATCTTGCCGTGGGGTGAGTGTACCGAGACGTCGCAGAGTGGAGAGCGGAACAGTAGTCAGCTGAGCTCGGCTGGGGGGGAGAGCAGGGACGTCTAGCAAGAGCCAGTGATATGGTATCTCCTTATCCGTCAAAGACGTGTCAATCGCGCGAATTGAAGGTAAACGAATGGATGTGGATGTAGATATCGAAGTCAAAAGTTTGTGAATTGTCGCAAGGGGAAGTGATAGTGATGGATCGGGTGAACTAGGGGACGTTTGGGCCGGTGGACGCGATATAAGAAGGATATACGACGTTGGCAGAGGTGACTGTGATTCTGAAGCAGAGATGGACTCTGGTTTTATCTGAATGAAGTATGCTTTTGTGGATGTGGTATAGCTGTCGACGTTCAAGAAATATCAGGTTCAAATCGCACATCCAACACCGGCCAAGCAAATTCGATAATCATGATGGCATCCATGCATTATGATCATAGTTTATTTTTCAACCTAACCGTTACATATGACCAAGAGCATAACCTCACTCACCTGTAACTATCGTTGCTCACTTCTGCAAAAGACGATATGGAGGCCGCTGGAAATACATGCACAGTTACGATCCGCTGCGCTTGGTCAAGTGTGAGGGTGATTGGAGACATCGTGGAAGCCTGATGTACACTAGAGCGTGCCTCTGAGGACGTACTGATCCAACACTTGGCAGAACTACCTGCGGCTAGTGCTACTAAAGTGGAAGATAGTAAAAGCAAAAATGTCTTTAGCTTCAACAATTCGCGAGAAAGGTGACCCCGGCCCGGGAGCTCCGGGTAACATGCTTTTGGTGTCGGTCCCATCTCTCGTTGGTCTTTCATTTCTATAACTATTCTACTTGACTAGTACCAAGACATTAACAATACATAATCCAACATTTTTCATTCTTCATCCCTATCTAAGATCGTGGCAGCTTCTTCCTAACCCACACCATTCATCACAGGCTTTCTTTTGGAGCGTTGCCGACACGGTTGTACATCCAAGGATCCTCTCACTTCCGACGTCGACGTTGAGAAGAATTAAAACTGCCCACCAGCAGCTATCACCGCCTCCTCTATTTTCCCCTTTTCCACCTTCCTTTTCACCGTGACGCTCCCGTCCTGCAATACAGTTTAGTTAGACTCTACGGCGCCTGGCAAGCATTTCGAAAACCACTGATGATGCATGATGTCCCAACATCATGAGGCAGGAAGAAAAGCAAGAAAAAAACGCCGTGTAAAATTGAAGTAATCAAGTCGCGTACCTGGTTCCCGAAGTACGCCGCTTGCGCCATATGACAGAACAATCCTACCTCAACGACTCCTGTGAGCATCTTGATCCTCGCCATTATCTACTCATCCGTCAAATAACACCATGAGCGCCCCGACACAAAAGAGGTTATCTAGATAGTACAAAGACGTACCCCAAGTGGTTCCTTCATCTGTCCGTTGTCGAACGGCGCATCGATGATGAAGTTTCCATTATCGCTGACGACAGGGCCCGCCTTTGCTACCGCCATCCGAAGCGTGGCACGCGGAGAGCCGAGGATGTGGTGCATGTTTTGGAGCACTTTGGCGTAGGCGAAGGGGACAACTTCGATTGGCACACCAGGAGTGAACTGAGAGTTCATGCGGTGCCACGGTAGTGCAAGAGTTGCAAAGAGGCATGGCGAATAATGGATTTGTGAAAGTGGGAGCCACATATCAGTACTATGCAGGTGAACACGAACAAATAATAACGTACGTTCGTACCAAGGTACTTGACATTCTTGCGGTAGTCTGCTACTAAAATGAAACTGTTTGGTAACAACATATCAGCATAGAGATAAACAAAGTAAAAATCCCAAATCTTGGAGTTTCGAAAACAGAAAAAATGGGAAGAACGTACGTCTTAGCGGCTTCTGCAAGTACTTTCTCTCTCAGGTGACACGCTCCTCCACCTTTAATGCAGTTGAGCTCGTGATCCACTCTGTGGTAAATAGTGTGAATATCAGAGGGTCATAGATAAAAGGATAGTGTTAAATAACGCATGGAACAGTCGCGCGTGTTCCAGTCACCACTGGACGCCTGACAGAAAATTGCACGCCAAATAAAATGAAAAGACCTACTCATCGGCTCCATCGATTGTGACATCGATAGTTGGGTATTGATCGACGTCACCAAGGTTAAGTGCGGAGAGGACGATAAGTTCTTTCGACTGGAAGCCTAGAAATAATTTTCAGAGGTCAGATGAATAATACGTATAGAGGAAGTGTGAGAAAGCTGTCCAACAGAGAAAAGAAACAAAGGTAATAAAGACAGTCGTGTGATGTGAAATTTGCTTCGCTCGATAGACGTCAAGCGATCAAACAACCACTTCTGCACATCACAGGAAGACAGAGTCTGTAAAACGATGACACACCTGTAGGTATAAATACACGATCTTTGTTCAGCTCTGCGCCCTGTGAGACGATGCGTTCGACGACATATGGTACAGTTGAGCCTTTTGCATACGAAGTGAGCATTGGGAGTTAGTAAGGGTACAGAGCAGAAAGGATGCACATGGGCCGCTGGATAAGGCTTACCTGATCCTATGCCGATGACCTGTTTAATATATAAGCATCAACATGTATGCTAATACGTTGCATTTACGGAGAGAATAAACAGGGGCAGAGTGCGCACCTTGTGTTCTGGCAGTATGTGCTTATCTACAGCGGTGTATGCTGCGAGACGCTTTGACTGTTCGATTGCACTAAGGGTCGCTAATGTAGGCGTTGTAATTTAGTTTATGCAGATCGATCAGCACGCAGGTAGAGTGCGACAGCAGCGGTAGAAGGTAGACATATGGGATGGGGTGTAATCGTAATCGCAGTCCAATTGGCAGATTTACAGTTGAGCGAATGCAAGGAGCGATCAATAGGGGACATACCTAGCGGAGGGATACTTGGAGAGATTGGGGTTGCGGACGCCATGCTAACTGGACGAGCAAGAGGCGTTGTACTGCTTTGAATGAATTGGAGCATCGCAGGATATATGTGAAGATAGTGCGTCGGTTGTTCGGTCGATGACAGGGCGATTGGAGAGTATTATTAAGAGATGGGTCGAGTGTGCAAGTTAGTGCGGTCGTTGCGGTGAAGTGTAATCCGGGGCAAGGGCAGTTATTTGAAAAACAGACAGCCAGTGTGATTTATAGGACACAGGATAAGCAAAAATGTGTTAGCATCGGATTCGATGATGGCTGAAATAAGTCAGAAAGGAGATGGCACTTTGAAAGGGGCGTATTGAGATGGAGCTAGAAGGATATGAAATGAACAGGCCCGGGGGCTCCACCACACTAAATTTGTTCTCGCTGTGTACGATCCCATCCATCCCCACCAGCAGAGATCACTTCTATAGCCCAACTGTTGTCCGTCGCTGAGTATGATGAAACGGACTCACGGAATGTCCACAGATGGCAGAGGCATAGTGAGTGTCGACTTTTGTACGGTTAGTATACGACTTGGTGATGCTGTAAACTTTGATGTCGACGACCCGAAGAACTGAGAATGATACGAGAACGTGAATGTTCTTAATCGTATTCGGTTTTGTAGGACACGACCGAGTTCCCGCGAGATCATCCAGTGTCCAAAGCAATATGTGAATCTAACCCAGCGCCGGCACTCTCAGGCTTACCGAAAACGGGACACATCTCTGCCCCCGGCCCTTACGCCCATTCAAGGCTTTTCAAGCACACAGGCTCTCACATACAAACGTGCGCTCAAAGATTCACAGAAACGCTGGGAACGCATTCGACGGCTCTCAAAAGCCTATAACGACGCAGCCCGTCAGCCATCTCCGACATTTTCCATGCTTTACTTCCGGAACCATCAATTCCCAGACTTCGTCCACGGGACGCCATTAATGCATTGGGACAATGTTCTGTGAACGCTCAACAGTCTTGAGTATACAGGTTCGCCGCTTTGGAATCTCACCTGACTCGGAAATAATCTGTGCTTACAATGGCCTCGACACGGATGATGAATGATGGAGTACAGGAAAGCGAGGAAAGTGATCATCATGCTATCACGATGTAGCACCATTTCAGTCGCAATGGCAGATGAAACAGACTTGGGGGTACTGAGGAAAGTCATCAAAGAGACAGCGTCAAAGTTTTCATAATGCAACCAAAGATATGCTCGAAACGTGATGCACTCTCGAATTGCAAGAAAGGTCATGAACATCTCAAGTCGATATTTTCGCACTGGAGGGGCGGGATACACGTGTTACAGCGTTGTCGCGATAATTCAGCAAAATCAGTGTCAGCTCAAGTCGTGAGGCAAAACAAACCCATCTGCTGCTATGACATACCAATGCTTGAAGGATAGAATATCACAGGGCCGTGTCTGTGGCAAAGCATTGACAAGCAGCAAGGCAGGAATCTAAATGTCGAACCTGCTGCGATAAATCGTCAATTTGCACAAGCTCACGAAGCAGACTATTGAAAAGCTGTAACCAGATTCGTCACCAGAACGCACGATTTCATTCACCAAAGTAACAAACCAAAAACCGTATATAGACAGTACCAAATGTACATATTTCACCCCTTTGCCTCTGCATATCTTAGATCAAGCACTAGCGTTGTACTTCTCCAACACCCTCTCTGCAACCACATGTTTCGGACACCTCCTTCCCGTCCACGTCTCAAATTGCACATATCCCTGCTCCAAAAGCACTTCCACACCCCTCACTGTAGCCCAGTTTGGTGCAACACGTTTCGCCAACGCAAGCAGAGGCGTCTCGGCAGGCTTGTACGCCATATCGACCACAACGCCCTCTAGCTTCGCATCGAAGATCGAAACAGGGAGGAATACAGCGTCCGCACTGCCCTCTTCAGTCGTCGTCGCACTCGCAGGCACGGTCGACACGACAACGCTCGGCACAAGCCCTTCGCCAGGCCATATTCCGAGCCTCTCCACGAGCTCGACATGCGCATCGGGGAACGCATCAACCAGAATCTGTGCCTTGCCTGCAGTGCGATTGTAAAGGTAAATGTGTTGTGCCCCCAGTGCCTTCAAAGCAAAGATGGCAGCACGAGCTGTACCTCCGGCACCTATGACGAGGGCTGCTTGGGGAGCACCTAGTGCTGGAGCACGTGAACGGACGGACTCCACGATCCCGAGCCAGTCAGTGTTGTCGCCGTAGAGAATGCGGTTTGTCCCACTGGCATCTGCAAGCCGGGGTACGATGGTGTTCACGGCCCCAATAGCCTCTGCAGCAGGAGAAAGTTGATCAAGGAGAGGGATCACATCAAGCTTGAAAGGGATCGTGACGGAGGCCCCCCCAAAATCTGGAGAGGCGAGTGCAGCCTTGATTCCCTCGCCCACATCAGTAGTCTCGAGAAGCTGGTACGTATGAGGGAGGCCAAGCACTTCGAAGCCTGTGTTATGCAAGGTTGGTGACATAGAGTGTGCTATGGGATTCCCGAAAATGAAGTACCGCTGAGCTGGAAGTTGACCAAGGAGATGGAGCGCTTGTTGGATTTGCGCGTATGAGAGTTGTCCTGGGGCAGCTTTAGTGGGGAGTAGTGGGTGGGAGACAGGACTGAAAGTCGAGTTGAGAATTCTGGACATTTGACCTTCGACACCCATGTTGATGGCAATAATAGGTTTCGCATTAGATGCACTGCTAACTCGAGACACGAAGTCGTATAGTGCGAAGTTGTCCTGTACCGAATTTGCTTTGCCCACTATCTTGACAATATCACCAAATCTAGCCGCAATGTCGTACTTTGCCTTAACACTGGCCTCATTCCATCTCATCTTGCCAGTCCAGTCGTGCCAGGAGGCAATGATCTGGGATGAACCTTTGTGGGAGACGAGATCCTTGATGAGTTTCTCTGGCCACGAAATCTCGGCATCGATGTATTCTGCCCCAATGCGTACGGCGAGGTTGAGTAAGTGGAACGCTTCTTTCTCTGCTTTGTCCGGGAATGATCCTCCCTGCGAGACGGTCCTCACAGTGAAAACGATAGGAAGGGAGGTAGTACGGCGAAGCGCAGCTAGCTGTTCTGTGACGTAGGCCACAGGAGGGATATAGGGGCCAAACGCATCGAAGTCTTTAGGGGACCTCAGGAGGTCAACGCGCACCTCAAGGGCATCCACACCGACAGTGAGGTCCTTCATGTGACGAAGAGCAGGAGTGATGTCGGGATAGGTCAGAGACAGGAAATAAGAGCGCTTCCCTGGCGCCAAGTTGGGAGCAAGATTGGCCTGCTGCCCGGTGACGTGCTTGAAAAAGCGGGAGACCTCGTCCACTGTAGCGTTTCCTGCTACTGACGCGTTTTGCTCAGAGGTGAGAACTCCGGTGTAATTGATAAACTCGTAGTTGCAGCATTCAGCGAACCATGGCTCGCGTCGGCGGAATACATCCGTGACAGGTTCACCATATGCGGGGCGAGCCGTTTCCTCGCCGAGGTACCTTACGACTTCATCGATTTCGCGAACAATATGGACAACAGGTCCTTTCTTAGCAAAATTTTTCAGGAGATCGCGTGCCGCAGGTGTCTCGACAATCCCACCACCAAGGCTGATCACATGTTTTGCAGCACTGGTGGTAAGCAGCTCCTTGAGGATGCCCGTCTCTGCTGCACGGAAAGATTCCCATCCATGCTGATGCACAAACTCACGCACGCCGATTTTGTGCTTTTCCGCAAAGTAGGTATCTGCATCGACGAAAGGCCAGGCCAGCGCAGATGCAGCCAGTTCGCCGACATGCGATTTACCGGATCCGCGCATACCGATAATGACAACGGAAGCAGAGCCATCCTGCGAAGTAGTCCCGCTGGCAGATGCAACCGTATCAGCGCTATCCAACTCAACACCTTCGACTTTGAGGCCGATCTAACCGCAGCAGTCTTTAGTGGTAGTAACACATAGGTAACCTATTGACATACCTTGTTCTCCAGGTCGTCCCACCAGTTGGGCCATGTCTTCTCAACGCATCGTTTTTCTTCTATGATCGTGTCTTTGACCACTGTTCCCAAGACACTGAATGCCATCGCGACGCGATGATCATCATAACAGTGGATGCTGGCTCCTTTTTTCAGCTCTCCTACCGGCTTTCCATATACTTCGAGACCATCTTCGAGTTCGTTAGTCTTCACACCGAACTTGGCTAAAAGAAATCGGACCATGTAAGTTTGAGAGTACTGGTCAAGAATGCTGTCTTACCTAGTTGATCTATCATTGCGCGGATGCGATTACATTCCTTGACCCTTTGGTTAGATATACCAATAATTCGCGTGACAGTAGGTGAATCAGCATCCTTCAACTCTCTCCCTTCCAAAGGCTGGCCAATGGCAACTGCTGCCAAAACAGAGGCGGTCAAGAACGCGTCAGTCATAGGCTCCATGTCAATCAAGCCAATAGCCTTTAGTTGGCCAATAGGTGGACCTTGAACAGTCGTCTCTGTTTCCGTCTGAACAACTGTACACCCCATGGGCTCGAGCACTTCCTTTGCAAACCTAGCGTCACCTTGCAAAGAAGCAGATCCAATATTGGATATGGTGCATGATGTGCCAGTGATGGCAGCGATAGCCAAAGGGTACGTCGCACTGCTCGCATCGGACTCGATGTTGTACTCGGCCGGATTCTTATATACACCCTTGGGAATGCGGTATACATCCAACAGCTTCCCAGTAACGGGGTCTGCTTCTCGCTCAACAGTAATACCAAAAGTTTTCATCATGGCAATCGTCATGTCGATATAGGGTTGAGAGATGACTTGACCGCCAGTAAGTTCAAGAGTCACTGACTCATGCGCATATGGGGCGCATAGAAGAATTGAAGAGACATATTGACTGGAGACGCTAGCTGCCAACTGGATTCTGGCGCCCTTGAGGCCATCTGGCAAGACGGACAGCGGAAGGCACCCTTGAGATTCCAAATACTCGATTTGACTGCCGTTGACTCGCAGGGCATCTACGAGGGGGCCAATAGGACGCTGCTTCATGCGGGCATTACCAGTAATGACTGTTGTCTTCGCGTCCGACTGAGAAGGCTGCACAAGGGTGCAAACCGTTGTCAAGAAGCGGGCAGCAGTACCTGCATTACCAAGGTAGATCTCCTTGCCTTTGGGAGGTACCTGAAGCGATCCTTCACCGCCTTCAACTACGAGCGTCTCGCCACCGTCTTCCCACGAGAAATTGGCGCCCTATATCAGGTGGAACATAAATACATATGCTTAGTCCAGGCAAAAAAAGAACATACTTTAAGCTCCAATAAAGCCGTCATCATAACCTGGGTGTCATCAGAGTGCAATAGATTCTTGAGTCTGCATGTTCCTGTGCCAAGGGCGGCAAGAACCAATGCACGGTTAGAGATACTCTTCGATCCTGGAGTAGCCATACGGATGGGGTTCTTTGTAGGAATACCCGGAATAACTTTTGCGGCTTCAGACAATGTTTTCGCAATCAGACTGTCGGGAACACCTGTAGCCTTTGGTTCGTACGTTGCTCCGATGCGGGATAGGATGACGATCTTTTTCTGAAGCCCACTGTTCTTCTTGTCGACCTTCATAATGTCCAATAGCTTTTCCACAGTCAGCTGCTTGGCCGCCGGGAGACTCGCAATACGAGGGTCAGAAAGGGATGTCGGCAAATTGTACGCCTTTAGGCATCGATTCAGCCGTCCTACACCAACTTGACCTAGAATCCCCATTTGCCTCGAGAGCTCAGCCTCAAGGATCATACCAACGCTGACACATTCTCCGTGAAGGATGGTAGGTGTCAGAACAGCTTCGATGGCATGCCCGATAGTGTGTCCAAAATTCACGAGGTTGCGGAGGCCAGTCTCGCGCTCGTCGATAGTGACGATGTGAGCCTTGACAGAGATCGAGCCTACGATGACGGAAAGAAGTAATTGCTGAGCAGCCGAACGGCTTGCCTGGGTCCGGCCAGAATTGTTTGTAGAAGGCGTTTGGATAGCTGCGAAAATTTCGGCAGAACGAGACTCCAGATCTGCGAACTCCTTCTCGTTCCATATCGCCGCAGTCTTTGACGACCTCGAATTTAATCACAGTTGGACTACTAGGGACAAAGTATCGTACCTTGACAACTTCAGCCATTCCGTTCGAAAACTCCCGAGCAGGCAGAGTTTCGAGGAACGCTGCGTCGATGAATATATATTCAGGCTGCCAAAAGGCACCTATGAGGTTTTTGCCATGGGGGGTGTCGATCGCAGTTTTCCCACCGACTCCAGAGTCAACCATAGCCAAAAGGGTGGTCGGAATCTGAACGAAGCGCACACCACGCATACTGTCGCGTTTTTGTTAAGTCATTTGCATGGAAGACGAGCCATAACTAACAAACTCACAAGGTCGCAGCAACGAATCCGACCAGGTCACCAATCACACCTCCGCCGAGAGCAATAACAACCGAATCTCTAGTGCATTTGTTCAAGAGCAGAAAATCTTCCACATCGGCCTTGCCCTCGCGACTCTTTGTAGTTTCGCCTGGAGCAATGACACGACTCAGGAACCTGGGTCTGCCTGCGTTTGGCAATTTTTCGAAGGCGGCGTTGAATTCAGCTTCGAATGCAGTCAAGTGAAAGTTTGCGACATGTGTGTCAGTAACCAGGACGTAGGCTGAGGATGGAAGGGTAGTGATCACGGTATTGACGATATAAGGGATAAGATGGAACCCGCAATGAATGGACTCTTTGCCCAGAATTGAGACCTTCAGAATGTCTGTCTCGGCCATTGTGGTGGATTTTAGAGATGGCCTCGCTTGGACCGATGATGGTATATAAGTACTCTCTGCGCACTGCTGCTGATCAGAATAAGATCTCTTGATTATTCGGATTACCAGCGTGGGACACTGCGATGCATTTGACGGCGCCGAAACCGAATGGTGGCCGAAGGCATCATGGCAACATGCCAGCTGGGCTTAGCTGAACCTGTTCAAACTTGAAAGGACAAAAGCCGTGAGCAACGGAAGAACAAAGCTTTATCGATGGATGCGATAAGATGCAGGCCTGGCGTATGGGCGGTTGGCACTGTTGTTGCCAACGAGTATCGCCGTATGGGACCCATCCAAGGCATGCGGAAAAAATCGGAATACGGACCAAATGGTTAGATGTCGAGTATCCGGAAGATTTCCCGGAGCGTCTAAGCCGAGTCATTATCATTCTCTCCGTCATTGTCCGGCTTCTTCCCGAATTGTAATAAAACCGCGGGCCATGGACGGATAGGAAATTTCAGAACGTCAGTACAGTACTCCACCTTTACTTTTCCTTTCGCTCCCTTGCCCTATTTCTTCGGACAACGATGCAGGTAGTTCGCAGCCAAGGTAAGGGAAGTTCTAACCTTGTATGCGGCCGGATGTTCAGGTCATTCTTTCCCAGCATGTTCCCGCTTTATGTCCAGGTCTACGGTGCATTCTAGACTTCTACCCTCTCACGTCCAAAAACAGCTCTCTCTTCGAGTGATTTCGCGGGCATTGGCGACAACTTCTGAGCCTGCAACATCGGGTGCACCAGTAAGAAAGTGCCTGACTGAGTCTCCTTGCTCTTTTGAAATTTGTTATCTTGAAGAGTCCTCCGCCTTCGCCTCCCAAACATCCAAAGTGGAAAGGCTTTCTCCAAACTTTAGGGCGTGTAACTCTTGTCACAATCATTGCAGGTAAGTACAATGCCAACGGTACCCACGTGTTAAGCTTTAACATGTGAATGACTCTATTCAGCCACGGGAACATTTTACTATGTCACCCAAAAGGACCGTCATCCTGGAACGCAGCTTCCATTCGATCCCGAGAAGAAAACTCTAGTTATTTTAGGAAGTGGCTGGGCTGCTACCAGTCTCCTCAAGGGACTGGACACCACTCATTACAACACTGTAAGGATGTCATCGATAAGCTAGTCTATAGATAGATTAACACCCTTCGTCCAGATTGTTGTCAGCCCAAAGAATTTCTTCCTCTTTACGCCATTACTTCCTAGTGTGGCCGTTGGCACGTTGAATGCACGATCTATCCTACAACGTGAGCATCTTCTTAGGAAGCATTCCACGTCTAGTAACAATGAACTGTGTAGCCACGAGATATATCACGCGCTTCAAGAATCGTCAGGTTTCCGTAATCGAAGCCGAGGCCAAAGTTGTTGATGTCTGTCCATTATGACACACCCACTAATCCATCACGCTGACATTGTTCATAGCCCATTAACAAAACAGTGACCTTCTCTGGTACGTACCTCCCACATTTACAGTAACTATCACATTTATTTGATCTCTCCTTCCTCAGACGACTCGGAGATCCAAGGCAAAGTATCGTCGACTACAATTCCTTATGATTACCTCGTATATGCCGTCGGTGCTGAAACTCAGACTTTCGGAATCCCTGGAGTCAAGAAGCATGCTTGTTTCATGAAGGAGTTGCATGACGCTGAGCGGGTAAGTCGTTGCTACCGGACTTAAGCAGCACGGTTGATTATTGTCTCCAGATGCAAAGGCAGTTCATGGACTGTAAGTCGGTTGTCAGCATATGACACCATTGTGAACATGAATAATGAATGATTACACTTTAGGTGTTGAGTCTGCTGCGTTCCCTGGTCAAAGTGATCAAGAGATCGATCGTCTTCTCCATATGGTGAGAGATTGCACTCGGAGTGTTTTATTGCTAAGGCCTAATGTCCATCACAGGTGGTTGTTGGTGGTGGCCCTACAGGAGTGGAACTCAGGTTCGCTTTTGTTGCGCCACCGTTTGCAGAATATACTCATTCATCTATACAGTGGAGAGTTACACGATTTCTTAGAGGTTGGTAGCCAATTTAAAACTTAAAAACCTTAGTTTCATTGTGTCTTATTCCTTTTCTATTTAGGATGACCTCAAGAGTTGGTACCCCGAGCTTGCCAGCAGAATCCGAATCACGCTGGTCGAAGCTCTTCCTTCCGTGTTGCCTATGTTCAGTAAGAAATTAATCGACTATACTGAATCCACGTTCAAGGAATCGAAGATCGATATTCTCACCAAAACCATGGTGAAGGAGGTCAAAGATAAAAGTGTGGTCTTGCAGATGCCCGACAAGAGCATCGCAGAAGTACCATGCGGCATGGTTGTCTGGGCTGCGGTGAGACTTTTCTTCCGTCCTCTAATTTGTCCGGAAAGTTGACGTCTAGTTACCAAGGGAAACACAGGGCGACAGGTGACGCGGGACCTGATGGCGAAATTGCCAGAGGAGCAGACTAACAAGCGTGGAATTACCGTTGATGGTGTGTATTTTTCGAATTGGTGCTGCATCCACCCTGCCCAATTTCGGTTTGCATTTTCCAGATCATCTAATGATGAAGGGGTCAAATGGCAGTATATTTGCCGTTGGAGACTGCACAGCTTCTTCGTATGCTCCCACTGCCCAAGTTGCATCTCAGCAAGGCGCATACCTCGCTCGCATTTTTGCATTGGTAGCCAAGAAAGATAACCTCGAAGCGCAGCTCGTCAAGTTGGAAGGGACGACGGAGCCTGAAAAGCAGGCTGAAGCCGACCGTATCAGGAAACAAATCGACAAGATTAAACTGAAGCCTTTCCACTACTCCCATCAAGGCTCTTTAGCGTGAGTTCATAGTTACCACAATATCTCTCGCTAATGTGTTTACTGTAGTTACATTGGATCAGAAAAGGCCGTTGCAGACTTGCCCATTTTTGGACATGAGGTGGGTGTTTTGCTCATTGTACGTGGCCTTATGCACTGATTTCTGAAAACTTGCTTCAGTGGGCCAGTGGAGGCGTGGCGACGTACCTTTTCTGGCGAAGCGCGTACCTCAGTACCCTATTTTCCTTGCGTAACCGCACCCTCGTTGCGTCCGACTGGTTAAGAGTCAAGCTCTTTGGACGGTCAGTCAACACCTGTTGGATCACTTCACTTCCTCGTACTCATGCGCAGCTTTTCGTTAGTGACGTGAGCCGCGATTGAAAGGCGTGCCTTTATTATCGATAAACTTTATGCGACATAGACATAGACGCTAGAGCCGCACTTAGAGAGCGGACATGCTCATAGACATTTCTATTGGTATTAGTAGTTTTTTCTATACGCAGTAATTATACTCGAGCTTGATTAAGGCTGTGAAGCCTTGCATTCTACTATGCAGTGGTTTCTTAGTATCCCGAGTTTGCGCCCCCCATTTTTTCCCCCTTTGGAATAGAACCCACTAGGTTACTGTGATTTTACTGTAGTGACGGTTGACACTTCACTGGTACATGTATGACATTCACGTCCAAAACCAACGTCTCCGCCGCTGAGTTTCAAGCCGAAGGACTCTGAAATTCAACCGGAAGACCAACTTGAATGGAAGTCTTTCAAGTTGCCATACAACACATCACAGCTCGCCAATATTGGTTTTATCACAAAAACTTCTATATTATATATCCTCGAACATGGTGCGTCAAGGATCATTGAGCTTGAAATCTTCAGGTTTAATGAAGCCTTGAACAACCATGGATATCCTCGAGCTTTGTGTTAACTTCGTGCGTAATCTCTTTCTACCGTCGGGGTTGTCGCCATGTAATTGTTCTGCGTTCATGGATCCAACGTCTTCTACCTCATAATTACGCAGGTGGAGCACTGTGTGGCTTTATCTAGCTTTCGAGACAGTTATAAGGAGTGGTAAAGAGTGCTGCCGAGCTCTACATTCCACCATAGTCCTTTTCGTGCTGAAACGATTAAGGTCAGGGGAGGTTATATCGAGTTGACGCCAGGGGCGCAGTAATCTCCGAGAAATTTCGGTGCCTGCGAATGGATTTTGATAGGCAAATAATTCGTTTCCTACGGAGATAGACCACTGGTTTGTGCGCAGTGCTAGTATATCCAAACCAGTCCAGGAATTGCAACAACATCAGATTCTTGTTTTAGTAGCGTAGGTAGAGAGGGAAGTACTAATGTAATGGTGAGTTAACCTTTTACTATAAGAGAGCCCATTTAACTTGAATTACCTAGCTCCGTCTTGCCCAGCATATAGTCCGGGCCTTATTCGCTGTGGTATTTACAGGTGCTACGTACAGCAATCCCGGACCAGCTAATGCTTCATTTCGCTTTGCATGTGGACCCTTATCAAGTTCCGCCAGGATTATGTTCCCATCAGCTTTATGCTGCGGACTTCTTTGCTCCGTATTAAGTTTTTTATCGACTTTAGTTGGATGTCACAGGGGATAGTCAGGTGCACTTGATCATATCTTGCTATCCAGTCCCGTCGCTGACAGAAGTTATGGCTTCTGTTCTTCAGTGTCCATTCATAGCATGAAGAGTGTCACGCATGTCTCCTATTTAATTGTTATCCTCGGCAGCAGAACGCTCGCTTTTGGTGTGCCGTCTGCGAAGTTTATTCAAGTACTATCCAATGATTTGAGTGCGTGTCCCTACAACGTTGGTTTCATAAAAATAATCAAGGTCAAAGTTGAGGTCTGTTATGACTTGTGGTCTGCCTCGTTTACTGGATAGCAATAACGGGAATCGTTGAACAGGTACAACAACCTGGTGGCTTGGATCCATTGTCCTCCGGCGCTTGCGCTTCCATTTGTTTCCATATCAGGACCGTGCGAATACCAAATGTAGCTAATCTGACTTTGATCTATACACGCGTTTTAGGCATGTTAGCCAGACACGAGAGGCCGTCAGAGCCTCCTTATCCCTGCTCAGGTCTATTTGTTTCGATAGCAAAAACACGTTTTTCCGGACTTCGATCACATCTATTCATGGCTGGGGCACGGTGGTATTGCTGCTTTAGTTCAGCTGCCATAAGGTCTGCTTGAACCTTTTCTACCACCAAGGTCTATCCCTCGTTTTCTGTCTTGACCTTCATCCGTTTTTGCTTTGCTTCATAAACTATCGGGCTCTACGCCTCTCGTCCTCTCCTTTGACTCTATCTCTGTTTTCAGATTACCGTTCTACTGGTCCAATGTCGCAGGAGACTTACGACGCCCCAGGAACTTCCTCATCTATCGATCCTTTTAAGTTGGTCTTCCATGTCGACATCTTTATACTCGCAGCTGCTGGAGTATTCGCTCTCGCATCATTTCCAAGAGCTATCGCTCGTTTTTCCCGTGCTGCAGAATGGCGGCAAGGCCACATTCTTAGATCTGTGAATTTAGAGCAAAGGAGGCCTCGAAGACCTGCGATGCGTACTGTACAATCGTTGAACGAGCAACAGGGTAGTAGTGAAGGGCCCGCGGACATGACCACTGAGGAATCACATACCTACTTCTCGCACAGTCATCTGGTCCGACATCCGCAAGCGAAGCCAGCAGGCTGGTCACTTCCTCCTCATGTCCGGGCGTGGTCTTCTATTGTCCCCCCTGTCGCTTCCCTGTTACGATATAGAATTGAAGCTGGGCTATCCCTCGGCCAAGTGCTGATATTGACGATATACTTCTCAGTCCTCATTTATGCTACATTCCTCGACTCTAACCCCTTTGATGATCCTTATAGAAGTGGATTTGTGGCCATGTCCCAGATTCCTGTCGTGTATATTTTGGCAACCAAGAATAATTTATTGGGCATGTTTATTGGTGTGGGATATGAGAAGGTAAAGTCATCCATGGTCTATCTTTGAACGGGGATCTAAGCTGAAGTCGCTAAATGCCCCAGTTGAATTATATCCATCGTTTTTCGGGGAAAATGTTGTTGCTTGCATCAAATATACACGCGGTGGGCTATTGTGAGTTCCTTGCATTTACTCTGGCTGAATATTTTATGACAATTATTCCAGTCTATCAGTGGTCTTATCAAGGAACTTTCAAGAAGTGGATAAGTTATCCTAGCAATTCGTGGGGTCTTGCGGCCCTCATTTGCCTCGATATTCTGTACTTTTTTTCAACGTCATTCTGGCGTCAGAAAGCATACAACATATTTTTCGCCTCTCATGCCTTGGGATTTGTGGTCTTTCTTCCTGCAGTAAGTTGTTCCCCAAAACCCGTAAACAATAACCAATATTCATGGCCATCATTCAAAGGTCTACTACCATCAACCTACTATGCTACCCTATATATTAACTGCCGCTGGTGCTTACGGCTTCGACCACCTCCTTAGGCTTCTGAAGACACGTCTATGTAATGCAAGAATCCGGCCTATTCCTGACATGGTCACAACTCGCGTGGAAATCCCAGAATTGAACGCAGGATGGCGTGCGGGTCAACACGTCCGATTGCGCATCATCTCCTCAGGCATGGGCTGGTGGGGTTGGGCCGAAACGCATCCCTTCACCATTGCAGGTGTGAGCAAAACGCAGGAGGGTCTTGTGTTGTTCTGCAAGAAGACGGGCGGTTGGACGAGCAAGTTGTATGAGATGGCAAAGATAGCTGGATATGGCGAACGCGGGTTTGGTTCAGGTCGTAATGTTAAGGTTATGATAGAGGGCCCTTATGGTACGTATCATTTTCTTCAGTTAGCTTGTTCGTTTCAAAACCAATATGGACTCGGTCAGGCGGACCTGGACATTCCGTATTTGCAAGCTACTCAGCTGCCATTTTTGTCGTTGGTGGAAGTGGTATAACCTTTGCTCTCGCTGCTTTACAAGACTTGCTCCAGGTACTATTTAAATGCAATATTGCCACTTCCCATTCTAATTGTCTCCCAGAGAGATGCTGAAGGCGCGAGTAGAGTCAAGATTATCGAAGTGATATGGAGCGTCCAGGACCCATGTAAGCACTCATCATACTGAAAACAAACCGATGATATCACCGTATTCACACCCGTACCATAGCTTCGTTGACACCACTAATTCCGCAACTCACGGCCCTAATCCAGCAAAGTGTATATGCTCCTCTGAGAATTTCAGTACATTACACGCGCGCTTCTGCTTCTCCTGAACTAAACAAAGAGTTCCTTCCACCTGGCTTATCTCTCAGCGCAGGTCGCCCCAAGACTGCAAAGGTGCTGGACGCTGTGATCTCGCAAGCAGTGTCTTACGGATCTGGTGTAAAAGCCTCTATGGATATCACGGGCGTTGTCGTGGCAGTGTGTGGGCCAGTCGGGCTCGGTGATGAAGTCTCGGGTATTATTGCACAGGTTGACGCTGGCAGGAGATGGGCCGTTGGAGGCATTGAATTACATGAAGAGTAAGTAATCATTCTTCCTTGTCAATTTGCAGCGAGCTGAAAGACTACTACAGAGTTTTTGGGTGGTAAATGTCAGTTTGTAAGATTACGTGTACAATATATTTTACTGGGTCTCATGATATGAGCTGGCTTTTAAGCAGCGTATTGAGGACCATGTCTTCACTTAGGAGACTCGAGAAAGGCTAGCAATTCATATCATTGCAGCCGCATAACGCTGTTTTCTGAAATAAATCTGACCTTCTCCGGACATAGCTCAGTGTCCATCGGCTGAGAAGATTCCTGAGATATTGCTTTGGCCGACTTGACGGCTCCAGGACTCTCAAGCATCTTCTTACGAGGAATCTAGAGACATTACAAAAAAACATGATTGCACCTAAGTTTAATACTGTCCACTACCAAGACTAATATACAATGTCGAACGCGCAGAAACAGCTGGCTCAAGGACGTCTTTTAGTTAATAGACAAGCTATAAGCAGATCTATAAAAGACACTTTAGCCATTTTATCTCAGACATGGGAAAGAGGATAGACTTACGTGGTCAAAGTGGCAGTTCCAGTAGTCGCCTCTGTTCCGGCTTGAGCAGTTGTGAGATATTGCGAGGTGCTGACTCCTTCATTGTCAACCAGGTACTAGATTGGACGACACAAAAGGACGGTTTTTATGAGGATCTCACTTCAAGAGTAAGAAAGAAAAGACAATAGTTTCGCACAGTTAAGAATGGATAAATGTCCGTGCTGAAACTCTGGATGGTGCCGCTACTCGGGAGGTACGAGAAAACATTGTTGGCGCCATTGGATCCGGAATACAAGTCCCTAACGAAGAAGGTCACAGTTGAAACCAACCGCTCAACCTAGGCAAAGCACGCACCAGGTATATCCGCCGAGTGCAATACCGGTTGCGACAGGTACAGCATCACCACTGGAGTTATAATCAGCTGAAATAGGACCAGAATTGTAGTTTGCAAGCCAAATCATGATCTCGTTGACGTTAGAACCGCCAGAAGTATCCGACGTGAACAAGTCGTATGCAACGTCTCCTACGACTGTTCCAGTGCTGGCCTGAGACCAGTCCCAGGTAGTCTACGGCCCAAAATAACGACCATTCAGAACATTCAATACCCATGACTTTAAAGGAAACAATATACAGGCATGCTCGAAATCGCGCTAAGCTGTTGGTTGATGCCGTCATCAAGCTGAATGTCAGAAAAGCTCTTTACGCTCGAACCGCCCGTCCACGTCCAGTTCGTCGTCCACGCAACCGTAGTACCGCTCAGAGACACGAGCTGTGAACATTGAGAGCCCGATGTAGCATCGGACTCGCCCCAAAGATCTGTGTTCAGAGAGTATTGCCCCGCGGTAACGCTGTCATATTGTCCGCAAATGACAGAGGTATCGACAGTGGTCCGGCGTTCGTTCAGGACTAAAGCAGAGGAAACAAGGGGAAGAAGCAAGACTAGCGCTGAGAGGGACAACATAGTTGATGTAAAGTCTGGATGGTGAGCTCTCGACTTCAGTCAGGGCTGAGACGTTAAAGAGACAGGGCACCTTATATACGAAACGAATATCCTCCTTGTAGAAGCTTGGCTTAACACATGAGAGTCGCACCTCAACAAACAACATACCTGTGAACGAGAGATCACGGAGAAATGTAATTACTACGTCAAATCCAAAATTGTTCCAATGGTTTTCCGGTAGCCAAGGTAGTTCCTGGAAGTTCTTGCGAAAGTAAGCACGGGCCGCGGTCGTCTCTGAAAAAATACGAGCCCGTGAATATCATTTTTAGACCAGCTACGCATCTTGAGTACTGGTGAAAAATAGGACACTGCTACAGCACAAGAGATAGCATCAATAACTACTGTTGATACCAACCATGCTCTCCCAAGTCTGGTTGAAAGAACAATTGAAACTTGAATCTTAGAGGATCACTGAATGAGCAGGGCTATCAAATGATCTTGGGGAGCATGTGCTGCATGGATACTTCTTAGTCGGAACCTTTCAATGTACCAGAACTCGGTATTCGTTTGAATCAAACCAACTTAAACGCACGAGAAGTTTGGGCTGGGCGTACCTTGACATATTTAACATGCAAACGGCTGCCTTTATGTTCATGAGAATCCACGGAGATGCTCTCGTTATCGAATTCAGACAATTATGAGATGAAATGTTGTCTCGAAGTTGCAACCTGTGAACTCGAAAGATCTGCGCTGGCATAGGCGTACCGCCCGGCCCGTCGGGGGAATGCGTCGCGTGCAAAGTCAAGGCCATGTCATTTCTTGTTGCGACGCGTCGGAGAACGAGAACGGGACACATACTCAGGCTAGTGTGCACTCAGCTGACAGTCCAGTCCGGGGTCGATTGTAACAAATACTAGATATTGCGTGGAATGCTCTGATTCACTTTGTGTTATCACGATCAGAAACAAGATATATCATAATAAGAGTTAAGTGATGTAAAATATCATGATACAACAAACTTGGGTTGCTCAAATACACGCTTTGCTTAAGACTTTCCTGACATATATTTCATGTTTTCAGTATTTCCTCCCTCCCGCTGATGTTGGGCCTGTTCAGTTCCTTCTGGAGAAATCGTCGCTGCCTGCTCCTTTTCACCTTTCTCTTTCAAGCTGCTACTGTGACCTCCGGATTCCGTACTCCCCTGCGTAGCTTGACGTTGTTCTTCCTTTTCTTCTGGTGTAGTGAATGGATCCTCATCCTTAGATCGTATCAGCAAAAAAACACTGATTCTAGTAGGACTAGAATAAAACCTTTGCTTCCTTCTCCTGGCTCTTTAATTCACCAGTTCTGCGTTTACGACCACGCTCAACAAGGTCGGAGTTGTTCGTGAGCTTTCCTTTTGCCTCTTCTTTCAATCCAGTTATTTTTTCACCAACGCGCTACCCAATCACGTCAGTCAAAATGTCATATTTATTTTGCGAGTAATATCTAAACCACTCACGACTTGATCACCGTAGTTGGGCCCAATGCCTAAAGCCCCTGCATGTCGCTGCTCTGGGTACCCTTCATACGCTTGGTTTGGTGCTGCACCTGTTTCATTTGGTGCGGTCGTGGGCTGAACATTTGAGCCAATGGCGGAAGGATGAACGTCAGAATGCGAAGTCGACATAATTCAATTGTGAGATCGAGTGTTATATTATAGGTGGGTATATCACAATGGTGGTACTATTCCTTGCACTTATAAAGAGGCTAGCTTTAGGCCAAGCTCTAAGCTTATGACTCTGGGCTGGCATCCAAACGAGCATAGTGAATGACGCAGAGGGGCTGTGAGTGAATGACTGCATGACGAGTGTATGATGTCATCCGTCGTTCCGTATTAGGATTCAGCAATTTGCTCCCGTTACAGCAATAGAACCCACGGTCGTACAACTTGGAGGGTTTGCCAACTTGGTGTTTGTCTCTGACCAAGTCATCGTGGTCAACTGTCTTTAACGCGTACTCTACCCCACTTCTTCACTCGGATTAAGGCTTATCAAGGAAGTATATTGCATCGAACGCGGGCCCGAGAGGGACCTGCAATGACTCGCAATGACTCTTGGTAACCGTCGTGGTTGCTATAAATATTTGCTACTTTCCAGCTAATAAAATCAAAGAACTACCCAACATGCATGAACCAGCTAATGGATCAAACGATTACCATCTGGATGTTCTAGGACAACATACATTAATCGATGTGTATACGCAGATATGCTTATGCTTTACAGTGCCCGATGCTTCTTCGCATTCAGCAATCATCGCCACCTTGACGAATGGTCTCGAGCGGCTGTCCGCGAGCTTTCCATGGATAGCGGGCCAGCTCGTCAACGAATCTTCAGGAGGGGCTTCAGGCATCTTCAAGATCAAACCATTGGAAAAAATTCCTCGTCTAGTCATCAGAGACCTCAGAAATGACCCCTCTATACCAACGATGGATGCCCTCAAACGAGCCGACTTCCCCTTCAGCATGCTGGACGAAAACGTCATTGCACCTCGCAAAACGCTATCAGAAAGCTCCGACATAAAACCTGTCTTCCTCCTCCAAGCCAATTTTATCACTGGCGGCCTCCTGCTCACCATCCTCGCCCAGCACAACATAATGGACATGATTGGCCAAGGCCAGGTCATGGATCTCTTCTCAAAAGCTTGTCGCAATGAACAATTCACAAGCGAAGAATTATCATCTGGCAACGTTGACCGCCGCAATCTTGTCCCCTTACTCGATGATTCCTACAAACAGGGCCCCGAGCTCGCGCACCAGATTATGAAACCCAATTCCAACGACCCAGAACCAACACCTCCCCCTCCAAAGTGCACCTGGTCCTACTTCATCTTCGACCCTACCTCGCTCACCGCTCTAAAATCGATCGTTTCAAAAACCATCACTTCAGGCTACATATCCACCGACGACGCTCTCACCGCCCTTATCTGGCAATCAATTACCCGTGCCCGCCTCCCCCGCTTAAATGCCTCAGTGGAGTCAACATTATCCCGCGCTGTCGATGTACGACGGTATTTGGGTATCTCGGAGACGTACCCGGGTCTTATGCAGAATATGACGTATCACACGTACACGCTTCAGAAGCTGGTTGAGGAGCCGTTGGGTGGTGTCGCATCATATCTTCGTGCGGCTGTAGACCCCAAAACATCGAGCCTAGCGTACGACACCCGTGCCCTCGTAACCTTCGTCGACCGCACACCGGACAAAAACGCTGTCTCTTTTACAGCGACGGTTGACCAATCATCAGGAATCATGCTCAGTTCGTGGGCGAAGATAGATTGTTATAATCTCGATTTCAACCTTGGGTTGGGTAAACCTGAGGCTGTGCGGAGACCGCAATTTGACCCCTGCGAGAGTTTACTATATTTCATGCCTAAACGGCCGGACGGCCAGATTGCGGTTGGGATTTGCTTGAGGGATGAAGATATGGATAGGTTGAGAGCGGACAAGGAATTTACAAAGTATGGGAGGTATGTCGAGGATGGCTGAGGGCCGTCTGATCGAGTAGAAAAGGTGAGTCAATGACAAGGGCGAGGTGGAGATGCGCTTACGATAATGCATCAATAGAACGGATAACTCTGACATGGTAGCTTGAAGGTTGGCCAGCAATATGATTTGTGGAACGAATCTAGTAAGTAGGAAGATGTAGTTGGTTAGGATGATGTATGCGAATGTGTGCACGATCTGCATTCGGCACAACAAGGTTAATTCAATAACCTTAGACTCATGGTCAAGCGTGAACACAAAAAAATTAAGTAGTGCTGCACCCAGTGACAGAACCAGTTTAAACTCGTATCACTCAAATTAGGAGCAAAATCACAGCTCAAATACGACCTATCTACCGAAAGTAGGCCATCAAGGCGCTCGGGACAAGCAGAGACGTGAAACTTGGGGTGCGACTTTCAAAAAGTGTCAGTCGTGCGTTGGATTAAAAACCAATTGACCAAAGTTCATAACACTAATAATTCACGCTGAAATAGTTCAGATTTAACCGGAGGTCTCTGCGTTAACTGCCTGTTGTTGTGCAGCAAATGTCGTTGCAACAATTGGGCAACCTTTTCCTGGTCCATTCAAGTTCTGGAGTGTTATGGATGCAGCGGTAAGCCGTGCACTTTGTGACGCCGTGCTATTATCCGTAGGGAAAGTCAAGTGGACAGTAGGATTTAGCACAGCGTAACCGGCACGAATGTTTGCTGTCAAGTTCTAGAGAATGATTAGTAAAACATTGACATTTTAGTGCTAGGCATACCGAGATATAGTTCGTCTGATCAGGTGGACATTGACACGGAATCAGGATGGGTTTTCCACTGGTGTCGTTGACTGCACCATCGCAGTTACCGGTCCCTTTATTGCGAAAAAAAAAAGAAATCAGATATAGGCTGTTAGTTAGTATAATTGAAACTTACCGTCAGGATTAATACCCGATGGCCACCCGAGGGGTGGAGCAAGAGCAGTAATTTGTGCATCCGTAGGTTGACCAGCGCCGGAGGTGCCGTTATTGGCATTCACGTTCGTTGGAACAGGATTAAGCACTGCCGTTGGAGTGGAGGGGACGGTGGAGGTCTCTTGAGGCAGTACGGACGAGGGCGTCTCCGCATCGATAGCTTTCTGTTGCGCAAAAAATGTCGTCGCCGCAATGGGACAACCAACACCCGGACCTTCGAGGTTCTGCAAGGTCACGGCGGCGGCGTTGAGGCGTGCATTCTGGGAAGCCGTGCTGTTATCGGTTGGGAAGGTGAGCTTGACGGTCGGATTGTTGACAACAAAGCCAGCAGCTACATTTTTGTTGAGTGACTGCAAACCAGTTAGACTATGGATATTTTAGCAGCTCCGATGTGAATGCGAAGACTTACTGCGAGGAAAAAGGTAGAATTGGGAGGGCATTGGCAAGGAATTTGGATAGGTTGGCCATTGGTACCATTGACCGCTCCTGCGCAATTCCCAGTACCTGGATATCAAGATCGCGTTTAGAAAAACAAGACTAATACCTCAATATAATCTCACCGTCAGGATCAATCCCAGACTGCCAACCAAAAGGCGGAACTAGAGCTGGATTCACATTCCTCTTCAAATGAAGTACATTTAATGGAATGGCGGTGACAGTGCCAATAAGGCTCAGGCTCATAAATAGGATGCACTTGGCGAACAACATGATAAGGCAAATGGGATGGTTTCCAGACCAGGTAGATGTAGATGATGTTTTTTAATCGGTGGTGAAATCGACAAACCAGAAGTCGATGAGACGTGAGGCGAAATGAACGTAATCACAAGTGGTTTGCTCGGGGCTGGGTGAAAAGAAAGGCCAATTGCAAGCAACTGGGGGTGTCGACACAGTCGCAGAAAGGGGAAAAGGGAGGAGGAAGATATAAACTGATAAAATGGCCAAACCAAACATGTTTTGCGATCCTTTTGTACTTATAGCTACAATGGGTTGGAAACTGTCAATGGATACGATAACGGATGTGCTGAATCTTTCTATGGAATCAGTGACCCTTCCAGGAAGTTACAACAGCATATACAGGCTTACATTGTAGGTTGTTAGGTCCACGGAAATGCGCTCTGGAAGCAACAGCTCGCCATCACAGGTAACGTTCCCGTTCCAAGTTGTCTTTTCGTCCGCATTGTCCTAAACAGGTCACGTGAGCACTGTTTACTTTTCGAGAACCGCTAGTTCCAAACCTGCAACTTCAGGTCTCAATTGTCAACATGTCAGGTCCGATTCAGGTCCATTACTACCAATTCGATCTCAATAAGCTTGGCATCTATCAATGGTCTTACCGGATGAAAGGATTAGTCCATAGAATGAATGGGAAGTGTTGTACTTTGCGTCTTCATGAGGCACATGCATCGATGCAGATTCCCATGCCAAAACTTCCGTGTTCATATTGGATGACCCATAGGATAAAGAACTGGGTATCAGGCGCACAAAATACGACCTCCTCCAAAGCCTCCCCCCCAACTAAATATCAATATCAATACTCCAGAATTAGGCTGAGCCTGAAGCTAAAGTGGTACCGAAGATGACCTGAAAGGTTTCAGCCGAAAGACGTGGGCGCGCGTTGTAATATGACAGTAAGCAGTATTATTTTATCTTCTTAGAAGGCATGATACTGGACTATTGTTTCCTTGTTGTTTTCGTTCATCTTCCCTCTTTCTTAGCTTTTCGCAACTCTAATAGGAGGAACCTTCAGTTTTACCGACGTCGTTATACCCAGTGGATGCAAAAAAACATACCATTGACCACTCTGATAATAATCACTCTGTCTCGGCTGTGGGGGATGTGGGTTGTGGGGCTATCTCTGCACTATCGGTAACGTCCTCTGCACTATCGGTAGCGTCCTCCGCACTATCGGTAACCCCCTCTGCTCTATCGGTAACGTCCTCAGTAGCCTGTGCATTCTCTGGATTCACAGGATTATTTCTTGGCTTGATTCTTTTCTGTAGGGTATCTTCATCATTACCATGTTCGTATGTGGGATAGCAATACGCACCGCAGGGTCCGACTGCATACTATTGTACCGTTCTTCCGTTTCACGGCGCCATTCTGCGTTGTTACTTACACTTCCTTTCGAGGGACGTGCTCCAGAGGTATAATCTCTGATCATATCCATGATTCTAGTCATTTAAACAACAACTTATTGTGGTCGATATTTCCGAGTTACGTGGTAAGTGCAAGAACGTGGGTTCGTTCACGCTTGAACCGATTCTTATACAATCTTTGTCCTACTTGGCACTTGTACTCCGCAATGTTATTGCCAATAAAATTGATGCTACAATAGCGCCCCTCCCAATGGGTGATGCGCCGGTGATGTATACCCCATGCATTGTGCCTAACCTAAGGGCTGTCAGTCTTGTGATACATTATAAGGTTCCCACTACTGACAGCTGACTGGTGCTGTCATCTGTTTCTGATGTTGAGTATATTTAACTTCGTGAATAGATTTGATACTCACTGGACTGATTCAATCTTGTTCCTACTTGTTCAGTTCTTCCCCCCTCTTCCTTAACTCCTCACGGCTCTGATGGACAAAACCTATCAACACCACCGATCTTACACACAGATCAGTGCGCGGGACTTACCGCGGGCTGCTCAAGATTGTTTGCTACGTCACGACTTGGAATATGCGGGCCATGAGCATGATGCGCTTGAATCCCTAAGTTGTCGTTCAGGCCTGCACCTGCCTGAGGATTCTCCAGCTCAGCAGGATTGTTGGATTTCTGTGATATATGGTTCTCAATCTCTGATCATCGAACGATAAAGTACAGAAAGCGTACTGCAGGGTGTGGCAGGATACCGAACCGCTGCTCCTCAGAGTCGCGGTGCTGTTGGTCATTGTTGTCCGCGTTCCCTGCTGAGGGACGAACTCCAGACGTTTTCTCCTTTACTTTGTTAATAATTTTGGACATAGTGTTTATAGGTTATATATTGTGAACGGTGATTGGGATGGTAGAATTATCAGTAAGAACAGTGTATCTTGCTGATTCTTATATGATGCTGGGTTCCACTGCGGCGCAGGCGTCAGACTCGATTGAATGACATCATTTTATTTAATGGTGCCGAGGGCTGCCGAATACACCATGACAAGGTCACAGACGCGCATAGTCACGCGTTCTCGCCGTCACGCCTCGCTCACCTTTTCTCTCTCGTGTACGACAATGGCTAGAGGCGGTCGAGGAAACTTTGGCTTATCTTCTGGAAACAGAGGACGTGGGTCATTTAGGAGTGGCTACCGTGGTGGTAACTCATTTCGAGGTGGACGAGGGAGAGGTAGGGGACGTGGTAATGCTTCTGGCACGGGCGATTCTGCACCTCCAAAGAGGGACGATGATGGTACGCAGTTAGCAGAAAGATTCGAACAAGTTAGATTAGCAGACGAGGTGGACGAGAAACTAGGATTTGCGCGTATACAAGAGGGTGGCAAGCGAGATGGCTGGCTGATTAACATGCATCCCGTAAGTGCTCAAAGGGTTGTGATTAGCATGCACTATTGAAACGGACACAACCATCGCACAGACCTTGATTAAAGATGCAGATTACCCGTCAGGCAAAGCAGCAGTCGATTTTTACTTCATTCAAGACGATGGTGGAATGTTTAAATGCACTCTCCAGTATGAGCCTTATTTCTATATCGCTTGCAAGGTGAGCTCGTTATTTACCGACATGATTTGAATCTAAATCAATCTGTATGTCAGAGCGGTGCAGAAACCATGGTGGAAGAATGGCTTATGAAGCGATACGAAGGAATTATATGCCGAATAACGCGTGACAGGAAAGAAGATTTGAAGCTACCCAACCACTTGATGGGACACCGCCGACTATACCTTCAGCTGTGCTTCCGCAATGTATCAGATCTCCTTACAGTGAGGCGCGACATTGCTCCTCTTGCCCTGGCCAACGGTGCCAAACGCGATGCGGTTGATGCTTATGCGGAGGTTGTTAGCGCAACAGCTAGTGCGAATATAAATATCGAATTGGAAGGGGAATGGGCCGAATTCGGCGGAAGTAGCACCACTGGCTCCTCTTTCAGAGAAAGGGATCCTGGGGAATGCATAATCGATATCCGCGAATACGATGTTCCTTACTATCTACGTGTCGCCATCGACAACGAGCTGCGTGTGGGTCTATGGTATGCTGTCACTTTCACCGCAGGGCAGCCTTCCTTCACCCAAATTGTGGAACGTGTCAAGCGAGCAGACCCCGTTGTGATGGCTTATGATATTGAGACGACGAAAGCTCCCCTCAAATTCCCCGATCAAGCCATTGATCAAGTCATGATGATTTCATACATGGTTGACGGTCAGGGATACTTGATCACCAATCGCGAAATCGTGAGCGAAGATATTGAAGATTTCGAGTATACTCCCAAAGAAGGCTACGAAGGTCCTTTCATAGTGTTTAACGAGCCTGACGAGGTCTGTATTATCTATAACAGTTGCGTTTCCCTAGCTGACGGTCGTTATCAATGGTCATAGGCAGCCACCATGATGAGGTTTTTTCAGCACATCCAAGAGGTAAAACCTACTGTGATGGCAACATTCAACGGCGACTTCTTCGATTTCCCTTTTCTATGTGCACGTGCTAAGGCGAACGGCATTGATATGTTTCTAGAGACAGGTTTCGCAATAGACTCGGAGGACGAATTCAAGTGCAGGACTTGTGTTCACATGGATTGTTTCCGATGGGTCAAACGTGATTCTTACTTGCCTCAAGGAAGTCAAGGCTTAAAAGCAGTGACTACTGCAAAACTAGGCTATAACCCTATAGAGTTGGATCCCGAACTCATGACGCCGTAAGTATCTGTAACTTTGTTCACGTGGGTATGTTAGCCTAATTATTGTATATTTAGTTACGCTATGGAGCAACCACAGGTCCTTGCGCAATATTCCGTGTCCGATGCGGTAGCGACATATTATCTTTATATGAAATATGTACATCCCTTTATTTTTTCGCTCTGCAACATTATCCCATTATGCCCGGATGAAGTATTGCGTAAAGGTAGTGGGACACTTTGTGAGACTCTTCTCATGGTTCGTTCGCTTTACTCTTGTGGTAGGCAAGCACTCATTCTTCTTTCTAGGTTGAAGCGTATCGAGGTCGCATTATTATGCCCAACAGACATGAAGATGCTCATGGGAATATGCATCAAGGCCATCTACTTGCATCCGAAACGTACGTAGGTGGACATGTCGAAGCCCTTGAAGCTGGTGTGTTTCGAAGCGACATCCCGAGCGACTTTAAAGTCGTACCATCTGCAGTTCAACAGGTAATAACCCTTGTCTTTTGCTATAACAACATCACTTAGCATTGTCGAAAATAGCTTATCGACGACCTTGATGCCGCCCTTATGTTCTGCATTGTCGAAGAATCCAAGTCATCTTTGGAGAATGTTACGAACTATGATGAAGTTAAAAACGAAATTCAAGCAGCTCTAGAGGTCATGCGGGATAATCCCAAGCGTACAGACAAGCCACTCATATATCACTTGGATGTTGCTGCCATGTACCCGAACATCATGTTGTCCAATCGCCTTCAGCCAGACTCGATGGTAGATGAATCCGTTTGTGCCGTTTGCGACTACAATCGCCCTGGAAAAACTTGTGATCGCCGGCTCGAATGGGCATGGAGAGGCGAATTTTTTCCCGCCCATAGAGATGAGTTCAACATGATTCGGCATGCCCTCAACCAGGAGAGTTTCCCGTCGAAGCGCCCAGGCGGCCCTCAGCGAAAGTTTGCTGACCTCACTGAAACCGAACAAACTGCGTTGCTGCATAAACGCCTCGGAGATTATTCGCGAAAAGTTTACAAAAAGATCAAAGATACCAAAATTGAGACACGAGAGTCTATCGTGTGCCAGAGGGAGAATCCATTCTACGTCGATACAGTGCGGCGGTTCCGAGACCGGAGATACGAATACAAGGGACTACATAAGACCTGGAAGAAGAACCTTGATACGGTCGTAGGCGAAGGGCGTTCCATTGCTGAAGTTGACGAGGCGAAGAAGATGATCGTCCTTTATGATTCTCTGCAACTCGCACACAAGTGTATCCTTAACTCATTCTATGGTTATGTGATGCGGAAAGGAGCAAGGTGGCATTCTATGGAAATGGCGGGCATTACTTGTTTGACTGGTGCAACAATCATCCAGATGGCTAGAGCTCTCGTAGAACAAATTGGGCGACCGCTGGAGTTGGACACGGATGGTATCTGGTGCATGCTGCCAGGTGTATTCCCGGAGAACTTCAAGTTCAAATTAAACAACGGAAAATCCATCGCCTTTTCTTATCCATGCACAATGCTTAACCATCTAGTTCACGCCCAATTCACTAATCATCAATATCATGACCTTGACCCAGAAACGGGAGAATACGTTGTTCATAGCGAAAACTCTATCTTCTTCGAGCTTGATGGTCCTTACAGAGCCATGATATTACCATCTTCTAAGGAGGAGGATAAATTGTTGAAGAAGCGGTATGCTGTATTCAATGATGATGGCTCTCTTGCGGAGCTGAAAGGCTTCGAGGTAAAACGTCGTGGCGAGCTGCAACTCATCAAAATATTCCAGTCGCAGATCTTCGAGAAGTTTCTCTTAGGATCTACTACGGAAGAATGTTACGCTGCTGTCGCCGAAGTCGCCGATCAATGGCTTGATATCCTCTTCAGCAAGGCAGAAACCCTGGGTGACGATGAGTTGGTAGACCTCATTGCAGAGAATCGAAGTATGTCGAAAACTTTGGCGGAGTATGGCGGGCAGAAATCTACATCTATTAGTACTGCTAAACGACTCGCCGAGTTTTTGGGCGACCAGATGGTTAAGGATAAAGGTCTCGCGTGCAAGTTCATCATTTCTGCACGTCCCATGGGTGCACCCGTTACGGAGCGTGCAATACCTATCGCTATTTTCTCTGCAGAAGAATCCGTCAAGAGGACCTATCTCCGTAAATGGCTCAAGGACAATAGTTTGACGAATTTTGACCTGAGATCTATTCTTGACTGGGATTATTACATCGAGAGGTTAGGGTCGGTGATACAGAAACTCATCACCATTCCGGCTGCCATGCAGAAGGTTACCAACCCAGTCCCTCGTGTACGTCACCCAGATTGGCTTCATCGCCGTGTAGCAGGGGCGATCGATAAGTTCAAGCAAAACAAAGTCACAGACTTTTTCAGCCGCGTGACTCCAGGACAACAGCAGGAAATGGATATAGAAGACTCCGGGAAGAATGAATTTGACCGTCCTCGCATCGCAGTCGTCAACCGGAAGCGTACGAGAAGAGACTCTACCCCACTAGATGAAGATGAAGATGCAGATATAGATGCACCCCTTCCGGATCCGAGGATCAGTTATTTCTCTTGGCTTAGAGCAATGAAACCGCGGTGGAAGAAGAGAAGAGAAGCCCGCTGGGGTGATTCTACTGCAGCTGTCGTTCCATCCATGTTCAAGGGCGCACGAATACGCACAAATCATCGCTGGGACATTGTCCAAATCCGACCAAGCAAGATACAGGGCCGTTTTACTCTCTGGTTGTCGATTGATGGAGAACTAACCCCAGTAGCTTTGCGCATTCCTCGTGTGTTTTATCTCCATTTAAAAAGTCTTCCAAAGGACGATCTCTTCCAGACCGGCCACTATTCCTGCGATAAAGTCATACGTAATCTTCCTCGGGGGCTCCATTGTTCTTATCTGTATAAGGTGACAGTCCGCGAAGATGTATACCAAGAAATTCAAGAGCATTTCACGGATCTCATTAATGATCCTAATGTAGATGGCGTTTTTGAACAACAGGTAGCCCAATCCTTCTCATATTTTACATCACCATCTTTAAATTATGGTTTAGATTCCACTGGTAATCCGAGCATTGCTCAAGCTAGGCAAAACTTGCATCGCAGATACACCGGGTATGACACTCAATCGTGCCCAAAGTAGCGGTGTTGATTTGGTGCAACTTGACCGCGCTGGTTCCCTTTCTCGCCAGGCCTATCTCGATGGTGGAAGGGCTGGAAAATACATTTTCCTATATCATGCCTGTTCAAATAGCGCACCAATCCATGTTTTTGTGCTCTTCCTTCCGAGCGGCCCTGTGAAACTTCATGTTGTCGACCCGGCCACTCGCCGACAGCCTATTGTTCGGCTTCAAGAGCTCTACGAAGACCTGCTACGTAAACGGCAGGCATCCTACGGGGGCAGCACTTGCATCGATTATCCAAAGACTCGCGAATTCACGACTACATACCATAATAACGATATTACTGCGCTGAAAGCTATTTCCCGAGAGCTCGGCCTATTGGAAAATATGTCGTACAGTATTGTGGTTTCGTCGACAAAAGAACAAACTTACTTTGACACTTGGGTCCCAAAAATGTCGAAGTTTCCTGTATTATCGATGTCCAAAACGAAGGCTGCCCATACACTAGATGTCTTTCCATGGCAGACGCACGTAGCTCAGAAATTGCTATACCGATATTTGTCTGTTGGAGGATGGCTTGATCGCTTGGTCGTTCTTGCTGATTACTATGACGTTCCTATTGGACATATTGAAGGAGATCAACCTCTTCTACTTTCCGACATAACGTTTGCAAGGCGACTAATCCAGCAAGACACCGTGCTTTGGTGGTCTCCATCAGAACGTCCCGATTTAGGCGGTCTCGAAGACGACTTCCGACCAGTAGAAGAGCTACAAAATACAGAATTCATGTCCCCCGGTTGTTATTCTAACGTCTGTTTGGATGTTGCGGTCCGCAATCTAGCGGTTAATTCGGTTTTACATTCTGTGGTAGTTAATGAATTGGAAGGAAGTGGAGGAACAACAGCGTTCGACTCGGTTTCTCGGACTCTTGACGAGTACTCTACCGGGGATGCACAGCGCGATATCACCTTGGGAGAATCCAGTTTATCCCCACAAACATTTGGTATCCTCAGGACCATGGTTAAGGGCTGGCTCCTTGACAGAATACAGGGTAATTTCGACAGTCCTGCGACCTTGGCGATCGACCATTTCTGGCGATGGGTCAGTACCAGCGCATCCAATATGCATGATCCAAGTATCCACCGATTTGTACATGGCCTCATGAGGAAAACTTTTATACAGATGCTTGCCGAGTTCAAACGATTAGGAGCGCATGTTGTATACGCCGACTTCAGCCACATCTTGCTGGCTACATCCAAACCACCTGGGACTGCTCATGCGTATGCCACCTACGTCGCTACAGCAGTGACGTCGCATGAGCTATTCCAGCACATATATCTCAAGGCGGAACGTTTTTATGATTTCCTGCTTTTCATGGACCCTGCCAATATGGGAGGTGTTGTATGCGAAGATCCTCTGGCAGTTGATCCACCAGAAGAGCTTTCAATCGAAATGCGATGGAATATTCAGACGTTTCTTCCTCCTGCCATACAAGATGACTTCGGCAAGGTCTTACAATATTTCATAGTCGAGCTGTTCCAGATACGCCAAAAAACCAACGAAGCTTCGCGCGTTCCGCTCCGTGTTCTCAAAAATTCAGCCCCAGATACAACGCAACGCGATGCGGGCAAAGTTAACGAAATGGATGCTACCCGCGAGTTCATAGCTAGGCGCCTTACTCGCAGGCTTCTTAAGGTCGTCGGAAGTATCCAAGCAAAGCTGAGAGATGCCGTGACTGACGAGGACTTACACGAGAAGTTTGAATTTCCTCTACTCCCTGGTTCTCACCTTCATCTGATAAACCCTATTCTGGAGTTCATTAAGTTCACCTGTGCAGTTCTGGGTTTGGCGCAGGAGTACCGTATTGAAGTGGGCTTATTGAAGCGTAATCTGCTCGACCTTGCAGGAGTACGTGAGTTCGCGACTGAGGCTATCTTCCGTAATCCTTGCGAGCCCTTGAGGCTGGCTAATGTACCCTGCCGACACTGCGATACCTTGCGCGAATTCGACTTCTGTCGTGATCCGGAGTTGATGCCCAACGGTCTCGATATCACCCCACCACGCTGGCTATGTGGAGGATGTGGAGTCGAATACGATCGCATAGCTATCGAGCTTGAATTAATGCGGATGGTGTGTTCCCTTGAAAGATCTTTCGCCCAGCAAGACTTGCGATGCGCCAAGTGCAAACAAGTCAGATCAGACAACGTATCTCGATACTGTCAATGTTCTGGTGCTTACCAGTTGACCATGAACAAGGCAGAGGTGAGAAGGCGGCTCCGAACAGTGGTGAATGTTGCCATCGTCCATGGAATGGCAAAATTGGCAGTAAGTTTCTGGTCGTGTGATACAGGCACATACTCACACCCTGTTGACTAGGAAATCGCCCAAGCTACATTAGAGAATTGGTGACCAGTCACTAGCGACATCGCTGGTGAACTTTAATTTTGCTTTCCAGATACCTTTTGTTTTCATACCCTTGAAATGTCTGTATACTAGATAACCATGTATTTCGCTACATAGCTACTAACATAAAGGAGAATAGAAAAACATGAGCGGAAAAAACACTTCTCATACATATATCATAACTGAATATAGCCCTTGAAATTAGAATACACCAACGCACATAAAAAAAATAATGTCCGCTGTGGACTGAACTCTGTGAGCCGGCATCTGTTTGAGAGAATACGGGGGGTCATACCTACAAATCTTTCCTACAACAAGGGGAGTGCTCAGCATCCCTCTTCCTCTGGAAGACTAATCCCTCCAAAGCCCGCTCTCCATCCCCCTCCTATTCCAGCTGCCATCCCATCTTGACTAGGCCTAGGCTTAAAGCTCTCTCTTCTTATACGGCTTGCTTTACGTGCAGTAGAATCTCTTTGTGACGCACCCGACGCAGTCCTCCCAGTGACACTGGATCCTAGATTGCCACTTGAACCAAAATTTGTGCTAGTACCATAACCTGATACACTATTTTGGGATGTCGCTCGCTGCATGACAGCAGGAGGACGTCCCCATCCCAGTGAGGCATAGACTTGCTTGGTCCCGGGAGGTAGAGGGGGTGCGGGCTGAGTAACAGGCCGAGGCAATCCAGATCCCCCACTCGGTGTTCGTCCCTTAGTTGGCGAGGAGATTCGTGCATGTTCGGTCATTTTCTGTCGTTTATTACTATACGCAACCCCATGAGCGACAGATAGGGAGGAGCCAGGTCTCACAGCGGGGGTTACTATCCCTGAGGAGCTGTGGTTCGTACCACTCTTCCCCGGGACGTAGCTCGCATAGCTACTTCTGACCGTGCCAGATTGTGGGTTGATATTGTTACCATTATGGCTGGGTTTGAGGCCCTGTGTGCTCTTGAGAGCTTGTGCAGAATATTGAGATGCTGGACCTTTCTTCTTGTTCTCCTGGTCGCCTGCAGATACAGCTTCCATCAAAGTCTGCAATATGCTTTCTCCGTGCACGAGGAAAGGTCGATCATGCGTTTTCTCCCAAGAGGGAAGAGCGGTAAGTAACTGCTGCTCGAGCTACGATGCAGAAACTCAAACCGTCAATTCGTAAGCTTCGATGAGTTTAATGTAAGCCTTACCTTAGGCTTTTCCTTTCCAACGCGTCTTCTCATCTTCTCTTCTCTCAAGAGTCTTCCCGGATCTCTACCGCCTGCTCTTCCTAGTAAACGCGTTTGATCAGAAGCAGCCCGCTCCAGTTCTTTCTCCTCATTGCAAATATCAAAATATTTCCTAATAGATGCCAGCAAAGGCGACTTCAACTTCACCTCCGCCTTCAGCTTTGCGATTTCGTGCTCATGTTGGCTGAGTAGATCTTCGGTATGTTCGTCTACGGATTAACGTGAGTCATGGAACAAACTTGGCGATAAGATATACTCACCATCTGCAAATGCGGCAAATTCCTCTCTTTCTTCGTCGCCAACCATGAGCTCCTCCCACAAGGACTCGATCTCTGTCCTTGCATTTCCTATAAATTCGCCCATCCGTTCTCGCTTCAATTCCAGCATGCGTTCAAGTTCCTCTTCATACGCTTGTACAACTAATTGGGTAGTGCCTCGGTTTGCCTTTGAAGAGCGAATTTTAGCAAGGATGCTATACCAAAACAAAAAAAAAGGAGCGTTAAACACACCTCAACAAATCCATCCATCGCATCTTCTTCTGCACCCATTCTCTTCCACAAGCCTTCTAACTGATCATACATCGCTTGAATATGGGACTCTCGCCGTTTCTTCAGTTCCCCTAGCTCCAAGCATAGTTTATCTGTCCACGAAAGCATGCTTTGTGTGGGTTCGACACCCATGGAAGTTAGCAGAGCGGCTGGAGAAGCTTCCTGGGAGGACGAAGAGTCGAGTAGAGTTACGAATCGGCTGAAAATGATGTAATAGTCGCGAGATTCATCTGCAGGCAAATCTGGAGTTGAGGATATATGTGGAGGGGATGAAGAGGCAAAGGAAAGCAGAGGCACATCAGGGTTCACACGAGAGCTGGGCGTTGGTGTGGATGTCCCGGCTGAGGAGAGAAAGGGATCGGAGTTAGCATTTGAAATGTTGTTCGAATGCGTACTACAGGAAGAAGATGATCGCGGTAAAAGATATGAAGGAATAGCAAGCGAGGACGAGCAAGAGGGATTATCATCATAGGTGGGAGGGTCGACGCCCAATTCTGTATAAAGCCAGTCGATATGAACGAAGATCTCTGCAAGCTGATTGAGTCGTTTAGTCTTTAAAAGGGCAATTAGTAAAGATCGTAAAAAGGCGATATATACTTACTACTTCGCCCTTTCCCCTCACAAGCTCTTTCTCGAGCTTAGAGAAGCGATCGGGGGTTACATCGCGGTAGGCATGCGGGTTATCAATATCTTCGCCTGATGCAATTACCGGCTGTAAGATATCGAGCTGGAAACAGTTGGCGCCCAAGATACGCGATAGAGAATTGAGACGGTTTGTAAGGGTTGTGAGTTGCTCTAGTTTCGTATGATACATCTGAACTTATTTCGTTAGACATCGTCATGTTCTATGTACGATACGAATGGTAACACTCGACGCACCTGTCTCAGTTTCTCCTGGTATTCCATGGCACGTTGATATCTATTTGGCAGAACTTTCTCTCCTTTTAGGTCACCAAGTGCTGCAACTGATCCTGCGACCTGAGCATTTGTACCCAGGGCTCTCGAGTAGCGCATGCATTCGCTCTCTACGCCATCACACTTTGCATACCATTCATCCACCTGCTTTCTGCGTATTTCAATTTGGGATTCGACGGCTCGCGTGAGGGTGTGCTGTAAAGTTTGCAGCTCGTCCTCCAGAGCTGTTGGTGGCAGACCAAGTTGGACATGTAAAGTTGGGAGTAGCCGAGTCTGTACATTAAGATGCGTGTGTAGTGTCGATAAAAGGGTCGTCAGTGTCAGTGAAGGCGTCGTTGATATCGTCGCCGAAGCCGTTGAGGACGATGAGGACGATGAAGAAGCCATTGACTATAGCTATGAGATGCGGTTACATTCAAATTTTGCTGTCACCATAGATTCAGATTCGAACCGCGTCTGTGCGGTCACGTGCTTTTTGCTTTTCGTGTTCAACAATGCGCGTGCCAACACGTCCACTGAAATGCCAGAATTTGAAACATATAAGCTATATGTAGATGCAAGTGGGTTAGACTATCTTCGTAAAGTTTCCGTCGCACACATGCCACACATGCCACACACATTTTTAGCTGAGCCTAGATGTATGATGTTGTATAGTCTGGTGGAAGGAACTTGAGGAATGCTGTTCCTTATCATGACAACTTGGAACTGATCATCTTACGAGTCATATTTATTGTGAAAAAAACCAGATGATCGGTGAAAATGCTAGTGAGGCACAAAGACCCAGCCTAGACCCTGTTTCTTTCATATCAGCGATGTTTATTATGTTCCTGTCAGACCATAATTGTTTGGACACGGTTGGAACCGAAAGGTCTGGGAGAAGATATGTCGTACATTGTATTTGAAAGTCTAGTGTACAAAATTGATGAAGGGGTAGTTATTCCTCGACATGTTCAGATAACGCAATATTTGTTGAATCAAGTACTATGGTTTATAGCCCGGGTCATTGGACTCATCGTCATCTGTGGAAGAAGATGACAGTAAATCATCATGAGCTGTGACATGCGGCTGCGGGAGCCTGTTATGTGGGAGTAGTCCGGGGCCACCAGGCCAATGGCTGGTGTAGCTATAAGTAAGCATAGCGGTGCGAGCACGAGAAACTGGGCCCACCGTAAAGATATTCCTGTGAATTGGTCATAGTACTCTGATAAGTCTGGATGATTGTTTGGTATTCGTGGTTTTCCCAATTTGAATGCTCTTCTGGGTAATATACCCATTGTGTTACAACCAAGAGTTAGTTACTCTGGCGCACACAGAACACACTATAAGGAAGATGATGAGGGAGTGGTTACCCCTTGAGCTGCAGAGAGTTTGTTGGTATACAACAGGAGGACTTGCTGAGGAGTCTCCTGGATCTATTGGGGTATATATACTACTACAGGGTTGTTTTTACATGTGTACTATACAGTTTGATAGAGACAGTGGCTGATGATGTCATGGGGCCTAGCCCGCATGGCCAGCTTCACTGTGTGAGAGAATTGTGTCTAAAATAAGAAGAAAGGCAATTGCGGCGCAAGAAGAGGAGTTTGGACAAAAAGGGGAAGTGCCGCGTGGCACCATGTGTGAAAGCTAAAGTACAAGGTTAAAGCGGAGAATAAAAGTAAGGGAAAGGTCCGAAAATTGTGTTATCGTAACACATTGAGAGGGCTGTCTAGCAGAACACAAGCATTGGTATATGATCCCGTGGAAAATGTGGAGGAGACATGTACAGTACACCGTTATCGGCTCGGTAGAAGCAAACCAAGCAAGTAAAAGAAGACATTAGAGCAAATCGTGTATTCTGTGCAATCATTTGTGACCAAACCTGACACGATTTCAGCCAGTTTTAGTGATTCGTGAAACGGATTAAATAATAGTTATACTTACTTGGGTCAGTAATTTTCCGTCTGTTTTCAGACAGGACAAATCTTGCTTTTCCAAAGGCCAAATAAAGGGTATCGACAATGGTCTAGATGGTTTCCATGCGTTACTGCTGAATGCCTCCTGGGTGGCTAGATCCAGTTTGCTGAATGCTGCCTGCTTAGATACCTCGTTGATATCACATAAGCTCAAGGCACCATGTGTTTTGATCTCTATGACCAAAGCTGGTTCGGGATTGTCTGTAGTCAGCATGACATCTGCTGTGCTGTAATCTCCCCCACAGGACACGAAGCGAGGTATGGACCATGATGTTGGTCAGATTGTTCCAAAATCCTTCCTGCATTGACTGCATTGGCAAGGCCAGCAGCGGGAACAATTGTCCATCTATAACCCAATGTCGTGTATCCAATTCACTGTTTATCCTTTTGGGCAAACGAACAACAAAGATGTCTGGATTGAAGTAATCAGAGAAGGTCTTGTGAGATTGAATGTTTTCATTGAATATAACTTTGTCAAGGAGCTTCTTGCCGTCATCAACAATTTGCTCTACCAAATTGAATTGATAATGAATAAATTTCAGTTGCTTCTCCTGCGACAGAGTCCGATTGAAAGCACTGGGGCCACATGTTGATTGCAGGGCATCAACCTTGTAAATATTCGGAATTGTGGGCAAGCCATAGCGTGTAAAAGCTAATAATGTTGAGTGAAGAGTAGTATCCTGGGGCATAAGCCCTTTTGCGGCAACCCTAGTAGAATGGCAAGGTGCAGGATCCTGGAGTTTGGTTGCCATGATTATTGGGCTGTCTAGGCAAAGAAATATTCAAGCAAATTTTTGATTCTGGTTCCATTGGATATACCCTAGCTTTTACATACTGTTGGAAAACAACACCCCCCATGTAGAAAAGGCATACATACAAGAGACTCACCGCTGTGAACAATTTGCACCCTGGAATAGAGATGAACCTGTTGATACCCGACAGATTAGAGGTTGAGGCGTGATGCAACCGATGCCCCTGGTATTCTGGTACACTCTGTATTGTGTTCAGCATGTCATCTCTTACATGAGGATAAACCATTTAAGTAGATTCAGGGTAAAGTGTAAGAAATATATGAATCTTGAAACCATCCAAGAATGGCAATAGTTTGAGGCCATATCAGCCTCAGAGTGATTGATTGCCGCTATCATTTCCATTGAAAGTTTTGGGTACTGACAATGCAACTTATTGGCATCAGTTCAATTCAATTGTGTTGGGTTTCATATGTGTCACTTCCCGTCAGTGCCAGAGAAGTGCATATACCGCTAAAGAGCTCACTGTCCGATATTCCCCCAAATCTGTTCTCTAAAAGTCCCACTATGTCCGTGACATGAATACACATTGTTACTGGTACTTGAGGTGACTACAGATAGAGTCGCATATATTCATGACTCAGACCAGAAAGAGCGCCATCATAAATCATAAAATCAGATGGAATAGAATATAACTCAAGTACCCACTAGAACATTGATGAGAAGAACAATGACAAGGCAGAAGTCAAACAAAGATTTGTGGTGATTCATACCAATTTTACAGCTTCTCACTGGTAGCATTGCGGCGAGATGGGGTGGGAGGCACACTCTCAATAACATGGTAAAATAAATGCCTCGACTAGTGTTTACCTTTATTAACTGTTCTCAGTGCTGAACACAGATGGTCAGAAATTACCTGCACAAGATGGTGACTCTTACATTTGAGCTTCCCAATAGCGAAAACCACTACCACCCTTTAGGTTCCAAAATAGTTCTGGGACAATTACAAGTTTGTGGTGATCCAAAATCTAAATTGGCCTCCAAGCAGCTTCATCTGACCATTAACCAAAAACTGTGGGACGGAAAATACCTTGCATACCGGGGTGAACTTTTTGAGGACGACAGTGAAACATCGTTGGATGTTGTCTGTAAACTTTGTCTTAAAAGACGCAAGACAGAAGATGATCGACCATTTTCGGACGAGTTCACTTTGAAATGGGAAGCACGTGTTTATCAAAACCATTTAAGGCTTTTGCAAGGCAGTGTAGTACCTACATTTTATGGCCATTTCAGTGACCGTGTGGAGGGTGGTCTCCCAATGCAGAGTGTACTTTGATGCAATACTGTGGCCCTCATCTCAGTAAACCAATCAAGGACCATCCCCTTTGATTCCGGTACGTTCAGTCAACCAGTTCTTACGTAGTAACAGCTGAATTTTGGTTTGGATTAGCCAGGCTTTTATCCGAGGTCTTGTAGATGTAACAACCAAGAGTTATTTACTCTGGCGCACACAGGAACACACTATAAAGAAGATGGTGGGGAGTGGTTACCCCTTAGGCTGCAGTGAGTTAGTTGTGCTAGACAACAGGAGGACTTGCTGAGTCCTTCCCTATGTATTGCTCCTGTATATATACTAAAATACATGAGGTACTGTACAGTTGTAAATAAAGTTTAAAGTCTGATGTCTGGCATGTGACCGGTCACAAGATGAGTCTAGACACTGATCAGGTGATGTGTCACATGACTGGTCATATGACTATGAAAAGTTGAAAATGTAAAGTAAAGTAAATGGTCATATGACTGGTCATGTGACTTGGAAAATAAAAGTAGAAGTACAAAAGTGAAGCGTAAGTAGGTGCTGGTATCTTAATTATAACAGTAGATATACACAAAGTAGGCCTCATCCATGGGTACCCTGAAGAATTCCATGTTCTTCAATTTGGAACACACGCCCTTCATCATTAGTTTTCAATTCGCATTTATGGAGCCAATGTGCTGCACTGAA